AGCGAGCGATTTGAATCTTTCCCAAATGTTTATCTCGATTTTCTCTTCAAGCTTCTTCAAAAACTCTTCGAATTGCAACAAAAATATCAACAATTAACCAGTCAATTAAATGATTTAAATAAAAACAAGACGCGTTTTCCAATGCCACTGTTACAAAATGAATACGATCGTTTAACAAAATTATTAGCACAAAAGAAACAAGAAATGCTAAGTGTACAAAGAGAAATTCAAGATGCACATGCAAAATTAAAACAACAATCGATGAATCAAACACCTACACCAACACAAATGATGTCAAATGGACCCGTTAGTCAAAATACAGATCAATCACGTTTAACTCAATGGACAAAACAATCAACGATCGGTGGACCACGATCATCTATGTTCCCACCGCCACCAGGCTTAGGTCAAAAAGATTGGCAAACAGATAATAGCGATCCGAATGAAAATTGGGACAATAGTCAAGCACATGAATCAAATAATGCGAATCAAGTTGGCAATGTCGATCCTCACGGACATAGTAGTCAAGTGTCATCAGCAGCATTTTCCGATCCATTTTCAAATCTCGTTGATGATATCGAAGGACCACCTCCGTTCGTGCCAGGGCAATTATGGAACTGGAAATCTCCATTACCAAATATTGAAGATGATCCACATGTGACACCAAGTTCATTAACAATGGGTCCAAAAGGATCACCATTACCAATGGGCAATCTCAACGTTAGCGGAGCCGAAAGGTAAATAACAATCGAAGCGAACAGAACTGTTCGTCATTTTTCAATTCCATGTTTTCTTTCTAGTGCTTTTTCAAATCCTCATTCTATGCATCAATATCCTCGTCAATTACAATCAAATCGTTCTCAATGGCAACAAGGATCCATGCATGACCAACAAGGTTTTCAATCGACGATGAATGATTGGGGTAAACAACAACAATTTCGAGGTCCATCAAAAGCACCATCATCTCATCCTCCACCTTATGGTAATGCTAGCAGTTATCGACCATACATGTAAAAGACAAGTTAGCACGAGTTTCTTACATTTCTGTGTTCTTTCTCGGCCAAAACAAAGTCAGTGAAATGATAAAAACTGTGTCCTCTTTGTCTCATTAGAATCGTGTATATTTACATTTCACGCTCTTTCATTAATGTGTATCTTTCTTTTTGTCGACGAAATTACTGTGTATTCATTGTGTTTCTTTTTTCCGCTCTTTCCGTCAAAATGCTGCACTGAGAATTCCCTCCCGGTACCATCCATTGTGCGTGTATGTCTCTATTGTTCTCTTTTTTTTTCTCTTCTTCTTCTTCTGGTGTGATCTACGCTCTTTATTTAACGGCCGAGCTTCATATCGACAAAACAAAATGAACGAACTAAATAAGATCTTTTATTGCTATTCTGTGCAATACAATTCTTTTTTCTTCTTCTCTCGCACGTAAAAGAAAATAAGTTTTTTTGTTTGTTTGTCTTCTTGTAGTGTGTGATGCTTTTAGCTATATATACATATATATATACATATATCATTCTGTATGGTTGTGGTGTGTATATTAATTCATTTAGTTTGTCTGTTCATTTTTTTCGCGTTCTGATTTCTTCCTGATTCATTTTCATTGTCTCTTGACACTGCTATGAAAAAAAAAATATCGAAAGTAGATATAAGATCTCTTTTAAAACAAATATTCAGTTGTTGTGAATGAAAATTTTCACATTTCTGTGTGCATATAAATGTATGTCGTTGTTTTTTTTGACTTTGAAGAAAACAAAACCGGAATTTCGAAGAAACAAATCGATGGTGATGACGGAATAATTAATGGTTTTTGCGCTATGTATAGAATTAAGCAAATAACCCTTGTTGTGTGTGTATATCTGTATCTTCTATAGCCCTATTGCGCTGATCTTTTTTTTATGTGGCACTTTCTTTTCCTTGTTTGTTTTCTTCGCCTATGTTCTCTCAAAATCTACTATACTAATAAATAAATACATTTGACGAAAAAAAAACACATCCGACGTGTGTACGTCTTGACATCGGTTGAAAATTTTCGATGCTCGATGCAAAAAAAAGTCCTTGCGAACTCAATTATGAAAACATTGTACTCTCAACCATAGTATCGACTGCCATTTCTGGATCATTTCCTAGATAAAACAGTATAAACAAACAAAGATTTAAAAGGACATTAGCTTCCGGCCGAAGACGCAAGAAGTCATCGACATTAACCAAAAGGGACTAGTTGATGAAAAATGTTGATTAGACAAATGAGAAGAGAATCTCGGAAAGATAGTTTAATCGAATGGGTTAAAACATGTGAAAAATCACGATTCATTGGATCGAATCTAACTTACAGAACTGATGATGTCGAATGATGTTTAAACAACACCTTTTACCTGCTTATTCATTGATGAGAACTTATCAAAATCGCTGACGACATCGAATCTCGTTCTTTTTCGGAAAATCCCCTTCGTCACTAAATCAGGTATATCATGTTTTTCTTCTCTCGCCGAGCTGAAGAACGAAAAACGTGATTAATTGAAACACTCCTAGTCCATTTGCACAAGTGTATTATTTTTGTCAAAAAAATTCACGTTGATCACGAGTCTCTCCGCTAAAAGCATCATTTCATGTAGAAAACAAGAACCTGCCTAGTGCTACAATAGGTTCGAATTCTTTTTCGATTCCAATCCATTGTTCTGATTTGTCAAACAAAAGCAAGGAAGCGAGATAATACGATTTATTTTTCTAAGTAATTTGATTCTAATCGATGAATAGAATTTCGAATATGTCGAGTTTGTCAAAACAAAACTACACATTTGTTGACTGATTAAAATTGCATTCCGAGTAAATGTTCTGTTTAATTAAAGATTTCGTTCTATTTACATGAAATGCACAAACTTCCCTTTTCATTTCCTCGCCTGTCATTTTTCTTTGCCACTCGCTTTCTTTCCAGCCACATATATATGTAACACCTCCGATTGGATATAATCACATACTCGCTAGCAGATTCTCATATGAAAGATGCCTTCACACACGCGCGTCATAGTTCTATGTAAATAATTACATTTCAATTTCGCATTCTTCTTATTGATTTAAGGTGTTTTCTTTGTATTTGTATGCGAATTAATTTTGCATGTATCTTCTAGCTATACAGGATTGCTTGACGAAACTCATATGCCGAGATCCATTCGAGTGAATAAATCGATCTCGGCGGAGATATTGTTGATGGTAGAGGAACACTCAAGTACAGAACGTGTTAATAACTTTATAACGCCTGAGTATACCACCAGGGAGATACTCGAGTCATCATTGATCATGTGTGCACATAAAAAGCCCGAACTCGAGCATACAGACTCTAATGAGAGCAGATTTTTCGCCTGCTGAGTGATTCAGTTTAGATCTAAATATGAAAGCACTTGCACATTTGTGCCAAATATATCATTCTAATTTGATCAAGTTATTCTTTCTGCTTACAAATGCGTATAGAATGCCATTAGCAAAGATCAGAAGTGATATATGTGACTCGAGTCATAGTTTGATGTTAGCCAAGACAACGGACTCGCTGCAAAGAATACGTTAATAGTCAATGAAAGAATGGAAAATCTACTCGTATATACATCAGTAAACATTTCGCACATTACTCAAATTCATCATTTCTTTTATGGAGGACACGTTCGATCCTTACGGTACTTTATATCACGCTTGTCAGAACGCTTATGAATAATAATTATATATATATATACGTGAAAATACATATAAATTGATATATATATATATGCAAAAACATTGTTTTTTAGTATTCGAAATGAATCGAGTAGATCAGATTGAATATGTGATTTTATGTATGTTTATATTTGCACAGGTGGGACAACGAATAGTTTTGATAATTATATTCATAGGTCTGCATGAATTGAATAACAAGATAATACATAAAGGTGATGATCGATGACGTTAGTTGGAAAATGACAGATGCTGCTGTACTATTGGAGGCCATATGAATGACAAAAAATGGTCTCTGAGGAACACAAAGAAGAAGAAGAAGAAGAAGAAGAGAAAAAGCCGAGAAGAACAACGTGTAACTGCTTTGTTGATTGCTATTTTTTATGTTCCCAAAATGAAAGCGAGAAAGAATAGGATATGGAAGAAGTTCGATTAATGTTCTAGACTGTTTTTCCCTTTGTGTACATGGATATACACTATATAAATATGTATTTTGACATGGCTGAAACAGTTGTGTCAAGTTTAGACTGAAGATGTACATAAACAAACATTAGAAACGATGGGTAGCTTTCTTTTCGAAACGAGATTTATAATCGAATGAACGTACACGATCGAGCATTTTAATTAAATTGCCATTCTGCTGTATGCACAGGAATAAGCTTTTCTTATTTTGCTTTCGAGCAACATTGACGATTGCGAGAGCAACAGTCAAGTACTTAGTTAAAAGTCTTTAATGATACGAGTTTATGATGATTACGCAAACTTGACTGGGAAGACTGCAGCAGAGAAAGGAAAATATCGCTAGTTGTCAAGTAAATTGAAGACAGTTTTCGAGGTTTATTTCCCTGCGTGTTTTGTCAATCGTCACGGTCTTTGTTTGCATGATCGTTATTGTTTTAGTGCGGCAAAAAATGTAGAGTGAGAGAGAGAGAGAGAGAGGGAGGGAGAAAGAGGAAATTCTCATGAGAAAGATAAGACAGACTAGAAACAGTCAGATTTATTCTCTTTCTCTCTCTCTCTGTTTCTCTGTTTTTCGCTTTCTTCTTCCTTTTTTCACGAAGAAAAGCGATGCTGTTTATTTTTTCATGTTATTTTGTATATAATAAATGCTTTTAGAATATCTAATACTGGTGATATGATACGGGTGACTAGGTGAACAAAACTGCTTTGTACGCCTTCGTCATCATATGGCCTCGTCAGTTTGCCTGTCTTTATTTCTCACCTATTACCCGAACTCGATCGAATCTCAAGTCGTTTACCAGTCAAAAACCGCTCTCAACTTCTTACAAGCGCGATGTTCATCAATTCGATGGACTGTTTCCTTACATACAATCTCACATGTCTCAACGGTACAAACAATCAACTGAATTCGTCATCGATTGTTTTTGGCGATGCACTTCGTCCCAATCTCATTGCGATCGATGAGAGCTCATCAAATGACTTATCAACATCCACAAGTACTCCCGTAGCATCGTCGATACTTGTTTCGGTGCAACATTGTGTTATAACAGTTCTTATACTTGGCACAATCATTCTCTCGACAATAACCGGAAATATCTTAGTTATTGCTGCTATTATCATAGAAAAAAGTCTGCATTCGGTGGCATATTATCTTTTCGTGTCATTAGCAGTGACCGATTTAATGATCGCTTCCATGGTAAGTGAGAACTGTCTGCGTTAATGTCTGAATCGTAGCGCGAAGGAAAAACTTGTTTTTCAACTACTGCAATGTGATACGCATTTTAAAAGGCACCCGGAATCATGAATTCTAGTTATCTATTCGTTGAGAACTTGATGATGTGTTAATGTTAAAAAGAAGATTGTCTGTGTTATACAAATAGAAGAACACTGACGAGATTTTCTTCTTGCTTGATTTTACATTCACAGATGTTCGTCATCGAATTGTTGTTTTTCCTTCCCTCCCCCTCTTGAAAAAAAGAAGAAAGTCGAACTTGATTTTTTCATAACGCACATATGTCTGTGATGATTTATATTTCTAAACGATTAACTAAAAAAAGCAATGTTGCCTTCTCTCATTAGCTTGTTCTTCAATTGCCGTTATTCATCGAAGAATAAATAAATATACTCGAGTCGTTGATATGATTGGAATAAGAAGAGATAATTGCTCGTTCGACACGATGTTCCATTTCAGACATAGACAAACGGTCAGAATTACAGTCAAGTTGCTTGGTATCGAAGAACAGAACTCCGTTCGACGAACAAAAGACAAAAGCTGACACAGACAGTAGTAACCAGGTTAGCTAGTCGAATTCAATCTGTTTTTGTTGTTAGCATTAGAGAAAGTGATGATCGAGATGGATAGAAAGCAGAAAAACAATTTCGTTTCGGCTCGTTTCTCCTCTATTTCCGTCGTGCTTGGTCGCAATTTGATTTTATTATGATGATTATTATTATTCAATACCACGCACAATTTTCCTCTTATTGTATCAGCCTAGAGACAACGATGATTGCGTTATATTTTCTCTTTTGTATCTTCTATTGTGTTCGTTGTGAGACAATGGAGTCAAAAGAGAAAACAAACGCAATGCTGACCGAGATATTGTCATTCGCAAATACAGTTACCTTCATTAAGCGCTTGTGCATTTACATAGACAAGTCGAGAAAACAGAAAAGAAAAAGGGAAACATTAGCATTCGAGATGAGGCATGTTAGCCGTTTGATTAAACATGTCGATCAACAATAACAGCAAAGAAAAGTTAGTCAGTCGAATTATCTGCTTGTCATTCAATATTAGCATCTTTTTTTTTCTCAATCATTATCCTTGAGAATCTTCTGACGAGCAAGAAGAAGAGGATTTATTTCTTGTTTATACTGGATAAATATGTACCTCATTCTCTAACTCATGCGTACATTCATCAGTCTTTGTCAGTCAAGTGGATATATCATAAAAAATAAATAGATTCTCGGAGATAAATTTTGCATTCAAGCACAAAGATAAGAGCTATACTGATTGTTTTGTTGAATGTTTATAACAATGTCTATCAACAAAACCTATCAACTTGCTTCATTTCCTGTCAAGTGTTCTTAATGTGAATACAAATATTAGTTAGAAGGAAATGACAATTGGGTGCTTAGCAGATGTCTTCCCTAATAGTGGTGTATGTCAAGACAAAGTCAAGGAGATACAAATCTTGATCTAATTAAATCGATCTGAATGAGCACATTTTCTCTTCTCTAGGTTATGCCAATTGCTGTCTTGAAAGAAGTGACACGTTCATGGGTGCTTGGCTCTGTTATATGTGACATTTGGGTTGCAATCGATTTATTGTGTTGCACAGCTTCAATTTTACATCTTCTTGCTATTGCACTTGATCGTTATTGGGCTATTACTAATCGTAAGTGACTGTTATTGTCACTAATCAAAAATGATAAATGTCTTTGCGGAATATTTTTTTTTCTCTTCTCATTCAATTGTGACCGAACGATACGTGTTATAGTCTATGAAACACATTGAGGAAAAAAGTCAGTGTTTATTATTGATGACTACAGGAGAATTTCGTCTTTGAAAAGTAGTTTTATTGGCATTGACACGGTGTCCGATACAATATGTACCATGTCATGACAAACCTGTAGCACACAGGTAGATGATTTGTAAGCATCAAGGAAATTCAGTTGACATTTGTACGATGATAATTAAGTAGGTCGTTGCGCGCTGAAAGACTCATCCGTTTAGAGGTGTTGCAGTACGAGATCGAATGTACTTTCGAATCTATTTCTTTCTTTCTTTTTTTTATAGTGGACTATGCGACAAAGCGTACACCACTTCGTGTTCTTATTCTCATATGTGTTGTATGGATAACTGCGATTCTTATATCAAGTTGCCATCTCCTACCGATATTTCGTGACAAACGCCGTCGTCCCGCAGATCAATGTCACATAACTGGCAATGTACTCTACACACTTTTTTCAACTGTCGGAGCTTTTCATATTCCATTGATTGGTATGTGTATAATCTATTGGAAGATTTTTCAAGCAGCGAAATTTCGCATACGTCGAAAAGCATTCAATGTCAACGCACCGACATCTCCTGCACTGCAACATCAGCAACATGAAACAATGCCACCTTCGCCATCGTTAACACCCAAGCATCACATCGATCTACGAAAGTCGCCATTGAATCGTTTAAAGTTTTTGAAAAGACATCAGAATGGAAATCATCATGGACACGACATTGAGGCTGATAATCCATCGACATACTCACTACCAGCAACGCTTCATAATGATTATCCATTAAAACCATTAAAAAAGGCGGCGACACCAATATTAAAACGTAATCATAAGAAAAAATCGGAGGAAGATCTGCATCAGCAAACCAACCACTTTCTCGCCACACCAGGACGTTTAAGAACGACAGAATCGTTTACTACTGATCTACACATGCCTATCCACACTATTCATAATCCACTATCGATACCAAATCCGTCACCATCAGGTTCACCCCGTCTGCATGATACACATTTAGTTGTTACTGACGTGAATAGTACTTCGATAGTGAAATCTGCTGCGGCTATTTCGCGGAAGAAAATCGACATAAAACGTGAACGTAAAGCTACGAAAGTTCTCGGCGTTGTTATGGGTTGTTTTATTCTCTGTTGGCTCCCGTTTTTCATCGAAGAAACTGTCTGTGGCATATTTCGACTAACTATTCACGAAAAGATAATCAGTGTATTGACGTGGCTAGGCTATTTTAATAGTCTGTTAAATCCTGTGATTTATACAATCTTTGCGCCTGATTTTCGACAAGCATTCGGAAGGATTCTTTTTGGAAAATATCGTAAGCGACGATGAGCAACACTTCTTTAATGTTAATATTACTTAAACACTGTTTTTTCTTTAAGTATATGCATATATACCGGTTGTTAAAATAATTTCCTTTATCTTTTTCTGATGCATATTTTTATTCAATATAAAGTTATTTATCTATGAATAATTTTCCTACAGAGATAGCTGATCGAGGCACTGTCTGTGTAAAGAATGAGAGATAGAATTGATTCACTCGTTTCTGAACTCATTTTCGTGTTTGACTTGCCTCTGCTGACAGGAAAACAAACAATTGCAACGTTTGACGTAATTGTTACGCGGACAAATTCTCACCTCGACAATATTTCTCAAGAACCTCCCTGTCTAATTGGATTTTCTTGTGCAAGACGTACGATACTTGAAATGATGTTAAACTCAAGAGAGCTATCTGTAACAGATATGCACAAAATGTTCATTCATGTGTCAGGTAAGTTGCAAGTTGTTTAAAGTACTCTTCGAATATAATTAAAATCTGCACAGAAACGCCTCTTTGTCTCTTTCTGGGAAAAAAGAAGAACTATCAAAGAGAAGAAAAAGCGGTTCAAGGCGTCACTTATCGTACATATAAAAATTCTTTCATCCCGCTCAGTAGCAGCATAAACAACTCATTTCAAAAGGTAAGACAACATCTCACCGCCTTCGCAGTTCGATGGAAAAAGCCTTGTCTTCGCCGCCTTTTCTTTCTCGAGAACAAATATATTTCCAACAATCTTCTTAGTTGTAAAAATTGTAGTCGGTTTTAAAGCGAGGATTTATCTGTCTAAGTAAATAAACTCTTTTTCATTCAAATTGACTATTCGCATTTCGAGTTCTGTCATTTGTTCGACAGTCAGGCAAGTTAGCTGTTCGCTCGAACGACACCGAACTGAGAATTTAATTGAGAGAAGATGACTGTTGCATTTGATTTAGATCAAAATGGCATCCTGCGTTACGAAAACATTGTGGATCCTTTTATTCATATTCACTCTTGCTCAATGCATCACCGCTTATCGTTTAACCGAAGAAATCGATATCCAAGAACCAGCAACAATAGACTCGGATTCAGCAGTGCCCATACACAATGATGTCCGAAGTGTTTTATGGCCCAAGATCTGTTTTCCAGCATTGAAAAAGCGAGATGGACACGAAATTACACCGGATGGTCGTCTAGTCAGAGTTGCAAGCCGAAGCGCACGGAAATGCTACCCATTTGATAAATGATCAAATCAATTTCGACCATCAAGAAATTCATCGAACAGAAATATGCGTAGACATGTATTCGATGTTTGTTCATGATTAAATACACAGTTCCAACCACCCTTTTTTCTCTCAAATTTCCTAAGCTTCTAGTGCAAAATACATTCGAAAAGGATAGTTCTTTGATGTTCGTTTTTTTCGACATTATTCTCAGTAAAAATACATGCCAATCAATAACTCCTCAAAGTCCACGAACGTTCACTCTCCTTGCGTTACTCTATTTAATTAGCAGAAGATGATGTTTGTTCATCTGTGTATAATCAATGTTAATTAAAATCTTTTAAACTTAGCCGGTATATTGAACATATTGTTTCCATGAAAATATACTTTGTTTTCCAACATAATGATGCCTTCGAGAAGTGCGCGAACTTCTCAATCACTCGATATAATTACGGTTCATCTTCAGCCCACACTCATTACTAAACTCATTCGAATAGAATGAAGTCGTGCTCATAGTTATACGCATGCATACTTTGTCTTCCACCTTTGCCAATAGTGTTTGGTTTTACAGTGCGGTACAGGCAAAAAGAACACTTCCATCGGTTCAATCCGATTATGCATGTCTATCTGTCAAATGGTTTATGTTTTTTTAGCAACTAAATACAAAAAAAAACGATGTTGATATCTTAATTCAATATGTGCATGTGTCTTTACTTTTGTTAATATAGATAATTGTCGAGATTATTTCTTCGCCAATCTTTGACTTTGGTCGATAATCTATTTCGATTGACTAGAAAACGACAACAGCTAAGTTATTTAAGCTGTCAGCAACGAAGAAACTAAAGACAACTGTTTCCATGCTTAGATCATCGGATGGAACTATGCAGAAATCTTTCCGTACATCAGTTGAATTGCTCGACTATTGAAAAGATGTATCTAAGTGTACCGAGTAATTGAATAGATTACGAAATTGAAGGATGCATTTATCGGGAAGGTCAATAATGATTGGTAGCTCATAGAAATCAATTGTGACTGGATTAGATTAGATTAAACGTTGTTCAGAGTTATTATTGCATCTTGAACTACTTCTCTTCTATAGTCACTAATGATGTCCGACGGAAGGAGAGTTTAGCTAACCTTTTGACAGTCAATCGATCATATGTAGTCACAAATGATGAATGGAATTTGTTTTGTTTGACAATCTGTTGGCAACAATGGATCTCTCTAACATACATGAAGGTCAGTTAGTTTTGATGAATCAAATGACGATATTTTCGTTTGAAATCGAACTAATGAACCCTTATTGACAAATGATAAGAGTAAAAACTTGTTAGATCGAAATGATTGTTTTGTCTTGTGTCGTTATTTTTCCTTTTTAATTTGATCAAAATCAAGAAGAACGATAAAAATGCTCATATATCTACCCGAACATTCATTCATTCACATCATCATATGTCTCGCGGCTAGATAGCAAAGCAACGTAGGTTGCTGTAAAGAAGGAGAAGAAGAATTTATCGTCCTTTCCTTCCCTCCCCCCCCCCCTCTCTCTCTCTGTCGTTTGTGCATAGATCATAGTTCGAAATTGATTGTTCATTCGCTCTTTATTCTACAAATTGCGCCATATATAAACGATTAGACTATCTCGAACCGATTTGCTAGTACATGTCATAAAAATTGATCAATCGAGACAACAGACTTTCACTCGCATATGTACATAGGTAATGCCGAATGATAGATTATTTAGAGAATGCTTTTGAACTGCCGGTCGTTTTAATGCCTTTTATTGATAATCAATTGACCGACACCGCGATGTGAAAGTTGATAGTTCTACTGCCTTAGATTCACCTTATCTAAGCTGGATACATTTATCTAGTAGGCAAACTTACATGTTGGCAGAGGAAACAAACCGTATTAGTTGAATGTGCTCTTTCTTTTCTCAAATAATCCTCTAAATAATCGGTCAGCTTTACATCACATCTTTCATAATATTTGATTTTCTAGCTTTGTTCTTCTCATATGGTAAATTATGTTAATGCATAAGGCCTAGGGTGAGTATGATCATAGTCGTTGACGATTATTAACATCGCTCGTTTGATGTATAGACGTTTTAGTGGGCGATTTCGGAGACTGTATTTCGGCTTTCTTGGACAATAGAATGATACTTCAGTCGAGTCGACTCGTTCGTTTGCGTAGATGAGATTTTATTTTAAATGACTTGATACATCATTTTAACGAACTCGCGTCCGATTTCGAATGGTTATGAAAATGTAATAGCGGTATACATACAATCGCCTCTTTTGAAAAAAAATGAAATGATAAAATATGAAAAAAAGCATATGATGATGACCTGATTGCGTTATATGATTTATTGAATGACGTTTTCTTTTCTTCGCTACTTTGACAGCTTTGATAGGAGACATTTAGAAGAGTCATTTATATTTTATTCACAACTTATTCTGTCTGCTAATATTTAAGTGTGCCGACGTAGTTTGTCGAACAATTATCGTCTCTCGTCTATCATTTCAAATGATATTAATCAATGAGATATAGGTATATTCGCTGATTTGATATGGTGAAGACAAAAATACTTGACAAAGAACACTTGTCGGTAGCGTCTAGAGAAGCAAAACAGCAACAACAACCTAAAGGTCATCAAGAGATTTTTATCTATGCGTATGTATAGGTCGATTCTTTTTCTTTTTCATGTCCTTCTCGAATCGTGCGCGGTCGTTCTATCCGATTAAGAATAACCTTGAAGAGGGAAGGAAATCATTCATTGAAGAAAATCTCAATAATCACTGTTAGCGAGGGTGACGGATAGTCCGTGCCTTTTCTCTCCGGCTATATACTTGATTGCTTTTTTGTCATGGGAATTAAGGAGTCGTCACATCTGCTCAGATGACAAATGATAATCGCGGGCGAAAGCCATCTTTTTCGACATATTGATCATCGCAATCTTCTGATAGGAATCTTATTTATCTACCGAGCTGGTCTTGTCTGATTAATTTATGTTAATGTATTCTTCTTCGACGCAGGACAATGACGAATAGTGTTGTTTTTGGTATGTCGATGAGATTTGTCAAGATATGAGAACAATGGCGAAAAAAAAATAATCCTCGACTAATTAGTTTTAACAAGCATTTTATCCACGATCAAGCAAATGACCTTGACACAATGATCTTTTTTTGAAGAATGTGTGAACATCTAATGAAGTATAATTGTAAATCTGATCGTCGTCGTCTATCACCATGATTGTGAATAGAAACAACAAAGAAAAGAGGAATTAAGCGTGTCACGTTTGAGTGCAAGTGATTTGTACCATTTAGTTCGCAGTCAGAGATGAAACATGGCATGATAAGGAGAAAGCTACAGTTCCGATGCGATAATCATAGACAGCAGTTGTCAATTAGCAGCGTTATGTGTCATATTTTTTTCATTTTTTTCAGATTATCAAAGCCAAGAAGGATGTTTCTTGACATTATCATTTAATTAATTTATACATATACATACTTACAAGAGATGAATGATCCGAATTCAACTCTTCATTGTGTGTCGTCACCAAAATCATCTGGGTAAGTCATTTCTATTCAACACACTTTCACTTCTATGCTGCGTATATTCTCATCGTTACGAAAGGACAGACGATACTTACTAAATTAAAAAAGCAAGTTCACATTGAAATTTGATGAAAATAATTTGAAAAAAAAAACTTAATGACTAGAGGACCTTTTTATTGTAATGATGATGAATTGGACAGAATATACATATATTTTTATGTAAGCACTTTCACGATGTTAATGTGTTATAGGCCAGATACAGCATAAAGTAAGACGAGTGGGAGAGAAAAAAGAAAGGCAAGCGCATTTGAAAATAAATACGTATGAGAACATTATGTGACCAGAGTACATCGTATACAGTGGCAAGATTTGAGGATAGAAGAACTGTTTACATGAAAAGTAACAGGGGGTTCGAGACTAAAACTGACGAAGGACGTCATAACTCATAGAACAGAATCGCAACAAGGAGAAAGAGAGAACGAGTATGTACGAAAAAAAAATCGAAGAAATCATGTATAGACAATATTCCTGAAGAAAACTAGCAGAAAAACGTTTTCTTTTCTTCGAGAGCAGAGCGGAGAGTTCTATGAAAAGAAACCATATAGAATAGAATCAGATCTCTCATGTACGTCTTCATTATTAACATTCTCGACGATGTTCATCATTTAATAGTGAAGAATACTCAGCGACAAGAGACTAACATCTATTCGAATCAGTTCATCTGACCTTGTTCATCGAACAAACACCAGCTGGTACTTAACGAATTAGAATGTCAAATTCTGTCGTCGATAACTAATTCAATCCTTGAGCATTTTTATCGTATATATCGATATAATATTTTCTATCTTTCGCTCTAATCGTCTAGTCAAATAAAATTTCTAATCAATGTCTTAATATTCTTTCGTTTAACCATCTTCATAACGGCAAGATTTATTGTCTTGATTAACCAGTATTCTTCTTCGATAATTAGACATTTCAATTACCATTGTACATATGAAAGAGATACATTCACCTGAGCCATCTTTCGGGGGCAGGGAAGAAGGTCGTGTCAATTCATCGTTCGTCACTTTTTTTTTATTTTCACTAGAAATAATCATTGTCGTCATCTGTTCGAAATTATCCGAGGGCCAGCTTCTTTCTCGTTGCTCATTAGTACACACGTAGGTGTGCATATGTATACAATGAATTGCTCGTTTTAGACGTAATCAAAAGCGACAAGAATTTTGGAATGGGACACTTGTAGATGATTACAATTTTCTCATGTCGGAAGAATTGATTTGTCATTGTAAAGTAAGATACGAATATTCCGGAAAATCTGTGTATATCGTTTGGTTGTTTAGAGTTCTTTCGGCGAACCATTTACTTCTTTGAATGATCTTGCAGTTCATCATGTGTCTTACAATGAATTTGAAAAGCAATACGTCGAATTGTCGGAATGGTGTAGCAAAATCTCCAGTATAGTCACGCAGATTTCCTCGAATACATTGACTTGTTATCTTCGACAAGTAGGTGTACTTTGGAAAGTCAACATCCGAGAGAGAAAGAAAACGATTTCGATTTAGAAATATTATGAAGAATTGTATGAACAAGGTCTAATGCGTTTGAGGATGTTCAATCAGTATGCGAGTAAACTGATTGAACGTTTTCCTGAAATCAAACTTGTCATTGAGAAGAAAATGGAAATGATTTGTCAGATATGGAATGACCTCGAAGCGCGTTTTATTGGTTATTTAGACGAAGATTTCGATCAAATTGTTCAAGGTTTGTTGAACAACGATCAACGCTGTTCGCCTCTCATCACGCCTATAATGTTTTATTTATCGTAGATTTACATAATGAATTATTTTTATTCGAAGAATGGATTTATGAAATAGAAGAACAATTAATTCGATTGAATTCGAATCGAAACGAGAAGATTTTATCGGATGATATTCAAGACTTAACGGTAAAAACGAATTCATTAAACTTTACCGAAGAAACAACGAGTGGGACATTTCGTTCATTTAGAAATTGCAAGAAGAAATCAAATCGAAAAACAGCGGAATATCATCTGTCATTGAAATTTGTCAACGACTAAAGAAAGATTATCACGAGCAAAGCAACAGAATTCCGATCGATTACGCCAGTGATCTTGAAAATAAATGGCATCAGATATGGATTAATGCAATGGAAATACAATGTAAATTAGAAGAACGACTCAAAGTAAGAATATCTATTTTCATATTTGCGATGTGCCTATCAAAAAGAGAGAGAGAGAGAATGTGATCATTTACGACATACATATTCGAAAAAAAAACACGAGCTAAATCACAAATGTAACTCATGCCATTTACCCATTTTCTATCCAGTCGTTATGTATTCGACATGTCGTCACTTCTCAAATGACATGCACGTTCACGATGAAGAAGACAGTAACTAGTAGCATGAGGTATTCTACAAAGAACGTATTCGGTTAACTAAGAAAATGACCTGTGGTTGTCATTTGCTTCTCCCTCTTCTCTTCTCATCAATTATAAAACGCAACCATTCAGATTTCTTTTGCTTACATCTTGTGTTACGTTACTTTCGTTTCTCTCTTTTTCTTTTTGTGTTCACTGTCTAATCATTCCATGCCTCATATTGACTTGATGAAATGGACGGAAGAAAACGTTTTTTTACTTATGATAATTGCCGTTTTCTATCAATTATATGGTTATTTTAAGTAAGTTTTCATTTGTTGCTGTTGAAATGAAATCGAGAAGTATCAAAATGAAATTAAACACACATTAGAACGCTATGTTACCTGACACATTTCAAATAAAATGTAAAAGGAAGAGAAAATTGACGGCGAACTTGCGCCTTTTTTCTTCTTCTATTCATAGAAACTTATTAATTATTACTTTACATTACAATTGAACAGGCCACTAATAATAAATAATGGTCCTTCTGTTCCTTGTCTTTGTGTCTAAGAATAATTCACAAGTATCTGGCAAGTTGATCTCTTTTGTTTCAATAAGAGAACGGCCGATCTGGTGCGTTCAGCAAATGATTGACCGACATTTATCATAAAGAATAAAGGAGAAGCAGAAGGAAATGATGTTCATCTTCGAGATTGTGTCAGCTTGTTATTTATGCTTGTGTTGGCATATGTTCGCTACTCTTTTCGTTGTATACAGTTTCTTGTTGCTACTTATACATTCAATACTAAAGCATTTCAGTAAACAGTAAAACAATCACCTTCTTACATTTGCGTGCGTGTCATCATCAGAGAACATCGTTCATTCGAGTTTCTTTTCTTTCTTAATCGTCTGCTCAGTGAATAGATTGTTTATCGAAGAATAACAATAGATTTGCTTGTGTGTTTAGGAGACAAAAAAAAAGAAAATTGAAGTCGCGTCATAGCAGCAGTAGACAGACATCATAATTGGATACATGCGTAGACAGGGAGAGGGAGGGACGACAAGAAAAACGAAAAATAATTTTTCAATCAACTCTCTTTCTCTTCATCGCCTGCCTTTTTCCTTTGTTCAGATATAAATAGAATCATGGTCACTGGCATTGATTTATATTAGTTAATGCAATAAAGATCGATAGACTTGTCGAATAACAACATATTATTGTCGATGACCATGAAAGTCGTTTTGTTCAAGTATGTTCTGTGTTAAGCATATTACTCATAATAACTCGTTTTCTCCTGTCAGATTTACACCTATTATGGAGTTTTATATCCCTTCCTTTCTTGTGTGTGTGTGTGTATACGTATACGTCATAATGCTAGTCGACGGATTTGCGCTTGGATACTATTGCTTATTCGTTGAGGAGAAAATGAATGGATGACTGAATGAGTGAGTGATGATAACAGTACAACGACGAAGGCTGATATAGCCTGTCAAATGGACAGAGAGGAAGTATAGTAGAAATAGAGACATTGGTTACATAAGCGCCCTTTTTTCTCCTCAATTCATATTCTCGAATTTCCTTCTGTACTCGTTCTTGCTTAATTGAACATTGTATGTTCCCTCCGAGTAACTAGAATATCAGTAATATATACAGGTGAAGACAACACCGAAGAAAAGAAAAAGTTCATTAACCTTCACTGAAACTATCATTTAAAATCGTGCAAAAATTTGATTTTCAATTTCATTTGTCTTCTTCAGCAATCAACTTCACTTTGCTCAACTGACGACGACGACATCATACCATTCAATTCAAGTGAATACGAGAAAATTTCCTTAGCTTCATCCAATACAAGCAGTATTGAACATCTCCACACATCCGTCTGCAATCGAAAACGCCCGAGATCGCCTGATATTAAACCAAACATTTGTACGATATCGATCCAATTCAATCAACCGATGGCCAAATCTACTCAACGAATGTCACTCACGGTCTTACCAACTCTTTCTCCTTCAACGTTTTATTATTCGTTGACAAATATCAACGATTATGATGATGATACTGGCATGCGAAAAAAACAGAAACGAACGTCGTCGAAATTGGACATTGGCTATGCGAGTGGAGATGATTTCGAGAAAAAGTCTTGTTTTCTAAGAAAGAAAAGTCACAGCGACTATTCAATTCACACGAAACCAACAAATCTTATTTTGTCCAAACGAATACATTCATTACCATCGTTTACTTGCAATCAAGTCTTGCCTGAATGGTGGCGACATTCTATTACATCAGCATACGATACATGTTCAAATCCGGATATCGACACAAGTATCGAAGAAAAGAAGAAATCATCGAAAAAGCCATCACTACTAATCTACAGTAAAAAATATACGAAATTTGAATCGAAAACATCAGCCACATCGAATTCGTACGATGCCAGTGGAGAATATACAGATGCCGATCAATCGGAGAATGATGTCGATGCTTTGTCATCGTCATCGCCGACGCATTACTATCGAAATTCGGAAGCTTTATTTTACAATCGTTATACTACAACAACGACAGGTTATTCGTCCGATATTGAAACGACAACAAATCCATCGGAGATCGAACATGAACAATCATCGTGCACAGGTAGGAGAAGAAAAGCAAGAGATGCGAACGCTTATTCTGTCTGAGAACAAGTTCCAATCAGCCGAAGAGAATGTATTCAGATAATATATAAGCATCGAATCAACATTTCATACGAAGTGTAACCGATAGAAAAACTCTCAGCAACTACAGATGGTCGTTTTACTTTCATAAAAGTAACTTAATGATACATTGTTGAACAAAATGATATTCGTGTGATTGATCTATTCTATTGTTTGTAAATCATACTGATATTATCAATCGTATACCTTACTTTCAACTACTACTAATAGTGTTCGACTTCAATAACATTTTTTTTGATGATTATCGTGTATCCTTTTGTCTTCTATTGATATCGATCGAATAGCAAATTGAGATCGTATCTCATCGTGCGTTTCGCAGAACGTTGATTTCATTATGCAAACGTAATTTTCGAAATAGTTCTTATTGACTTTTCGATAATAGGAAGAGAATGAAAGGCTTAAACTTTTTACTGCCTCGAAGAATGGCAATACTAAAGATTACATCATATCTTTATTTTCTTTTATATCCCATAGGTGAAGTGTCTCAGATGAACAGTGATAAATTAACTCTCCCATCAACAGTTATTTCAAATGGTATGTTTCTCTCTTCGTCCTCTCAGCATCGATCTCGTTATCTGTTTTGTTTAGGAGGTGAATCGCTCACAACAGTAACTACAACTGATAAAATAGAAGCATCGGAACCATGTTGGGATGGTTATCAAGTAAATCGAATGTTTGTCTTCGTTCTGTTCATCTGTTTTATCTCTTTCAGAGTCCGTTATTCTATCCATTGAATTCTCAAGATATTGATACCATCGAATCGACATTGAAATGGGATGATCAATTTTTCGAAATGGATCAATTGTACAATTCTTCGTCCGATGATGACATACAACATCCGACTGATAATTCCAATCATTTTCTTCGGGTAATACTATTCAAAAATCAATCGTCTAGGGGGAAACCATAGAATAACGACTAGTTATGATAACATCATTACATAAACAGAGTTTTGATTAAATCTTCGTCGATAATCGGACTTTGAAAAGAATAAATGCGAACGTTGATAAGAAGGAGGAGAGGTCACACGCTCATGCTTTCCTTTTCCTAATTTGTGCCCTATTGAGCACAACAGTTCTAACCAGACACATTACTCATTCTAATGAGAGATATGTACCAATGCAGATAATTTCCCTTTTTCTTTCTTTCAGTTCTATAGGAAATGAAAGGGCATGGAAGAAACTACGATGAACTTTCTTTTCATCATGTATGCGTACAAAAAAAAAAGGAGACATCGAGTGCCATTGGTAATTAAAGGTGATGAGAAATACGGTCGTTGTTTCTCCTTCAGTCTGAGTCGAATTTTGTCGAAATGATTTCAATAGAACTTTTCTTCATCGTTAATAAACGATGAAAATTATATGCAATTAAGTGTATCATTCTCTACGGTTCATTAAATTTACACCATTTGCATCGAAAAAGTTTGTTGTTTTCTTATTAAGCACTATTAATGTGTTGGATGTTTTGTTTTTCTAATCATGAAGATTATTCATTACTCTCGGCCAACGCACACTAATCATTTTTCCTTTAACCTTTTGTTTTTACATAAATACACCTTTAGGGCTACTTGTAATCCATCCTTCTCATTAATTTCTCTTGACACCCTCAGGAAAAGATCTTGTGCTCATTCTTGATCATATTTAGACAAACAATTGTTCATCATTACTAATCTCGAGATTATCAAATAAGCAACAGTTCGATTCCGATTCCGATCTGGACGATTTCAATTATGTGATTAATGAGACCGAACGACAATTGAACAAAACTCGACAAAGTTTGGAGAAGAAAAAACGCCGACAGCAAGCACCATCCTCATCGCAAACGACTGACCACAGCCAACGAAAACTTGTATTCGTATATATAATACATATCGAGGTTAAGTTGCTCTCATCGTTGTTCTCTTTTATCTAGGACGAAATCCATCGAACTTGTGAAACGAATATTCAGTGCATTCAACAAATTTTAACAAATCTTCATCATTCAACCAATTCTCGTTTGAACAATACACAAGTCATTGAATTACTAGAAAGTATGCATAAATCATTGCTTGTATTAATCATGATAGGCACAATTGTTTTATTTATTTAACATCTGAACACTTTCTTCCTCTCTTTCTTTCACTTGACAATAGCACGAGTCAATCTTTTATTCTTAATCAATTGAATTAAATCAATATGTATGTGCTCGATTACAATAGAATGTACTTTCTCCTAATGTACTCCGAATCTGCTGACCAGAAACAACGGCACGCGGTCGGATATCCATCACTATTGACTTGAAATTGATGATAATTACTAGGGATCTCTCTGTCTGCTGCATATGCTTGTTTTTCCAATCATTATAAACGACGTGTACGATCATGCATGTAGAGACACGTACAATTGCGATCCCTTTCTCTTTCATTCTCTCTTTGCGTGCTTCTTTTTTTCTCCCTCTCTTTTCCTCCCTTATGCGATATGTACTACTACGCTTAAGTGATGTCCTTCGATAAGAAGAAGAAGAAGAAGAAGAAGAAGAAGAGAAACACTACAAAAGTACAACTGCTACTATATCCTCATTGTCGTTAATAAAGAAGAGAAAATTGTACACGTTCACTTATTTCCTTCCTCGGCTAGAATCAGCTAAACCAAATCATGTAAGTCTTTTGTTCGATTACGTCACTAAAGTTCAAAATGTTAAGCTGCTTTAATTATTGACCTATTTGTTCGATTTGACTCATTACTATTATCATCATCGATGTAGGTGACAACTTTCGTTGTCTCTCTCATCATATAGATTCATAGGTTTTATTTAATCTCTCCTATTCGTTACGCCGCACATAAATCTCATTTCACACCATGTGAAACATATCGTCGTATGTGTACATATATATATATACATATATATCTATGTGCAGATGGATCTGTCACTGTTTTGTATATGTTAGATGTATCATCATTACATACTTGTTTCGATAACTTTGGGAGAAATTTCTTTTCTTGTGAAAACAATGAACAATAAGAAGAATATGTTGATTAGAGGTCTAATAACATTCTCATTGTTGATTCTTTATTTCTAGCTTATTTATCTGATTGGTATGCCATGCGACGGCAAGTCAATGATGCTCGACCCTGTTCACGACATTTCCTGTATTTATCTCAAGAACTTATGAAGCTACGTGTTCGTTTTGATGAGCAATTATCTCCTATCAATACAACATTTAATCCTTCATGGTTCGAAAATCATTCATTTGATGAATTAAAAGAACGGATTTATTATGAAATTGAATTAGATAAAGAAAATCGTCAAGTAAAAGTCGATAATCATCGCGTTTACATTCGATCGTCTTCATTTTTTTGTTTTGATTAGAAACTCAATGTATTTTATACCGATCTCGAACAAATTGAAGAAAATTTAAGGAACTATCGTCTGTCGTATCCAGATGGACCATCATCGTTCACCATCGACGAGCAACTGCATAATATACATTTAGCAGTTGATCAATTGACGAATAAGTAAACGCACGTTGATCGATCATATCGATTTAAAACGAAGTCATTCCTTTTAGGATGGATTCCTATCAAATTCAATTGCGAACATTATCGACAATGATCAATAATCTCGTTCCTATTGAATATCACATCGAACAAAAGTTAACAACAATGGATTATCCTGTAAGATTGACTCGATTTGTTGTTCATTTTTCGAAGAAATCTTGTTTTGATTAGAATGAATTTCATGAAGTGCAAACATTAGTCGATAATTACGCTCGAATGATTCCAATGAATGAGTTCTATGAAATTGTCAAACATCATTGTGATTACAAAATGGACATCTATCGGAAAATTTTAAATGATTATATACGCAAACAGGAGAAACACGTGTCGTTTGATGGTTCGATAAATTTCAACAATAACAATTCGACAAATATCAATTCGTCAACATCATCAACATCATCGTCGGTATCGTCGACACCACAGCAACCGTACATGAACGAGTATCATCGAAATAAAACGACCCTTTCGAATAAATTTAGGGCAAAAGAAACGCGAGATAGTCAACGTAAGTTGCATACGCTGCACGTCACGAATTAGTTCGATTTTTTAGCTCTCGAACAATTAGAGTCATCTATCTTGATGTCACGTATTTTATTAGAATAGACAGGGCAAGGTGAAACCAATCAATTTTCGTTTTTTCGATTCGAGCAGACGTAGTCAAAAGGAAAGAGAACTGAGACGGAGAGATAACAATACAGTGATTCATATTCACACCACTATTGTTTTGGGTTTTTTTTTTCTATCATAGAAAATTTCACGGCTAACGAAACATCAAATAAACAAAGTACAACATCTTCGTATATATCTGATGATTGTAAAGTATTGTACATCGAAACAGTTATTGAAGTAGCTAAACCAGTCTACTACGAGCGTACTACTGATACGATAACAACAAAAGATACGCAATACCATCATCACACATCTAACCATTCCCAACGAACAGCCACATTCAATCGAAGTAAATATCTAATGGACAAGAATAACAATCATCATCACCCGCAGCAAGGAGATTCGACCGATGACGATACTTCTAATAAACCGGTGCACATTCTACCAGCGGTTGTACGACGTCATTCAAATAAAAGCCATTCGAAACAACAAGGCGATAGTGGAATTGAATATGATCAGACATCATCATCTTCAACGATATGTAACCAATCAACAATGAAAGATCAGCTACTCTTCCCACCAGCAGCTACAGACGTTGACGAACCATCACCTTCATCACTTCTTCGCAATATAAGAAAACAAACCGAAACGGGTGTTTCTAAACCATCAACACCGATTCATTGGAATCAAACACAATCCTCTCGGAATCGTTCGAAAAACCCATGGTTTCGTTCGTTGTTAGTTGGTCTTTTCATCTTACTCCTTCTATTTTTTGTTTATCTTTCCGGACTTGATCGTTGTTCACGTTCATCCATCATCAGAACTATTGTTCGATCCATCATCTCAATTGAAAACGAAGGTTTACCGACAATTTAACACACATTCTATACATATGGATATATCCGTTTTGTTATTCTAACCATTTTCTTTAGTACCGATTTTTTTCTCTTTTTCTTCTGCAGTTTTTCGTATGCCGCCTTTTGTACAGCTTGTTTCATTGACAACTGTTTATATATGTATTTTTTGTTCTGTTTTTACGATGTGTCTTTAACACAGAAAAAAGCAAAATATCAGACTGGTTGTTTGTTTTTCAAAGAATATATTCTAGACAATGAAGTCGAAAAACAAAAAAAATAGCCGGAATGTGTACGTCTAGTTGACGATCGTTGTTCTACTTCGTACGATTCACGAAAGAACGTAGGGCACGTCATTTTTGCGAACTGATAAGAAAATAAAAACAATCGGTCAAAGATTGACAACATTGTTTCATGTACGTGTAAAGCGCGACTGTCTATATGGTACGAAAGGATTACACAAGAGTCGATCGTTGCCTTTGATGTTGTTTTTCTTTGCCTCGAAACATATGATAACATCATAGCATGTGTTTATTCAATGTAATACAGACATGAATTGTGGCCAAAGACAGTTCAATTTACCTTTACTATGTGAACATTTAAATCGATTAAATCTCCATTCAATCGTTTCGTTTAGAACAGTCGACGTTAAAAGCAAAATAATGTACACAATTCTATCAAAATAGAATTCATCATGTTTTTTTTGTAGAATTTCTTTATTAATTAAACAAAATAGCACAATAGGAACGCGGAATCGATTATTGTGTTTGATATGCTTTCCAGACAGGGTCATTTCGTTGTGTTGTCAGCCATCTCGGCGAGGGGCTGATTTCTTGGTGATCACCTACGTGATGGCTTGCTCGTCGTTCGATTTCACGTAGATCTCTATACAATTGTGGATCTGTAAACCAATCGTGAAAAAGAACAGTCTAGAGAACACAGAGGAAATGTTCATAACTGTTTCAAAAACTTTGTTTCGCTTACATTTGATTTAGCACGTAAGTTAATGTCAACTACTAAGAGGTGTTTATCGATGAGATCTTGAGCGAAGTCGGACACATAGGCCCAGCGTTCATCGTGAAAAATGGCTTTTCTTTGTTCGATAATTTTGTTATAATTAGAACAATCTTTCTCAGAAAACGGTAGAGTACCAGATAGAGCAGCATACATGACGACACCTGCACTCCACATATCAGCTAATCGATTATAGCCAGGTTTTGGATTGTGCATTTCAGGAGGACTGTAAACTTTCTAAAAACAAAATGACTAGTTCGAATGACATTGTTCCGTGTATTCGTCTTACCGTGCCCGCAAATGTTTTACGAAAAGAGTGTTCTCCGATGACTCTCGAGTACCCGAAATCAGCTAGTTTAACAAGAGGGAAGTCGCGACGATGATCGATGCCATTTGGCATTTGCTGACCGTTCGTCAGTGGTACCGGTTTAAGTAAACATAGAAGGATATTTTCACATTTGATGTCCAAATGAGTACATTCATTATCATGAAGATATCTTAACGCGACGATGACCTGATAGATGAGCATTTTGGCTCCTTCTTCGTCGAGGTAGCCATTTTGTTGCTTCGTTATGTATTCACACATGTCCGTCTGCAAACGCTCAGTAACGATATAGAGAGCATTGTGACGTTCGTAATAGGCTTCCAATTTGAGAATATTTATCTATAATGAAGGTGAATGAAATCTAGGTTTAGTTTGTTATGCGTGATGACACACTCACATGATTGAATGTGTATAAATGTTGAACCTCATCATTGATTCGTTTGATTTCTTGCTCACTGCAGTTGTCTTTTTCAATAATTTTCACAGCTCGCGGCTCTTTAGTTGCTTTTTTTATAGCTCCAACTACTCGTCCAAAGGCACCTATTGTAGCAAGAGCACGATAGGAACACGTTTTACTGCTTTTTTTGTCACTTACCCTGCCCAATTTTTTCTCCAGTTAATATATAGCGATCGTGCAGTTCTGCTTCTCCGAGTTGAAAGATACTTTTCGTAACCTGTAGCTTACGTGGACGATCGACATCTGACTTTGGACTAGTTGTCCTAGGTGTTGAATTGTTAGTCGATGTTGACGCAGCCGAAGATGCTGAAGACGAATTTATCGATGCTTCCCATTGATCTCGAATGGACATATAGAATTGAGCTGTTTCCATTTGTAACCCTCCTGAGTCTGTTTTCTTCCCAACACTGATGATAAACTTGTTACGTATGTGAATTTCAAATATACTGTCACTGTGCGGCATTCGATCGGTCAGAACCAGATCTTGGATATCAACGAAAGAGAATACCAGGTCATCGTTACTTGGGATTATCTTGTCGCCGGCCACATGTTTCGTTGATAAATTTGTTGACATACTTATTGCGCTTGGTGTTAGACGAAACAGGTATCGTCTATAGTTATTTGTATTACGAATGCAGGCTGGGAAGATACCTTTATCAATAATGGTAACAGAACTAATATCCGCCGATGCTTCTTTGACAGAGGGTATGAGATTACGAGCCGACTTGGGTGTATCTGCCGAGACAGAGTTTCGAGGAAAGGGATTGATAATCAACAACACGGGCACTGCTTTTGCAGCTTTATTATTCTGATTTTGATTTTCGGCGACTGGGCAGTCATCTTCAAGAAATGGTGCACAGTCTTTGTGGAATGCAAGCCGACATTTGCTGCAGCGGTATCCTTGCTTGTAAAGACCTGCAATAAAACGTGTGCACTTCGCACAGAATGTCGGCACATGAAATTGACATTCGTATAGACAATGAGGTCTATCATCGGACTCGACCGGTACTAAGATAATCTCGACCAAGGAGTTTTGTTCCACGTCGGCCGAGCAACGAACCGGTGTGATCTCAAAATCGGATGAGGAAATACGATATAAATTGAGCACAAATCGGCCATTAGGTTTGGTATTCTTCGCAGAACTGAGAATTTCTGGTATCCACTTTTCTGCATCGCCATAAATCTGTTCTATGATAGGATTGGCTGGATTCGTACCCGAATATTCCCGATCAGTTTGGTGTAAGCCATACTTTAACGTCGTCTGTATCGTGCGCGCGCTTAAACTAGCGTACACACTGACTCGCTGCTGCTGTTGTGACGGCGCTGGTGTGTTTGTAGCCATTGAGTGATGAATGAGACTATTTTCTACACAAAATTTGCCCAAAAATTATAGATGATGAAGATTTCTTCTTATATTTCAGCACTCACCAGTCGTGTTATATTTACTTCAATTCCTTTTATATTATTCTTTATTTCAACGCGAATAGTTACATGGTATTCAACTGTTTAACTAGTTTATATATATATATGCATACAGGTGATGTTTTCGCCACATAAAAATACTTGGCATGTGCCTTCGTTATTTTCGAGTTGGAAGAACGAAAGAAAGACGCACTAGATTATTAAATTTACAAAGCAAAAAAGTGAAGACAGAAAAGGAAAGCAAGATGTGTGACTTTTGAAAAAAAGACGTCAGACCGAGACATTTGCGGTGTTTCGTTGCAATAAATTACTGAGATAAAATGTTGAAAACAACCGTTTGACTCATGCTGTTTTTCTTCCTTTTTCTTTCCCCCTCAACTACGCACACTGCCTGTGTGACATTGTCAAGTATACTTTCAAAAGTCATATTCTCCGTTCTTTGCACAAATCAGATTTTTGAGATACATAGATATGACTTAGCTATTCCAACGAAATGAAATCACTGATGGCTATAGCTGTGAACGGATAATACCTATGATTTCATTGCGCGTATTTCAGTAAGTACAAATCAGACTGTCTGTTTCACGTGTTATTTTCTCGCTTACACATCGTGACAGACAGAAAACAATCAAGCTTAATTACTTAGTCGCTAATTGACATTAAAAAATAAAAAGCAACGATGTGTGAAAACATTTGTTGAATCTGTTCGTATTTCGACGAAGAATTCAATCATTCGAAAACAACAAATAAAACAATATTTGCTCAAAATGCATCTTACATTTTGACATGTTCGTTGTAAAAATAGAATGTTAAATTTTTCTCGGAAAAAAATTGTTTATTACCAACGATAAGAAGCCAAGAAACTTACCATTGTAAAGGAATGATTTTATTTTTCGACGCTTAACTGCCAAGCCATTGCTGAGATGCTTAACTCGATTGCGTTCGATGCAACTTGTAGTATCGAATAGCAGTAATAGGATTTCATGTTAATCCTTGCATTTGCCACACGCAAAAGTGAACTTATTTAATTATGTCTGCTCTACATAAACTTGAAAATCAGTACTAGTTCTATGTGACCATGTAGCCGTGAAATGTTGACCATTTTCACCGAAGAAAACAAAACATTCGTTTCATCTTTTGCAAATATACTCTCTTATAGGAAGAGAAGAAAGATTGGAAAAAGCATACGAAGGAAGTAAAAGAACAGAACTATGATTATATAACTAACACATTAGTAAGAATCCAGTATTTCCAAGTATCAACAGACGGTAAGCAACTGGGTAAATGTCGAATATGAACGTATTCGTATTTGTCTGTGAAACTTTCTCGACTTTATGAGCTTGAATGTCCTTATGATCGATCGTAAAGATTTTACTACACATGTCGTTAGATCAGCGAACAATTTAATAAACACTTTTAACCCTTTCCAGCCGGATGTATCCATTTGGATATATTAAGTCAATATTTTGCGAAGAATTAATTTATAGTAACGATATCAAAGTTTTTGACAGTTTTACAATTAAGCTAATAGATTTTAACACCCATTCATGCGTTTAACAAAAGAAAACACCCGGTTCCGATCGCCATGTCCCAAAATACCATCCGTTCAGAAAAAATAGTTTCCTCGCGTCTTTCAATAATCCAACTTCGAACCAAGTAATTGTAAATTTTCCCTCACAGATCCAATCTCTATTGCGCTATTAAAATGGATTTTTCAAAACATCCGAACGATAGAAAATCGAGATGTATCCATTTGGATGCATTCGATCATTAGGGAACAAAACCTATGGGAAACTTTTTTGATTTTTTGCATACTAAAATTAAATATTTCGCATTTTTATGAAATCTATGCTTGTGCACGTAGCCAGAATATTTATGCCTATCCATATATTGCAGACCAAAGGTTCTCCAGTACGATAGAACATTAGCTCAGTGAGCTAGGCAAATTTCTCGAAATTTACGGCTGTTTTAAAGAATTTATGAACATTCTATGGTATTGAGACCTAGACTATTACGAAATATGTAGAAATTCCATAGAATTTCTTTGAAGTTCAAGAAATTTCCCTAGCTCACTGAGCTAATGTTCTACCGTATTGGAGAACCTTTGAATATTTTTTGAAATATTTAAGCTTTGGTGTGCAATTGATATAGATAGTCATAAATATTCTGGCTACGGGTACAAGCATAGGTTTCATAAAAATGCGAAATATTTAATTTTAATATGTAAAAAACCGAAAAGTTTTCCAACGGTTTTGTTCCCTAATAATCGGATATATCCAAATGGATACATCGTGCTCTTTAATACGAAAACGGGTTTTGGTGAGGGAGAACGAACTTTTCTTATCTCTATGGGCCTAGAAGAAAGATAAATGATCGAAAGTTTTTTCCCCTCCGTGTCTTCCAATAACCGGCTGGAAAGGGTTAATGATCTTGAATATCAGTAAGATATTTCGATGCTCTTTTATTGTAAATTTGAGATGTCAGCCCTACGACTATAGATGCCATTGCATTATTGTGCTTCAATTTTAAAAAAAAAGGAATGGAGCTTTCTTTTGGCCAATGAGAATTATGCATAAAATCCCCATGTCATCTATGTACGGCCAAACAATCGCTGCTCGGAATTTTCCAAGTTACCCTTGATGGCAAAAACCCGTTACATCACTAAGGAGAAATCCGTCTATTAGTGGGGTTCCAGTTTTTCTCAATGGGAATCTCGTTTAATAAATTTTCTTTGCTTATGAAATTTAGAAATTGTGAAAAAAAATGAAATGAAATGACTCACATATTGTTAATCAGTGTGACGCGTTGATTATTTATACAGCAAAAAAGTGTGGAATAATCTTGTCAGTTATTAGGTAATAATAGACTGGTTTTATCGTAGTATACATTGTAGATGATAACACATTTAATGTATTCTTTGATTGATAATGGGTGATTCTTACGATATTCAACGAGGAAATGAGGCAGTATCGGCTGCTTCCACGTCAGAATACACCAAATACGGTTTTAATATCTTCGACATTGAAACGATCGATCCAAGATTCAAATGTTTATTTTGTGAGTTTGTTATTAAGGAGCCTATTCAGCTGGTCGAATGCGGGCATAGAGTCTGCCGAGGCTGCTTCGATATTCGAGCGGCTACGGTAGAAAACGGACGCGTTAAATGCCCCCAAAAAGATTGTAGTGAATTTGCAGACAAAGAACAGGTATAAACTGTCTTGTGGAAGTTTTTAAACCATTATATATCTATGGTTTTCTCTCTTTTCAGGTCATGGAAGACAAAGCGTTTCGTAGAGAACTAGATTCTCTACGAGTCACCTGTAGATTTAAAACCAATAACGAATGTACATGGTCTGGACTACTTAGAGAATATCAAGTAATTTGACTAGAAATTTTATGTAGAATATCAGTAGCCATTCTTTGACTTTTATAGGGACATCTCGATGAAAACCATATACATTATATATGTCCGGATTGCCAGACACGGTTCCCTTCTCAAGCAGCACTGGACGAACATGTACATAGCTGTCCAGTAAATTTTCAACGATGTCCGCTTGCACCCTACTGTACGGATGAAATGGTAATTAACAGCTGTTTTTCTGACTAACTAGCAGCGACATCTCTTTTCTTCTTGTTGCTTTAGATTCCTCGAAATGATTTTGAGAGGCATTGTCTCACGCAAATCCATCAGGAAGCAGTTATCAAAGGTGTCTTAGGCGATTACAATCTATCGGAAGTGGTGACATCTGAACAGCAAATGGAGACAGGTGCGCTAACGAATGAATTGGATGAGAAAACCTGGGAAAAAATAGGAAGTCTGGGCAACGAGGTACACCGATTAGAGGGAGCTTCAATTGGCATAGATAAACAGCAAAAGGAAATGCAAGAAGAAATTACTCGAATAGTGCAAGGCCTAAATACATTTTATTCACTAATCAATGAACGCCTTTCCATCAAGCAAGGCGTACAGCCTACTCAAGAAAAATTACAAAAAGATATTGATCAATTACATCAATCCTTTGAAAATCTGCAACATGTGTCAAACGATGGAACATTGACATGGCGAGTTGACCGCGTGTCGGAGAAAATAGCAGATGCCCAATCGGAAAGACAGACTAGTATTTATTCACCAATCTTTTATTCATCACCAACCGGATACAAAATGCGCGTGAGGCTATTTCTATTCGGTGACGGAAGTGCCAGGCGCACTCACATATCTTTATTTTTCCTTCTGATGAAAGGAGATTACGATGCAATATTAAAATGGCCCTTCTATTATAAAGTTACATTTTGTTTATTGGATCAGACAGATTCGAATCGTCACATCATCGATTCCTTCTATCCCGACACAAAATCGAGCTCATTTCAACGCCCGAGGGACGCCGCCAATACAGCCAGTGGGATCCCGAAATTCTTTCCACTGACAATGCTCTTGCAAGATGACAACGTCTACGTGCGAGAAGATACACTCTACTTAAAAATAATCATCGGATTCAATGATATGCCGAAAACTTTATTACCATACATATTAACGCTAAATCCAGCCCTTCCAAACTATGTCCAAGAGAATTTAATACAACAAGAAACTATTAAACTGCAGCAACAACAGGAACAACAACCAAATACTGTAAATAATCCTCAGTCGATGTTCGTGAATACAGGAAAATAGCTCTTCTACTATAGCTGTTGCTGTGCACTTTTTTATCTTTGAAATAAAATGCTGCAACAAACAACAAGAAAACATTCTTTTTTTTTTCATTTGGTTATATAAAACTGCGCGAATAGCATTTCAAACATATTTAGATATATGTTGATTACTTCCTTTTCTTCAATAAATATCGTTCGATTACCTTTCGACTCTTTTATAACATCGATAGGTCAACATGTTTTACTAGGCGATTTCGTGATACTGATACCAGTGATACATATCCTCGTATAGATTCGAGACAGGATATCTTTAGAAAGCGGAAACAGAAATCAACTAAAACGTAGGAAATTCACATCGACAACTCACACAATATTTTATTGACGTTGGAAAATCGAATCTGTGCACTTCAAAATCATCCAGGTCATGTATATGTACTCGATTCACTCATCTTGATTCGTTTATCACCGAAAAGATCATGTTCAGTTGATATATATATATATATATAGATTTTTCAACGGCGTCAGTGCTATTTTCGTGGGACTGCCATGCGTAGCATGACATGTTGACGAGCAGAAAATATCTCAGTAGTAGAGTCGTGGATAAGTGAGAATGGAGCTTTCTAGTAAATCGTGCTTTCTTCTCATCGACAAAAGTCTCTTGACAAACAACTGTTCATTTAATAGTAGGTTTATTCAAAGAAATGGAATCGGATTGAAGAACAATACTGAAGTAGAGATATGTAATTACTTTGAATTTGAGAGGATTCTCCATCATTTCCAATTCCATCTGACCTACGTCAGTAAGTTATTTATATCTAAGAGGATCTAAGCTTGAATTACTTTTTTCGAGTTAAAACCTAACGTTTGATGCTTTCTATTCAGCGACGCTCTTCCTTTTCTAACGACGCATATGCGAACTCATTGATTGAGTTCGAACAGATTTCGTATATTGCAATTAAATCGACGTAGTTTTACGCAGAAACCGTTCCTTCAACTCTCCTCCATCCTATAAATAAGTACTTGGCATATATTATTTAAAGTGCTGTACAAATAGATTGCTTTAAATATGTAAGTAGCAGACTCGCTAAAGGTGATCGAGTCGATTTTTTCGAAACCGCCATGCGACGAAGAATCCTTGCCAAGATATCTCACATGTTCTGATTATGTTTGCATCACGCAGTTGTTTGTAAGAAGCAAAACCAAGTCGAAAGATCATCTTGAAAATTGATCCATCTGCCGTTCAAAGATAACAGACATGTCTTGACGATTTTTTCCAGGAATATATTAATGAAGGGTATCCTTCGATAGAGCAAATGCTTTTCATCACTTACTAAGTTTTCTCCCTCTTGGCTTCTTTCTACTCTCTATTGATCTTCAACTATATGCCATTCGAATGTTTCCGCTTGCAAACGAGAGTACTGTATAACATACCTTTTTCTATATTGACAAATAATAGGAAGTAATTGCCGGGATGATATGCTTATATTTAGACGCAATAACAATCGGTGCGCCAAAGGTAATTTAGTGAAATGGTTCGTGCAATATTGCTTTTCAAGATCGAAAATATAAACAAAGCACTGTTTTTTTTTGCTTCGAGAGTGTACTCATTGTAATAAATCTTTGTTTCTTAAGCTTTGCAGTCGATGCATTATGCGTATGAGAAAAACGAACGAGTACCCATATTTGATTATGGTTATCAAATTTCAAATAATCGTTTCATTTTTTCGCTTTCGATCACCTCGCCAAAAATAAACCTGTTCTCTTTTTTTCCTTCTCTCTTCTCCTATTCACAGCAAAGATACGCAAATGCCGCTGTATTATATTCCGTTTCTATGTATATATATTTCATCATTTACGTCGACTTTAGATACTGATGAATTATTTCTAAATATAAAGTAAGATTCCTGATCACTCCGTTGGTTAATTTTTGACAAAAAAAACTCGCTGCTAGTAGCTGAACAGCAAGAATGAGATGGATATTTTTTCGGGCGAAAAGAACATCCGACGTTCGCGATTGAAAGCGGAGAATCATTGTGCTAGGGAAAAGAGGCGTCAGCTGATACCGACGACTTCCATTTTTACACATTCATCTTTTTTTCAGATTATCCTTGACAGGCATGACGTCAATTGTCAAGAATGATTTCTATCTATATTCGATCAGTTGTGCTATAGTACAGCAATTATAGGATACATATTTAACAAGTGATACTTATTAATCTTGTCTTTGTTTCTCTAGCCATTCTTTTCTTCTGTTTTTTTTTTGTTTCGAGAAGACTCTCTAATCTGGCGTTCTGCGTTTTCACAACTTAATTGCTAATCGCTTTCTTGCGATAAAAATAAATTATATCATTTTGCGCTATAAAAAAACACTGCTGAGCACGAGAGTAGTAAAAGTAGAGCGATGCAATCCAGTTAATTTCTATGTAGGCGACTTTTCCTTTTGTTTGAAGATTTTCCGCCTACGTATTCTTTTTCCTAGCGAAGAAAAAGAAAGAGAAAACTCGACGAGAGACGATCATTATTTTTCCATTTTCGCTCGACAACATTGTTGTCGATTTGTCCACCTACGCATTCTTCACTTTCCCGTTTGTTCATAAACTAATTGACATACAACGTCCGCCTACTTATTTCTAGTTTTTTCCTTCTGCCCATTCTTGTTCCTCTTTCTCCCATTTCTCTATTTTTCCCATTCAACAGAAACGAGTTATATGAGAATATTTCTGCGCGTATGTCTCTCGCAACCTACGCCATTTGAAGGAAAACTCTTCGTGCGAACGTCGAATGACAATTACGTTCTACAATAACGGCTAAGTTGGCGGCAACTTGTCGGTCGATCCACATAAAAGCATTCTAGAGAGCGAAAAAGAGAGGCAACGTCTAAATAGAAATACTATTTTTTATTAATAACCTTTTTTCTGTTTCTTCTTATTCTTCGTGTTTTTTTCTCTCTTTTTCTTTCTTCTTCACGTTCCGTTATTAACAGCATTATTCAAAAAAAAAAAGATAATGACAGCGAACGTGTGGGCGCGCTCTGCAGAAAACAGAAGCATCCGCATAGAAGAAAAAACGAAGTACGAGAGAGATTAATCGAGCTAGTTCTTGCAATGTTTTTTCTTTTACTTGTCTTCATTGAACGACTATTCTAAGGCTATTTTCCCTACCTTTTTCTTCTCTCTTTTGTAGATCAATAAACATTTACGTTACTTTTACACAACGAATGAGCTCTACCGACGAGTCATACTCGATGACTTGTTCACTGCCGTCGTCGCTCGAACAAACACCAATATCATCGCTTTCTGCTGCATCCAGTTATTCATCATTGGTCAATTATGATGAAACAAGCTCACTTGATCATGAACAATTACCTCAACAGCAGCAGCAACAACACTTCGAACGAAAAATCAAAAAGAACGATACCAAATCAGATACGAATACGAAATTAACCAATGAATACAACAATATCAACAAACGTTCGCCACATTCAACCTTACTCAGTCGCCATGTGAATAGATTATGCTCGATACTTGAAGATTCCGTTGAAATTCATGGTCAAGGAAACTTTCCGGCATTAAACATCGTTCCTAAAGATTTCTTAATCGAACTCAGACGAGCTTTTCATGCCAACCACGTTGACATCAGAGATATTCGTCTCAATGGAGGTAAGACAACTTCGATTTCTCCTCAGTAACCAGCAGTCCAAACTAAACCTCACTTATCATCCTAGGTGCCGCTTCGTATGTCCTGACAAATGATAAATTGTTTTCCTACACAGATATTGATTTCGTATTCCGTTGTGATTTATCTTCGGAATCGACTTGGACTCAAATAAAAACCACCGTCTGTGAATGCTTATCTCAACAAATTCCATCGACATCTTCACAACTATCTGTTTCGCCCATAATCATTCAAGCAGCATATGTCAAAAAAATAGTACGTGTCATCAATCCATCAAACAATGATTCATGGGCGCTGATATCTCTGTACAACATCAACGGCCAAAATATCGAACTAAAGTTCGTTGATCGATTGAAACGACAATTCCAGTTCAGTGTCGACTCATTTCAAATCTTACTCGATCCATTAATGGATTATTACGAGCGAATTTCCAAATACCAACAATCAATTAATAAAAAACAACAATATTATCATCACGGTACGTATCAGCTGGTTATGTAAAGAAGAGAGAGAGAGAGAGAGAGAAGAAACAGCAGCTGTAGTGCATTAAATCTGAATTAAAGGAAATAAAACCCAACTGAGTTTGCATGCGGGAAGCGACAGGTCTTCGAAATTTCCACCCTCGAGGAATCCAAATTTCATGCCGTTCTTTTTTTAGACTATCGTGCATCGAAGAGCAATCGCTATCCAAACCGTTATCCGGTCATACCAGTCGAATGCTTGTACGGAAGTTTCGATGCTGCATTAACACATCTCAATCGTCGACAAATTGTTACCACCTCACCCGAAGGCATTCACGGCGGTGGTTTACTCAAGTATTGTCTTCTACTAACACGTGGCTATCGTCCATATGATAACGGCATATCATCCTGGCAACTTGAAAAGTTAATGTGCTCACGATTCTTCATTGATTTTGTTGATGTCAACGAACAAGAGTATAAATTAGTCTCATATCTATCATCACATTTCTCAAACGACGATTCCGCGAAGTATCGTTATTTGTTACAATTGAGCACCATCATCGAACGCAGCACTGTTTGTCTGATGGCACATGAACGAAATTTAACATTGACATTAATATCCCAATTAGCAACGGAATATTATTATCGACTATGTGATGAATACAATACATATAATGTAACGACTGCTGAGGTAACTGTGCCGAATTCGATTACAATTGATGTTATTTATCATAATGAACTCGACGAATGGAAATCTTTATATACTCCTTCAAAAATTCCATCTCAATTACAACAGGAAGAGAACTAAGCAAACAAACAAGCGGGTTTTTCCAAATGGGTTCTTCGCTACGTGCAATTCGTCTTACGAATTAATCCAGATAGTTTAGCCAAAACATGATATACCAATCTTCTGTTGTGATTCGACGATTGGAAAACAAAAAAAAATCAATAATAATAATAACTTGTTTCATTTATTTGTATGTACGTGTATATGTTAAATTCTTATTGATATGATTATTGTTTGTTTTATTGTCCAACAGTAAAACAGTTTCACTATATTATATCCATTATAATACGATCTATTCTTTCTCTCTCTTCTCTGTCGTTATCGTTTTGTTTTCTGTTGTTGTTTTTCGCTGGTGCGTTTACGAATATATCTTTATTTTTTGACAACTATCAATAAAAAATGACCAGATAAAATATGTACATAAAACAAAAGACTCTTCCTCTACTTGATTGTCTAGTTTTCAAGTACTAATTGCAACGAACGCGGACATTCTCAACAGATGTCCTACAGCTGTGCTTAGAATCGTATTCATGACATCTATCACGTTGAATTTCGTTTATCAGACTACTAATTCGATACGTACAGAACTTTCATACAGTTTCGTCGAAGTGAGTGATTCATTGGTGTCGTAATCTCTAACGGAAAAACATGAACACGTGATTCTGTAGATTTGATCTAATATTGATCGTGAAAAAGGAATTAAATAAGCATCTGGTAAATTGCAAATGACAAGTCAAACACAGATGTTTCTTTATTGAACAATTATTATTGCGTAATAGTTGCTTTTTTTAGATCTCGGAGAATGTCTTCACATGCTGGTAAGTTCGTTTATTGACTTTAGTTTCCTATTTGATTCTTGTGTATAGGTGTCTCATGCGATTCATGCGCGAAAACGAATTTTTCTGGACGTCGTTATAAATGTTTGTCATGCGATAATTACGATCTTTGCGGTGTGTGTTATGATACTGATTCCGAAAGTCACAATCATCTTCGAAGTCATCCCATGCAATGCATTTTATCAAAAACATCCTATGGTTTTCTTTTCATTGATATAACTGTAGAAGTCTGAAATTGGTTCGTTTGTTTTCAGAAGTTTTCTACGGTGGTGAAACAATATCTCATCGAACTCTCATTTCGTTAACATGTCCTTATTGTGGAATATCTGGCTTTCTTTCGCACACGCTTTTGAAACATTGTCTGGAAAAACACCCGATCATTTCGGCGGACAAACCTACCAACCGAATCGTTGTATGTATGTGATCAGATAATTTCTCTTCAACAAGAATATTTTCTAGATGTGTCCACTTTGTGTACTCAATCCTGTACAAGCGCATCAAGCACGGTTCGTTTCATTAGCGGATCATCTCGTTCGAGAACATGACGATGAAAGTAACTCTTTATTTAATCATGAGCCAACGTCACGTGAAAAAGGAAAAAACCAGTTGGTTGATTTCGGCCACAGGGAGGATGAAGATGACAACGACGACGACGAGGAGGAGGAGGACGAGGATGGTTTGCCATTATACATTCTTGCTGAGCGTTTATTTTCCAAAACAGATAATCATCTACCCTCATTAGCAGAAGCTATTGTTCGAAATTATTGCAATCCGGTCGAACAAGGAACTGCAACTCTGCAACGACGTCCTTTCGCAAGACAGGGGAATACGAGAAGTAAACATGTGCATGATTAATTATCGAAGCGTTCAGTAGAATGTTTAGATCATTTTAATAATCATCCGTACGGAACGATACCACGAACTACCACGACTGCATCATTGCATATTCCATTTGATGCAACAATCGAAAGCTCTATACCGTCAAATCGATATACGAGAAATTTCTCTTTTTACGAACCTTTATCTGGTGAGTACTCGCAGAAAATAATTCATACTGATCATCTCTATTCGATGCTCTTGTCTAGATTTCGACTCTTCATTGTCTGATATTCCAGCAAATGCATCGATCTTTGTGAGATCAGCACTTCCAGCTCACATTGGAAGTTTTCCAAATGAACCAGTACTACGGAAAAAGTATGCTGACATTTCTTTTTACAGTATACTGTATTCTGTAAAACACATTCACAGAGCAACTCAACCTGCGATGTCAATTGAACCGCCAGCGACCGACTATTCATCGTGGCAAAAAAACGTTCCAGTTGTTCTCAGCCATTCAAAACCTTCCGTCAACACTGAGAATAAGAATAAAACCGATTCACGGTCATTGCTCGAAAAGTACGTTCGACTCTTCTTGTTTGAAAACACCTACTCGTTGTCTTTCTGTTTGAAAAGAATTTTCCAAACTGATCATGAAACCGATCGAACGAGGTCAAACACATCAACACATAATCGTACTTTGTTCTTGCAATCACTGATTCTCTCGTCGTTGAATATTAGTATAAACAAAGCTTAGTTTCTTCGAACATTGATGTTTTTCTTTTGTTGAAATAAATACATGCATTTCACATCTGTCGAACGAAGACATTTCTAACATTTCCTCATGTCCGATTTATCAGTCTATAAAACGTATGCTTTGTTTTTCCGTTCTCTCAGTCCTGAAAATATCGATCTTCCATCATGCCACTCAATCTTCGTTTGATTTCCCTTGCCGGTCTCACTGCTATTTCATTAGCATTAATCATCACTGGTGGCTGGATATCGGCTTGGTGTATTAAAGTTGGCAACCGATTCGAATGTTATTCCTTATTTCGATCGGATCATACGTTTTCCTGTCTTTTCAAATTAATTCCAACTGGTGTCATCCTTTGTTTGACTGTTTCATTATTAATGTTCTTGATTTTGATAATCATTCAAGCCAAAAAGGAATATCAACTTGTAACACGGTTCGTTAATATTCTTGTTCTTTCAACAGCTATCATTCTGATTATGATTGTCCTACTTCAATGGTTCCATCTTCCTTCGCGCACATCGAAGAACATCATCATCGCTCGAATAGTTGGACAAACGGCGAATCATACAGGCGAACTTGTCTTCGGCACGATCTCGTCCAATGATCCACTATATCTAGCGGCATCCGATGCACAACGACAAGCATTTGTCAGTTCACGATACAATCTCAATCACGGTCCAAACTTATTCTTCGCGTCGTTTGTCATTCTTCTCATTACTCTACTTGCTTTTGTTATTCTACATCACATCGAATTCATTTGAAATAAATCTCGCGCGCTCATATTTATCTATTTGTTTACTTTTTGTCTGCTTGTCCGATGCCAGCTAAACGACGTCGGTTGCTAACAACGAGTCGACGACGAAGAAAATCTAAACCGTCACCAATAGAGATGCTCTATCCGCAATTTTTCGATGAAAAACAGCACGAGAAGAGTCAATCAGATCTTCAAACGATTCCCGATCAGACGTTTGGAAAAATCTATTCCATGCCGGTCATCGAAGAAATTTCTTCTTCGAATGCATCATCCATGATCGAACCAGATCCAACTGATGTATCAACGAAAAAACAACGATCAGGAAGACGAATACAAAAAAGAAAACGAATTTAATCCTTTGCTAAACATCGATCATTCGTAAAACATGCCTTTGTGTTAGATTACGAAGCCGTACGGCACACATTTCAACATATTCATTCTTTATTCATGAATAAAATGAACACATCTACATTGATATCTAGTTTCGAAAACTAAACAAAGTGACTAACTTTTGAAATATTTACAAACAGCTTGATTAGTTGAGAAGAGTCAACGACGATAGCATTTTGCTTACGAAAATAATCGGGAAAAGAAACCGGGATTGGGATTGTATCGATCATTGGGATAATTATTATTCGATTGACCGCTGTTCAAATAGCGTTGGATAATATCAAAAATCAATTGTCGACCACTTGTATTAGTAGCCTAAAGAGAACCATTCGAGAGATGTGTTTTCTCTCGTCAAAACATTCACTTACATAACGGAGTAAATTGTCAATCGATGACGAACCGACCGTGCGACGAACTTCATCAGCAAGATTTCGTTTATGATGATCATCTAGATCTCGTAATTGACTTGCCAATGAATGATATGGATTGACAGCCTTGAAGCCTAACCATGCACCTAGTGAACAATTAGATGAGACTCACTCGAATACAAATACGAAAGTCGGTTACATACCAATGACAGTACCAATTAGAGCACCGTAGTTCCCTAATAAAACTGCTCCGATGACACAACCAGCGAGTGCGTAAAATGCTTGCCAAAACATTCCCCAAAGGGTAGAAATGGTGCCCTAGAAAAGATAGTCTACTGGAGACCGAGATGGAAGACAATTACTTACACTTCGGCCTTGAATTAAGTTCAAAATAGCATCAAAATAGTTGGGATTGAACAATGACGACATGATTTCTTTTATCTAAAATATGTGAGACGAATGAGCAATGATTCCAGTCAGTTTCTTATATTTCAATGTATGAGATCAGTAGTCGAGCGTCGATAAAGAGGGAAAGAAGTAAATTAGTAATAGATACGTCGTAGATAGATACAACGGACAGAGACAGTATGATATTTAGTTCGCGCTATAACCAATATATGACAGATGCACTCAGTGACTCTCTTTGTGTGACGTATGAACCAATATGATTCGTCTGGTGGCCTCTATACTCTCAGAAGCTCATTAAACATTCTTTCATGTTATTTAAAGCACCTTTGTCTTTTGAAAATGCTTTAATTATTCATCTCGGCAACAAAGCACGATGAAACAAAAGAATTGTAGATGTCGCTGAAAGATTGCCTTTTAATTTAATCATCGTTTTTACGATTACAATTTCTATAGAATATATAAAAACAGGTTGATAATTAGACAAAAATTTCTAATAAATTTTGTACGCTTTTGTTAATGATTGCTTTGATTCCTTTATTGTGTTGCGGAGAGTGTTCACAGTTTAGTGGAATTTCAATATTGAATCTTCTTCATTGTGAAGATTGGCGCTTAATTTTTTAAAGAATTTCTCAAATACTCAATGTCAGATGTTCTCGGATCCGCACTATATTAAAAAAACATCGAAATAGTCGGTACTGTTACAAATTCAAATATTACACTTATACAATGGCAGCTCTTGTAGCTTTCGAAAAACGATATTTTGTAGATTTATCAAAGTTTCGTGCTTGGCTTACTAACCACTTTCGTAATTTCGTCAGCTTTTACAGAATCTAGATCGAGCTTTAAACTCGTTTGTGTTTTCCTGCGATGTACAGCCGACTAAAAAGGCATGGCTACGAGAATGTGCTTTTATAATCTACAGGATAATAGAACACTACTGCTAGCTGATTAATCGGGCGTAGGAGTTGCTTTCGTGACGGTGCTTCAATGTACGGTATCTTCATAAGCTTTTTCGCTGTATGAAAAGCACCGAGTCGAGTCTGAATACGACCTTGAGCTAATTTTAGCATAAGACTTGCCCTACAAAATGGAAATGCAAAGTAGAGTGTTTCTAGATTTAGTATCATTGTCAAGTCTGGTCTCAATCAAAGTATCGGTTCATAAACTTTCTTCATCGAAATGGTTATATTACTGTGTAAGAGATATGTGAATATAACAGGATCTGAAAATAAAAGAAACCTTATTATGATAGATGAACCGTATCGTTGTTCGTTTTTAACCGTACGTGAGGTTCAAGAGCTAAATTATCCCACAGTATGGAGTGTTTTCTCTCGAATATAGGAGATAGTTCTTCAGTTCAAGTTGACTTTTCAGAAAAACTGAGTACTGCATTGACAAGTGAAACCAAAATAGCTTATGTGTTTTAAAACTTAGAACCCGTTTTTTAAAACTGTTGAAAAGCTGTCCATTCTTTTACATGCAAAAAGATTCTTTATTATTTATCTGTTCTATTACTAAATAATATCACCATATACTTATATTTCTAAGAAGATTAAGCAGAATAAAACAATCCTAGTCTAAGTCTTGAGCTGTTTGAACTTAATCAATAAGGATGAGTTTGTGACTATTTGTAAAATGAAAATGGCTCTGTGCTCCAAATATACTGGAGGATTATGAAATATAATCGACGATATTTTGAACTGAATATTTATCTACGAGAACAGTATACAACGTTTTATTCAATAGTTTCATGTACTAGTTGAAATGAGATCTATCAATATCCACTCTGCTGCTATGTTCCTGGAATGTATTAAGTTTGAATAACACAAGGTCATCTAAAAATAGTTCTATTTATGTAGCAAGATGCATATGAAGTCCCTCCGAATGTTTGTCCTCGACGGAATTCCATAGAAAATCAGACAGTTGAAAAACATCATCTACTTGTTGACTAATCAATTGATAGAAACAGAACAAAAGATCGTGGGAAAGCCAAGAAAAGGAGCCATACACATGTAAAATTGGTTTTCCTCTAATGAAACGACAATACATGCAATGTGTGCATTGATTAAAGAAACTAAAATGGACTTTTTATGAGAACGCCATATACACTCGGCGAGAGATCAAACAATGTTCTTTCATCTTTCGATAACCTCAATATCTCTATCGAAGATATATTAAAATAAATGACATGCGATGAACAACTAAGTACTCATCTCATACATCTTATTATACCTTTCGGAATGCTGATGATATCTAATTGATTCGATGAACGAGGTGTTTAATTACATTTTTAATCACAGAAACGAGAACCGGAGGTATCAAAACCACAAGATTGATGAGTATAACGTCAATTAAAAGATTATTTTCAAAGAAAGCCACTGTTCAGGTGCGATCTTACAGATCATCTTAATCTTGACTTATGCAGACAAGCATCCTCTGAATAACCATAATCCACATTTAATTTTGCCCGAGATGTAGAACGCTATAAAGGATGAAAATCAGCAATACACAATCGTCTGATATTGCAGAGAAAGTCCCTTCTTCAAGAACAATTATCTCATTGTTATTCTAGATAAATATACCATGACAAAGGAAGTTCGCTTTGTTGATCGAACGACAAAACTCATCCAAAGTGCTCCATGATTGGTAAACAATAGTTTATCAAAATCTTTTGATCATTATCACAGAGTCAAAACTACAGTATGAATGTATATTCATCATTTATTCCGAAGAATCTGTCAGATATACATTTTTAAAACACTCAAAACGACACCTGTCATAGCCGAAAGTGATTCTAAACAACTGATGGCACTTGACTTGTGGGTAGCAGTTGCTCTTTTGTTAGATCTGCCGGATTTTGCTTAACGTGCGGTGAATATTTTCGAATCGAATTTGTCGATCTTCGTTTTGATAACATGACAGTTCCTTTCAGTGCCCGCGTTGTACCGGTTCGAGAGTCGAAACCAGCTGGCAAGGGTTGACAAAACAAAAAGTATTGGCCGACTTGCCGAAATTTCTTGTCGAAAAATGCGTATAGGATAAATGTTGACGATGCATTGATGACTGACAAAAGATTGTTAATAGATAGATATTGTCTCGCACGTAGGTTCATCATCAGCTTTGTGCCAAACCATGAGTATAGCACGTTGAACACAAAATATGGCAATTGTGTGAGCAGAAAAATGAAGACGATGGATAAAAGCAGGAAGTTGATGGCGTTTGATGAACGGTTAGGTTTCGACGATGTACCCAATTGACGCTTCCGTTGTCGAATGCAGTAGAGTTTTTTAATAATCGAGATCTTACAGATTAAGATGATTGTCAAAGGAAGAAGAAAAACAAAAATAAAGTAAAGATATTTACGCATTAATAAACGGAACATCTCGGTCGAGCCGAAGTCCGACACGGTTATGATGGTTTCATTGTTTTCAGTTTTCAAGGTGAATTCAAACCAGAACGGAACGCAGTACAAGATGCAAAAGGCACTTACGCATATGACAACGATAACAGCATGCCGTGGGCTGCGCCATTTTCGACCACGAAATGGCATACAGATCAGAATGAAGCGATCGACGGCAACCGTTGCCGTTAAATAGATTTGAATCAGTAAACATGTCACATGTATTGGAAAGATTCGAGTGAATATATAAAGATAGAAGACTTCAGCTTTAAATGTCGAGCGTATGCCGTGAGTTAAGAGAAAGCCGATTAGGACACAAGATGATGCGCAGGAAAGGGAAAATATATAAATATTTGTAATTGATGTTCGCATAAACCGACTGGAGAGTATAACACAAGTGAGAGCATTGCCAAGTAATCCACAGATACAAACAATTGATAGGAGATAGCCTTCAACGATGCGTTTGAACTCGGCGAGACGCTGATCGTATAGGGTATCTGATGACATGTTCATTGTTTGTGTGTCTGCAACCTACAAGAATTAATCAAACTAAATATGCATATTTCCGATCTCGCTAATATATTTGTGGAACTAAAAAAAAAGAACCGGCTTCCCCCTTTCTGCTGAATAGAAAATTAGCGGAGACGGTTTTAATAATAACTAATGAGATATAACATTAGTTTTCATTGATTTATTCATATGAAAACATCTCTTCTACATCCGTTGTTAAGACTGCGTTAATGAATTGTTTTAGTCGAAATACCGTGCAATCTACCCCTTGCCTTTGCATATCGATAGTCTACATTCAACTGAAGAATTGGTAAGCAGTCTGATCTCTCTCTCTCTCTCTCCTAGTCTTTCTAATATTAGTAGACGAATGCACATAGCCGTTTCTTCTCTTTTTCTTCTTCGCTTGTTCCCCTTTCACGACTATGTAAAAGGAGATGAAAAGAAATGTATACTCTCATCTATAATAATCAAAGAAAAGACGAACAAGAGAAATGCTCTCTATTCCAAGCGAAAAGTGCCACAAACGATATCGACGGCAACTCACAACTAAATCAAAGCCCGAAAGATGCGTCATACTCGGCAAAAAGATATGAGAACTTTCCTCGATACTAGGTCTACTTATTTAGTTGAATTCGATCGCATAATTACGTGTCTTACTGTACCTAATGGACTACTCCTGTCTCGTCTATCAAGTATCATCACTTAAATGTATCGTTTATTGCTTGTTGATATGATTATTAACAAAAGAGAATCATTTCCAAGAACCAATAAGCTCATATTGCTTCCTCTTCGCCCATTTGAAACCATACTTGAAAACGTGATTTCTATCACTGATAGTTTTCTTTTTCAAAAAAAACCGTTCTTTGCTTTTCTCTGATGTTTTATTAGGTATACACAACACTAGACATAGTCTAGTCGTTCACAAGAAGAAAAACCTCATTAATACCACATTATCAAAAAGAGACGGAGTATTTACAAGTAAATAGATGGATGGATATAAGTAAATATAACCAAATTCGTCACAGAGTTCTCTAATTGTACTCAAGCACGTTTCTTTCAAAGGAGAAGTGTATAAAACGAGCAAGATATATACAAAATAAACACGAATGCAAATAGAAATAATGACGCGTTTTCTCAAAGCATGATCAATCGCGTACATACACTAAAAACAGGCTCAACAATGAAAAACAAGCAGCAACAACAACAATAACAGAAAACAGGAACATAAAAAAAAACTATAGTCATATATCATTTAATGATACAGGGGTATTGGAGCGAAAGCCGGCATTCATCGTCTAAAAAAAAAAAGGAAATAAAAATATATAAGTTTAGCACGTCACTCTCACATCTCGAGAGGTTCCAGTTTCGCGTAAGTAATAAATCCTGGCTACATTATGGAAAATGTCACGAAAAAAAATCGATTTGCCCTGTGATTTATCGGTAGAAATACTACGAAAAGCAGATATGGTGCTCAACCTATCGGAAAGTAAATAGGCACTGAAGTTGACTTTTATCGGCATCCTTTACACGATTTACTATTCACAGTTGTCAAAATAAATTAAATATTGCTTCTCATCTACGTTGCTCTCTTAATCAATGAAATAAAATATGTCTGTGTGCGAACCAATGTTCTCTAGAGACGCATCGAAGCCTCGTGTGAACCTTTCGAGATTTCTGCATTTAATCGATGTGATAGAATTGTGACTTACTTTTCCAAAACATCTAAAACGTAATTCCATCTGTCGTTATTATCCCAAAACTCTTGTTGTGACGATTGAAAACAAACAGCGAAAAGTATGCGTTTGATTTTGAACGAATCGGTATTGAATTTGGGAAGTTTGATTTCAAATGCAAACGTGTCGGTATTATCGTGCGAATAGTTCATCGAATGTCGACATTCGATGTCAGTCCAGCTGTTCCATTCATCGTCAGTTAGACGAATGAAAACACGTTTGTGATAATCACAATTATGAACACGAATAGTACCATACGCAGTCGAATCTTTGGTGTAGAGACATTCTAATATCACTTGTTTATCGTAGATCATCGGACTGATCGTTGTTCGAGAAGTGAAATTTCTCGAAACAAGGTTATATTGTTTCACGGAAGACGATACTGAGGAGGACGAATGTGTGCGTCGAGCGATGCTCGGAAGCTCGAGAAGATAGTTTCCATGACGAATTTGCCCGAATTGTAGACGGACACACTCCTGTGTGATGGTCGACACTGTTTGATCTGGTGGACTCATGTAGCGAATAGATTCAAGGTCGAGACCCTAAAACAAGAAAGAAGTTCGTTTTCTTTCGGTCATATTCGATAAGTAGGGTGTGTAAACGAAGACTACGAGACGAAAATGAGGAGTGGACTATGTCTTATGATGCTAAGTGAAAATGATGAAAAACAAACGTTCGAGTAAGAAAAAAACAGGAGGATTGGCTCGATCTCAATTCGGATTGGTAAAAAAACGATACATAATGAATCGATCACGTGCGTTTCTTTTCGTTCTGTCGTAAACAAGGATAGTAACATTCATGTTCCTATGAAACATACGTCACAAGATACATCATAAGTTTAGGCACATGATTGTTAACAAACAATGTATTCTGGATCAAAGTACATTTTCAGTCTGCTGCTCGTAAGAAAAACGAAGCCGTATCTCGATTAGTTTTCATGTGATTATCAATGTTGTCGAGCGATAGTTATGGACACTGCATTTCGAAGCTGAAAGGCAACTAACAAACGCTACCGAAAAGCTATTGTAGCTGGCATACAATCGTGAGTGATTTTCCTTTGCGCTTCAAGAGTACACGTTTCTTTTCTCTGGCTGTAAGCAGACGTTATCAGTGCAGTTCAGTAAACATTTGTACATATACAAATTTTTCAGAAAGGTTCTAGTAAGATACAGTTCGGTCGATTCACATCTCTTTTCATTAATTGCCTGTGGGTGACTCCACCGTTTATCTGACACTTTATAGAACGACTTTCTCCAAACTGATTTTGAAGTTCAGATTCATGTAGAGCATCGTTGATAATCTATGTTTGGCCACAATAAATTTTCTCTAACGTCAGACAGTGAGGAAACCAGCAATCGTCAATTTTTAGTAAAAATACGAAGATCAAGGAGATCTTTTGTTCATATTGGTTTAATAAAGGGTCAATGTAGAATTTCGGAGCATGGTGACTTAGCAGGTTTTGAAGGGCGACTTTTTCTCTACAACTCTGCATACAAAACTTTCCAATGTACTTTACTTCTAGTTTACAGATGATACAGTAAAAGTGTAGCAAAAAAAAACTCACTTAAAACTTAACATGACTCCCCCGAAAAGTTTTGTGTGTAGAGTTGTAGAGAAAAGGCCGCCCTTCAAAACCTGCTAAGTCATCATGCTGGAAAATTCTACGTTGCCCTTTTATTAAACCAATATGAACAAAGGATCTCTTTGATCTTCGTATTTTTACTAAAAATTGACAATGCTCTACATGAATCTGAACTTCAAAATCAGTTTGGAGAAAGTCGTTGTATAAAGTGTCAGATAAACGGTGACATCGCCCCTGTAGTTGTCTACAAGGTTTCATCGGATCTTCTAGAATAGTTTTATGAATCCGTGATTAGAGAAGATGGGGCATTCTTTGAGCGACTATTCAGAAGTGCAGATTTCTCGATTTGAAACTATTACTGAAACGCATACGTGTGTATTGCTGTTGCTATCAATCAGTGCGAGAAAGTCAATGATATTTTCTCATTGATGACATTTAGTCTAGCTGTCGAACGTCCGGGAAAAAAACAACAGCTTACATACCAATACATCAGCAAATCGAACCATTTTCTTTGGTGCTGTTGCTAGTAGAGTCGGTTTTGCACTGCGATTGAGCACACTAAATGAATTTGATCGCATGCAAGTTCCAGTGGTTGCATCTTCATTGTTATCTTCTTCTGCGTATGGCGCAAAATATTCCTCTAAGCATAATGTATGAGTTGAATCATGTAGAATAGTCGCGTGTTTTTGTACAATGTCATCGTCTTGATTCGAATCCAAACTTTCTTTGCCAATCGTTGAATCTGATGATTGACGATACAATTCATCGAATTCACTCAGTTGCGTATCGATAACATTTTCACCTTGTAATGTAATTGCATCTGAAACGAAATGGATGATTATCGACAGCTTTACTTCCTTTCAGAACACATACCAGCATTGTTTCTATTTGAATTGTATGGATAATCATCATCGTCGTCATCTGTACAGTCATTACTGATTTGATCGAAACCTACATTGAAATCAATGTCTTCATCGGACGACGGATTTGAACCGATCATGCAGCAATGTGCAATTGGATCAGAGAGACTTGATTGTGTGCTAGAATTTGATTGAGATAGGTCGTCCACAATCGATGACAGAGATGACGTTGATATCGAATCATTTTCGGAGCACGATCGAAGACGATGTTGAAAGGAAAAGGCCTGAGTGTGTTTGGATTCCGCGGGCACGTCCGAAGAACTAAGCGTCGGACAAAGTTTAGAGCTTTGCAAATACTGCATAACTTTATCCTTGCTGGATAAATCCTCCAATTTCTTGATTCGAGACATGGTTTTATGAAATCTGAAACGAAAGAATGTGCAGAAGGTTACTGACTGCAAATAACAACAGTGATGTTAACAGAAGGAAGAATGAGAGCGAGAGAAAAGTGACTGGCGCACTCGGTGCGACGTCTGTCTGTACTCAATAAACCTTGCAAATAACAATGAATCAGTTTCAAGATTAAGCAATGATCTACCTGTAGATTTCACCGAATGAAATTTCACCAAATCAACTATTTCATCATTGTCAACTTAAATTTTGTCATCCCTTTCATTACGAATCATCTTACGTTATTTCCATCGAATGGCAAAAAAGGGCGGTCACAGAGTACAAAATCAATCTGACTCATATTCCCTGTTCTAATCAACTACTAATAATCAAAAGACCATATTGGGCGTATCGATTAAATGACTACCCACTCACTAATAAAGGAACACGCCTAACTACCGTAGATGCTATCTTACATGTGACAATAAAACGGCTATAAAAATTTAACTAATGCTTCATTGATATATCGTAAACAGAAAGAAAGAGAAAAAAACAAAGTTCTTTTCACCGTAGATGTTCCTTCGATCTATATACCGCTTGCCGAGAAAGTGGTTATTGGGCAGTTTTGAGAAACATTCGCCTGAGCATGAAGGTATAGTTTAGTGAAATGAAATCAAAAATAAAATTTCGCCACGTATATATCCGGCAAATAAATCTCAAAAAGAGACTCAGGTCTGCACAGACAAAGAATAGTTTTTTCCTTTTCTCTTATGAAAATATTTATCAATAATCTAAAGTAATTCATTCGATTTAATGTTTAACAGATTCAGTGAGCAGAAATATAGATTATCAAACACTTGAAATTCAATGATTCTCGTCTCCCGCCTCTACTGTCCATAACAAATCGTTCGCACAGTGTTATCTTCTTGTAATATATGAGTGAAAGTCACCATAATAAGATTTCGCGGTTTATTAACTTAACTTACGTACCGGTGGATCTCTCATTAGTTAACGACTCAAAAATCGCCCTTACCAAATCGCTCACAAATTTTAGTTTGGAATGACAAACATACCTGACGGCACAGATGACCGATTACAAAATAGAGTGGAACACAAATGCACCCAGGGAAAGAAATACTTCTCGAAAAGCGAATATATGTCAATCGATTTCTCGTCTAGCGCCATATAACAGTTCATGTACCGAAAACTATTAGTCATACCCTTTTTCTTAGCGAATAATGGAGAATTTCGTAAGGCAAAAGATGTCTGGCCGATTTATAAACTCGCAACTGAAAAAAAGAATGCACCCTCTTCGAAAAGAGAGAGAGAGAAAGTAGATCATGTGGTGGCGTGGTGATATACTATGATTACTACAAAAAAGTAGAGATCAAAGTCCATTCAGAACTCGAATCTAATGTCACATACGATGGAATTACATAGCTATTCTCGTCCAAGGTCAGACAAAGCTAAGCAACTTGAAATTTAACAAAAGAAACGAGAGAAAAAGAAGGCCAGAATTGGTTGTTATTGTGTTTCGCAGTTGTTTTCTTCTCTAGACTACATCGGCATATCACGCCTTGACACACACATTCGCTGCGTGTAGAAGAAAACAGCGAAGAGCTATGACAGTGATAAAATATATTTGTCAAATGAATTATCATTTGATGACTTCAAATATTCGCTTAGCAATCAGTTTGTTTCGTTTTTCCCCATAATAAAATTATTATTCAGATCGATAGACTTAAATAGAAACGTGAGAAATATTTGTGTCATTATCGGATGATGTTGTAGGTGCGCACTTTTATTTGGCCTTCGAGCACTTTTTTCGAAATTCGTGTGTAACTTACCTCTGATTAATGAGAGAAAAGGCATGTTTATATGTTTTTCTATATACAGTGTCGATTCGATGTGCCTTTTTCTCGAATAGTGAAAAGAAAATCTGACCGGAAATCAAATATTTTCGTGAGTATGTGTTTTGTCGATTGATTAACGAAGAAATTTTTTTTAATAACAAAAAGAAACAAACAGATTCTTTTCATTTGCTTTTGTCTCTTAACCAAATTGATTTGTTTCGAACAAAAGTTGTTGACATGTACACTGAAGCAGTTGGCATGTAGAGAATGATGATGTGAATTAAGAAGAAACAGACACTGGACTAGCACCATCAGTATTATTGTTGAGAAGAAGATTCCGTACTATTTATATTTGAAGAACTATTGCTCGCTTTCGGATTAGTCTTTGGCGAAGATTGAAGTGAGTCAAGCGGCAAAGAACTAGGATCGTCATCTTTATTCGAACTTTCTTCTTCGCCCATGATTCTATGTGAAAGAAGAAAGGTTCATAGTCAATGTAATATGTGGGACTTACCGTAATCTTGCTAATCGATATTCATACTCACGTTGCTCGTAGGTTTTGATTGGAGCTTTGCTGGATAGTGTCGATAAAGTATTAGTTATCGGTTCTTTTGATTGATTTCGTGGAATGATTGATACGACAGGTGTGGACGTGTTTGTTAGACAAGGTGAATTCGAATTGACATTATTAGTAGCTGTCGATACATTTGAACTAGTCGAGTCGTTTGAAGTAGAAGTTTGAGATTGATGAGTTGGCCGTTTCAATATTCGAATCGCTTTATTTGATTGAACTGTGTTGGAATTCGAAACATCGCGATTGTACTTGTCATTTGATGACACAATCGATTCCTAAATATCAAATCCGTGTAATGAATTCAAGAATTTGAATGTGAGTATTTCTATTCACTTGCGTGGTAACTCGATCTTTTCCTAGTTGCTCTAATCGTTTATCAAATTCTCCAGTATCAACTGCGACTTCCCAATCATCTTGATCATTTCCCGTCATTGTCGAACGTATTTATACTTGTCGAAGGCAAAAGAAACCGAAAGTCAAACACACATTGAAATAAATAATCTGACCACCGAGCGAACGAAAGAAAATCTATAATGCGGAAATAAATGAACATTTAAATAAAAGATTGGTTTTGTTTTCATGTGGTGTTTCTTGTGCAAGCGAAAGTCGAACGAGAATGTTTTACACGCAACAAATGCATATGATCACGCAGGCTACATGGACAAGAACAGATCTTTAGATAGATTTGTAGAAAATGTGCTGTGATTGGCTTTTGAAACTACGCTTTGATTAACCTCTTGGAGTAAAAACGAGAAGAAAAGATTGATTATTGAAATTGTTCGATGAAAAAAAGATAGAATGTTTATAATAAATGTTTACGAAGAGAAGAAAAAAACCAAAGGAAGAAGTAAATTATATTTTTTGTTTTGGCTTTGTATATCCGAGCAAAGGAAAAGACGAATGGAGAAATCGAGAACAATGCTTGACATGTCGGTGCGTAGAAAAATACAAGCGGAAGAGAAACAGGACATGTGATGACGTACATTGTAGAAAACACACACACACACACACGCACACGAACCCTAAGAGAGAAGTTTTATTTCACTTAATTAGTTCTTCTCAATTATGTTTTATTGTTTTTTGTTTATCATGGATTTTTGCCTTTTTTTGTACAGAAAGAAGAGCCTTTCATTGAACTACACGAATCGATGGTTGGCTTTATTGAGCATTGAAATTGGCTTCCGACGAAGAACTGAGAAATTCATTTGGACGTTTATGCTTTTCCAATGCATTCAATGTTGAATAATCATGAGGTAATTCGCTCTTTCGTCTTACCATTGGTTTGCCTTTTTGAATATTACGACTTGCCTAGAGCGGAACGCATCAAGAAATAGAGAGTGTACTAAATGGAGAACTGTGTTTTTACTTCTTTTGCTTCTTGTTCGATTTCTTTTGCGGTTATGTTCGCTGCTCCTGCATCATCATCATCATTATCGTTCGGTCGATAGAGTTCAGGCTGATTCGAAGCGTAGATCTTATACTGAAATAATTTCGGATAATGTCATAAATCGATCGGATCTAATAGGCGGTCATTCACTTACGCTAGGATTCTGTCGCGCTTTCGATTCGATCTTCACCCATGCCGAATCTCGGTCGCGTAGTTTATCTTTCTCTTTTTGTTTTTCAACTTTATACCGTTGGGAACATTCATCGAACAGTTTATGGTTCATTTCCATGAATAATTTCAATGCATTATATATCAAACCATGGATTGTCCTACGCAAACGCAAGTTCATGATTGTCATTCATTCGATTCAGACATGAGCAAATCTTACTTATTCCAATGTGTCTTCGTGTTCTTGTATAAAGCTGGAAACATAATCGGAAGAATTACTGCTGTATTTTCCGTTATCAAACTCATAATGTATTCATTGTTCCAATAATACAGTGCACGTTCTGCTACCTATGCAAGAGAGAAAACAGTTGCGGGAGGGGGATGATGATCAAGGAGAATTAGCAGGAGACAACGAACTTGAAAATGTGGACTGGAAACGCATTTGGCGAGTTGTTTAAATAGTGGAATCATTACTTTTTGGAATTCTGCAGGCTCGATAACATCCAAGATTTCTTCTAATTCATTGAGAAACATCACCTCCTTTGGACTATGAGTCTTCGGCCAGTATTTCAATAAACCCATTATCACCTATATCCAAAGCAAACTGTCAAACAAGCACGAACCAAGCGAAATTGAACTTACCGGTTGAGTTAAACTAGGATCTTTTTCCAGAAATTGCACAATACAATACGCTAATTGAGGATGATAGACACTGAGTGTCTTGGCTTTGTGCAATGGTAGTAGGGCTTTGATTAGAAATACTTTATGCTCTTCTTTTAATGGTAAAGCAAACCCATTGATAATACTACACATACGTACACGAATGAAAAGAAAGAAATTTAATTTTGTCTTTTGTTACCTTCCGAGAATTTCGAGTAATTCAGCCACGCCATTATGTCGTTCAGTTTCGAAAATAAACTAAAAGAAAGCGACGAATTCTTTCAATTCTATTTATAAAAATATTGATTTGATTATTTATCTTAGTAACGATCATAATTTGTAATTTGATCAACTGATAATAGATCTTACGACAGTCAAACGTCTCAAATATCCCAAGATATATAACTGCATATAAACATTCTTTTCGTTATCAATAGTTTGATTCATTGAACTCGAATGGTATTCTGTCGAACGTGTTCTCACTACTAAATCTGTGTGTTTCTCTGTTCATTTATTCAATCAGAATCCTTTGATTGATCCTAATTGATAACAGAAAACAATCAGTTATGAATCATGTTAATAATGTCAAGATTTTCCCGTTCTCTACACAACGAGAAGTTCACTTAACCACATAGAATTCTGCTCGATTGATAATAGATGATTAATCAAGTAGAAGAAGATAAGACACATTCTTCATGAATCAACCTTAGCAATACAGTCGTTTTCGACTTGTTATCATCGATCATATGAGATTAGTGTTTACTTTGTAGAATGTATTATTGATTTGTTTTCGGATGTAAGCTCGTAGACCAAGAAATTTGCCGTAAATTCGATGAAGAATTGTCTTGAGAAAGTCGCGTTCGCGAGGATCTTCGCTGTCGAATAGATCGAGTAGCTAGAATATGGAAAAATTTTCGCAAGATGACACGTTTCGTCAGAGAGAAAAGATCGTCTTCTTACGTTGAGAATGAATCTTTGATCAATAAACCGTTTAGCGGTGTTCGGTTGGAAATCCGGTGATTCGAGAAAGCGTAGGAAAAAGTCATAGACAAGTTGTAGGTGTGGCCAGGCAACCTCCAGATTTGGTTCATCTTCTTCCGGATCGTAATCAGCACCTGACGGATTTGTAACGGGTGGTAATGTTCGGAAGAGATTAATGGAAAACTAAAAGAGCAGAACCAATTAGACATCTTTGTTCTTGTCAGTACAACAATCAAGTTTTCAGACGTACCATTCGAACGGCTTCTGGATAAATGGCATCGGTAATAACTGCACGATTGGATGTAATATAATCAATCATTTCATTCAGCGCAGCGCGTTTGATTTCTTTCCATTTAAGATCCGAAAGAGGATCAAGTTGAAAATCGAAGACCGTGCAACATTGTTGCAATTTCTGTACAAATAAGCTTTCGCGTTCGTTCGCCGGTGCGTCTTTCAATAAAGGCAGTTTAACCAATTCCCGATTTTTGGATATGTTGAAACGCGACGAGTTACGTCGATTATCTTTACGAATGTTAGGCACACCAGCCATAGGTTGTACTTTTGTCAATGCTGTCTGTGGTGGATGGGATAAGGAGCTTAGATTCGTGTCCGAGGGTGGTTGAGCGGAAAGTGTATTGTTCGGCCGAGAGACTGTTTTGGTTGTCGCGCTACTACCCATTCCTGTCTTACTTGTCGATGACTCTTTTCCTTTTGGCTAAAGCAAGAAAAAGATGACGATCAGTGGGAGTTGGATTGTTGTCAGCGAGTTTTACTTCGTCATTGGATTTATTATCCGAATCATCTCTGGATTTCGATTTAGTGACAACAGTCGTCGTCTAAAGAGAACAAAAGAAAAGCAGTTGAATTTGAAAGGTAAAATGAATTGGCGATGTACCTTTTTCGTCTTATTCACATCTTTATCCTTCTCCTTATCCTTCGATGATGACGACGGCATTTGTCGTAGGTGAGTGAGTGCGTCTGAAAATCGCTTCAGCTCGAGAGATCGAACAATGGATATGGAACAAGAACAATTGAATTCTATACGTTTAGATTTAAAGAAAATATGTTTTAGATAGTGGCTTTCAGTGTTTTCTGTCAACGAACAAAAAAGTACACACGTTCACAATCCTATTAACTCAATTATGATCATCACAAATCAAATCAAACGTTTATTTCGATATGTTACTCTAATCTGAAAACGATCCGATGATGATGTATGACAAATAAACAACAAGAAAATCAACAATATAATGAATAAAAGAAAAGATGAATTACCTCGTCGTTTCTTATCGGTCTATCGAGTTAACAAATCAGAGAGAAGTTATTTTCATATGCATTTTTTCGCCTTGGTTACGCTTACCGTTCGATCAAAACTCAGCCAAGAGAGTTAATGATTTATATCTCCAGCTTTCCCTTTTGAAAAACTTCTGAAAAACGACGTCGGCAGAGACGCTCATTTGCATGCAGTTTCAGCTCTCTCGATCATTTTTGAATCAGACAAATGTGGTTTTTCTGAAATATATATTTCAGTTTGTTTTATTTTCCACAGATTATCATGAAAATGATGAATTTTACAAGCAAATTTATAGATGTCGCTGTTGACGATCCTCCATAGTTTATTAATTTGCTTTATCAAGAAGAACAGACTTTTCTCGTCACAAGTGTGCTAAAAATAAGTTTTCACGTGCAACAAACAGAAAAACAATCGCAAAACATTGTTCTGTTGAATTCGAAACTGTAATTCGATTAAAATTCATTCTGCTTGATTATGAATGTCATTTTGCTATCTTCACACATCGCTAAACAATTAACTTCTTATTAATCTCAACATGCCAAGGAGATCTCTTTTCATCTTTCTAGATATGTTTTTGTTATTTTGAAAGAGAAAAGCAGATGACTCAGAGGAAAATCGATGATCTATTTTCTCTAACAACATCAAAATCGAATAAACGTTCTCGTACGACACAAGTCGCAGCAAATGATCGCGACGAACTTGACGACTTGTTCGACACGGCGAGCTCGACAAAGCGCCGGCGTAGTAATCTAAAACCGTCCACAGATGTTTTCGATTTCGATACAGTATCAAAAATTCCGAAACCAAGTTCGTTGAAAAAGAAACGAAGCGATGAGAATCAAGTCATAGACGAGCTTTTCAATAACGACACGCGCAAGAAAATTCGACGACCTATCAAACAGGAAGAAGAATCTACCGATGTATTGGACATGTTCAAAACACGCACGAACGCAAACATTCATTCAGCTATCACGACAACCGATGATTTTAAAACGCCAAGTACATCGAAAGCGCTCACGACGCAGAAGAAAATCAAGATGTTCTTCGACGATACTGATCTCATATCTCTACGCGAACAGAACGAAACTGTAAGTCGTGCGCCCTTCTCTTTTCATCACTTCTCCGCATTTATTCAGAAAGACTACGCGCATATCAAACCAGTGTTAGTTACAAGTGGACAATGGCTGTCTAAAGAAGCTGAAACAAAAGTAATTCACCTACCTTTGTACTAATTACTTATCAGTACCAATCTTGCATATGGATGATTATCTAAAAAGCAAATATACATTGTTTGTTCTAGTCGACCTGTAAACCAACTAATTCATCTGGCGAAAACGATATACCAGATGATCAACGCAATCTAATGCATATTCAATATGCTTCACTTGTTCTCGACGATGATGTAAATAGTACGACTAAGAAGAAAAGTCAGGAAACGAAACGTTCAACTCAAAAACTTGCAGACGGAAAATCATTTCAAAAAGTAAAAGTTTGCCTATTGAAAATTCGTCTGAGCAATTCTGTCCTTTTAGCAACTCGTTCTCTCCGATTCTACCGTAGTACGAAAAGAACATCTGCAAAGTTGTTATAACGCTCTGCTAGAAGATATAAATAAGCCACGACTGACAACAGCATCATCATCTTCGACTAAACTAAAGAAATTGGTAAATTCGACAAGAGGAAAATCTTCGCCTAGAATTGTTGATCTTTCTTTTAGTTCACTCCCACATCTGCCCTCAACGATCATGATGATGACGATGATGATCAAGTGGCTCATGTCGATTTTTTTGATTTATCAACTCGAAGAAAGAAATTTTGACCGAATTTTCTGTATAGAATTAATTATTATTTGTGTGATAATCAACTTCTTCTTTGTAGTTAAAAAACACGTCTATGCCCATTTTTGTTCTCAGCCGAGAAGAAGAGTTTTTTTTTCATTTGTATAGAACTATATTTAACATATATATCCGGTTTGAAGAAGAAGAAAGGATAGAAGAAGCTTTCATTATCATTCTTTGAATATTTTTTTTATTTACTTATTCGAGACAGCAAAGGTTATTGCGACAACGAGACAGATTCCTTTTTTCTCTCACTATAAACACACGACGAGATGATTCGGAATGAGAATGCTGAACGGAATCGATGTATTCAACAACAGACAGATGCGAATCGAAACGATTGCGATCCGAACGGAAAGAAAAACAGGTGAGTATTAAAAAGGAAAATGAGATTGGAAAGAGATAGAGCAAGGTGTTGCATCCGAATCCTTGGGCTTACAGGAAATGAAAAAGCTCAGTTGGAAGAATGTATTCGAACAAAAAAAGCCTCTGCTTGTTACACCAAGATGAAAACATATCTATATTCTTGTATTTCAATCCTAGTGATCAGTTGACCAATCGGCGTCATAGCATAGCTCATACCAATTTTCGTAAAGCGATTTACCGAAGTTTATCGCTAAGTAACGACCTCAACGATTGGAAGTCCTACATCAAATACTGTCTGAAAATTTTCGCCATCAGCCTGTTGGTTGTGCTTATCGGTGCATTTGTCAAACGCTTATGGCATCAACATCGTCATTAACTATATACCACTTTCTATTCGTTGTTTGATTTACGGCTTCTTTTACTATGATTAATAAAGTAATCCATGAACTAGTTTAGACAGGAAGAGAAGAAATTTTTAGATTTTGTCATGATTTTTTTCCTCAGAAACAGACAGTGCATGCTGAGATGTTGGAAAAAACCGCCTATCCATACGTTTCCCCACTGCTGTCTGTCGCAATGGCAGGACATGAAAAAAGAAGTGATTCATAAACATTTTTCGTTCTTTTTCCGGTCGCTGAAAGTATTTGACCATTTTGTTGAATGAGATGAAATTAAGAGGGATTTTTGCTTTATTTTCAAACTTATTTTTGAGAATGTTTCAACTGATATATCTGGAACTTCAAATTTTGGTGGTACCATGTTGGGCGGATGGGGATGACTATATTCATACGGAGAAATCGCCGTGCGAGGAATGTGAGAAGAATGAAGACAAGCATGGCCTCTATGACGTGATTTGGCTTGCTTCGACTAATGACATAGATGAAAACGTGAAATTCATCGAAAAACTCCGTGGAATCGTTCTTCGTCTGAAAACATTCAATGATGCTGATAGATGCCAAGTGTATATCGATCAATTATCAGCGGAAAGTCAGTTAATAATGATTATTAGTGATGTTAAACACATCGAAATTATTCGTCACATTTATCATTTGCGACGAATCTCGTCGATCTACATATGTAGTACAGAGATCATTACAAAACAACAATGGATGAGCTATTGTCCGAAGGTAAAATCTGTTTTCTGGAAAATCTTAATCAGAAAAGCTTAGCAACCATTTTTAGATTAAAGGAATTTTTGATGATTTTAATGAATTGATCACACGAGTCGAAAAAGATCAAGACACACAAAGGAAATTAGAAGAACCATTAGGCATTCATCTTCTTTCCATCATTGATTACAGAGATAAGTCTACAAGTTGGGATGGTGAATTTGTTTACACTCAATCACTTCTTAATTGTATTCTTTCAATACCATCGAATGAACAAGATAAGAATGAGCTAATTTCCATATGTAAATATGAATATAGTGACAGTCCAGGTGAACTACGCAATATTGACGATTTCGACAAGTATTGTTCGAGTAAAAATATTTTATGGTGGTACACGCGCGAGTGTTTCTTCCAGAAAATCTTAAACAGAGTCCTTCGACAACAGAATATTCACATGACGTTTCTTCTCCGTCGATATATCAATGATCTTCGTGAAGCGCTATTCAAAATACAATCCACCATTCCATTAAAAGTCTACCGGTCTCAGTTAATGTCTAAAAGTGAATTGGACTGCTTACTCAATCAAGTAGATAAATACATCTGCATCAATTCATTCTTTTCGACTAGTCTCGAACGATACATCGCCTCGTTTCGCATGGGTCATGGGGATCCACAAAACGATCTGGTCAAAGTTTTATTTGAAATTGATGCATATCCAAATCTAAAGAATGAGACGCCATTTGCTAATATCAGTTCGGATAGTAAATTCGACAACGAAATCGAAGTGCTTTTCACGGTTGGTTCTATTTTTCGATTGAATGCTATAAATTGTAATGAGGATCACGTATACACTATTAAGATGACTTTATGTTCTACTGAAGAACACGAACTGAAACCTGTTCTTGATTATATAAAATCAAAAAATAGAATGCAACAAAAAAATCTTCATACTTTCGCCAAATTCCTGTTAAATATGGGCAAATTTGATTACGCGGCGGAGTGCTGCCAACGTTTTATGCATCAACTGTCATCGGATGATCCTGATCTGATCGATGTCTATGAAGATCTTGCTGTTATCGCTTCCCAAACTGGCGATTTCAATCAGAGTCTTCAATGGCAAAAGAAGTTGTTGTCCTTACGGCAAACAATTCCGAATGTCGTCAAAGTCAATAACAGTGAAAGAACACACCACTCGAATGACTCAGCACAATCGTCAACGGCACGTGTTCGAGAGTGTCGAAATTATCCAAGTGGTGATGCATACGATGGAGAATTTTTAAATGATCTGTATCATGGATATGGAATTTACACTTGGGAAAATGGTGACCGATACGAAGGAATGTGGGAACACAATCGTCGCGAAGGACAAGGTACATGGACTTGGGGTGCACAAACAGCCTCGGCAGACGATCAATATTGTGGTGAATGGCATGCTGATAAGAAGCATGGATATGGAGAATATTTTCAAAAGAATGGCGACATATACAAGGGACAATTCAAAGACGATAAACGGGACGGAATGGGTATTTATCAAATGAAAAATGGTCAATGTTTTAATGTTGTTTATGATCGAGATCATCTGATATCTCGTGAAAACATTTAAACAGTGATTTTGCTGTCATACATTTTTCGAGCTTGATCTCTTGTCAATAATGTTTCTATGCAGCTGAGAATCAAATTTCTGTTAACATAGTTACGTTTCATACGTCTCTACAGTAATTGCGACATAGTTGAGAAATATTGAACTGCATCTTACAGAGAATTTCGTAAGTCTTACTTCTTCAATGGGGCGTTATATACCTGTAGGTTTACAGATGACTAACGCACTGATGAAATAACAATGTCTGCACACCCATTTATAACTCTAGACGAAAATCAACAATAATATCAGTAGATCATTTTGCCACAAATCCAAAACAACGTCAACATCATGGATTTGAAAAACGAATTGTTACAGCACATTCAACAGATATCAATCGATCAAAATAAGCACGAGACCAAATCGAATTATCGTCCGAAGTATAGCAACGAACATTACACGAAGTTAATCTGGAGTTCCACAGATTACAATGATGTTGAGAACATCCAAGTTCAATTAATAGCCGTTGAAAACGACGATCAACGTGATTTATTTGATTACATTCGACACACTGTCTCCTCTATGCCTCAGTGTCAAATTCCCGGACGAGTTCTTTCTGTGTTAGTCTACGATCAGTATTCGCAAACTTATCTTGGAATATTGCAACTAACAACAGACTTATTAAAAAGTGAATCTAAAGATAATTTCATACAACCAGCTTTAGAGCCCGCTAAGAGAAATCGTTTCAAACAACATATCCGCGATCATTCGGTGAATTTATCCATTTGCGTTCCCGTTCAACCATTTGGTTATAATTTCTGCGGAGGAAAACTTTTAGCAATGCTCGCATTCTCCATTGAACTCCATCAATTCTATGAGAAACGTTACGGCTATCCAATAGCATTAGTGACAACAACATCCATCCACGGCAAATCGATTCAATACGATCGATTGAAACAATTGAAATTCATTGGTTATACCAAAGGATTTGGAATCAGTCACATACCAACGTCATTGCTTGAAAAGGGAAAAGTTTATCTTGAACAAAATCATCCTGAATCCCTTCATCGAAAACAAGCCAATTGGCAATTGTTGAAAATTCTCGTACAAAAATTAGATATCGATAGCAACGACGTGTTTTATCATGGCAATCAGCGAGGTATCTATTGCGGCTGGACAGGAGCAAATGGAAGTGATTTTCTTATGAAGAGAGTCACACGACTCAATCAAGATAAACTCCAACCAGTCGAGGAATGCAGCCGATTTTGGAAAGACAGATGGGCAAAACAACGATCGACACATTTGAACAAACTGAAAGCTCTAGATTGATAATTAATTGATAGCACTGAACTCGCATCTAGCAAAGAGCGAAAGAATGAATAACTACTTCCCATATCTTTGATGTCAACTCAACGCAGATACTTGTTCATATGTTCATAGCTTTGTATAGTTTTTTATTCATTAGGATATAATAAACTCAATCGGAAAACAGATTTTATAAGAACTTCCATCGGCCTAATTCAGCTCGGCAATTGGGACAGTAGTGGACTTTGGTCTAAGGATAACGAATGAAGTATTTAAATAAAATTTCGAAGGAGTTACTTTGAGTTCTTTGATGCAAAATGGAATCAAACAGCATCCAAGCCAACAACCCAAGGAAACAAGAACTAAACAAGCTAGCCAGGCAAATAAACCACTGGATTCCTCTACATGAGTGAGAATGCTTTGTTCGCAGTTTGGACATCTGCACTGAATAGGCATTTGTCCGAAATGAAATCCGACCGGACTCCCTGTCGGTGCGACCTTAGAAGCTGATTGTTCTTCCACAGCTACTTTGACGTCTGCTTGAACCGTTTCTATTGATTATAAATGTAGAATACGAGTGTCATAAGACTGTGCTTACCATAAGGTGGTGGCTCGGTCGATATTATTGTTACTGTCTCAGCAGGAGAGCTACTCGTGGTCGAATTTTGTTCAATTTCAATTTGCTGCTCCGCTTCAGTAGGCTTCTCGTCCTTCATATTAGTCTTGTATTCACCTTGAGTACTGCTCTATGTTTAATAAATATCGACGGGAGTCATGCGTTCCTCCTATCATTTCTGTGCGTATAATTACAAATTAAAGAGGAAAGGCGTGAGTAAATGAAGGATAGGTCATCACATGAAATCTCCGTACTGAGTCATTGCGTTAAGTTGTAAGTAAATGAGCATGCAATTGTGCGTGGAAGAATGCAAACACAATTGTTTTTTTATCTCGATGGATGATGTACGACACCTTTTAGACCTGAATTCACTTGCTGATTCGAATGAAACGCTCCAATCGTTTCAAGTGAGGAACGCATATTTTTATCTTTTAGAATAAGTACCGACGACCTATTGAAGATCATGAACTTAGCAAGAATTAAATCGATACCTGCTTCGCAAACTGCTATATTACTAGTTGATGTTCAGAATAGTGAGATTGATGATGAGCACAAACGAAAACTACCTTGGTACTATAATCAAATTATGAACGTCTGTTTGCCGAATATGAAACGTGTTATTGACGTTGGACGTTCGTTAGGAATGGAAATCATGTATACTACCATTGAAAGTTTGACATCGGATGGGCGAGATCGAAGTTTAGATCACAAATTATCGAAAATTTTCATTCCGAAAAACTCCTATCTGGGACAAGTAATTCACGATGTCGCACCACTAGACGATGATATTTGGTTGAAGAAAACAAGTTCAGGAGTATTCAATTCGACCAATATCGATTATTTATTACGAAATCTTCAAATAAACTATCTCGTGGTCATGGGAATGTTAACAGACCAGTGCGTCGATATGGCTGTTCGCGATGCTGCCGATAAAGGTTACAACGTTATTTGTATCGATGATGCCTGTACAACACACACAAAACAAAGGCACGAAAATGCTTTGAGCGCTTTTAAAGGCTATTGTACTATTCTCAATACGGAGCAATTCATTCAAAAAGTTCAAGGTCAGTATCGGATGTAATGAACGGTCTATCACTCTACTGATGTCTTCTAGAATATAATTCAAACTTAAAGAGTATGACTGAGAATTGTCCAACAGTCAAACATATTGTACAATCGACATCTTTAACAACTCTGGTAACTACCGATTTAATCGGTATTACACGTGGCCGTTCCATTCCTACATATGATCTCGAGAAATATTTTAAAACTGGCTGTGGATGGGTACCTGCGGATAGTGCCCTAACTCCTCAGGATGTGATTGCTGACGCCAATCGCTGGGGTTCACATGGTGATTTACGTCTTTTACCAGATAAAAATTCTCGAGTGCAAATAGCGAATGGACCTGATTCGAAATCGACTCCATTAGACTACATTCATTGCGATATCGTTGAAACCGATGGACAAATATGGGATTGCTGTCCGCGAGGATTACTAAAGAGAGAAATGCAATATTATCAGAATAAGCTTGGTATGAAAATCAATGTGGCATTCGAACATGAGTTTACTCTAACGAACAAAACTGATTCACATGCTGCTCAACCTTCGTTTTCATTACGATCTCAACGTCAACAGAGCCAGTTTTCGAGTTGGTTAATGTCGTCACTTCAAGCAGCGCATGTTCAACCGGAAATGTTCTTATCTGAATACGGACCAAACCAATATGAAGTTACCTATCGCCCCTCTGATCCTGTAACTGCTGCTGATCGAGCTGTTAACATTCGAGAGATCACTCGAGATATTGCAAGACAATTAGATCTCACTGTTTCGTTCGCTCCCCTAACCTCAGTCAATGGTATTAGTAATGGTGTTCATTTACATATTAGTATCGATGATCTCAATGGCAAACCTTTGCTTTACGATGAGAACCGTCCGTTTAATTTATCAACTATCGGTGAGCATTGGTCTGCTGGTGTTCTCCATCATTTAGCCGCACTTTGTGCCATCACAGCACCAACACCCGTATCGTATCTACGTTTGAAACCACGGCATTGGAGTTCAGCATATGCTTGTGTTGGCTACCGAAATCGCGAAGCGCCAATACGAATTTGTCCGACAGTTGATTTCGATGAGGAAACCGTTCCGAAACAATATAATCTCGAATATCGGCCAATGGATGGAACATCGTCACCCCACTTATCACTAGCGTGTATCCTATTCGCTGGAAGGTATGGAATCGAGAAGAAACTAGCGTTGAAATCAATTCTTACAACGGATCCACATCTATTAGATGAAAAGGAACGCAATAACAAGGATATCTTCTCATTACCGACTAGTTTGAAACACGCACTGGAAATGTTGAAAAATAATCGGCACTTTCGCGAATATTTACCAGTCCCGTTGTTAGAAACTTATCTCGCTGTCAAAAACCAGGAGTTATCCATAATCAATCAATTCGACGATCAGACTCTCTGCGAACATTATGCACGTATTTATTAGAGAGAACCAAATCTTTCGTATTCACACTAGACTATGTTTTCTTTCGACGATTTTTCGTAATAAAATAAAATTTGTACTCAAACGTGTCATTCCTAGTCATCGTATCGGCAAAATCCCATATAGAATTTCGTAATAACATTCTCAGGTCGTATATAAATATGCGCAACACAGTTGCAATGATATATTTTTCTATTTGTCGTAAAGTCATGCCAAAACGTGGCCATAAAAAAGCATTCAAACCGCCGACAGAAGCACAACGAGTTCGAGCGCTTGGACGAACAGATCAAGTCAGTCACATATATTGAATATTTCCTCACTGCTCTGTTTTTCTCGACAGTTAAATGACGACCTTCGACGTGCAGTCACCGTTAATATCGACGAAAGCTTTGCACCGATTTTAGAGCCAGAGGAAGGTGACTGGCTCAGTGAGTACGATGAGAAAGGGCAAACAGTGCAAGAGTTTGAAAATTTTCGAAAAACGCTTTCAAGATCCACGTGAGTGCATCGATGTTGTTCTTATATCATTTTTTCGTGTCACTATAGAGGAAGTATCATATACATTCAACCATTTGGAGATTTCAAAAGTCCAAGGTAAATTTTTTCTTGCGAAACTGAAGAAACCGATCCGAGGCTTTCTATAGATCACCGAGTTTGGAAACCATCCGTCGATTTTCTCAATTGTTTTTCCCGGGATGCCAGACTGAACTCTTGCCATCCGTTGATTTAAATCCCGAAATGAGACAACGTATCAATGGCGAAACAAATCAACCACAATATTTAATACGTGATTTCACTGAACGTATGAAAGCGATGCGACGAAAGCGTAACAACCATCAGGAATTATTTGTGATTGGTGTAACCATGGTTGACATCTATCCCAGTTCACGATGGAATTTTGTTTATGGTGAAGCATCTATCGACGAGAGAATTGGCATATTTTCATTTTCTCGATTCGATCCTCTATTTCCTCACCCTTCCAAGGAATCATCACAGAGATTATGCACAGACGATGAGCGAAGGTTGATTCTTCGACGAGCGGTTGGGACGTATATACATGAAGTCATGCACTTATTTGGTTTACAACATTGCATCTATTATCTGTGTTTGATGAACGGAGCTAATGGCGAAACCGAACTGGATAAACAACCGCTACGTCTTTGTCCAATATGTTTGAGAAAGATGTCGATGGTATTCAAAGATCAAACTTATGATGTTATGAATATGTACCATGAACTATTCGAACTATCAAAAGAGTTAGGACTTCAAACAGAAGCGGATTGGTATAGAAACAGATTGCAAGTGCTGGGCGATGATTGAATGGGGATTTTTTATTTAAAATTCGTGTTTAATTTTGTTTTTTTTTTCAAAAACTACTTGAAGTACTGTTTCAGCATCTAAATAATTATCGAAAACTGATTCCAGTGTAAGCCACGAGCAACCTTTTATCCGATTCTGTATTTTCGTGTAGTCATCACCATGAGTAGAAAAGTCAACGTCGACTGTAACATCCGATATATACTCAACCAATCTCTTGAATAGATTAGGGTTTAGGAAAATGTCGTGATTGTCGTTGCCATATAATGGCCAGTAGGATATGCGCAGATGACGAAGATTGGGAGCAGCATGGATCAGACGTTCAAACTCCCAATATTCGCTACCGAAGCTACGAATTTCGAGTACAGCTAATCGATCATGAATGAATTTTTCTTGAGGAAATGGCAGGAAATCATGCGAATTCAATGTGTCGATTCGAAATACACGTAAGCTGGGCATATAGGGTAGAATAAGTAGAATCAATGATGCTGAAACAGTCGATTTCAAGGAAAGTTTCCGTATGGTATTGCTGGATGTGAAATTTCTCTCGGCATGTTCGGTAAACCATTCATTCATAGTACAAGTGCAAAGACTCTTCATCTTAAGAATGGTTGTGAGAAACGAATTTTTGCTATTTGTTTCGGTGTTCCGTGATCTTTTTTTGATAAACAAGTGCTTCAGATCGACTAAAAGTGGGAGAATGCGTATGATGCCTTCGATATGACATCCTTCCATAACCAAAGTGAGACTTGTCAGGTGAATGAGATCATTGGCATGGCATAGAACAAATTCGACTAAAAGTGTCTGTTTCTTATCTTTCATCTTCATCGAACAAAGATTCTGAGGTTTGATGATGTGCCAAAGTGAGTTGCTGGTTTTCGGTGGTAAAGAGATGTCATTTGGGCAGATAATTGCATGTACACGCAAATGTGATGACGCAAGAAGTGAGTCAAAATAAGAATTGAGATTCGCAAATGCGGTGATGAGATCATGTACTTCGATATAGCGAAAGATGATCAAGAATATTTCCGAAGGCATTTGTTCAAGTTTTGAAGGCATTTCAAGAGTTGGGGATGAGATCAGTTTTCTGTAAGTACGTATTCGGAGATAGATTAATGCTGCCATTCAACTAGTATTTCTCCATATTTCATGACTCAACATAGAGGACAAAAAGAAATATGATATGGCAATATTTACTTTCCTCAACACAGAACAGTAGAAAGGAACCATAAAAGAGCTCTGACAACAAAAGATTGATAGATTCTATAATCGAGTTATTAACATGTGCAAGTTGATCACTCAAATTCCGTTTGATTTGTTCGCCAAGTTCTTTGGACAGACCTCAGCCATCGATCTGACACGGTTTTTCTTTTACATCTAACGCTAATCTCCTCGACAAATTTTCTATGCTAAATCAATGACTATATATCCACGCGCAACACTACTTGCTAGTGCCAGAAGAATATGCGTAGTCATCGATTCTGGTTTAAGGTAACTATAATGATCTGCTGACTGATGGTACAGATGCGTTTTTTAAGTAATGCTGGACGGCCTGAGAGATATTTTTCGTAGTGTTTGCAACACATAGCGAGCTAGTACATGAAGAAGTTTTCTGTTCAATGCATCCGAGTAAAACTAATCTTTAAAAAGAAATTACTACATTCATTGAGTGGTTTATTTGATACGAAAATAAAGAATTTTGCCAATTACTTAACATTTACAGAGAATCGGCTAACACTATGCATGAGCCAAATTGGGTGGAGAGATATCGTATATCATCTAGTCTAAATCATCAGGCATTCCAGGTAATCTGAAAGCGTCATATAAATGTTCACTGGGTATAGCAAAACCAATGCGTTTTCGATTTGTGTAGTTTACTTCACTGCCTCGAACAATGCCAACGACACTTCTTGTTTCTTTATTTACAATGGGCCCACCGCTCGATCCATTTGAAGATGGATGTGAATGCATCATCGAAGTTAATTCATCATATGTTCCTGCTTGTGCTTCTTGACCGCATGGACCGCGATAACATAAAACTTCCGCTAATTTCCATGAATATGATACAGTAGGTGTAGAAGTCGATGAAAGAGATGCTGTTTGAAAGTCATAGGTTAACAATGATGTCGTAGTTGGTGCTGGGTACGGATCAACTGCAAGAGACGGAAGTTTGTGTTCGCGCTGCAATCGAAGTATAACAAGATCTGAGCGAACGAGATGAGATTCGAGCGCTGCAATACCAATCAAATTCCCGTCATTAGCTATCACAATTGATTTCGATTTTGAATCATGATTCGAAGAAGAAAGATGCTGAACTGCTTGGTAGAATGTATGTGCACAAGTCACGATGAGTCCTCCATCGAGTATTGCAAATCCACTTGCAACAATCACTTTTCCTATCGAAGGTAAAACATGAGCGATAGTGACTATTCCCGGTGTGAGATCCGATTGATTAGTAACATTCTTTCGTCCCATGTTCTCATACAGAAGTACATGTGGTAGTTGTAGATTTGCCTTGGAATTTAACTGGCCGAAGAGGTTAGAGAAAGATGGTGAAGCTGTTGATTGGTTTTCTAATACGTAACGAATTAAAAAATTATTCAGTTGATCGTTCGTTGAAGTTTCTGATTCGGCAAATGAAGCGTTTAACGCTGCTGGTAATTCTGTCGGTGACAAAGTACATTGGGAGTAGTTTCGAGAATTGCATAAGATTCGAAAGTGAATTTTTGAAAATAAACGTGAAGTTGATCGAGAAAGTAGTGCCAGTGGAATCATATTTACAAAATGAAAGTATGTCTAGCTATCCGCAGCAGCGAGAATGGGTATATCGTTAACTAATAGTAAGAGAGCATGTACATTGCCGATAGTTAGCGACATATACGAGCGCAGAACTTGATGAATGAAAGAGATGGATGATTTTGACTTGTGTTCTGATCACAATGCATGCATGGATGGTAACACTTGATTCGATTTCTGACGGCAATGCGTTCGTTCTTTCATAATTTCACACTGCTTACAATAATCAAGAAGATGTCGGCCAATGTCATGAGCATCAATTGCTGATCGACTCGTTGCTCAGTTAGAATAGTTGCATAAATCGAGATATAAGTACAATAAATCAAATTCGTGAACATGCACATATGATTCGGAAGTGCTACATCATAATACACAAAGCCTAGCATTCCATGAGAACGCCATATAATCACAAAAAGAATGGTGATACATTCAGGTCACTCGATATGACTAGCAACATAATAAACCAATGACATCGTCACTTTTGTTCATAATCTAATGAAAAACTAAATGATTTCCGGTCAATTTAAAAGCAGAATACAAAATCAGATATGTGTGAAGGATGTATTTTCGAAAAACAAGAATCATAGAACAGTAGTGGTCTCTCTATCAATCAACTGTTCGATAAATGAATTCTCACCACCATAGATATGCTGTATCTGAGATTGATTCGATCGTGAATGAGTTTGCATAGCCTTCGAAGTCGATTACTTTTCGTAATCGTCGCACGAGAAGAGAATGAGCATCGAGAAAACCAACGAGATGTAGCACGCAATGCTCGGCTTGTTTCTTGATGTGTTGAATCAGAAATCGAAGGATTAATTCTAAATCATTTTCTGCAACTGTCAACTTCAAACATTTTAAGTACCGGAATGCTTCCATCAAGCTTTGAACGTCTTGAAATGTTAAATTTCCACGTAGAATCATTTGCTGGATGTTGTTTCTATTCGCTAACGATAACAATTTCGATGAGTATCCCTGGAGCACCAGCGATCGAATATGCTGGGAAATATTCACTAGTCCGATGATATCTTCAATCGGAAAATCGTTCAGAACAGTTAGACGGGTGAGTCTTTCACAAGGGATGATCTTTGCCAGCTGATCAATGGAAAAAACACATGTACTTTTCATTCGATTTTGAGTTGACACTGTCATGTGCGTTGATTGAACATCAATTCTTGCTCCACTGTCGAAAACAACAATCTCTTCAAGATCGACATTATTTTCCGTTGAATCATTGATGGAAGAGAATAGTAACCATGTGGATTGTTTATATGGGTAACATCGATGAGCAAATGACCAGTTTCTTTCCATCCAAAATCGAGATTTGAATCCATCGATCAGCGGTTGATATTCGTCATCGGTATAAAAACTTCCACAATACTGTAAATCGAACAGACGTAAACAAGGAAAACGAATAGTAATCAATTGTTCCCATCGATCAGCTTTCAAATAATCACTCACTGAGATTGCTCGAATGTGTAAGACTTCAAGTTGATGAGCAACGATAGCATACAGCAAGATTTCGGATTGAATAAAAGAGATATGGCAATGAATAGAAAGATGTTTCAAGTGAGGTAAATGTATTGATGGAATAGAACTTGTTACCCAGTATGGTAACAATACACGACAGGAGAGATGAGTAATTCGTGACATACGCAGAAGCAGATTACTCAGTTGTAGAGGAGTATAACGCGTTTGACTGATAAAATATTCTATCGAACTTGGTTGGCAATCTTTCGCAGGGTTCGGTAGTACGAATTCGACAGGATATTGTTGTTTTATTGTCATATTGCAATATTTTAAAACCGGTAAAGCGAAGAGCGACTGATGAATCGTCTCTAGATTTCGTACTGATGGTTCAACAGTACAGGAAAGAGAAACGAATCGAGGAAACGTTGCTAGAAGTGTTAGAAGTGACGCAAGTTTGTCCGATTCGATATCATTCAAAGTCAATGATCGAAGATTAAGGAATGATGCATGATCTAGTGGAAAAAATGTAAAATATCGATCAATAGTAAACGGATTAGCCAATCGAAGTGAAATAATTCGATGTTTATTCGGAGAAATGAGATGTTGACAGTACTGTTGAAAAGATTGATGTGATAATAAATCCAATTTAATATGATATAATAAAGATGACTCGACGAATAAATATCGAAACCGATGGTTGAAATAGGCGAAGATTTCATATGCTTGACAAATATCGAGATATTCAAAGATTTCATAGAAGATCTCGTTTGATAGATGTTCGAATGATGTCATAGTTCGTATGAAAATACTCTTCTCACAGGAGAAAAGAACTTCTCTATGGCACAAAACACAATACGAAAGAGAAAACGCACATGCGCCGACGTGTTTTGATCAATTGGAAATAAACAGAAAAACAACAAAATCGTTTCTTGTAATAACATATCGAAAAATAACAACTCCGTAAATGACCCTCACCCTCAATCACAAGTGTATTTTCTCCAGTGCGAGTGGTGAATCGAAAGACAAACATGTTATTCAGTTCATTTTCCTCCAGTTATTGTGAGCTCAGAGAACACATCATTTTTTTATTACCAAAGTCATTCTAATCAATCGGAGCTGCAAGCATTGGCAGTATCTTGATTAGCTACATTTGTATTTTGAATGCGACAAAAGGAAACGATATGAGGTATTCGTGAATGATGAACTATCTTCATATTATTTCAGTCAGTAATGTAAATAAAATATACGTTTGTTTGGTTCATTTCTCTCCGTCTGATAGTGAGAAAATTTCTGTCAGTATAGATCTATTGTAGTGAAAACGGTTTGTTACTAAGTTCACCACTCAAAAAGTGAGAACTTTTTCCGTCTAGACGCTTTTAACCGTGGAAAAAAATAGCAAAGCTTGACACATTTTATAAGAAAGACGTATTTTTAATGACGCTTCTCTTTGCTAGTAGTGTTTTCAATGTATATGACTGAAACAGAAAATTGTTTCTTAGGAACCGGTAAATTTATATAACAGTTTTTTATTCTCAACAGGATGCGTTTGCAACAGTATTTTTGTGAAGCAATAAGCGAACGAATAGTAGACTTGATAGGTGAAAATCAGTGAACGATCTACAAACGATGGAAATAGAACGTCCGAAGCCTACATCGGTGAAAAGCAATGTCAAGAGTATCAAACCAAAACAACATGATTCGCATCAGCAAAGGGGAAAATCATCGGTTTGTGTAAAGTCATAAAAATTGACATGCACCGTTAATAATCGTGTTTAGAATGAGCCGGAAATGGAACTTGCCAATGTTGAATCACCGACAATTCTTCATGAATTCACAGATGAAGTAAGATTATCACATATGACTATTTGAATCATTTTCATTTTGTCAAACACACCTCAAATCAGCTTTCGATTTACAACGTGACTATTTTCATGTAGAAAATCCAGAGAGGCTGTGAATTAGCATCGGAAGGCAACTTTTCTAAAGCAATCAGCGTATTCAAAAGTGTAGTACCACCTACTTTTGATTCACTTTATTACTGCGGATGTGCTCATCTTGAACTGGGCCAGCAATCAGCAATATACGAAGCAATTAAAAACTTTAGTCGCGCATTAACATTACCATCACCATCCTCGGAGATCAAAGTCAATATATATTATAAGCGTGCTTTCGCATATCACTCGATTGGTTGGTATTTCGAAGCGATTCTTGATTATACCGCATTCATTGACGGAAACGAAGGTTCTGTACATCACGGATATTTAAGTCGAGGTCTGGCTCGGAGTGATAATGGCGATCATGACAACGCATTGCTTGATATTCAGCGCGCATGTGAGACGATTGATGAACCGTATCGGAAATATTATTTGTACTGTCTTGGACGAGCACAGACTTTAGCTAAAGACAATTATGCTGCAGAAAGCACATTTAAGGAACTGAAGAAGTTATGTATCGAACAGAGTCCTAGTTCGTTTGAAACGTATTTTTATGAAGGTGTCGCATCGTCCGAACTAAATGAGGACCATTCTACGACTTTGGCATGTTTTGAAAAAGCACTCAACCATTCACGAACACATAAAGATGAAGTTGATGCAAGATTTCATATCGGATTAACTCAATATAAATGTGGTAGGATAGATCTTGCGACAAAGGCATTTGAAGACGTTCTTGAACTTGATTCAAACCATACCAAAGCGAATTTTCGACTTGGTATGATGTCAAGCGAAAGTGACAAGGATCCTGCGGAAGCTTTGGATTATTTCACCAAAGCCCATCAATCGGCGCCACATAGATCAGACATATTATATGAACGAGGAGAACTATATCACAAAATGGGTAAAATCGATGCGTGCATTCGAGATAAGCAACTTGCTCTACAAGTTCAACACACAAAAGTTGATCCATTCGTCACCAAGCAGTACATAGAGGTAAGCTTTGTAAAAACCGCGAGAATAGTCGAGAGTCATCAGTGAATTTTGCCTTTTCACGTTTTTTTTATACTGTCTCATGTGTACTTTTAAATATAGAAACTCATACAAGAACTATTAGCAAACATAAAGGAATCCACGAGTGATGTGCCAAAAGATATGCATTTCCTATTGTCTCTGTTATATGGAAAACTCTACAAGTTAGCACAAGATGCAAAAAGCAAATCGAAGTCGAAAGAAGATTACAAGACGACAATTGCCGCTTTGGACAAAGCAGTTGACGCAAATTCTGAAGACATTAATGCAGCGTTGATTTTTGCTATCCGCTGCAGCCTGCATGACGAGAAGAAACACAATATCTCAGCAAAATGCAGTCTTGACCAATTCAATTATATTCTCGATCAAAATCCAAAGGTTGAGGGGCAGTGGCGCGAAATGTTAATTGGCCTGCAAGAACAACAGCTAGCCCTCAAAACTGAAAATATGAATATTCTACGTGCAATAGGAGAATTAAATGTTAATGCAAGTGAATATGGTGAAGCGAAAATCAAAGAAATTATTAATTTGTTGCTAGCGGAAAAAATTGGACAATTCACGAGACTTGAATCATATCGAGACAAAGTCGAAGAAGACAACAAAGCATTCATCCGCGATCCAAATGAAAATCGCAAGATCTTCTATGGAAAGATACGAGTGTCTCTCGCAAACAAATTAACTGCAATGGCAGTGATCAGTGGCGATGATGAAAACGAGCCAATCGTCAAACATGACCGTACAGGAACTAACTCGGCGTGAGCTTTACACTCATTCTTACATGTTTTATCGATCGACAGTTTTTCTTTTAGCATTGCCGATGGTTTAGAATTCATTGCTGGTGTAATTGCCTCCGTAGTGCCTACTGGTGGTGAAGTAATATCTTGCATAGCCGGTCAAGTTAGTAGTCAACTAAAAGACCATGAACATGAGAGATACCAAAATCGAATGTCAGAAGTTATCAAAGATCAAGATACACTCGAACTCCTTGAATTAGCACGATTAGTGGCACGCGAATTAGCTAATCGTTATAGAGACCAAATTTTAACAATCGGTTCACATTTTGATCAAGCCCCGAAACAATCCCAGCGATGCTGTTCCATCTTTCCACGCAGAAACAAAGTCAAACCGTGCGGCAATCCAGGCGTAGATGATCTCATAGAAAAAGCGACTAGTTTTGGTATTGGCTTTGCAGTTAGATCTATTATTGGCGGAGATTTGAGAAAATTTCAGCGTGAGACTCTGCATATGCGTTTAACCGAACTAGTTAGTCGTGCTGAACCAGGTTTTTTGAAGACACTTCATATGAAACTGCATTGGAAAAAGAACGAAGTCATCTCATACGTACAGTCGAGAGACGATGATAAAGTGTTCAAACCAAAGCTTCTTTATGATTTTTATTGCAAGCCTGGCATTTATTTCGACGAGAACAGTGAATCGAGTGCTGACCGAGAAACTTTACCATGGATGGATGCGGAGCTGTATGGATATCGATTAGGGACTCGTGAGGAATATGAAAACTTACTTGCCATTTTCGAAAAACAAAAGAACGATAAATTGAGAAAATTTCTTCGGTGTTGTTTCAAATAAATATCGTAAACGAGTATATTTTTAGATAAAGTATCAAACCCTTTCTCTCTCCTGATATGTCCACTGCAAATAAAAGGCGGCGACGCAAACCGTCACTGTAAGTACCTTTCATCACCTATGATTATCTATTAAAATTTCTGCCACTTCAGTCGATCTACTTCAGCAGACAGTACGGTACAAGCAAGTCATTATACTGAACTTTTAAGAAAAAGACTACGTCAAGCTAAACTAGTAAGTTTTTCATTGCTGACATGTTGTCTATCGATAGTATCCGTTAATGAGAAAAGCTTGTCGATGATGATGAGCCGGTAGTAGCGATGCAAACTCGACACGTGAACAATCGTCAACACGCTATGCCGTTCCGCCAAGAATATATCGAACGGTTGGTGCACGAGTATGTTTTATTACTATGAATAGTCAGTTTCTGATTAAATATCGATGACAGATTTCGAGAACTTGATCGAAAAGTAGCTGCACACCAACGCAAGGAACGCGAAGAGAATGATATGAAACATGCGCATGATCTTCAACGATTAGAAGTATGTCTTCGAACGTACATTCGCCCATCGTTTGATCATTTTTATTCTTAGAATACATTAGCAAGAAAACAACGCGAAATGGAACTGTATAACAATCGGGATTTAACTCGAGTACGGATGATAGACATAGGATTTGTCGTTAATGATTCCGCTTCTTTAGGAGTTACTTGCAGAACATTTACAGAATTCAACACCACAGTAGGTTTAACTGACAGATTGGCCCGAGATTTCAGCAAGATGTCTCATTTCTAGAGCGCAACTTCGAAGGATTCAACAACTCGAAGAAGATTATAAACGACTTAAACAACAATACAACCAATTGATTACAAGGATTGGGCAAAATGCGGCAGTTACCGATAACAATAAGCGTGAACTCGACGGTGAAATCAAACAGATTATCGACCGATTAGAACAATATTTAACTAAATTTAATAATTATCAAAACATAGCAAACACTACCAATGATGAATTTGAAGCAAGGCTCAGACAGTTCGAAGAAAAACAGGAGCTTCTTAACAGACAACAGGAACAACAAACAGCGTCGATTACTCATCTTTCTCAACAATATGACACACTAACAAACTTATACCACGAACTTGAACAGATGTTCAATGCAGATCATTCTAATTCTGCACAACAACTGGGAGACGTTCTCACGAAAATCAGTGATATTCAAACTGTCGTCAATCAAATGGGAGAAGGACTCAATTGGTCGCTGAGTGAAATACCAGTACTTGGACAAGAACTTCAACGAATTCAGGGTATCGTCAGTCAATTAGAGAGTCCAGAACGCTTACACGCACGTCTGAACGAGCTGGAAATACAAACCAGTAATCATGCTAATTTATTCCGACAATTCGACGACGCACTCCAACAATTAGGCCGACAAATTAATGATATGGGATTATCACATGGTCTTGCAGATATTGAGCAACACCTTCAGTTAATCGATCGCGATCTGGAGCAGAAAACACGTCAAATTGGAGAGGCAAATTCAATAGCCATTGATGCTCAACAACAACTCCGACAATTAAATCAATCGTTAGCAAACATCAACGAAAGGTTAGCTGATTTGGAGAGGAACAGTTCGAATCCTTCACTGATGCACAATAACTTGCAAGCACAGGCGAATGTTCCAGATGCAGATCTCATGGCGCAACAAGAGCAGTTAAGAAATCTTCAAGCAAAAGCGGATGAACTCAAACAAATGCTCGATGCATTAAATAATTCATTAATTGGACAGAATCAAACCGCTGAATCATTAACAAAATTGTTAGAGGATACAAATAGAGAAATGGACAGATTGACTGCTAATGTATCGAGATTAGAACAACAGATTAATGAAGCAAATGGAAAACTCGAAAGATTGAAGGAACAAATTCCAGTTTTACCTGAAAATCAACCAACACCAACTAGAAGTAATCTGTTAACCGTCTCAAATTCACCGAAATATACGTCCTACTTTGAATCCTTAATACCGATAGATCTACTGAAAAATATTTGGAAATAAATAAAAGTTTATACTATATTCTAATGACATTAAAAATTCGCACATAACTTAATTGACAGATGCAAAGTGTTTTTCTTTTCTTGAACATTCTCTTACAGTGCAGGCGTCTGACTCAACGAAAGTAATTTCTCAAAACAAGCCCACTGAATATATGATGAACGTAAATCAAGATGTTCTGCCCACTGATAGAAAGAGATATGATGCTGATAAATATTTACACATGAATAACAGAGGTATTTGACAATACACCTCTCACTCGACGGTCGAAAACAGAACAAACAAATGCATCGGCTGGCATTGTTTGCTGTTACTTTTGTCTCATGCATAAGTCACGATCGTATGTGACAAATCGTTTTGTTGTGACACAATATCATGACTTCGAAGGAAATCTATTACAACGTATTTGATGTAAGTATTGATCGGATGAAATATATAGTATCCTACGTTGGTTAGATGATAAATAATAACAATAAAACAATGCGAATAGCAACGTCGTTACAGAACAACGTCTCTACGGGTTTATCTGCGACGCATACACATGATCTTGTATGAATCATAATGTCAATATGATAAAGGTATTTCAAGTAGATAAGTCATCGAGGAAGAGCAATAATATAACGACATGATCAACATCATAGAAGATGTGTGCTAGGAACAAATAATAAACTTAATAATAAACCCGGATAAAAACTACAGTCAACAGACAGAAACAGAACGAATTATGCTGAGTGTATATGTTCATTTTGTTAATTTTCAGATAGAATCGATTGAAAGATTACTATGATCACAACGATATTGTCGTCAGAAAGCACCATCCGTACATGTCGAATATGTCTCGATAGTGATCATCCTACAGATCTTATCAGTCCATGTTTATGTACAGGTGGATCAGCATTTGTTCATCGAAAATGTTTAGACAAATGGCGAGCAACGAATAAATCTGAACGGATATTCCATTACTGTGATGTTTGCCAGTTCCAATACGTCATTGAGCCAGTAGTTGCGGATGTTTCGGCAGATCGACGACGTCTACTCATCTTTCGCTTACTAGTCACTCGTGACATCCTACTGATAGTTTTACTAATACAAGCATTTCTTGTCGGACTAACATTCCTCATACAGTATTGTGATCGAACTGCTCTTAGGATAAAAAAAATTGTATCCAGATTCGATGGCTCCGTTTGGTGTTTACTATCTAAGCAGTTTAATCATATTTTTTGCTTTATTAGGTGTGATAGGTCTAATAATGGCTTGTTGTGGAATGCCTGATAGTCATGGGAGTTCTGGAAGTGACGACTGTGGTCTAGGCATTGTTGTTTTTTTATTGGTCGCTGTAATAATCTTTGCTGTTATCGGTGTATTTTTCGGCATTGTGTTTACTGTAATAACTACGAAGAAAATAGCAAAACATCACACAAAGAAATTGTGGTTGAGACAGGAAACGAAAAAGTATGTTGTCAAAGATTTTCAAGGAAGACGAGACGAATTACATCAGGTTTCCAGCCAACGCGAAACACGTATACTACTAACAGAACCGCAAGTTGCAATAACTACTCGAGATAAACAAACGTCGATTCCAGTGAAATTGATATCAATTAAAGGATTGTCGATGGAAAACGATTGATTTAAATTTCCTTTTTCCGTACAAATCTGTTTGCGAACAATAAATTATTTATTTCGATATTTCCTCTATCGAAACCGCCCGATTGTAATTCCATGTCGATTACTTTCCATATAGTTTAGGAGGTTTGAATACGGCACCTACGCCGTAGGTTTTTCTCTTCCATAATGAATATCGTTCACATCTGGGACAGTAAACTTCCAGGACATCGATTCGTTCACTATGCGATCTTTTTGATAGGTAACTAACGAACCAATTGTACGGACGTGGTTGTTGTGGTAAATCAACGGAAAAATGACATTTTGATTTACATTTCAAGCATCGAGTTTGACTCGGATACATAGAGAAGTATTCAACGGGACCCGCGACAAGTAACTGACTTTGAACATCCAACATATTATGACGAAGATTATCTACAAGCTCGCCGTGCGAGAAATAAATATCTGCAATCAGCAACAAATTCTCAGGAGATCTGATTATATTCGTTTAAAATCTTACATAGTCTGTGATTGCGTTTCAATGGTCGCATGGTTTTGATCTTCGATCGAATGGTGATATATTTAAAAAATAAAGTCTCACAAAACGTACATCTAAGTTCCAAGAGAGAAGAATATTGAGATATTTACCTGCGTTCTTTGTAAGTTCTTACCTCGAACCACATCCGAAGATTTTGCTAGCTGTTACCCACGAACGTTTGCGACGTTGTGCGTGCAAATATTGAAACTTGTCTTTGGAATTCCGAAAAAGAGGCGTAGTGTCTCGTAGCGACTGTTTCTCATCGTTGAGATCCAGTAGCAATTCATCTGAAACGTAGACTCAAGTGGAAATTTTAGAACAAGATATTTGTTCAATACGCACCTAACATTTCAGTTCGCATTGCATTTTCCCATAATTTATCATTATTGTCAATCAATGATTTGAACGTTTGATTCACTCGTGAAAGTGAGCATAAATCAATGTATGTCACATGTGGAAGAATATGATACAGAAGTAATTCTAATGGTAAATCTGCCAAAGACAATGTATTTTCCGGCACGGGTTCGTCTGAGACATGAACACATAGTTGTTGTTCTTCGTTCACTGCTATTAATCTTCGTTGACGACCAGAACATTGACTAACAAGCTGACCCATTTCTTTTTGAAAAACACAAGAAGAAATTTCTATCGCTTTCTCAAACAGTAGAGGTACGATGCAGATCGAATAATAAAGTAAGATAAAAACCTGTATTTCTCGACGATTTTGTTAACGATGCATATCGAATAAGTAAGAAAATGATTATAAAATCATCTTTCCTACTCTTTGATATTACACGTGTTCGATCTCTCTCACCTTTTTTTCTCGACCTTCATTCATCACATCCCCACTCGGTTGTTACTTTCAAATAATATCAGAAATAAACATAGAAAAATATTCGATAATAACTGGAATGCGTTGAACGCTAATCGTGTGACTCCTTTTAAATGTTCTTGTAATCAAAACATGACAACATGCTTCGCTTATTCAGCTTATCGTATAAGTCTTTACATTCACAGCATGTTGACGATACAGCCAAAGAACATTATTTGATTGTTCTTCTAAGTCGTTTTTACGCATCTCTGTCGAGCAAAACCAATGGCAACGAGTTGGTGCTGGAAGAGAACAGTAAATATAAATTTAATCTTTTTTTCTTCCGACCTGCATTTTCACGTGGCTTGATTTTTTTTTGGTATAAAAACAGGCGTATACAACTAGACTTTAGTTATGGCAAGTAAAAATAACACGAATTCGGATTCGAACACATTCTTACTCTTTTGGCTTGATTCCAGCGTGAATGAAACTGAAGATAATCAAGCAATTCAAAAAACACTTCGAGAAATTATCAATCATTTCAAAGCATTCGCTGATCTGGACAAATGTCGTCGTTATATTTTATCATTATCTCCCCAGGATCGCGCAATCCTTATCGTTAGTGGGCGATTCGGTCGAGAATTGGTGCCTCAGATTCATTCATATCCGCAAGTTCTGGCGATCTATGTTTACTGTTTCGATAAAGAAGCGAATGAAAAGTGGTCAAAGCAATTTCCTAAGGTTCGCCTTTTCTGCTTGGAATGATGAACTTTTATGTTCTTTTTTAGATTAAAAATGTAGTTGTTCAACCGAAAGATCTGATTGCTGAAATTGGAGCATATGGTAAACCTCCTCCGGCGGAACACATCGAGCCACTTCTCTTCTCTGTGTCAGCAGAGGAAAACGGTTCTGAACAATCGACAACTGATCTGAATGGTCATTTCGTTCATTCTCTTCTTTTAATCGATGTTCTTATTCGAATGAAATCAATCGAAACGGACAAACAGGAGTTAATCAAACGATGCCGACAGCAGTACGAGGACGATGGAATTGAATTAGACAACATTAGGCGATTCGAACGTAAATACGTTCCAACCGATGCATTAACATGGTACACTGAAGAGTCATTTCTCTATAAGATGTTAAACAAAGCATTACGCACTCAAGATATCGATTTACTGTTTCTATTTCGTTTCGCTATCGGTGATATTTATCGACAACTGAAAAGCCATCAATGCCAATCGCCTGTTCATGTTTATCGTGGTCAACTCATGTCGAAGACAGAACTGGAAACTCTTAAAAAATCAGCTAATCAATTAATTTCTATTAATTCATTTTTTTCGTGCAGCACGAAACCAGAAAAAGCACGGGAGTTTCTGGAGAGAAAACCTATTTCCGGCGATACACAACGCGTATTCTTTGAGATTTATGCTAATCCCAGAGTAGCAACATCGAAGCCGTTTGCTGATATAAGTCAAATGAGTGTTATCAAAGATGAAGAAGAAATTTTATTCATGATGGGAAGTGTGTTTCGTTTGAGTAGTATTTTTCCAGACAAAAGCAATTCATCCACGTGGGTAATTCGAGCGGAACTTTGTGGGGACGAAAATCATGATTTAAAGAAACTTTTTGAATATATGAAAGAAAAATACGGCGGCGGAAATGACGAAGACGTTAGCCTTCGTTCATTCGGCGAAGTTCTTCGTAAAATGGGCAAGTTTGATTTAGCGGAAAAGATGTTCCATCGTTTATTAAAAGAAACTCCGAATGGAGATCCTCAATTGTTTTCTCTGTATTATTCGTTAGGTCAAGTCGCGTACGAAAAAGCCGAATACGACCCAAGTCTTGAATGGTTCAAGAAATCATTAAGCATCATAATGGATCTGGATTCATCAGATTATGTTAATATCGCTGCAGTTTATGGATGGATTGGAAATGCTTATTTGGGGAAGGACGATCTTGATACGGCAGAAAATTTCTACTACAAGGCGATTAAACTCTTCCAACAAGCTCACCAAGAAGATCATGAGGATCTTGCCTATCTGTATAACAGTATTGCTCTTATTTACAATCAAAAGAAACAATACCCGGAAGCGTTGGACTATTACAAAAAGTCGTTACACATCAGAGAAAAACATTTACCCGCTAACCATCCCGAAATAGCTGTTTCTCATAATAATATTGGATGTGTTTATCTTTCTCTTGAAAAATATGACTCCGCTTTGAAACATCATACACAGGCGTTAGAGATTCGCACGAAATCACTTCCACCGAAACATCCAGATATTGCGCAAAGTTTTGCGAACCTTGGTCAAGTAAATGAAGCAAAACGAGAATGGCAAACAGCGTTGGTACACTATCAAAAAGCAGCATCGATCTATCAATCAACATTACCACCGCAGCATCCAACTGTATCACAAATCAAGAGCGATTTGGAACGCATATCATCCAAAATGAAGAAATAGCTGCTAAATTTTATGCTTCACGACGGGCTTTTCAAAATAAAACTGACATCGATGAGACTCGCGCTCGAAAAGATCTGCAGTTGGTCAAAATAAAGCATCGTTCTGATCCAACTCCTACTCAGGATCTGATTGTGTTTTACGCATGCTATTTATTTATTTAAGAGTCATGAGGAATCGAATTAAGGACTAATAGAAAAATTAATTTTCCGTCGAGTGAATTTCATCACAGTTCAGGCTATTTAAAAAATGCTGCAGTGTATGCAATTGATTCAGGAAGTTAATCGTGTAAAAAGCTTTTCATATGTTCACGATCGGATCGCCTTAGAAAACAGAAGACATAGATTAGTGATATGATCCGAATCGACTCAAAATTCAACATACTTCGTACAGCTTTCATTGAACCGACATCTTGGTTTTTCAGAACGAACGGTACGACTCGTATCTTTCATAGAATGAGCAAACTGTTTGCGGTGATCGGGATCATTACTATAAATAAATGTGCGGAAGTAAAACTTCAGTGAAGTGATATATCCTTCGACATACTTATAGCAATCAGAGCCGTAGCGACATTTTGCCGGATGTGAATATCTTTCAAGATGATCTGGATCTTTGCTGCAATGTCACAAAAAAGTAAACAGTGGAATCATTTCTAACAGTGTTTACGAACCGAAAGCAGTCGGCTCCATAACGACACGCTGGTTTGCCTCCTTCTGCACCAGCTTGTGGTGCACGATAATCAGAATCACCTGGATGTGCGAATTTCTGCTGATGATCAGTGTCATTTCTAAAACTTCCATCATATATAAATCATTCGTATTTGCCTACAATACCTGGTACAATTTCGACCGTATCGACAAGACATGCGTACTCCAGCTATGAACATCGAAATAGAATGATTCATTTATGATACAGCGATCTACTTACACGTTGACCCTGGTGAATCATCACTAGCAACATGGCCAGGTCGCGCAAGTCTCACTAGAAGTATTAGAGCAAATATAATATTCATTATGCTACAATGTAATTATCGATAGTTACATAAGCCTTGACGAACATCGTTTGGTACTCTCATATTACACACATCATCCACTGGGCCAAAATTTGGGCGTAAGGCTTCAACAAGCTTTCCGAAAACTGGATGGGCTTGCAATTGTAGTAATGTTGCTTTAGAACTTGATCTTTTTTCGGGATTTTTCTTTAATAAGAGCTCAATGATAGCTTTATAACCACCAATATCCGGTACGACAGGATCTCTTGCGTCTGGATCGTTACAAAAATTTTCATAATCTTGCTGATCGTCCCATGGTATACCTCCGCAAAACAGTAAATAGAACATCACACCGGCTGCCCACGCATCTGACTTCTTGTGTAAATGTCTGCAAATTAGATTTTTTGAGTTGCGTTTTAAGAACTCCGGCGAGACGAAATACAATGTAAAACCTTTGGTTACATCCACCGTCATTTGTGCAACACGCGTATTCATCTTCTCAACAGTACCGAAGTCGATCAGTTTGATCGAGAAGCTTTTCTCATTGGGGACGATGACGAGATTCTGTGGTTTAATATCCCCGTGAATAATGTTTAATTTTTCCAGAAATGTCAATGCCCGTAGAACATAAAGGATAATGATCATTCCGATAATAGCGAGTTCCTGGGCATCACCTTCATTAATTTTACTGATCCAAAAAGTTGCAAGATCACATGCTGCAAGTTCCATTGCAATAAAAATACCTTCTTTGGTTAGCTTACTTCCGTAGTATTCGATAACTGGATGATTATTAATGGGAATCTTTTTCATCAAACGCAGAAATTCGATTTCATTTTTCAGTTCTTGCTCGAATGCCGGAGTATAATCCATGACTTTGATGGCAACGACTGTGCCCTTACCTTTGACTTTCCCTTTGTGAATTTCTCCAAAACCGCCGCGGTTGACGAATTCCATAAGTTCATAGGTGACTCCATCGATGTCGATCTCTCGGCTTTCTTTCTTTATAACAGTTTCGTGTGCTCCAGCTTGCATTGCCATCATCAGAATCATTTTGGCCATCTCCTCAACGTTTTCTTGATGTTTTCGCTGATTTTCTTCCTCTTGCTCTGCAAAACGCTTCGCCAAATCTGCATTCTGCTTCATCAGGATTTTTTGTTGTCTCTCCAATTCCTCAACCTTTGTCCGATCAACTTTCGATGGTTTACTACTTTTACCGCCCATGACTTTGTGAGAGTTGCTCGAAAGAAGAAAACGGCAGTTGTAGACGAAAAATAAACCCGTGTGGATATCTTTGCTCCTTTATATAATGTTGGTAAAAAAGAAAGTAGTTAATAAAAAGGCAAATTCTCCGAAATACACTCTCTCTACTACCTATGTGTTTGTTGCAGAAGAACTGCTGAGGTGCTCGCCGTTTTTCTCTCAATAACTACGACAATCAAGCAGAATGCACAATCTATTTATTTGCTTTTCTATGTCGTGGTAGGAAGAAGAAAAAAAGAAGTTTTGCGTTCCTGTAAATAATGTCGCGAAAACAGAGTTAAATTCAGAATAAGCCGAGAGAAAGAGAGTAACGAACTTTCGAAAGTTTGTTCTTGATATAGAGCACAATATAGGTAAAACATCTTCAACCATACTCACAGCTATATCGACGAATAGGGATTCTTATTTTAAATATGTTTTCCTAGACAGAGATTCGAAATAACGAGTTTTTTTGTATTTTATTTATTGAATATAAAAAAGTGTAATAAAATAAACGGTCAAAATATATTGCGATAGGCCTGTTGGTAGCTAAATATTTGTAGCTGCTGCGGTTTTGCATAGGCTCTTGCAGGCGAACGCTTCCGACATTGGCGGCAGCTGAATAGACTTGTTAGAAATGGAACTGCATGTGTGACGTGAAAGCGAAACTTGGATCGGTATTCAGATTTGCCATAGAGAAAAAGAAGTGTTAAAAGGCGCAAGAACAAGCCAATACAAAGAAGCCAAAGGTAAGGGTGTTCGTTATCTTCGAACGAATAGTGCTTTCGAAGACTTTCGATCTGAACCGACCATATGTACGTTCTATCCGTCCCATTTGTGACATAGAGACTAGTTTCATGGTGAAACAACGAGTTTTGAACATGACGCGAAAAGGATATAGTGGTGATGAAACCCATACGTCCCAAGTCTGCTTTGGGTGGACTGAAACCTGATAGAAGACAGGAGAGAAGTGCCACAATTGTTCCAGCCAGGTAAGCGTATTCAGTTCGACTAAAAATAACCGAAGCCAACTGTCCAATGCCGGAGCAAACAAATGAAAGTAGTACCAGAATAGCGAGATAGTATGCAAATGATCCTCTCGGGACAATTTCGATGTACATCATACTCAGAAACAAAAGAGGATATAGGACCAATCGAATAATGTCGACCAAACTTTTCGCTAGCCAATATTGAAAGGGATGATAGTAGTTGCGACTTTCTCGTTCGAATGTTTGATCGGTGATCTCTACTCCGAACAGACGTTGACTGGAGATGCAAGTTAAAATCCCGAATGCTAAACTGAGGAGAAAATAGATTGTTGGTAAACTTTTTATATCACATTCGTCTTGTTGAGCATTTTCGAATAGATAACCGATGCACGTGCCTAACACGAAATAAGCTAATAGATACAAAGCTTCGACAATGGCACCACGGATGTAGATTTGTCGAACACAGCGTGATAAAACATAGAAGAATGGAAGGAAAATTCGTTTGAGTATGGGATATGTCGTCAACGGTTGATGCACTCTCTCATCTTCAACAAAATGATTCTCGATATGTTCTTGTGCTTTCGTTAACATGATAAAACACGTGTCACAATCATTATGTCTCGGAGTAGGACATCGGTTAAGATCTTCGAAGAGTTTCTGTTTCAAGAACTCCTTAGCTTGATGACGTGGTCCTTGATACGCTAAACAGCATAACGGAGTTAGAAAGAAGATATCATCGATTTTTTCGAATAACTCTTGACTTGGTTGATGAATAACAGTAATGATAGTAACCGGTCCAGCTGCACTATATTTGATTAGTTCGAGAAGATCGAATAGATCATCACATGACGCAGTGTCCAAGCCCGATGTTGGTTCGTCCAACAGCAACACTTTAGGACAAGCAGCAACTTCCATGGCTACATTCACCCGTTTTCTTTGACCTATGAAAAGAATCGTTAGAAAATTAACGTAAATATATCTTACCTCCAGAAAGATTCTTCGTCAAATTGTTGTGCATGATCTGTAATCCTAACTTCTGTAAAACGAAACATACGTCATTTTTGATAACTCGGCTCGGATCGTTCAGTCGTCTTGCTCGCGCTGAATAGTAGACAGTTTCAAAGACTGTTAGATCATTATGCATGATATCAGCTTGGGGAACGTAACCAATGTAATCGGTAAGTTCACTGGAGAGTGGCTCGTATTCTGCGAATGTGATATATCCATCGCGTTGTAACCTTCGACGACCATGAATTGTCTCTAACAGACTACTTTTGCCGCAACCTGAACCACCCATAAGAGCTGTTATTTTTCCAGCACCTATTCGGCCAGTAAAACCTTCGTTGAGTTCGGAATTAAAACGAGTAACATTGCGTAGTTTCGCTCGATTTAAATGAATGTGAAGTTGAATGTGTTGACTCGTTTTATGATGATTGAGACGTACTCGGAAATAATCACTTACACCTGGAGGATCTATAATTCCATGTTGTCCAAAAAGTTTCTTTTTTAGCGCAAGCCATTGGAAAAGTACAGCACAAATCGTCAAACCTAAGACGACACAGAGCACAGTAATAACAACTTTGACTAAGAGTCGTGTTCTTCGTGCTACTCCATCTATACAAGTAAAACCGGGTGGACACGATAGTTCTTTGTCAACTCCCATCGGACAATAGCTACTATCGTTGACACATGCTTGTCGTTCGGCAGGAGATTTACAATACGATCGCGCCGGGCAGTAGCTCTCTTTCGCTGAGCCACCACATCCGTAATATTCATAGTCTTTCATTTGATGTTGTGGACATTTTGATACGGGAGCTACGCAAATTCCATTGCTAGGTGTTAGTGGAGAAGGACAGTAGGCGCCTCGTCGACATGGGATCATGCATCGTTGCCCTTCAGGACAAAAAAATCCAGGACAACAAACCAGAGGTTGTGGATTCGTATCATTAAAAAAGAAGCCCGCTTGACATTGCCTATCCTTTTGATTGCATCCTTGAAAATCGTAATACTTAGTAATTGCTGCTTCGTGGTTGACATGAAAGTCCAGAATCATGTTTTTATTATGACAGACATTTTGTAGGAGAAGTGTGAGATTGGAGCAAATTGAATTTGGTAAACAGCTGGGTTTCATAGACCAAGAAGTTTGATTTTTTTCCGGTAAACATTGTAAGCACGTCAAGCTACTATTCGAACGAGTTTCATTTTCTGAATAGCATTCTCCTTCGATATAACAGAAGTTTGCTTTGACTTCACATGTGCTACTATTAAGACAAGTCGCATTGCATTGAACATCAGCTGATGCTGTTAATACAATATTTCCGTCGTCGACAATTGCACGTTCCAGTTGTGCGAATAATAGTTCATCACTTTGAACTAAATTGGCTAATATCAATATGAAGGATAGCAGAAAGATGTTCTTCTTTGTTTCATTCATCACAATCAATTTCACAGATCTGTGTTCTTTCAATCGTTAAATGAGTAATATATAAGTTTTGAAAATATAGAATCGTAGGTGTATACGATAAAAAACCAACGCTTTAGTGTTATGAGAGTGTATGAATAACCAACAATGACATTTTTTTATTAGCAGGTGAAATATTGTTATCGGCAACTGACGTCTGTCATAGAATGAAACATAGACGAAAGCAAATTTATCTGCCATCAATCGAGGATTATTTATATCTGTCCTTATATTCTTTCAATAAAGCGTGCATCGTTTGATAAACATAATCCGCTTAGTTTCTATTCGCTCTTTCGAAATAATCGAAAACAATCAATAGTAGAATCTCTTGTTCATTTTGCCCATATGATAGAATTCATTAGTATTAATTACGAAGAGTTTTGTACTACTGAAAAAGGTAGATCGAACTAGTTATTCTCATTTATTTTCATTGCCAAGTCCGAAGGGCGGATTCTCACAAAGATGTTAATGAAAATTGATCAGAATCGAAATATTCTCTTCCACATTTTAATTTCAACTTTTTATGCTTGTTCGTAATAATGGCGAACAAAATGGACAAAGTGTATCAATTAATTTGAAGATAAACTGAGCAGTTTATGTAGAACAAAGACAAATAGACTCGGTTCTTGTAGTACGATTGATTGTCTTTGTGTGGATTCCTTCAGCATAGGAAAGCTTGTTCGTATGCGTTACATAACTATACGATCCGTTAGTTCATGTTTTCTTTAGGTACTGGCTCTAGGATAAATTTTAATCGCTGATTCGTTTATTATTCATGTGATAAAGTCTCGAATAACTTATTGTTGTACTACTCCAACGAAACAGAGACGATAAATTCGAATTAACGAATGAAATCGTAGAGCTTCTTGCCTGTTCTGCCTGTTGTAGCCTTGAAGTACTTTTAATAAAGAAAAAGAAACTGATATTGTGATAATATCAGATAAATCATACGATCTGTAGCCAATTGTTTCGTTACATTATATTATCAAACATGAATATCTTTCTCAATTGACTGATTCATTCACTGAACTGATTACATCTTTGATATGACTCGCTATCCTTCACAAATAAAATCAAAAGTATATTTCCTATTTTAAATAGATTAGTGTAGGCTTCATTATTGTATACAAAACGATTACACCTAGATGTTCTATCATTAATTTGTTTTTCATCTGATGCCATTACGATGACCTGCCAGCATCAAACTTGTTTTTTACGTCTAGAAAGATCAACGTATATAAAGACGCTATTCGAAAGTAATGAAGCCACTTTAGTTTTTGCCATGAAGCTCTTCGTATTCGTTCTATTCGCTCTTTTAATACATACGATCAACGGTAATGTATTCAGTCGAAAGTAAGAATATGTTCTTTCTCGAGCACCTGATAAACGAAATGTTTATTGAAGATGCGAGTGTAAAGCTGTGTCGAACACAGTGCATGTTCCGTTCCATTCATGGAAGATTTCATCGTGCAAGTTCTGTTCATGCAGGAATGCAGCTATGATCAATTGTGAACAAGCTTGTAAGACAATGGTGGAAACCTATGCCCGGACAGGTTGTGGAAAAACTGTTAAAGGTAGTAAAGTGAAATATTCCTGGAAAGCGAGTTCGTGCTCAAGTGGTGTGAGCACTGTAGAATATACATGCGCTTAATTTATGAACAGAAATTCTTCTGAATAGTTTTGGTTTTTTCTCGTATTAATAAATCTTGGAATAATCTAAAACTTGCTCTTAACTAATATATTTTATGCTATTTACAAGGGTGAGACTCGCTGGAATTTTGTATATATACAGATACCATAGGTCATCGACTGAAAAAGTTATTCGAAATCTTTGTTTGTCGCACAGAATTCGTTAAGGATGGATTGAGATGCGGTGCATATGAAGAAAGTCGATCGCTGCTTTGATATACATTGTATCTTCACGGGTGTATCGACTATCTTCTTCATTAACTACTTTTAACGAAGCAAATCTGGATATGCCGCTGGCCACATTCATTTCCGAAGTTGGCCGATGGAAACTATTGGAAGTTTCATCGGGCAGAAATGAATCGATAATGTGATCTTGCCGTTTGGTTTGGTCGTAAAGACAAAAGATTATTTTGTAGAGAAATGGAAATTCCAGGATTGCATCGTATGGACCTCGCATAAGTACGATAAATAATGAGATATGTGTTCCATGCGCATCTTTATCGCCGTTCAAATAGAGACGGAGACACATTTTATAACCAGTCACCGACGAGTAAAAAGATGGTGAGCATATGAACATTTGTTTTTCAGTTCGTGCGTCAACTATAATAAATAATAGCACATTCAACGACATATTGACGCACCTTTATTGTGTATGGATCAATCATGACACTACATAACGACTCAATTCTTCTCATTATTTTAAGATCTGTACTCTTTTGTTAAAAAAACAAGTAAACTTACTCATCATATCATCTTATGTGAAAAGAAACGAAGTGTCTCATTATGTGACATTCATTTAAAGGGTATTTGGCGGTGACTCCTTTCCTAAATAAGGAAAATCATATTCAAGGTAAGAATGTCACTCTTTGGAATACCTATCTTACTTATCGAGTTAGATTTGATCATGATACTCACTTATTTTTGCAGCAATATGATCGATTTTCCATATATATGTTCCATCGTATGTTGTACTACTGGCAGTATTAATCATTCCTTCGATAGATTTAATATCTGCTTGTAGACGTTCTTGGCTGACTGCGAGAGTATCTAAAACACTATTCTGTTCTTGAATCGACAGTTTCAATGTAGAACAATCTTGTGAAATAGCATTTAGATTCTCCTGGAGATGACTGGCCTCTGAAATAATACGTTGACTATCATCTTTTAGAACAGGTATAGTCTCCGACAAAATATTGACCATCTCAGCGATATCTTGTAATTCATCTGCTGTGATTTGTTCGGTTTGCTTAAAATCGATCAACAATCCTGTTGCCAGCAATGACTTCCAACGAAAAACAATGTTCATTAGGATTAACTGATGTTGTGCTGTACGGTAATGTTTATTTAAGCTGATGAGAGGTATCTAAAACAGCGAAATATCAAACACGAGGACTATCAAAAGCAGTTACTTACATGATCTTGACATCCGAACTGTTTGAAAGGACAAGAGACAAATATTTTTTCGCAACTGTATAGTTGATGTCGAATAAAATCTTCATCAGATGAGAATTTTTCCTCACAGAATTCACACGTTGGATTCGAATGCATTTCGTTCAAATGTTTCTGAAACATCGACTCGTACTGGAAAGATTCACCAGAGATAGAAATCTCTTACCTGATACTTCTTCATTTCATCCGTCCAATCACAATATGCACAATGAACTACCAATGTGTTCAAGTCATTCTGAAAACCTCGATCGCGTTGGAAGTCTTTCCGCGAAAATCGTTGATAACATTCTGCACACGTGATTGAATCTCTACAAGTCAAGAAGTCATCATGAAGTACAAATATGTACGATTCGTTCAGCTTACCCTGGCTGTTCTCTAACACACGACTGACAGAGACGATGTCCACAACCGATGAGTTGAACAGGATCCCGCAATATTAATGAACATTGCGAACATTTGAAGGTCGATGAAATCAAATCTATCTTTTGAACTCGTATTCCCACCATAATCTCGTTTCATTGAATTTCTTTCTTTTTACTATAAACTATCGATCAGTCAGTTGCTTGCGAAGATACAGTTGATTGCTCACATTTTTGCACAAGACTTTGTTCCAATAAAGTACAAATAGTTTCTATCTGTTTTTTATAGTCGAATGCCATTTCTGTACTTTTTCAGTGTATTTATAGGCGAACTGATCGAGCAGGACAACAGAAAAGAGAAAAACAACAACGCAAAAGTAATTGATAAGATTCTAAATATAAGTTGGAAAAAACCAAGTGTGTAAGCGACGCTATAATGTTACTTTTGACCTGGAATTACGCATGTTTTTTTCGAACATTCGTGCCTTGAATTCACCATCTTTCCAAGTAACATTTTCTTCGGTGAAATGAGAGTAGAGAATGATATGATATTAGTAATCGATTGTATTATTGAATGTGAATCATCAAATGAATATGAATGATAATTGTGCAATAATTATTTTTATATTTAATTACATTTATGATTCTATGGGCAGCTACTCAATTTGAGTGCCGTATGTTCCGCATGATTTGTTCTTAACTAAAAGCAATCAATCAAATTTCAACCTTTTCACTATGATACGATAATTGAAACAGTTGAAAAATCTTAGGGTGTTTTTTGACTAAAAATCTTTCGTCTAAAAATGATTGCGCGTGACTCTGTTCATTCTGCTACACTACTTCTTCTGTTGTTATCCCGAAGAAGTCCAGAAATAGAATAACGCTTGTCACGTACATCAACTCGCTGATGCCAGTAGAACAAATATACTCTCACAAGCGTGTCTGATGTGTTCATTCTGACATGGAATCGCAAAAGAAAGGACATTAACTTGATGTTCATGACTTTCATCTTCATTCGAACTTTTTTTTTTATAAATTCAAGCCAGTTACGATGAATGACATACTATTGGCTATCCGCACAAGTAGTACTAGTGTGAATAGCATTCTTTTAGCAATACCCTATGTTGCTAACATCTGGCTTGGTACGTTGTTTTGGACAATGGGAAATATTGGCTGTGTTGGTAATTTGATTGTCTTTCGATCGAAGACGTTCAATAATCAAGCTTATACAGTGTATTTGCTAGCTGAAACGATATCCGACTTCTTTCTAGTTAACTTAGTACTTCTCACACGGATACTGGAAAAGGGTTTTGGAATGTCAATTCGAAGTGGTTATGATTATTTATGTAAAATTCGACAATTTAGTACATATTATTTCTATGTCACCTCGTTTACATTCTTTTCAATGGCAACTATTGATCGAATTCTCTCAACACAACGTTCAAATGGTAAGTATCAAACATAAATAATCTTCGATTGATAAAGAATATCTTTTCGTTTAAGGATTACGAAAATGGAGTAATCGTGTTTCTCTGGCCTATAAATTGGTTTTTGTCATGACTATTCTTTGGTTACTCATTCTATGTCATCGATTGTTTATATATAAAATCCAAGACGGTGATTGTGCCCCTCAATTCCTGATCTATGATATTATTGATAATTATGCAGAGGCCATCCTGATGGAAATATGTCCATTGATTATCGTCTTTATTCTTGTATACTTCCTGAGAAGATCCCTTCGAACTGTTCTTCAACGTCAAGCAAACACCATTGCCTCTTCTTCATTGAGTCCATCGAATCCAAACAAACGTTCTCAACTTCAACAGATAGATTCTCAACTGACACGAATGCTAATGTTCCATTCCATTGTTGCCATCATCTCGTTTGTTCCATACGCCTGTCAAATATTCTACAGTCATATTACTGAAAACTGGCCCAAGACACCTTTACAAAAAGCAATTGAAAAAATCAGCAGTCAAGTCACTCATATATTCGCATATCTATTTTTTGTTTCGAGCTTCTATGCGTCGATGACCTGTAATAGGGGATTTCGACGGGAAATCAAACGGAAATTCCAATTCAACAAGGTGCGACCTTCGAATATGCTAGTGACTCATATTAACACCAATGGCTAGTATTGATTAACGCACTTTCAAATTTGAAATGACTCATGATGAGAAATACGAATTAGCAATAGGTCTTGAACAATAAAAGAATCAGGAAAGAGCAACATCCAATTATGACTCATCGGGGAAAATCCCAAGCTAGTAATGCATTATACTCATACAAAACGAGCGAAGGTTGTTTATCAAAAGAAATCAGTCAGGCTGAACGAGTACTGTTAGTTACTGGGTTCAATGATAAACGGAAGAATCTCGTTAAAGAGATAAATAAATTGATCGCAAGCGTAATAAACAAATATTATGACGGTTTTACCGCCGCTCTACTCTACCGGTATTGGAAATTGAATAGGAATTGTTGTCAATTGTACTGCGAGATGCCATACTTTTGTTTTTTAGTAACTACCATATACGGTAGAGTATCTGCACATTTGTTGGTTGGTGAGAAAAGTCACGAATCAGGTAAACGAAATTGACGAGTGGTACAAGCTTATTCTGCAGGACAACAATGGTAAATTACGATTTTCATTAAAGATGAAATTTCTCATCGTATTGTTTAGCTTTCGAAAAAATGTACTGAATGTTTCAGATGCAGAAATTCGATGTTAAAGGTTCAATCGATTAATAAACGCTGATTATCATGCAATCTTTACTCAAAATCACCGAGTTGCCATTCGCAATCACACGCGTCTGCATTTTTGCGTTCTCCAATTCTCTGAGAAGAAAAACAATGCTTCGCGGAGTGACACATATGCTTACTTGGCCAGAATGATGCAATAACACAACATTTGTATGCTATAAAGACTTAACGAAGAGTCATGGAAAAAACCATTGATGAGTAAGTATGATATGTAGAAAAGCAATGTACGCCCTCCGTTAGTTTTAATCGCATTTACCCACCGTCTATACTTGCTAACTATATCTGTACGTATTGGTGTCGGGAATTTGAAGAGTGGGTATAGTACTTAAGTCAGACAAACAGTTTTCTTACAGGAGACAATACACATTAAGATGCAGCCAACAACCGACGAATCTCAAAATACAGAACTGGTCACCGATACCGTGCAGGGATTGAACGAAATTCTGAAAGGACCCAAACTTTTCTTATTGGTTAAGATCCCATTCTTTTGCGTTTTTATTGTGCTTTACGTTATTTATCAAATTCTTCGACTTATTGTCTTGCAATTACCACATCTATGCTATCAAATCATCAAACACTCGATACATTTTATTAAGAATATTTCTCTTCGCGCGTTCAATACCTGCAAAAAATTGCCGAGCTTCATCCTACGGCAGACTGCAAAGCTTTATCGGAATTTTCTATTACCAATTGTATGCTTTTTATGGTACAACGTGATTTTGGCTGTGTTAAGAAAGCTACCATCGTTCATTAAAATGATTTTTTATCCAATAATGCGATGGTACTTCAAATTTATCGTTACTCCTATTTCTACATTGATAAATTTTCTTTTGGTTACTTGGTATGATGCGTTGGTTTTTGTCTTCAGTAAACTCAAATGGCTTATGAAACAATTATGGGAAAACGTTTTGCATAGAGTATTCGTATTGATCAAGAATCATATTTATCCGTACATCTATGAGATTGCTGGAGAATTTTTCGACATCGTTTATCGGCATGGGCTTGTACTACTATACAGAAAAAGAAGAGAAATTTTCCAAATGACTTGTGTTTCCTTCTATGAATTTGCTTGCTGGACTTCGAGGTATACTCTGTATACATTTAAATACTTTTATGATGCACTTACAGTTATCTTTAATGAATTACGAGACATCGTCTTTACAATTTGCTCATTCATATACCGTCATAGTTTACTGCCGATATTTGAATTTACAATCTCAAATCTACCCAAGATCTGGTCAGCATTGTGCCACTTAGCTGATATTACCACCATGACTATGATACGAATACTTCAACAACTTTACTCTGGAGGAAAAGTACTATATCACCATATAAGACATGCTTTAGTCAAATTTTTGTCAACTATGTTCATTCATGTCGTGGAGCCAGTGGTACGAGCGGCAAATTATATCGCACCAATAGTGTGGTCAAAACTGAAACAGTTCGTTCTGTATATGGCGCACGGTATACGATACATCTATAGTCGCGTATGCCCAATAGTGACAATTATATACAGAAATGTACGCCCGTTTGCCGTCAACGCTTACTCAGCTATTCGCATTCATTTCATAGCCGCAATGAAGCGACTGATCAATGATACTTTTCCCAAGATGTGGTTCAAATCCAAACAATTTCTCATCAAGATACCGAGCGGTATACAGCGCATCTATGTTTGTTCATATCGAACACTAGCAAATATTTACCGAAGTGCATACTCTCTAGCCGTCATCGTTTGTTCAATGATTCGCACTCGTTTTATGATGCTTATGGGCCGATTCACAGGTGGTACTATGCGAACAGTGTGGTCTAAACTGAAAGAATTGGTTGCCTATGTGACGAATGGTATTTGGTATATCTATGGTATGATACATCCTCTCGTCATCAAAGTTTACTCAACTGTTCGCACTTATCTCACAATGTACTATATACGCCAACTCATCGATGACATCCTCCCAAGAGTATGGTATAAATCTAAACAACTACTTATCAAGACGTCGGCTGGTGTGCGATACGTTTATGGTCGTTTACGCGCTATACTACCATATATCTACGATATTGTGTACACTTTTGCCATTGTCGCTTTTTGTACTGTCAAAATTCATCTCGTGGATGCTACGCGTCAGCTGATCAGCAGTTTATTACCAACAATGTGGTCTAAATCCAGACAACTAGTTGTCGATATGATAAATGGCATACGACACGTCTATGGGCGTTTATGTCACAGAGGATCAGGAATTTTCAGCCGTATACGCTCTTTTGGTACTTTAGTTTACTCAATCATACACAGTGAATTTATGATCTCTACGATTCGGTCCATAAGGGAAAATACAGCAGCTATTTGGCATTCCCTGGGTGACCTTATGATCAGTGTTAAGCAAATTGCACCACGGATACGTGATAATCTATATCAAACGTTTCGTACTCTGTCTACACAATGTTTCACAATGTATGGTTGGATAAAGACGAATGTCCTAGTGATTTGTCGTACATTATATCCATCGATGCTACACGTGACACGATATAAGCTGAACGAATTTCATCAAATCGTCCAGCGAAGCGTGGTGCAACCAATGATCAGTCTATCGTTTTCCATACGAGTGTTTATCAGCAGTATGCTCAACACATGTCGCGTTTTTATATCTTCAGTACGACGTATGATGGCGACAATTGCTTTAATAATTGTGTCGGCTAAGAACACTGTAACTTCACATTTAAGTCGTCAAAATCGCACGCAAACTGTCGTTAGTTAGGCAATTTCTGTTTTTTTTAAAGACACCCTCACTCTTTAAAACGTCTTTCATTTTTGAATATTTTTTATAAAAACATACATTAACCAAGCAATCACATTTTCAGAAGTTAATTAAAAGGAGCAATCTTATACACTGATATTGAAAAGATTTGTATGCAATACTTTTCCGTCGATTCTATGTAGCTAATATCGATATCGATTACATTCTAAATGATACCTGAGACGAAAGCACTTGCTCCGAAAAACGTATCTATATATACAACTTTTCTATCAAGTGGCATATTAGATCAGTTCACAAAGCTAACAGTACCCGATGCATTGTGTAATCCTATTAACACTAGGCATCTGTTTGGTCAGTGTTCCATCGATTTTAGCCCAAGATCCAATTGGCCTCCGCGTATCGGCAACTCTTCGTGATATTCGATTGGGCACCGCGGTACTGGTTGACAATTTACAAAAGAATGTTGACGGTGGCAAATATATTGCAAATATCAAAAAGAATTACCAATGGGTAGTCGCAGAGGTTGGCATGAAGCCAAAACAAATCTGGATAGGTGAAAACAAGTACAATTGGGCGACTGGAGACTGGCTCATTGGTTCACCATCGAATCCAATTGGCTGGATTCAACAGAACGGCTTGCAACTACGAGGTCATAATCTACTTTGGCCAGGTAATAATTTTATGCCAACTTGGTTACTTCAGCAAGAATCGTCCATCACACCTGACAAAGCCAAGTCTCTCTTAGAGGATTATATTACTACGGTAGTTACTCGTTATCGAGGCAAAATTGCTGGATGGGATGTGGTTAATGAAGCGATTGATGATTATGATAGTAGTCGCCCATTTAATCTACGTGATTCATTCTGGTTTCGAAAGCTAGGTCGTGATTTTATTAAATATGCTTTCATATTTGCTCACAATGCCGATCCTAACGTCGAATTATTCTATAACGAATACGGCATTGAGCGTACTAGTTTAAAAGCAAATCGCACGCTTGAACTGGTCAATTGGCTAAAATCAGAAGGTGTGACAGTACATGGGGTTGGTATGCAATGGCATATAGATGTGTCGAAAACAGTCACACCTGGTGACTCATATTATCAAAATGCTCAGCGATTTATCGATCAAGGATTTGATATTCTAGTGACTGAACTTGATATCTCTGTTCCAATGCGAAACGGTAAACCTATTAATCCGGCTGATATCCAAAAGCAAGGTGTTCTCTATCGTTCAGTTTTACAATACGCTCTTCATTTCCATCCAAAATGTCACGGGCTACTCACATGGGGTTTCACTGATCGTTATAGTTGGATACCTTCTTTTTCTAACAATACCAAAGGCGATGCTTTGCCTCTTGATGCATCCTATGTACCCAAACCAGGTTACTTCCAAATGCAAGAAGAATTAGCACGTGTTCTAGCCGATGGTGTTTACTGTCTTTCACCAAAGTCACAACCAAACAAGTGTCTCGGTGTATCGAGTGACGTTTCTAGTGGAAATATTCAACTGTATGACGGTACATGCACGAATGACAATCAAAAATGGAATATTAGTTGGCTTGATGATGGAACATATCGTTTATCACCCCTTAGTGCAAATACTCGTGCACTGAGCGCTTATAATGTGACAAGCACAGTCGGTGGTGTTCAAACAACTTTTTGGTCATTTAATGATAACCAAGAATGGGTGTTAACGTCAGCGGAAAACAAAGTTTACCGTGTTGGGCCACGTGGTGCATGGTTAAGGGTCATGACAGTTATTAGCGGAACAGCAGACGTTCGTATCGTTGATTATACCAGTACAAATGAGCAAAATTGGATCTTAACCAGTATCTAACGACTATCGTTTGACTGTAAACAATTCGATTAAAAGGTCCGCTTTAAATAAAAAAGAAAGGCTTCACACATACATTATCAACACTTTTTATTGAAAATGATAATATCATTGAGTTATATTATACACAAAAACAAGTAGTGTAGACAAAACGAGTTTATCGATACGAGCCGATTTTAAAAGAATCCCTGGCCAGTGTATCCATACGGAGCACTGTATTGGTTCGTACCACCGCCTTGGTGATGATTAGGATTTCCAAATCCGAAATTTCCATAATGATGATGATGCCATAGTTCATAAGCGCCTAAGCCAACAGCTCCAACTAATGCTGCGTCCATAAATGGATGTTGAAGATGATGATGATGCATTGTGTTCAGAAGATTTGTTTGATAATTGTCAAACACAGAAGAATATGATGGATAACATTAGTATTTGTCGTCGTATTTATATGCGCTGGTGGGGTGACGGGAAAAAATAAGCGTGATATTGAGTAATCGATGCATGACATCGATCATATCAATTATTCACTAACATAGCGACGCCCATCTTGTTTACTTTTTTCATGTTGAATATTGCATATGTCGTTATCCAATCGGAAAACCAAGACGCACGCCCTCCGTAAACCAACGTCACAACTTTCGAAATATTCAATTAATTTCTTGTATTTTGACAGAAATATAAGTCATTACGCAAGCGGCTGCAATCACACCCTGAGAAAAACTAATCTATTGCAAGAATCGAAGTCGAACAGAAGATTTCTTGTCATGAATGGACGCCCATGTATCTATATATCGAGGTACAGAGAAAAGAGAAATCAAAATCGAAAAAATGACGTCATTACTAACGATACCTCGCGAATGGAGCTGGTAGAAAGATCATACAATTTGACGACGCGTTCACAGACGATGCGATAGAGAAGCAGAATTGACTTCTATAGATAGAACGAAATCACATCTTTTTCTTCTTCTCCAGCTGTTTGTACGATGATAAACTGTTCACTGATAATATTTTAGGTGCTATTACGACATATTCATTAACTATTCACTCAGACGACAGAATGACATTCTTGATACCTCCGCATGACATTACTCGACTTTGGCTTTATTGTATCGGTGGAGTAGCTACAGTTATATTTCTAATGGTGACGGTTTGTTACTTTGCCTGTCGTCAAGAATATACAGATAGAGCGGAACGACGAAAAGCGAAAGAACGTCATTTGGTGACTGTTCAACAATGGCAACAGCAAGTGAACTCCTTTCCTGATCTTTCTCGTCGACCTGCAAGTGATATTCTTATGGAATTAAATGTTGGTCAACACCGACCTAACCCTCAAGTTGCATAGAAATTTGCTTTGATTGTATGACGAAGTATGAAAATCAAATTGTTTTTACGTTTGATCCACTGGTGAAATAAAATTACTTCGAGAACGATTAGTAATCTTAAACGAATTTGTGTTTACGAATCTATGGCAATGCAAGACGATTATATGCATCAAATTGACAAGGAATAAAGAATGTATAGAAGATTGTCGAAAAAGAAACAAGAGAAAAACTCATAGAGACACATTGTTTTAGCAACGAAGATGTGCCACACTCACGCCTTCTCTCATGATCAATGTAAAACTAACCGATTGATTAACTCATTTGAGTAAACTATAGAAAGGATCGAAACCATGAAGAATTCGAGCTTCTGTATATCGTACGCAACTACAGATACTTCTCTGCGAAGTAATTGATGTTCTTTCTATATACTTGCTAAAAGGAAGTAAACTACGCAAGGCTTAGAACGAAGTGATCGTTGGAAAAATACAGAACAATTCAATAGATTACCAACCAGAACCGATAGGAAAATCACAATCGACATAGAAAGAGTCATTTGATTGGAAATATATTGTAGATTTGTGATGTATAATGCTGCATTACTTGTATTAGACATCGTTTTCAATTTGATATCGACTCGAGAATCGCTTTATGTAAAAATAACTGTTTTAATCGAGGAAAATATTTACATGTTCATGAATGATTACTTCTACAAGACAAATCCAAGTGCATTTTCCCAGCCTTGTACACGTTTCCATTGTTGGATATGTTTGAAAATATTAATTGAATCTTTTTGCAGGATATCCTAATATGAAAGTACTTTCATTCTATATTTCTTTGACGACTAAGAATACTGATGGACATTCTTGTGTTTCTTAACGAAAAAGAAAATAAACAGCGGGCGCGTCACACATCAGCGTTTTTCAATTTCCTTGTCATTCTATCACAAATTTTCATGAAAGTATAACACACTTATCAGTAAATCTGAATAACAGATGCTCTTTCATATTCGTCTTTTGTTAGACAACATATACATGACGAAAAATGGTATTTTTCTCGAAGGATCGATGGATGGATAAAAGATAAATTTGTCTACTTTCTTGACACATTCAGTCGTACAATTCCCTCAATAAATCAAAGCTTTTGAAAGTGTTGTCTAAGACAATAAAACTGGATATATATCAATATTGAGTCATTATTATTCATCCACCTTTTCACTTGATCTCTCGTCTATACAGGTGTACTGCAGCCAAAAGAACAAGAATGTGCACGTATGAGAATTTGAGTGAAACTCATGCTATCAGTGCGATAAGAATTGTCAACAATTTCAAAGCGATATGATTGTTTATTTCAGACGAGACGCGTAGTGTGAGTATTATCGTGCAAGAGGAAGCATTTGCCATGGAAAATACATGTAGGAGTATTGACGCCATCGAATTCTCCAGTTCTGCAATCACCCACGAGGAAAGGAGAAATCCTTGTCATCCTATATGAAACGTATAAAAATGGTGCCTGAATTTCATCCACACTCACATGCACAACGAATAGTACAATTCTAATACTGCAATTTTCGCGGTGAGTATGATGTTTCAGTGTGAAAAGCATGGTATATGCTTGAAATTTTGAGTTGAGTCTACTTGTTAGAAAAGAGACGTCAAGGGAGAAAATCTTTTACTGATGGAACTTATCTAAACTGTCTACTGTTTAGATGGAAGATATGGTGTTTGAATCAATGTTTGAGTTAGAAGAGGGAGATATAATCGCCCCCAAGCGAAAGTCACGACGAAGGTAAGTGTGCACAAGTTGATGTACCACGTATTTCCTCAACTATGTATTCATTGTTTATTAGAAAAGCCTGGAAGCCCACATGGATTCGACTTGGAGTTGGCTGTTTGCTGCTTCTTGGAGTCACTCTAGCTGTTACAGTCGGAATTCTCCGTCTGGTTTCAAATGGAACAAAATCAGGCGGTGTCACAGAGACAAAAGCTGGTTAATATACATATGCTTTTGACTATAGGATAATGCAATATGGATATTTAGACACGTATGAACCGGTTTTTCAAGTCGTACTCACAACCGATCACGTTTTGAATGATAATCATCAGCCATTCGTCATAAAAAATCTCCATGACATTGCGGCTGAGGTTTGCTATTTTGTATTCAACTGATTGCTCATGTTTATTGTATTCTTTTGTAGCTAACAAGATATCTACACGGAAAACAGATACATGTGATCAGTGGTTCATTTCGTAATGATTATGATTCACAAAGGTACGAAATCATCAAATAGAATTTGTCAATCATTCTTTGCCCTTTCATTTGCAATTCAGAACCAATTGTAAAGATGCTCTACATGGCAATGTTCTTGATCTATATATTCTACCTTCGTATACAAGGGAATGTGTATCTGCACAAGATAGTAAATGCAAGACTCGGCTGGTCAACAATTTGCGGTATATGTTTCGTCGATTATTGACTGTTCCTCTTGCAGTTCAACTCAACGATGATTATGCCAACAACACGAACGTGAAACTGTGCGACGTTGAACTTGTAGATGGTAAGAAAGAAAGTACTGGGTAGGACGTAATAAATCTTGCTTTTTTAGATCATCTCAACCAATCTGTTGCCAGAAATATATCAGTAGGGCGAAAAATTATAAAACCGTTAGCACCAGCCAACTCGTCGATGCGGATCGAGCAACTAAACAGAATACAGAATTGTACGTCTCATCCCTATGAAATTGAACATAATCATAATCATACATATTTTCTCTTTAGATTCATATGCGACTCCAAGACAATTCCCTTGTACGCTAAGTTTGAATAAAATTGGTCTGGTTCAGATGGATGGAGATGATAATTCGAACATTCAAGACGATATGCGATCATATATCAATAATGGCCAATACCGTCGCGCGTTCATTCTGACAGTATTTGAAGATTCTGTGCACAAGCTCCACGTTCAAATGGCCTGCGGTATATATTTGGGCGAGCGATCATCTAACAGTCCATGCAGCAACTCATTGAGTGTACATCTTTGGATCGACTTCGATAGCAATGGATACGATGATGAAGAAAGTCGAATGTTACATCGATCTTGGTTAACTGGTGAAATGTCTACTGGCGCCTATGATTTAGATGTCTACATACCTGCGATTGATGATAAAACGGTACGAGCTGGACAGCATACAATGAAAATCACCGTGATGCCATCTCGTGAATATCAAAGTGAATGCGGTACGGTAAATTATAGTGAGAGAAAAGATTATACATTGAATATTGTGCGAAAACCAAGACATATAGGTAAATCTATCTTTCTTTCTGGTAACACTGCATGAAGTTGACTTTCACCGTTTATTTTAATAGCTACTGAGCTAAGCCCATATATCTATATGAATCCTCTCTGTGCGAGCGATTTTGGAGAAATAACCTCTGTTCTGATGGCTGGCGAAAAGGGTACAGAAATCCGTGACGATGTACCCAGAAATTCTTCAATGAATTCCAATCAGAATGAACATAATTTTCAGGTGATTTTGTATGAACATACAATTTATCTGCTACGTGTTCAGTTGAACTGTTCGTCGCAACAACAAACGCAATTAACTGGAACGGGATGTAATCCTGCGCAAGACATCAACGTCTTCATCGATATGAATGACGACGGTCGCTATGACTCATTTGAAATTGGTGCGCCACATCGTTGGCCTATCACGAGCTATCTCCCGGATGGAGTCGTTGATCTGCAAGTGTACATTCCGTATCTCGATAGTCGTTATGTCACGTCTGGTCAGCACCAAATGAAAATAGTAGTTACACCAAGTGATCGATACCTACGAGTTTGTGGCGATATCGACTTTATGGAAACCAGAACCTACTACGTTAACATTATCTCAAAGACAGCCATCATACGTACGTATATCTAGTCCTAATGTCCATCATATATAAATGTTAGTTGTATACTTTGTAGCACCTAATATACATACATTGACAAGCGTAACTCATGACAGCATCGTTTGTACGCCACAAGTTAACAAAATTATTCTTGTTGTTATGGACAGTGAACATGACAGCCAAATTCGAGACGATCCTTCCATCAACGCTCTACTTGGACCACACGACGAACGCCAACATCATTTACCCATCATGCTTCATGAGGGTATTACGTATTTACTACGCCTTCAATTTGAGTGTGCAGTACATCAAGATTCAAACTCAGCAGAAAACAATTGTGATCTTCCCTACGATCTCAGCGCTTGGATCGACTCAGATGATAATGGAGAATACGAAGAATGGGAAAGTGCCACTCCTTATCGGTGGCCATCGACTAGTTATTTACCGAAATCAGTTTACGATTTGCAAATTGTCGTACCTGTAGTTGATGGTAGAAAGGTCAAAAGCGGACCTCATCGTATGAAGTTATTAGCAACGTTAAACGAACAGCACCGCAGGAAATGCAATATGCATGATTATCAAGAACTGCGCTACTACGCAGTTAATATTATTCCACATGCACCACTGTCGAGTAAGTACACACTTAGATTACATACTAATATAGATTTGTAAACGATTTTTCATTTTTACAGACAAACTTGGCGGTCCGTCTCTTAGATTGAGTGATCAAGTATGTACCCAAAGTTATGGCCGAATCGTACTCGTTCTTCTGGCCGGTGAAAGAGGAACGGAAATCCGTGATCAGACTCCCAATAATACTATCATTGATGGATATCAAAATCGGCATCATATGGCTGTGACGGTCTATGAAAATACTAATTATCGTATTCGTATTCAGCTCGACTGTGAAGTGATGTCCAATAGAGGTCCACTAAGAAGTGATTGCAATTTAGCGCTGGATGTCAACGTTCTCATCGATCAAAATAATGATCGAAGATACGATAAAACAGAAACAGTCACTCCGCATCACTGGCCTTTGCGAAATTCGGCACCATTAGGACTCTACGACTATGATATTCGTACACCAGCAAGTGCAAATGAATACTATCGACAACAAAATGAACGACATCTAATGCGTATTGTCGTCAAGCCGAGCGATGAACAAATTACGAAATGTGGCCATACGGATTATGCGGAGTTTCGAGAATATAGTTTGAATATCATCTCAAGAACGGCTATTCACGAATAGCACACATACATTTATGAGACGTGAAAAGCTGAAATTAGCCTTTGTTATCTGTCTGATTTTTGAAAATATTTGTTATATAGTTTGTAATGAACATCCATTCTATACAAAATTCATATATGTATTATCGTTGTTCATCGATGGCAGCGATCATCTGTAGATAAATGTGACAGTTTGAAATAGACCATAACTCCATGATACTCACGAATGGATCCTCTTCCATGCACGTAGTGCCAAAGTCGTCATCCATTGCTGATGTTCCTTCCTAGTAGGAAAAATATAATACGATATTTTATATTTCTTGTCAACAATACATCTATCACTTACACCAGTACTTGAATCATCGTTATCCAATGCGCCTTGTAAAGAATCTCCGTATTGCTCCGGTATGTCTAGTAAACAGTCATGGCATTGTTCTAATGTGTCGTCCTACAGAAAAGTAGAGCTTTGCAGAAGATATAGCAAATGAGCTTACATCTTCTTCACACAATCTTTGTAGTATTGGATAGTATAAATGATAAAACGTTGTTCCTCTAAAGTCGTCAAAAGACATATTTAACGACAGAATGATAGTTGTGAAATTTATGGCATTTTACTTGAAAACAATCCACATGAGTAATAATGTTTTCATTGTCCGTAATAGTGGAATGAAGAACTCTTCAACTGGCCCGCCTAGTGCATACAATAGATTTCTCTTTGCTATACCATCACTCGTTTGTCTGCACTTACCATCGTTAAAATAAGAATTTACGAGATAAGTTGACCGTAAGAAACCTTTACATGAAAATGTTTGCGAGTTTATATGTTTTAAAAGTTTCAAAAGTTGTAATAATCCGATATTGATAGTCAAACCATTAAAAGTGGATAAGATATGTTCAAATTCAGTGCCGATACGTTGTTGAACAGTGAATGGGATCGATTCCATCATAAGCGTATGTTGGCAATTGTTTCAGTTGCAAAAAAAACCTTAGATGTTTATTGAAAGCACATTTTCTGCTCTTCGTTCACTGGGAAAAACCCAAAGCAATTCTTCCGCATGGCAGAAAGCACGTGTGCACTACCTGGCCTCTCAACTCCTTCATGCAACGTATGAATTGTACACAATCTCGATTTTGTCTTGACTTTCCTGTTGTATGTACCGAGAAAAGAACAAGTCTCGTCTATGTACAACGGATTCTAACAGTAGCTGGTATGGTCTCTTTTGAAAGAACCGAAGAAGACGAATAGTATATGTGTATGATGTTTTCATTCGATTGGCTCATAGCGTCAAGTAAAAGTAATGTCCTGTTTATCTAAGACAAATAAAAAATTTTTCGTTCGTCAATTTTCTATTCTTTTATTACTTTTCTGTGGTTTTGTTTCTTTTTTTTTGCTTCATAATAACAAAGCGCTGTCAGAACACGTACATCCTTCATACGCATACATCACATCGTTGTAGAAAACCAACGAGATTAACGCGTCTATTCTCCATCAAAAAGAATGTCTCGAATTACTCAATTTAATTATCGAAATCATTGGCAAGAAGAAGAAATCGATCTTGAACGAGTTCGTCTTTTTGCACATTCGATCGAAATCAATTCATTCTTTTTTCTTTCTTTCATTTTTAAAGCCACTCAGTAACGATCAACCATTAGGCTTTTTCATTACTGGAGGTTTTTGTACAACTTCGCCTACTCACCAATTCACATCTATTATTGTCACTAAAATCATCGAAGAAAGTCTTGTAGCACAAGACAATCGATTAAAGTATGCCTGTTCGTATTCAATCATGATAATTTTACACTCGAGTTGCTCCATCTTAGAGTTTTCGATATCATATTAAGTGTGAACAATGTTGATTTTTCGAATATTAGTGAACAAGATGCTTTGAAGATACTACGAAAAGCAGGTCCGAGAGTTCGACTGGTAATTCATCATAAAGACTCTTATGTATTTATTATCTGTTGAGTTTTAGATTATACGTCGACTTTCGCCGTCGATTATTGAAGAGATCGAATTACAACACGACGGAAAACTGAATCTCACGATCGCAGGTGGTATCGATGATGAATATTATCTGAAGTATTGATAATCTTCTAAATTATTTGCTCGTTACACTCATTTTTTTTCGTATATAGTGATCCCGGAGTATTTATTATCGGTAAAAAACAACAACAAGCCAATACAAGTTTGAACATAGGCGATCGGCTATTGGAAATATCATCAACAGTATAATCAATGACATTGGAATTCTTCGAAAGATGTGTTCATTTTGTAGAAAAGCACGTACGATCTACGATTTGTCACATTTGATGAAGCTCAAAGATTAATACGGTTAGCATGTGCAGAAAGTCAAACAGTTAAAATAAGTGTTGCACATGCGATAGATGCTGTGGAACTGTGCGTATAAAAACAGATTGATTTAATGCTAAGATATGGCAAATTTGTTTAGACAAAACAATGAAAATGAAGTTAATCCCGTTATTCCAGAAGAAAAAGAAGAAGGTAGTGCGAATGTTTCTCGTATTGTAATCTGTCTGTAATTCGAGATTTAGAATCCGTATCATGTTCTTCTTTATCACAGGATATGAACGATGATCTGATCGTTCCGTTTGATGTCGAAGGTATGTGGCAACAAAACTGAATGCGTTGCATTTAGAGAATATGTTTAGATGTTGAGAGATATGAAAGATGTGGAAGGCGTGTTAATAGTCGATTAGTTTCTAAACATATGGCTGATCATCTATCAATTGTGGCACCAGTAACTCATTACAGTCGGTAAGTGCAGAAAAAAGCCTGTGTATTGTTTTGATCGTGAAATTTTTTCTAAAGATCTGCGAGAGATGCGATGGGTATGGATTCGACCCCAAATTATTATGTGAGTATCGATACTGAACGACGGAGACTTGCTGATTGTAGAGATTATAGAACGAGAACAGCGAAAGAACCTTTTTTATAGCGGAGAATCGCTCTGTTGTAGGAAAACATTGTCTATCCACACGAAAACAAAAAAGAATTCAATCTGTATGCTACGCCGATACGTAAGATATGCTTGACTTCCATATTTTGATCGCTTGGTTTTATTCTTAGACGAAGCGCAAACAGAGATACCACAAGCTCAAAACCTAGAAGATAGAGTACAGCAAGTAAGATAAAAGCTTGTTTTGAAATTGAGTAATTGTGTCTCGTTGGTTTAGTGATAATCGAATTGAGTATATCAACAATTTAATCGAAAGTGCATGTTATTTTAAATAATCTTTCTGTAACTTTGTAGAAATTTGAATAAAGATTTGGTACTTGTTATAAATTCACTGCACACTGATTGAGAACATTAGTTAATTAGAATGATTTCTATATCATTTTGAAATATGTGAATTGAGGTTGTTCGTCGGTTTATCACAATGCGCAGTACGTACAATGACACACGCATTTGTCATGTTTTAGTTTTAATAATTCATTTTACGTTCGAAATATCGAACCTGTTACCCTTTACTCAATGATTTTTCTTTGTCTGTTACTCTAAATTTTCTGCTTACGTACAACATGATCGTTTTTGTGACCGACCAAGCTGCTATGGTCTTTTTATCTCTACTCTATTTCTTGTAAAGTACTTCATGGCTTGGTATCTAACTACTTCAATACTCCTAACTAGGCTATCTAAAACATTCCTCGCTGTTAACTATTCAGCCGAGGTTCAAGCACATTATTGCCGACAAATGTTAGTTATAAAGAGATTGTCATCTGTTCCTAGTCAAGTTTTATGACAGTAAGATTAACCAATATTTTTATTAATCATAGAAACTGTGTGAAACGGGGATTTCGTCAAGAATCAATATTTTATGTATTTCGGCCAAAATCTCCTTATTGGTTCATTGTTCGTGTTAATCTCAACGGAAACTCTAACTGTTCTACTGGTCAGATACGTTTCCTATGTCTCTGTATAGCTACCTCTACATAGTTCTACTCGGTAAACGTGTGCATCTAAATAATTGCAAACTATTTCAATTAAAAAAGCAATACACTTCTTTTATTTATTCACCTCTCTTCTTTTTTTCTACAAGTTTCAACATTTTGTTTTACAACTCGTAAAGCCGGGTAATTCGCGTTGCCAAATTTCTAGAGTACGTTCAAAACACCTAAGTACATTCGAATACCCTCCCATATCTGTGACACCAACCCGATGTTTCCATGCACAGACGCGAAATGCGAACGATCTGAAGGAAGACTTGTTTGAAAGGTTTCAAGCGACTTGAGGGTGAAGGTATAGCAATGGAGTCTTGATTGTATTGTGTGACACCCGTTGTCACTGTTTCACAGATTTCTTTGGTATTTATATAGACATCCTTGATCTTTGTCCATTTCTCTGTCCAGGTTTCATGTCTGGATGTATTACTACCAAAGACGTAAATACCACTCACTTGTGGAACACTATGAATCTCGGGTACCAAGTGTTGTCCTAAGCCTGTGTATATGATAATAAAAGCGTCTGGTTGAGTGTACAAATAGGAAGGAAGGAACACATGCACGTGGTCGAAAACATGAATATGCCTCTTGTAGAAAAGAAAGGAGAATATTTATACAGAATAATGTCACCATGATTTGTCATTGTAGAACTTGGTGCTCACTTTTGTACAGCTAGCTTCTCTTTTTTTTATATACGCAATGACTGCTGGTGTTCTTACCTTCAGTTTTTCGGGAACGAAAGATGCTTAGACTATTAGTTAATTGCTGAAGCAAACATTCATAGTAAAAGCATAGCAAGAATATAAGAATAAAAAGTCATTTACGGACTTGAGTTTTATTTCTTCTAACGTTCTTTGAATCTACAATCATCGTCGAAATCCAAGGAATCCGAATATTTCTTAGGCAGTCCGCGAGTGGAAACAGCTATCAATGCGTAGTTTCTACCGTTGCAAACATGAAGTTAAGCGAAGATCGGAATATAGTGAAAGTATTAGCTGTGTCCTTTCACTCTCACCCTCACGGTGTAACAGAAAACGAGAAAAGAAGTTGTCGACATGTAATCGAATATAAACTCGTTTTCTGATTCGCTTAAATATTCTATACCAAGTGGACCAATTGCCCTTGACTTATGTGTTTGGTTGACATCAGCAAACTATATCTTGCAGATTAAAAATGACATCCAACAAACAAGAAATCTTAACATCGACTATTGATACATACCGTTATTTTGCATCGCAACCAACTTTATACGATATTGAGTCATGTTATCGAGATTCTCAAGATGAAATTCTTCATATAACTCCATACTTTTCCACGATAGACTTAGTTCGATTAGGAGATCTAACATACACTCGATCGTTCATTTATTCATTAAAATCTCGTCAACTACTATTCACCAGTAACGTCACACCAATTCAGAAAGGTCTCGTTCGTCGTCTTGCTTCACCTGATGGAACCTATCTGGCACTGGTTTCTAGCGAAACTAAAGGAGACGAAGAATCGCAACACATGCAAATCTGGCACAATGAACATTTGATTCTTGGATATAAAGTCAATGATAGTGAAGTTTCACCACATGGGAAAATCTTGCCGAAGAACGATTATGCGAGTTTTTTTGAGTGGAGTTCGGATTCCAAGTATCTAGCTTTTACGGCTGAAGAAAAACAGAAAACATGCAAATCTTATTTCACTGCTGAAAAACTCGATGAAATTGGTCCACCTGCCAGTATCTATCGAGAAAATTGGGGTGAACAGATGGAAACGTTCAAAACATCGATCGTGTGCATAGTGGATGTCGCGTCGAAACAAGTCAAGGTGATTGAAAATCAGCCGAAAGATTTTTATTTTGGTCAGTGCACCTGGACAACTAATCCTGATGAGTTCGTCCTGGTTGCATTTCGTGTTGAACCATATCGGTTAGGATTAATTTTTTGCGAAAATCGGCCGACGGCTCTGTTTAAATGCAATTGGCGAGAGAACCAATGGATACAATTAACAGAATTCGATCAGTTCTGTCGACTATATCCACGACACTTGCCAAATCAAAGCAATCAACTTGTTTACCTTCAAACAGATGTTTATGGAGCGCATAGTCAATGTCAACGACTGATACTTTTTCATACAGATACTAAAGAACAAGAAATTCTTGTCGATCGAATCGAAAAGTAAAACGAACTATACTAATAACTTGAAAACAAATTTTCTGTTCGTAGTGTGATCTATTCCGATCGAAATTCGGCACCATTCGCAGCTGAATGGGATACACAGTTCAAAGGTTTATATTTGTCTTTACCATTCAGATGTTTTTCGTCAGATGGTCGTTACCTTCTCCTTCGGTCCAAGTCAAGTTCGCGTATAGTTGTACTTATTTATGATTTCCTTGAACACAAGATTCACTCACTTGATTCACCATTGGGTGCAAATACTTCAGTATTGGGCTTGGCCGTATTTGATCATTTTGTCACAGTCAACATTGTCGATTGTTGTACACCTTATCGATTGTATGTATTCGATTTACAAGCACTAGATCGGAATATCAATGGATGGTATTCAATCGCTGAACATCAATTTCAAAGCGAAGTAAAACATCGAATTCAATGGAAACTCGATCGGTTTTTTCCTGATAATGAAACTCTTCCAGTTGAATCAATCTATGTTCATACACAGGATAGTGAATCAAAACAACCATTAATGGTATGGATACACGGTGGACCGAATGCGTCGATATCTCGTAAGTGAATTCATTCATAAATATCATCTTCGAGGAATACATTTCTCTAGTAAATTATGTTACTGATGTAATCACGTATGCTTCGTTGGGTTTCGATATTCTTTTGATAAATTATCGTGGTTCCACGGGATATGGTCAAGGTAGATAGACAAACTGTAGTATTGAATCTTAAACTAAGATGATACGTTTAGATTCAATCAATAAATTGTTAGGTAATATATCGAAAACCGATGTTAAAGACTGTTATGAAGCCATTCAGCGTTGTCTTGAATATACTGATCGCACTCGGTCAGTTATACTCTATGGTGCATCACACGCTGGAATAATCATTGGCCGTCTAATTGGAGAATATCCAAATGAATATTCAATGGCTGTTTTGATTAATCCAGTTACGGATTTATTACATTTTTCCATGACATCCGACATACCTGATTGGGCTCTGGCGCAATCAGTCAACAAACCGTTCAATTTTGAAACAGGCCGTCGCTATTATACAGATCCTGTATTGATGAAGTATCTTATTGAACGATCACCGATTAGTCTTATCGAACATATAAAGGTTCCTGTTTTACTCCAACTGGGTAAAAACGATCGACGAGTACCATTCACTATGGGCCTTCGATATTATGAATGTCTGAAAGCAACGACTATTCCGACGAAATTATATATTTATGACAGTGATCATGCGATAGGAGAAGTTGCAAATGACAGTGATATTTTTGTTAATACGGTTCTTTTCATTCATGAACATTTACATCGATGATGTTTTCTTTTTCTTTTTTGTTCAACTGGCGAAATAAAACGAGAATGATATGCTTTTGTACTGACTTTGCTGCGCAATTAATGTCCTAAATATGGTTATGATTATCCTACGAAGTTGTCAAGATATACCCCAAAATATATATTAAAATAATGGAAAATGTAAAAAAAAGTCAGACGCGTAGTCTTAAAATATTATCCGATTGTGCAGAACCACCTATTTCTTCGGGTACTGAACTTTTGAGCATGGATGGAAGATTCAACGTTTGAGGGTATCTTATGATATTTTATGACATTTCCATTAGTATATAATGTGCTCAGCAATCACACAGACGCCTTCGAAATATTCGTAGCAGTCAACAAGAATATCAACTTACAATGGATGATTTACTATTTCTTCAAGTGACCATTGAGCTAGTTCGGATCATCGTCCCGATTATCATTGTTTTTGGAACGTTAGGTAGTATCGTTAACATACTGATTCTAACAAGACAACGTTTACGTGGTTATGCATGTTCAATATATTTTGCTGCATTATCAACAAATAATTTATTTTACACAACCGTTTTGCTCGTCTATAATTACTTACTAGGTGGCTATGCAATTGATCTAGCTCTATATTCAAACTTCTTTTGCAAGTTAATTAGTTATTTACTGAACTTTTCTCCCGTAGTCTCTGCTTATTTTATTGTCTTGGCATCGATTGATCGCTATTGTGCAAGTTCATTGGATGCTCGAAGACGGCGATTTAGTCAAGTTGGTGTAGCTAAAATATCTGTTGCAGCTGTCACGATCTTTTATGCACTATTCAACATCGGAGCAATAATCTCGTTCGATTTACGAGACGATGGAGCAGGTTGCACCATTCGTTCGGATAGTCTATTCAATCAAGTGTTTCTCATTGGTCTGGTGACCTTTTATTCCGTCATTGCACCATGTCTTCTGGTCATTTTTGGTGTATTGACAGTATACAATACTAGTCGACTTGGTCAAGCACGTATTGGTGTTTCTCGTCAACGTCGTACGGAAAAGGAATTAGCTCGAATGTTAATCGTTCAAGTTTTAACACACATCGTATTTACCGGACCATTCTGTGCCATGCTCGTGATATTAGTGCTCCCGGTTGATTTCCGATCTACATTACAATTCTATGTGTTGTTTGTTTTCACGAAGATCCCATTTTACTTCTCATATATAACTCCATTTTTCTTATATATCCTGTCGGCGAGAATCTATCGGGAAGAGATGATGCAATTGTTTAAGAAATTGAATCCAATGCGAAGACACAATCTCGTACATCACATTAATCTAACAGTACAAGTTCAATCAACAGCACCACTGAAGGAATGAATAACTACCATTTGAATGCTTTTCGATGTTGTTTTCCTTAGGATGAAATAAACACGATTTCTCTATTAGAGAGTGAATCTTTATCTATTTTCATCTTTCAATAACAAACCAATCTAGTTCAACTATTGTAAATCACTAAAGAACACAGCATTTTATGTTGGAAAAATAATGTTTTCCTTTCAAGTAACGGATATTAATCATAATAACTCACATTTGTCGATAATATCAATGTAAACCACTCATGCCGGGAAATTGTGACTTTTCTGTGCATGTCAACATTGTAAATAATATATATATCGACGGCGTCGTTTCATTGATTATGACACGTTGGTGTTTACCTGTTTTCTATGATAGTGAAAAATGACGTGATGTTATGGTTCTCTTCCTTCACTCGGTGTGATAGTGTGCTTTTTACACAGAAATAAATTAGACATGTATTATAACGCGTATTGGAATCAACAGGCGAGTGAGTTCGAGAAAATTTGTCCTTTCATTTCGAAATGTACACGTTCTTTAAAGACTACTTGTATCAAATAGCTCGAATACCTGTTCATGAACGATGGCTACTCAATCGACTATTTCGAATCAGGGGAATATTTCATACTTTAAATGATCGACGAGGTGGTGGATCGTTTGGCTCTGTTTGGGCAGCGACAAGAGCAGATGGTAATCTATTTTCTTCATTTTTTTTTGTCATGTGTTCTACATTTAATCTAAAGGTCGTCGTGTAGCCGTGAAAGTCTTCAATTTGAATCAAACAAGAAATTTGCAAGGCCTGTTAGCATTAGCCAAGTCATTTCAAGACGAAATTCGAATGTCATATAAGATGCGATTTTCGACCAGTCACGTGGTGACTGTTTACGGGTTTGATTTAGATTTACGAAGGCGAGTCGGTTTGGTATCAATGGAATTAGGTGATGACAGTTTAGAAGAACGTGTAAGAACTCTTCATATGATGTATTATTCACCTAATGGAAGAGGAATGATTGACGGTGAATTTATCGCGCCCGTTGATCGAAAGAATATTTGGTTTCAAATCGTGAATATTGCTTTGGAACTGGTCCGACATAAAGTTGTTCGTATATCTTAACTAAATACGAGAAAAGTGTGCTAAACCTTAGTTCATATATATTCAGGTTCATCGTGACATCAAACCAGCGAATTTAGTATTTTTTGGTCCGATTTTGAAAATTGTTGATCTAGGCATTGCACAAAAAGAATTTGCAGCGTAAGTACTACGAACTAAGGTGGAATTCTCTTCTATTCATATATTCAGATATAATTCACGGCGAGTCGGTGGTACTCCATTCTACAGCGGACCTGAATGTATTTTTGGCCAGTTTCCAGTCACACCAAAAGCTGACGTTTGGTCAATTGGTGCTGTACTATACTTTTTAACATATGGTGTTCCACCTGCATATTGGAATTCAACACCACCGCCCGGTGTTTCGCTTAGTCGTTCACTGCCTGTTCAGGAAGTACTTTACCACACTCTTCAGCAGAATCCGAATGCTCGACCATGGCAATATCAACTCGCTCAACATCCACTAACTGCTAATCCTGAAGTATTCTGAATATCTATCGTTTGTATATCATTAAATTCGCACGCAAAATCGTTCTTCCGATATTTTATTGTAATTATTCATTTCATACTGTTTATTATATGTCTATAATAATAATTATACAAGAATTCTTTGCAAAAGAAGAACGACAAAACAAAATATTTCGATTAATCTTTCATTTATTGAGAAAAACTTCGACTAGAGTGCATTCGATGAGAAGAGGTTAAAAAAAAGTGTGAACAACTACGAATAAGATAAGAAAGGACAATGATATCAACACGTTGCATTCAGCAAGATCGAAAAGTCTGAACAAGTACGGTTGATTTAACGTTGACGAACTGAACTAGCGCGAAGTGTTGATGTTGCTCGAATTGATGTTGATGTTTCTTGAATGTCGTGCTAAAATTAATCGGAGAGATTAGATTTATGTATCTACGGAAAGATTGAACTTACACTTGATGCTCGGCCAACGCTGACAGATGATCGATTCTTTGTACGCAATTTTGTAAGTTGACTTTCAGCTAAATCAGCACGTTCAGCTGATTCTTCTGCAAGAAAGAAAAACAAAAGAAAATTATTGTTTAGCTTCGATAATTATCAACGTACCAAGTTCTTGTTGAACTTTACGAAATTTAGCCAAGTTGAGTGCAGCAATTTCCTCTAGAAAATCACATAATTCAGAACCATGCTCGTATGAGATCGTTTCTGCGAGTCTTACCGGCTTCTTCGACTTGACGTTTGTAGACTTTGAGTTTGGCTTGTAATTTTTCTGAGAGATCTTGTAAGCGTTGTTGATTCTTACGATCTTCTTCAGTTTGAAAGGCTAATTCTTTCAAGCGGCGATCATTTTTACGTAATTCTTTGAGTGTTTCTTGGTGACGATGTTGCTCTAATTCGTTTTCGCTTTCTAATTCATGAATCTAAATAAAATACCATGAAACTTCTGTTTTTCATCATCATCTATTCTTCTTACGCGTTGTTCAAGTTTAGCAATGACACGTTTGCCACCTTTAAGTGAACTGCCTTCAGCTTCATCCAAACGTGTTTGAAGATCTTTAACTTGTTGTTCGAGACCTTTACGTAATCGTTCGACTTGTAAAGCATGATCTTGTTCTTGACGTAATTCTTCAACGAGACGTGATGCGTCAGCAGTGGCTTTCTTGCTGCGTTCTTCACTGTTCTTGAGTTCACTGACAGCTTCATCCAAATCAGCTTGCATAGCTGCAATGGTTGATTCAAGTTGTCGTTTCTGTGATGATAAGTTAGCGTTTTGAGTGCTAACATCACTGATACGATCAGCTGCATCGTGAAGTTCATTTTCAGCTGCTTTACGAGCACGTTCAGCTTGTTCCAAAGCTGTACGTAATTCTTCTAATTCGCCGGTGATGACATTGGCACGACGTTCAGCTGCCATGGCAACTTCACGTGCTTCGTCACGTTGTCGTTGTTCTTCTTCAACTTGAACTTGTAATTCAGTGATGTTTTGTTGAATACGTTTCAATGATTTTTGTAAATCAGCATTGGTACGATTAGCATGGTCGAGTGCAACTTCGAGTTCATTGATGTCGGATTCAAGTTTCTTTTTCTAAACAATCCACGGATGAATGAAATCATGAACGAAAGAGAGAACGTACCTGTTTGAGTGTTTCAGCTTTTGATCGTGCTTCAGCTTCCAAACTGGCTTGCATCGATTCAAGAGCACGTTGGTGATTGCGGCGAGTGTTTTCGAATTCTTCTTCTTTCTCGTGAATTCGTCGATCGATTTCTTGACGAACAGTGCTCAATTCCATTTGTGCACGGAGAACTTTCGCTTCTTCTTGTTCAAGTGCAGCTTCGGCATCTTCCAAAGCAGTTTGTAATTCTTCTTTTTCTAATTCAGCACGTTTGCGAGCCTTTTCTAATTCGTGAACGCTCTTGCCACCTTCGCCTAATTGATCAATAAGATCCTAGAAACGGAACAGCAATATTTCGTTATGTTTCGAACGAGTTCTTCAATACAGACTTTGATTTCATCGGCTAAGTTCTTGTTTTCCTTGCGGAGAGCATCGATTTGTTCGTGTGATTCTTCGTATTGTTGTTTGAGTTTGAACAATTCTGTTGAAAAGTTTCGTGCTTCCTTTTGGGAGGCTTCAAGTTCGACAGTGATGTCTTCGCATTTTTGACGCCATTCATTGATCAATTTATCAAATTGTTTCTGTTTTTTGTCCATAGCCGAAGCATCTAGCAATACAAAATGTATTCGAAGAGGTCAAACGACACTACAAATGTACTCACTGGCATTGGCACGTTCGACATCAACCATGAGATCTTCGACTTCGCCTTGTAAACGAGCTTTGACTTTTTCCAAAGCATTGCATTTGTTCAATGCAGCTTCGACTTGTTCTTCAGCTTCGGTCAATTTAGCAGCTAATTTACGTTTGGCTTCTTCAAGTTCTTCGCCACGAGACATACCTGAAATCAATTGAGGATATTATGTCAGTTTATCTGCGAGAAGAAAAGGTAATAAAAGCAGTACCTTCAGATTCATAACGAGATCGCCATTGTTGGATTTCAGCTTGAAGTTTCGAAACTTGTTTTTGAAGTTCACTTCTTGCTTCTTGTTCTTCGTCGAGTTGTTCACGAGCTTGGTCGAGATCAGCTGTCAAGTTACGGATTTGTGATGCTAAAAAGCAGACGATGAGAATCGATTAGAGTCAGTTGTGAGATAGACGTTGAAATACTTACTAACTGAACCTTTGCCGCGTAATTCGTCATCAATGGTTCGTTTAGTTTCATCAAGTTGTTGTTGAAGAGAAGTCTTTTGTTTACTCAATGCAGCAATTTGATGTTCGAAATCTTCGATTTGACGAGTTAAATCTGAATTTTCACTGGTTAACTTCGTCTTGCTATGAGTTAAATCAGTGACTTGTCGAACTTGTTCTTCAAGTTTGATTTGAAGATCATTCAATTGTTGTTCGAGTTGTTTGGAAAGTTTTTCAGCAGCTGCTTTGCCTTTTTGAGCATGATCAACTTGTGTGCGTAAGTTGTCTAATTCCGATTTCACACCTTGCTTGTCTTTTTCGAGTTTGTTCTTCAATTTTTGTAATTGATCAATTTGTTCACCCATTTCTACAGCAAAACAATCACTGTAAAGACAAACATAATCATCGGATTGACTTACCAGTAACAGCATCTTGGTGTTTCTTACGGAGTTGAGCAGCTGTGGCTTCATGTTGAAGATTAGCTTCTTCCAAATCACGTCGAAGTTTTTGTAATTCACCTTCGCGCTTCTTGTTCATTTCAACTTGTGAAGCTGTGGCACCACCAGCATCTTCCAAACGATCACCCATTTCATCAATTTCGCGTGCTAGATCAGCGCGTTGTTTCTCGACTTTGGTTCGTGATTGTCGTTCGTTTTGAACTTCTTCTTCTAATTCTTCAATACGTGCTTGTAAGTCTTTGATCTTCTTTCCAAGACTTGTGGCTTGTCCTTGTTCGTCTTCAAGTCGTCCACCCATTTGTTGAATTTCTTGATCTTTGCGTTTAAGATTCTCTTCTAATTCGCGTTTAACTCGTTCTAAGTCTTCGAGACTGCTTTGTGCACCCTTCAAGTCTGTTTCTAATTTGCGTTTAGATTTGTCTAAGTCAGCACGAGCTTTCTTTTCACGTTCTAAACTATCTTCTAATTCATCTAAGGTTTGCTCGAGCTTGGTCTTCAATTTGTTCAAATGATTGACTTTGTCTTCTTCAGCTTGCAATTGTTCAGTTGTCTTGGAGTTTTGTTCTTCGAGACGTTTTCGTTCACGCGTAGCTTTGGCAATGGTTTCATCTTGGCGAGCAATTTCATCTTGTAAGGTATGAATTTGATTATCNACTTACTAACTGAACCTTTGCCGCGTAATTCGTCATCAATGGTTCGTTTAGTTTCATCAAGTTGTTGTTGAAGAGAAGTCTTTTGTTTACTCAATGCAGCAATTTGATGTTCGAAATCTTCAATTTGACGAGTTAAATCTGAATTTTCACTGGTTAACTTCGTCTTGCTGTGTGTTAAATCAGTGACTTGTCGAACTTGTTCTTCAAGTTTGATTTGAAGATCGTTCAATTGCTGTTCGAGTTGTTTGGAAAGTTTCTCAGCAGCTGTTTTGCCTTTTTGAGCATGATCAACTTGCGTGCGTAAATTGTCTAATTCCGATTTCACACCTTGCTTGTCTTTTTCGAGTTTGTTCTTCAATTTTTGTAATTGATCAATTTGTTCACCCATTTCTAAGAAAAACAGTCACTGTCGAGATGAACACAATCATCGGATTGACTTACCAGTGACAGCATCTTGATGTTTCTTACGGAGTTGAGCAGCTGTGGCTTCGTGTTGAAGATTAGCTTCTTCCAAATCACGTCGCAGTTTTTGTAATTCACCTTCGCGCTTCTTGTTCATTTCAACTTGTGAAGCTGTAGCACCACCAGCATCTTCTAATCGATCACCCATTTCATCGATTTCACGTGCTAGATCAGCGCGTTGTTTCTCGACTTTGGTTCGTGATTGTCGTTCGTTTTGAACTTCTTCTTCTAATTCTTCAATACGTGCTTGTAAGTCTTTGATCTTCTTTCCGAGACTTGTGGCTTGTCCTTGTTCGTCTTCAAGTCGTCCACCCATTTGTTGAATTTCTTGATCTTTGCGTTTAAGATTCTCTTCTAATTCGCGTTTAGCTCGTTCTAAGTCTTCGAGACTGCTTTGTGCACCCTTCAAGTCAGTTTCTAATTTGCGTTTAGATTTGTCTAAGTCAGCGCGAGCTTTCTTTTCACGTTCTAAACTATCTTCTAATTCATCTAAGGTTTGCTCGAGCTTGGTCTTCAATTTGTTCAAATGATTGACTTTGTCTTCTTCAGCTTGCAATTGTTCAGTTGTCTTGGAGTTTTGTTCTTCGAGACGTTTTCGTTCACGCGTAGCTTTGGCAATGGTTTCGTCTTGGCGAGCAATTTCATCTTGTAAGGTATGAATTTGATTATCACGAGTTTTACATTCATTCTCCGACTTTTGTAAGCTTAAACGCATGTCATCGATGTCTTTCTTCAAACCATCGATGTCGTGTTCAAGCTTCTTCTTTTTGCTGTTTAATTCTTGGGCGGTTTCTTCTTCTTGACTGAAACGATCTTCTAAATCTTTGATTTGTTGTTCGAGATCAGCTTTTTGTGTCACTATCGAATAGAAAAATGCGAAGAGTTATTCGATGACGAGCGAATGCGCTAGAGAAATCGCTTACCTAAGCGTGTGTAACGTTCTTGAGCTTCGGATGAGCCAGATCGTTCAGATTCAAGTTGTTGGTAGATATCATTTTTCTCTGAAAAACAGTGTGTGAATCCAGTATGGAAAGTTTTCTTTGTGCAATACCTTTAACTAATTTCGAGTTGGCATCTTCCATTTCTTTACGTAGTTTTTCTTCCTTTTCAAGAGCTTCTTTCAATGCTTTGAAGTCTTCTTCAAGTTTCTTCATCTCCTCTTCTTGACGAGCAACCGACAACAATGGTTTAACTTTAGTATAAAGTTTCCACCATGGCCAGTTACGTAACGATAAGTATTTGCGAAGATTGCGTTGCACGACGGCTAAGGCCAAGCGTTGTTCCAATTTCTTCTTGTATTCTTTCTTCATGATATAACCACGGATTTGACCTTGTAAAGTGGCAATGATCTTCGATAAAGCTTGATCACGCATATCTTCTAATTGACCCAAAGTACCAGCTTTGAAGAAGACCTTTGTAATACCACATCGGTACAATTCTTCGTTCAAAGCAATGTCTTTGAGAATATCCTCGGAAGCTTTCTTGGCATCAACAAAGCCCTTTGGAATAGCATTAGGTGCAAGAATTGAGTAACGTTGTTTGAATTCTGCATAGATCATACGATTAGGAAAGCCTTTACGACAAATACGAATGCCTTCTAATACACCGTTACATGTCAATTGATGCATAACCAAATGAGCATCAAGAATACCACCAGTCTTGATTTCGTTCGGGATGATACAACGAACAAAATGAGGATGTGTTTGTTTCAAAGTGTTCATCAATTTGTTCAATTGTTCCTTAAAAAGTTTCAGGCAAAATAAATTTGCTTTTCTACTTCAATCAAATGGAAACTCACCCGATGGGTAGCTGAAATGGTTTGCATACTACCACCACCTTTCTTTTTGCCACCACCACCTTTACCACCACCTTCTTCTTCAAGAACATCGGCGAAGAGATGACATAACATAACGTTCTTCGATTTAGCGAAGAGTCCAGCTCTGTCAAGAAACCAATTAATCTGTTATTATGATTCTACCTCATTATTCAATGGAATACTTACACAGTGTTGTTGATGGGATCTTTGTTCTTTTCGAGCCAGCCCGTAGCAGTGTATGAGACAGTACCAGCATAGTGATGAATATCAAAATGCGCTTCAGCTTTGCCTTTACCTGGCTTGGGCTTGCCGAATTGTGGGTGTTTACCCAAGTGTTGACCGTAGAGTTTTTCAACAAACGTCTTGTCTGTGGCTTTTGGAACGATACATTCTTCTTCGAGAATCGACAGGATACCCATCGGCTAGAACGACAACGCTGAAATCATACGATGAAAGAAACGATCGTTTACCTTCTCAATTAAATCAAGACAGGCTTGTAAATCCATACCAAAATCAACGAACACCCAATTGATACCTTCTTTCTTGTATTCTTCTTGTTCCAAGACGAACATGTGATGATTGAAGAATTGTTGGAGACGTTCGTTTGTATAATTAATACACAATTGTTCGAATCCATTGTACTATAAATGCGATAAATGTCAATAAACACGTCGATGTCAAAGTGGACAACTTACCTCGAAAATTTCGAAACCAGCAATATCAAGGACAGCAATAAAATATTGTCGTTTCGATTTGACATCGAGTGTTACGTTGACACGTTCGACTAACCAGATGAACATGCGAGAGTAGATCTAAGTCATCAAAATATGGTCTATTTTCAAAATTGAAAATCTTCAAATTCGCTTACAGCTTTCGATAAAGCACCAATTGAGTTGATAACTTGATCTTTGTTTTGACCTTTGTTGACATATTCGTTACCGACCTAGATGATCAATAATTTTATGTAGACAAACAGATGCCAGAAGACGAACCTTGATACGGGGTTTGAGTAAACCTTTCAAGAGATCAGCTGCTTCAACACCAAGTAAATGAGCAACTTTTTCAACCTCTTCTGTTCCGTCGGCCTCGGCTTGTTCTTCACGAGGTCGTTGTTTCCATTGAGAATTACCCCAATGCATGATGGCTGATGTGCATCTGTATAAGTTTTTCTTTTCCTCCTACAATGAAACGGCACGTTATAAAAGTTACTCATAAGAATGATCAGCACAAACCGCAGTAAAACCAAGAACGTCCATAGCTTCGTCGGTTAATTTCATTTCTTCGGTATCATCAACACCGTCAATTGTAAGCATACCTTGAGCGACATAGAAGTATTTCGATGGGTCCGGTTCGAGTAGGCAGTCCTCTATCAAATCAGAGAGGCTATTAGATTAAGAATCGGAAATGTTAACAACAAATGTACTTTGCATTTCAGGAAAAGCTGCTGAACACATTTGATAGAAAATGTGATAGTTACGTTCAGCTAGAAGAAATATTTGTCAATGATCAGTAGATCATCAAAGAAAGTGAATTCTACCTGGTTGCTAAAAAAATCGAAAAAAAAAGTCAAATGAATTGCAAAGTTCGATTCAATGAAACAAACCTGAAAGATGACACGAGATTTTTCGAGTAAATATACTTCAATATCGGCACCAGCAATTTTACCGGTTGGACCAAAATGAATACGAATAAATTTACCCTAGAGAAAGAGATGAACTGAACACTGTGATCAAAGATTGAATTCACAATTATTTACGAATCGAGAAGAGTTGTTGTTACGTGTGGTCTTAGCATTACCGTAGGCTTCCAAGACGGGATCTACGCAAGACATTAATGGTTATTTGAAAACTTTCTTTCCAGCTATCTTATACGTACTAGCAGCGACGATTTGATCTTCGAGGGTTTGTTGTTTCTATTTGAGAAGACAAAAGTATGAGCAAAAAACGTGAAGACATGCATCATGATTGAGAATACTTACACCTGCAGTTTCTTCTTCCTTCTTCTTCTCAGTTGCTGCAGCGACCAAGGCGAAATATTGAATGACCTTCTTGGTGTTTTCTGTTTTTCCAGCACCTGATTCACCAGTAATCAACATTGATTGATTTTCACGATCTATAGCCAATGACAGATCATCATCAATCAATCAATAACATCCATTTTTCATTATTTGAATTCATCCAGTCCCTCGTATTCATATTCATAACAATCAGACAGATAATTTCTTCTCGCTAGTTTACTTTCCATCTGGCTTATGTTCTCGTCTCCCTCTGGATGTTAAGACGGTAGCGTTAATTGCTTTGTTCTCTTCTCGTACAGACAACTAACTTTCCGAAGATAGTATTTGGAAGAAAAACTGAATAGAATGACAGGCTCGCTAATAGTTTCGAGGTATGTCGCAATCAGCAAGACGTCTCAATTGAAAATGATACTTACCGCGAAGCATATTCGAGTAGGCATTGTCAGCAATAGCGTACAAATGTGGTGCGACTTCTGTACGTTTTTTACCACGATACATCATAACTACCTTCATTGTATAGATAGGAAGACGTTTGAATGGATTGATGACAACACAAAAAAGTCCCGAATATGTCTAAAAATTGACTCTCGGAGATGAAAATACGCGTTTCCGGTCAAAGATACATACGTAGATCAGCCAACGTGCGTAACGTTCACGTAAGTTGGAGAAAACCGAAGCATCATTCAAATAGGTTAAATCAGCCATATCATCGTAACATGAAAATTTAGGTGGATTCATTTGTTGAATGAGATCAGTTTTCACTGTTACTTTCTAGACGAATCGAAACACGAAAACTCAGACGAAAACATGTGTAGGTCAACGTTTACCTCGCCTTTTGGTGTTTGTACGATAGTTTGGTCGCCTTTAACTTCAAGGATTTCACCAGCACTGTAAACTTCCTTGGGATCCGGAATCCAACAAGCTTTTTTGGCATCAAATGCTTGAGAACGAAGTTTCAATTTCTCTTCTGTTGGTAAAACCAAATATCTCAGAGACTCTTTCAGCTCCGGATCATTTGGATCGTAGGCCATCCTTAAAACGCAAATGACAATGCATCGTCTCGAAAGAAAATCTTTCGTGATTTTCAACATACGATTCAGCCGACATGTTTGCTTTTTTTTGTTAAATATTACTTAACAAAAAAACAGATAGATAATTTTCAGCAACGAAAATCTCTTCTTGTCGTCGTCTACACCGATGTTCGAATGCTCGCGTCGATATGTCTCTGCGAAACAGAGTTCTCGCTGATTGACTCGCACTTATATACGATCTCGATTTGGAACGAGAGAAATGTAGAGAGGGAGAGAGAGAGAATTACCAAAAAGGAATTTTCTCTCGATTATTCGAATTGTTATTTTTTCCTTCATGCTATTTCTATTAACTCGCTTGGACAGATATTATCCGCAAGCATCGCACTCTGATTTTGCAATTTGTTTATCGCATTATGTGACCAGATGGCTGGGCAAGCAGGCAAAGAGAAACACAGAGAGAGAGAGAGAGAACGATGAAGAAAAACAATTGTGTATTTTTCACTTCAGTAACCTATAAAGCGATATTACTTTGTTCGCTTGGATTAACCGTGCTATTAGTAAAAGACCATATGTATTGATTATCTCGTTGCGGAGAACTAATGCTATTTCAATTTGCAACCTTTTGGGCTGAATGAAAAAGGAAATGATCTTATCATCTCGCTAAGGGATATGCAAAAAAAGACAAAGTTAAGTTTCCGTAGATGATAGATAAATATGAGTCTAATTGGATAATGCCTTGATGGAAATGCATAAATACGAAATAAATTACCAAAATAGCCTCGACTTTTCTCATCCAGTCACAAATTCCCAAATATGGATATTGTTGGCGACAGCGTTCGTCCAACACCATGCTATGAGATAATCAATCGAGCAACTGTTCTCTCATATCGCAGACTTCGAAAGTCATCTTGACTCTGCTGTAGGTACAACAACGTCCATCCAGTTCGAGAGAGAGAGAGAGATAATCAAATATCCGTACTCTTAACTTCTTGAAAAAGAACAGATATTCAACAAAAGATGTTCCACAGATTGAGACAATGATTGATCTTGAAAACTAACTAGGCAGATGAAAAATGTCCGAGCAGATTAGTCTAATCATATACATAATAAGGTAACGAGAGAGGAAAACCCGAGAAGACGATAATTAATTAACAACAACCATATTCGACAGCAGCAATAAAAAATGACAAATAGAAAAAGTCATCATCAATCATCGAAGATTTCGCGTGGGTTGCTAATTTTCATGCCAATAATCCATCGGTTAGGATGACATCGAACCTAATTCTTATTTGATAACCAATTTTCTCCATCGCTTCTAATCGGATATTGATGATTTTATCTGATAAAGTCTGACAGTTCGTTTGACCATGATTGAATAACGTCATATACATAGATAATCATCCATTCGGTCGTGTATTTACGAAGCAAAGTATCGAAAATTGGTCAATCCAAGATGTTCCTAATGAACATTTAATTAGTCAAACGAGACATATACACAGAAGAACAGCAAAAGATAATTAATCGATAACAAAGAGATATGTGATGTCGTCGTCTTCTTTTCTTTCTCTTCATACAAACACCATTTTTCACACATACACATCAAGCAGCATTGTATGATAACATAATCGATGATAAAATCTGCGCGAGAGGATCTACTTTCCTTGAATACATTCTTATACTATCTGCATGAGTATTTCAACAATTTACTTTTCCATCTGCTCATTTCTTGGCGGATAATAGGAAAAAACATTTTTCTTGTTCCAGAAATGCCATTACGCAGTAACTATATATGTGTATATTCCAAAGACTAATATCAGAAGAAGAGCGTTCACTAAGTGCCTGATATTCTTTTGCGAGAACGATAATTACACCATTCGTGTCTATTGTAAACAATAAGGACACTCTTCCATACATCGATTCGTAGATTTATGTTTTGTGTATATGAAAATATTATCTCTTGAAAGCTTTTCAGGCTAATCGAGTATCGGTTTAGTTCGACTCGACAAACTTTTAGATGGCTTCTGCAAGCAAAACCATTAGCAATTATCGTTCTATGCCACTTCTCTTGTCGCCGATTGATGTCTACATGTTTTGAATATCTTGAAGTAGTTAGTAGACATACACAGCGAGTCCATGATTCTTGATATTCAACAAGCAGTGAACTTGCTTGTTTTCTTTTGACAGCTGTTAGCAATAATTTACTTTACGTTCGTCAGAGAAGGGGAAGGCATAAGGAATACCCTGGTCGCATACGTGTTCATCATTTATGCTATCTTTGAGTAATGACCAAGTCGATTTCATATACTGGGGAGATAAATTATCGTGTTTTGCTCTGTGAAGGAGAAAGAAATAGTAGCAAGACAAAGAATCATCGACGTTTCGGTTACTAACACACTAGTATATTCGCGGAATAGGATGAAAAACTGTTACATAGTAAAGATGAAGATTTGCTTTTCTTATCGGAATAGTTTTATGAAGTCTATTAAGCTAGGGATAAACATGGTATGCACAAAGTTTTCATCTGATAAGTCATGGAAAAGACTAGAGACAAATCAATTTGGTAGATTTGTCGACGATATACAACTGAACAAATGAGTCGGTATTTAGCCTAAGTAATGAAATAACTCCGAAAGTTAGAATTAAAGATGATAAATGCTAGGATACTGAAACAAATGACGATGAAGAAAATGACACAACACACGAGATAAGAAAATGTAAGTATTATAAAAAAATTGAAGCAAAGCGAAGAGAACAGAACGCATTACACAACATAAAGTAAGTAGAGAAGAGACACATGACGAAGACTATCAAGAAAGTGATTGAATCTCTGTTTTGCAGAAGTCCATTATGAGTACGAACAATAATACTTCGTCGACGTCACCTACGAGAAAATCTCAGAGGAACGTTTGGGATCCGAAAAAAGAATCTGAAAAGCAAAATTTTCGTGTACAAGAGAAACCACCGCTTTCTCTTCGTCAATTTCTTCGTTCGACTGTTACTGTTAATCCTGGTGGTCAACAATGGAAGCCATCTGGTGTATATAATCCACCTGTCGTTCATGATGATTCAACACTTCAAAAGACGCCAGACGAACCGCCGAAAGTTGTGAAAAAAGATTCGAAGGATAAAAAACCTGTTTGGTATCCACCTGGTACTGTTAAGCGACAAGAAGTCAAAGCATCGAATGAAGAGAACAAGTCCGAGAAAAAGGAAAATGAAAAACCCGAGGAAAAGCCAAGATCTAGATCGAAAGACAAATCAATTCGTCCATGGCGTCCATCTGGTCATCCTGAATACGATCCAGTATTGTACTTTGATCCACCAAGTTTAAGATGGTCAGCAAAACAAATCAAAAGCACAATGCCTGAATTTCAATCAACATCGAAGAAATCATCGACAAATCAAAAGTGATCCTAGCACATATTGTCTGTCTGTCTGTCTGATTAACATGTATTTTTGTTTTCTTTCAAATAAAAATTTCAATACGTGCGAAAGTACGAAATATCAAATTTTATAAAGTACGAAATGTCAGATTGAGGCGAGGAGTTTTCACATGTTTCTCCTTGGGTACCGAATGTTTCCAGTATTGCTGTGTTGCACCTGACATCACAATCAACGATCCGTTTGTCAATGAGAACTCATACTGAGAAAACAAATGAGAGAAGAATAATCGATTTCTTAATATCAACTCACATCTTTCTTCTCTGGATTCGTTAACTGCTTTCGTTTTCGAGTGAGGTTTTTACCAAAACAACGAAGATGTCGAACCAGAAACCTGGATAGTATTGTGCGCGTGACAAAAAAAATGCAAACAAAGCATACTCATACTTGCGTGTAGCACCCAATGTTATGGAAGCAATTATATCTTTTGCTTCATTATCAGCATGAAAATTAATATAATCATTTCCATCCCTGTACAGATTAACTAAGCAATAATCGAATTTGACATCTATGCATAACGAAATATTCGTTTTTCAGATATTTTAGAGCATGTATCTAGAATTACTCAATTGTTTTTCAAGTTGAGCTTTTAACATTTGCATAGGCGATGTCCAAACATGTTGCTTTTGCTTCTGAAACAGTTCTTTGACGACAATTCCCTCATCGGCGAACCACGATTGAAGGCGAGGCTATAGTTGAAGTCAAAGCACGTACAGAAAAGATTTCTCCTCTATTTACTAAATGAATTGGCTTCCCATACATAGTGATCTGAGTGTGTTCGAAATTCAATTCTAAGAACAATGAATGTAAACATAAGTACAATTGCTGTCTTTTCTCATTATACAAACCTTTCATCAAGTGATCAAACAAGCTATTAGTTTCTTCTTTATTTATGAAATCTGGACACCATTGCAGTGTAGACTCAGAATCAATCTGTATTTCTTGTAAGATCGGTGTTAATTGAAATTGAAGCCTGTGCGTTAATATACGAATCAATTCGTACGTCTCTACAATCCCTTCGCTTACCATTTACTGTCCCGAACAAGTTCCATCTTAACTTGATTTGAGTCTTCTGGATTTTCTTCTGTACTTGATTCAGATATTGTTCTCTTTCTTTTGTTTGTCAATGTGCTGGTATTCATGTCGTTTCCTAACATATCATCTATTCTATCCGATAGATTGTCCACTACTCTGTGTTAAATGATGCTTTTATGACAAATTATGCGGAGCGTCTAAATACAACACCAGAAGTGAAAGATCGTTCTTTAATAACTGACGAAAAACTCGGTGATGTTTCCTTTATATATCACTAAAAAATATTTCTTCTAATGCATGCAATTACATGACTCATTTAATGTGCAAAATCAAAAAATGGTCACACGCTATTTGGTATTGACAGGAGAGAAACACGACAGAGAACCCTCGTTGCATTACTGTCATTTGATTTGACGTAATTACTTTTTCATTATCTATATATATAAAGAAGAAAGTTTGTCTGTCTGTCTGTCTGTCTGTCTGTTCGCTATGCATTCAGTCCCTGTAGCAGCTATCGGCGTGGAACTTTCCACAATGCTTCCTGAGACCCAGAGGAAGGTCGACATCTACTTTTCCCCGAGAACAAAGGAGCCAGCCGTTTGCTGCAGGCAATATATGAAACGGACCAATAGGATTGCGAGATTTCCCAAATTGAGGAAATTAATAGCGAAGGCGGCCGAAGGCCGTCTGAGCGCTCATAGACAACAATCCACGTGTTCTACGTGCGCATGGGAGTCCTATACATGCTACAAGCAACCTGCGAAGCTGACCAATAGGATTGCGAGATGTGAAAAATTGCAGCGGGTCGGTAGCGAAGGCGGCCGAAGGCCGTCTGAGCGCACATAGACATCAATCCACGTGTTCTGCCTGTGCATGCTACAAGCAACCTTGGACGCTAACCAATTGGATTGCGAGATGTGAAAAATTGCAGCGGGTCGGTAGCGAAGACCGTCTGAGTGCTCAAAGACAACAATCCACGTGATCTCTACGCCTATAATAGTTCGGTGAATGCTACAGATAATCTGCGAAACTCACCAATAGCGTTACAGGATCTCAAAAAATGAAGATAAATGTCGAGGGTGGGCGAATTCGAAGGATATAAGGTATGAAGTGACGTGATAGTGAGAAAGAGGTCGATGAATGAATAGCTGGAGTGTAGAATGAATATTAGAGAGAGAGAGAGAGAGAGAGAGAGGAAATTTGAATAAGTTCTGAGGCAGAAATCAGCTTCGGTAACTCTTTTGCATAAAGAGCTATAATTGAAGTTGTCGTTTTGTGCGATGCACGGCGGGAAAAATTAGGACCGCCAGCATACAATCTTGGAGTCTATTGATTTTTCTATTTGCTGCAGCTTTTCAACACGTCAGGCATTCGACATAGATATTTCTTATTTTGCAGCGGGTACGCCCGCTAGTTCAATATATTAAAAGACTCTCAAATGTTTTACTCCGATATGTAGTTATACAGTAATATTACCAGACTGTGCTACCGATTTAATATCTGTTCACAATTGAAATGTTCAAGTGCAGCGAAGGTGTAGCTTACACCGCTGTTTAATAGATAATTTTATTAATAATATCATGATCAACACTTTACTTACACAACATACGCTAGTTCACATAATCCATAGAGAAAGGAAATCAGATACGGCTATTCGATGCAAATCTACATATCTTCACTCATCATTTTTTATCGAGGTTTATATTATTTGAGGTTATATATACGAAGTTTTACACCAGATTTGCCGTTATGAGAGCAGTCGTTTGATCGTACAGACTTTCGATTTCCGCAACAGTCCAGCCCAGGTCAGCTTCTTTTCTACTTCATTTGCATGTGAATGCATTTGAGAGACAATTGACCCGGTAACAATCGTTGGTATGCCATTCGCTTTCCTCTTGAATACAACGCTAAAACGTGTATGAGCCCTTTTGGGAAGAAGCTTCGCTCCATTTATGACGATCTTTTGCCGAAAGTGTTTCAGCTAATTTCTTCAATCGCGCAGGTATATGATGCGTCTCCGAATCTCGTTTCAGTCTTGCATTCGATGATTCTGAGCACCTCTCTTAAATGCAAACAAGAAATTACTTAGATTCTTCCATCACATGATTTTCTTTTCTACTCATTTACCAAGCATTGTATGCAATACTTAGTTTGACTTTCACAGTCAAATACATATATTGTGCGATTTGTATTGCATAACGAATGCAAGCCATCTCACTTTCCAAGAAAGACAAAAGGTCATTGGGCTTGTGTTAATTAATATATATATATTATTAGGTCTGTTAGTGCGCCATTGCTATCAATTGAATCGAATGGATTATGATAACCATCACTGGGTCTACTGGTCTCTATACTTTTTCGTTTGTGTCACTTTAACACAGAATAGACGATAAATTCTACATACTGACAAAGTCTTCTCCTTACAAAATCCTTGATAAGAAACTTCATTAAGACATATAGTAAGACGCATCATAACATCCGTCATATCTCTATACTCATTCTTTATCTTTCACTTTAGTGTGAACTTTGATAGTATCTCCATTTAGGTTTTTTGTTATAAATAAGTCTTAACTATTTTTCAGAACATCATCTTACCCTGTTCCAATAAAGATACTATACGAATTGCTGAAATCTTCTTGCATATGCAGAAAAAGTAAAGTGAGACTTGAAGGCACTTTTATCAATAGAAAAGATAAGTTATTTTCAGTTGATTGGAAATTTCTTTCTATAGCAAGTTATCAAGAACAAAAAGATTATAGAAGTATTCTAAAATCGCTCTTGCAAGATAGACTTGATTTATCGAGCTGATTGATCATTTCAAAGCACCTATTACTATTCTGTATGATAAAAGTTACAACAGTGTTTAACAAAAAGCATAGTGTTCAAAAATATAAAATATCGTCGATCATATCCTTCTCTACTACCGTTTGATTGTTGGTTAGTTCATTTTTCTTAACTATGACACAATCAGAAGTCATGTCATGATCGATGCTTTTGTTGTGCTCTGCCTTTCCGCATGCAGGCACGGGACACAGTTTACATAATCCATAATATACAAAAAAGGAGAGTACGAAACCTAAATAAAAGTTTAAATGATACATATTATGCACTGCATTCGATACACGTGCTCCAATAGCACCAGCAAATCCACCCATATTGATCAAAATTCCGACGAAATAAGCTACATATGCTCGCCAATTTACACCTAATGTGAAATAATATGCACCATCTTTCGATCCTGAATACAAGTCTTCGATAGCTAAATAACCCTTTCGGACGACATAATAGTCCGCAATAATAACGCCGACCACCGATGACAAAAATGTAGAATACGCAGATAGATAAGTGGTGAATGTTGAAGAGTTCGACAAGAGTTTCCATGGGCAGATAGCTAAACCAACTAATGCACAAATGTAACCAGAACGTCGAATATTAAGGAATTTAGGTAAAAGTGCAGTGAGATCAGATCCTGCTGAGACGGAATTAGCGGCAATGTTGACGCCAAGTTGTGCTAATGCAAATGCAAATGCAATGAAGAAAACTCCGGTTCGTGTACCAGCAGACGAATTAGTATCAAGAAATTTACTAAGAAGATCCAGTGGATTCCATAGAGCTTCACCAAAGATAACTTTGGATGATGAGCCAACAATAATGCCAACGAAACAAGTAATACCAAAACCAAGCGAAATAGTCAGTAGTTGCGGCCAAAGGACATCTGATGGTCGTGTTGCAAAACGAGTATAATCGGGATTATTCACCATGAGCGTTACGAAATTCGATATACAACTCATAATTCCACCCATCCATGCCCAGAAATGTGGACTTCCTGTTGGAGAAAAAAAAGAGTTACAGGTGGCACACATAAGAATACAGTCTCATGAAGATTTACCGTGAAGTATGCCCGGCTGATGAACAACTGGACCAAGACCTTTTGCTTTCACTAGCGTCCAAACAAAGAAGATCAACGCTGCTATGGGAACAACAATAGATTTGACCGTGAATAGTATTCGTATCTTCTGAACAGGAAACCAAATAGCAATCAACGACAACGACCAAAAGATGATGAACCCAATAAAATCTTTCGTATTCGTTCCGGATGAGATCGAAAAAGTATTTGGCAATGCTTCATATGATGGATATATCGATCGTATCATCAGCACAATACATTGTCCACCTAGCCATGCCTGAACACCGTACCAAACACAAGCCATAAAACTTCGATTGAGAACAGGCCAAAGTGAACCGAACAAACCGAACGATGATCGACTAACTACTGGAAACGAAATATGATACGTTGCACCGATATGACCAGATAAACAAACGAAAATGGCCGTAATTGAATAACCAATCCACGTACACAGCCATGCTTCCCACCACGAAAGACCAGTCATGACTATACTTGAAATAATCATCCACGTGTTTATGTTGATGGAATCTGCAAGCCAGAATGCAACGAAATTCCATGGTCCCCAAAGACGTCTTTCTTGTTCGACCGGTTTGAGATCTTCATTTTTAAGAAGAGCTTCGCGTCCGGAGAGGTGCTGAACCAAATGATCTGCATATAACCAAGCAGGAAATTTCATGGCTACTCAACGAGTTAAGAATATGAGCTTTTTCTATCTGGAAGAAAGAGAAATGTTTTGGTGGTTAGTGACCATGTATATCAATTGAGACATAGTTCATCATACCATCAATAGACGATATGATATCCAATTACATCATTCAATTTTTTCCGTAAACGAACAAAGCACCATGCTTTATCACCTTGTTCTTCTCAGCATGTTCAAAAGCGAATAGAGAAACATACAAACGATGACGAGTCGTCCTGTTAGATCTCTTCGTCGTACAACATCGTAATGCCGCCATGATTATTCATATGCGCCAACAGAACAAAATACTAACTAAAATCTATAACCTTTCATATGAAAGTTACACTTGACTCTTAATGTGCTTATGTTTGTATGTCATGGCTTAGATAACAAAATGCGAATGAATTCTTGATCTTTTGAATGCCCAACGCTCGTTCTACTAACGGAAATTATTTGTAGATTAACGAGGCTGACGAGCTGGACATCGTTTTAAATTTGAAGAATTAGACATGTTTTTAAAGGACAAAATTGAACGAATTTATTCATATTCATTGTACTGCAACAGTAAACGTTTCTTTGTAAATACATTAACAAAATACTTATATTTCGAACGTAAACACGATGTTTACCGTGAAAAGAACGAAAAAGTGCGAATGACGTGATTGATAAGCAAACCGATACGCCATTCGAAATAATTATGATTTACTGACGAAATATATACCTTATAAAACGATACAGTCGATTATTTCGAATCAAACTCACAGATAAATCCCATATCGGATTATTTAGGAATTCAAGCGAGGAAACATTTCAAAGCTGAATATGAAAGAATATCTATTCTCTACATTTAAATACGAAAATATAATCTGAATCTTCAACAGAAACCATCGCGGTTCACACTTCTATGATTACTTCAGTCAATACAGTTTCATTTGTGATTGTTTTTGTGCATGATTTGCATCGAATGATGTATACTTTAATGAGTAATTTCTCATTCCGAAAGTAATACAAGGTTTACATTTATGTTTCGTTTAACATTAAGCAAATGAGAAGCGAAAATAATTATCAAAAGAATCAGAGCAAAATAACTTTTGACACAGTTCGAAAACATTGATATTCACTCGATCTTATCAAGCTGATACATATGCATTTGAATATTACCACCATCGTGCTCTAAAATAAAAGTTTAGCTAATAGAATGTATCCATTCCTTTGTCTTTATGTTTTCTTATGGACGGATAATTGATTATCTTGTGTTATCACTTGCAAAATTATAATAACTGTTAGCGTTTAGTGAAGGCATTTTGTCTGAGTAAAATTCAGTTTCACCTAGATTTATCATGAATAAAATGTCATAGCGAACGTTATCGTACATATACCTACTTATATAAAAACGCTAAAAGTGCATATCCGTGCATGTTTACGTACTTTTTTTTGTTTTTACGCGAAGCAAATGTGTTGATGCCTGATCAAGGTAAAGTGAACTGGTCGACTGAATAATCATTGTTTTGGCATATCTGTCTGCTATTTTCTAATTACGCATGACTTCAATGAAAGAACTCGTTTTTGTTACTTTTGATCGGGTACAGGATGGATTTTCGAAGTTTTTCTTATTAATTATACCAGGTTTAGTCATAGTTTGGTCATCATTATTTCTCTTTTTTACTTACGCAGATAAAATTAGGATACGCATGAATGCTCATCAGCGTATGAGGCGCATAAATATGTTTTATCAGTCGTGTACGATTCGCTCTTGCTCTTCGTGTTTACGCTCCTTTTTTTAAAGTTCTATCTATTTGTCTCATGACGCATTCTATTTTGATCGTCAACACACAGCACTTCAGGTAATTTTTCTTCGATGCTTATGAAGATAGTACATAATGATGAAAATTATTCACTAGTTTGACTTTTGTAATTATATATGTCACTGTTGGCTAACCTTCTTCTATATAAGCTGACCTAATTTTCGCTACGAGACTATTAAATCTTTTTCGCACGATAAGTATTCATCACGTCTCGATAGGGATACCATTTTATGTAAATCGAACACTAAGTTAGAGTGTTGAGACTATTCTCTTGAATGTTCTAATTGTTTGAAACATCTTATTTCAGATTCTACAGCAATTACTAGTAACACCTAAAATAAACCATGGAGTATGATAATCCAAAGAAACACTCTATTATGAAAAATGCTCGCGTACAGACGAAACAAACAGCTATTCCATTAAATCATGAACTAAGGCGATATGAACGACCACCACCTAGCAGAAATGTTCGTATACAGACTGAATTAACATCGATTGGCACCGACGATGAAACGATGCACTATCGTCGAAATCCGAAAAAGATGCCAGTTCAGATCGTCTACGATCCATCGTATGTACCGGGTGTAGCGTATCCAAACTTCAACGATAAAGACACACTTGTTCAAAACGATGCAAACGATACCACAGGTGATAAGCTCGACAGAGATCTACGATCGGAAAAAGACGATACGACAACACCACCAAGTCAAACAGTCGCAGCCGAACCAACCGATCTTCCAACAGAACCCATTCTCGAGTATGCCGACGAACCACTCCTACCACTAGCTGAAGCATGTGCTCCTCTCGACACCATTCTACACAATCTTTCCTATTACGTCCAGCTAGCTTTGGAAGAAACACCTCAAGAACCGCCCGATCATCTCACCATCGACGAAAGTGCTGCTATTCGCTTGTACACCATCGAATGGGATCGACCACATCGAAGTCTCTATTCCATGCTCAACTACACTCTCAAAAATGAGAACAGAGAAAAACTCCGACCATACTTCAGGTACATGAAACTCTTCATCACCGCTCTTGTCAAACTACCCTGTGTGCCACCACTCACTGTTTGGCGAGGTGTCACAAAAGATTTGAGTCAAGAGTTTCCACCTGGCACTCCTGTCACCTGGTGGGCCTTCTCATCCTGTACAACCGAACTGACTGTTCTCGAAAATAACATGTATCTCGGCAACAGTGGAAGTCGAACACTGTTCTCCGTCGAAGTCATCAATGGTCGAACAGTTCGTGCACATTCACATTTCGTCACCGAAGACGAACTTCTTCTTCTACCTGGCACACACATGATAGTTCAGTCACTGTTCAGTCCAGCACCTCAACTACACATCATTCACTTGAAACAAGTCATTCCTGACGAACCTCTTCTCAAGCCACCATACGAAGGTAACTTTTTCTTCTTTTCCTGACTGATCCTTCTTCGTTATCGTTGTTTGTGTATGTCTAGGTGCACTGATATTTCCGAAAGTGAAGTGAGTGGGACATGATGAAAGAGTGAGAGTGTTGATGAATGAGTTGATTTTAGAAAGTCTTGGTACAAACAGAAGCGATTTGTGATTCCAGTATGTTTGCTGTTAGCTTTGGCTATCACAGGTGCTGTGATTGGTGGTGTTTTAGGAGCCAAAGCTAAACAGGACGCGAATAATAGTGGAGGTAAGGGTATCAATTGTGTACAGATATGAATAGGCTAAGTTAGAAGAAATTGGATGATGATAAGCACGCATTTCTCTCTTTTAGTACAACGATGTACGACACCTTATCTTAGCCAAGCTAGCAAATATGCTACGGGTCGGAATCCGGTGGCGGCAACCTTAGGGGACTTTAATAATGATTCAAATTTAGATATTGCAGTCATCAATCAACAAGATAATGATGTAGTTGTATTGTTGGGTGATGGTCAAGGAAACTTTCAATTTCAAGACACAATTTATGCTGGATCTCAACCAAATTACGGGATATTTTACGACTTCAACGACGATCAAAAGGATGATCTCGTATGGAGTAATCCACAATCAAATACTGTTAGTTTGATGATTAGTAATGGCGATGGAACATTTCAGCAGGCAATAGATTATTCTGTTGGTGAAGTTCCATCTTTTATTGTAGTGGATGATTTCAACGATGATAACACACCAGATCTAGCTGTGACTAATAAAGGTTCTAACACCGTTAGTGTGCTAATCGGTTATGGATTTGGAGTGTTTCAGAGTGGAGACGATGTCGACGTTAGCTCAGCACCCAAGGGCATTGCCTCAGGTGATTTCAATAACGACAGTTTTGTAGATTTAGTGGTGATTAATTCAGGAAACGGATATGTTAGCGTTCTACTCGGTTTTGGAAATGGATCTTTCAATGACCAGTCGCTACTTCCGCTCTATTTGGGTATATCGACCGTGGTAGTGGATGATTTTAATAACGATACAAAGCTCGATCTAGCAGTCTTGAATGGTAAGCATATCAAAGAAGAACGAAGGGTGTGTTCAAAAGACTATTCTATAGAAATTCTCCTAGATCCTCTAAATTTCAGTTCCATTTTCATTTCTGAATATGCTAAACTTGCCACAGAAGTCAAACACAATATTCACCCAAATAACTCATAGACCATATCAGTTCTTCGGATGAATTTGTGTAGTATTCTCTTGACCTTCGTTTCTAAGTTGGAGATTTGGAACGAAAATGGTATGTTGAAATGTAGCGGTGAAATTGAGGCAACATTGTGAATTATGTGCGGGCTATTTCGGAGTTAAAAGGATTTTTAGTCGAGTTTATGTGAAACTAGAAAAATTTCTTTAAGTAAAGTCCCTTGAACACTGTCAGGGAAAAGCGCTCGACTTAAATAATCTGCTGCTTTTTTCCACAGATTTTGGTCTCGTGAGCATTCTATTCGGATACGGCAATGCAAACTTTAGCGCACCAACGAATTATTATATCGGCAACGCACCTACTGCAATTATAGATGGCTATTTCAATAATGACAGTTATATTGACCTCGCAATGACAAATTCTGGCGATGATACCGTCAGCGTACTGTTGGGTGAAGCTGGCGGCACTTTTCAAACAGCAACAGTGTACAATGTAAGCGGCAGTCCTTATGCTTTAGTATCCCAGGATTTTAACAGTGATGGATTCTATGATTTGGCTGTTGCCAATTACGGAGATGCTAGCATTAGTATCTTAATGAACTCTCAAAATGGAACTTTCCAGACACAGGTTATTTATAGCGTCGGCGCGCTTCCAATTAGTATTGACGCAGGTCTATGCAATCGGGATAACTACATTGATATAATTATTTTCAACTACGGTGATAGTACTATCAGTCTGATTTTTGGCACCGGCAATGGAACATTTCCTTCATATCCAAAATATCCAGTTGGATCCCGTCCCAGCTACATCATATCTGCTGATTTCAACAACGATACCATATTAGATATGGCTGTCACAAATCAAGGCAGTCAGCAAGTGGGTATTTTAATGGGTCTTGGCAACGGGATATTTCCCGGATTTTCCACTTATCCAACAGATAATTCTCCTAGAGCTATTCTCTCAGGTCACTTCAACAATGACACACGTTTAGATGTAGCTGTGATTACTTCGGACAATCTCGATATATTCATAGGAACAAAAAATGGTGCGTTGGGGCAGAGAACATCCTATCCACTTCCTACAAAACCTATTGCCATGGTATCTGGTGACTTCACTGGTGATAATCTTACAGATATAGCAACAGTATCTCGTACAGATAGCTCCATTACCATAGTTCTTCATACTGCCACCAGTTCATTCAACGAGACTATACCTGTTAGTATTCCTAGTCCCGCTTGTGGCATCACCACAAACTATTTCAACAGCGACAATCTACTAGATCTCGCAGTCACCAGCTGCGACAACAGTACTATATACGTTCTTCTTGCCAGTGCACTTGGCACATTTTCATCGCCGATTTCATATTCTGTTAGTAGTAGGCCGACCTCGATTATATCTACTTATATTGACAATGACAAAGTCTTTGACTTAGTTGTTGCCAACAGTGCCAACAATACCGTTAGTCTACTCCTCGGAAATTCTGACGGAACTTTTCAAGATCAGAAAACTTATGCAGTTGGGACGACGCCAAACTTCATTGCATCGAACGATTTCAATAACGACAGTTTTCAAGATATAGTCGTTGTCAACACGGGAAGCAATTCTGTTAGCGTCTTGTTGAATGATAAAAGTGGATCGTTCAAAACTCAAACAAAATATTCAGTTGGCGCTTTTCCATCATGTGTGACGACTGGTGACTTCAACTTTGATAAAATAGTCGATTTAATTGTAACAAACTCTGGAGACAATTCATTCGCACTTTTAATTGGTTCCGGAGATGGAACTTTTGCGATACATTCAGAATATGGTACTGGTAATATACCTGTATTTGTTATAACCAATGATTTTAACAACGATTCACTGTCTGACCTAGCAGTTATTGCTAGTAAAAGTAATACTTTTAACTTATTTACTGGAGACAAAAAGATTATCTTTCAAGCACAGCGTGTGTACCCAACTGGCAGTCAACCGGCTTTTGTTCTAGCAAACGATTTCAATAATGATAAGATCCTCGATCTTGCTGTAGCTAACTCAGCTAGTGTCACTGTAACTATCTTACTGGGCAAAGGAAACGGTTACTTTACTTACGGACAAGATTTAAAAACTGGAACCTCGACAAGTTGTTTAGCAGCAAATGACTTTAATCAGGATAAAAAAGTAGATCTTGTTGTGATTAATTATAGCGCAAATAGTATTGGAGTGTGGTTAGGGTCAGGCAATGGGACATTTACATTGAAACAAACCTACAAAGTTGGTTCATATCCCGTATTTATTACAACGAATGATTTCAACCGTGACAACTTCGTTGATCTAGCTGTAACCAATAAGAATCAAGATAATTTCTATGTCTTTTTTGGAAAGGGTGATGGGACTTTCCGTTTATCTACTACAAATTTCACAGTTGGCACCAGTCCATTGTCGATCATATCGTATGATTTTAATAATGATACGTATGCCGATTTAGCAGTAACCAACTTTGTTAGCAATGATATAAACATCTTTCTTGGTAATGGCGATGAAACATTTGAAGGTATCTCAGAAATTTCAACTGGCAACGATCCTACTTCAGTCGTAGCTGGTGATCTCAATCATGATACCAGACTGGATTTAGTTTCGTTGAACACACTTGACGGAGCACTATCTATTTTTATCAATTCGTGTAAAAAAGTAAACAAATAGGCATCTTTCTGACTATATCAGACTATTGTTGCCATATTGCATGGCAGTCAAACAATGTAGATATTTTCGGATTCTGCTTGTTTTATTCAGTCTTTTTTTCTTGTGTTGATAAAGTCTGTACAACAAATATTTTCTATTCCATGACACATAGACAAATGTACTCGAACAATTTTCATATTCTGCAAGATCATTTTTCAAAGATAACAGCGTGTTTACTCTCTAAAGTGCGATGTATTTATTCAACTATAAGATTCATTGACATAATCGACGGTTGACGATATCATTCCGACGAACAGGATGATCGTGATGAGCAATTTCGTATTCAATAACAAGTTATTCAACTAATTACAAAATATTACATAATGTAATCGAAAGAAAAGTAGATGGGGTAGGTTTAACCAGTTTAGAAATGAAAGGAACATAAAATTTGATTTCATCAAGGAAAGATATGTAATCAGTAACAGATAGAAATATGCGATATCTTTCATTTAATTCAAATTTCAACGATTGATACATGGATTCTCGATTCAGAAGGCACATTTCGTACAAATGTAAAAGACGATGACCGTCCATATATGTACATAAATGAAGGATACTATGTTCGAGTTTGATCTGTTGAAAAAATGATTTGACATGTTCATGAGTCCATTGAGTAATACAAGTTGGTAGATCACTAGGAAAACAAAAACATGAAACACACGAAATCTCAATTTCGAGAAACTTACATGATCGAATGAGTAACACTATGCGAGGATTCGGAGAATTGATTGGATATTTCCAACTGCTGACGATGCGATTGTTCATTGATTTCGCTTTTCAATCTGCCATATGCTGATTGAAACGGCGTGCGAACAAAATCCACGTATATCTTACCACTGACGATAATACCCAGCCACCCATCAGGTTTATAATTCGATTCGACGAGAATTGGAATCAGCTGACATCCTCGTTCGAACGCATAATGAGCTTCCGATTGACAGTAGACACTTTGTTTATAAGAATTTGACATACAAATCAAAACACATTCCGAATTTTCGATAGCATCCGCCATGCCCATCATGGTCGATCCTCGCAGACAATCTCGATCGAACCAAACACGAAAGCCATCTAGTGTTAGTTGCTCATGAATTCGATGGCATATATGTTGATCTCTATGAGAATAACTGATCATAATGTCATACTTATATGAATTGAATTTGTTTGTATTCGTAAATGCTTCTTCTTCTTTTTCCAATTTCCAAAGAAGTCCTTCAGCCGCTCGTTGTAAACTCGATTGGTTATTGTTAGCGAGCGAACGAATCTGATCGATGAACTGATCATTATATTTCAGCACTAGACACGCGTTGTTATCGAACGAAAGTGCAACAAGAATTTCTAAAGCAATCTGTCGCACTTTGATCGGATCGAATCGATCATCTCGAACGCATTGAATTAATAATGATAAAGCATTCTGTTTGATAAATTCGATTTTCACTTGATCGTGCTGAACAAAATCTGAACTAACATCGAGATATTCTCGCTGAATAGTAACTAAATCAGACTTACTTTTCAAGCTTTCCAATAAACTAGAAAAACGTTCGGTTTTGTGCGGATCATCGATTGATTTGACTAAAAACTCCACGTGGACATGTACGAGTTGTTCTGGATTGGTCATTGTTTTAATGTCGGTCTCATCCATGAGCTTTCCTAGACAACGATAAGCATTCAACTGGATCTCGTCGTTATTCACATCGGTGAGTTTCAAGAGCATGGCGATTAAATTCGGAATTGTTTTCATGAAGTTCAAAACATTTCGATGTAAACTCAAATTGTAGATGTTTTGAATGATAATCGAAGCGCTGAATTTCGTATTTAATTCATCCGACGAATAGGCTAATGTCGATGCTAGAACCGTTGACCAATAGGAGACAAGTTGACTGTATTGATGGAAAAATTCATTACTGAACAGATTGATATGATCTGATTCAATCGGACGGACGAGAAAATAGCTGATATGACGAAGCACAGTTGCGAATTTTGAAGAACAATGCCGATAAGAATCCGGATGGCAGTTGATCAGCCATTGAGTGAATTCAGTCAATAAAGTTCGATGAACTTTAAGAAGATGCTTCGTTTCCCGATAGCCAGAGTACCATTGTAAATACCATGGCATTGTGCTCAAAAGTAAGGCTTGTTCATCGTCAAGTTTCTGAACGAAATTCGATTCTAAACTTCGAATCGTTTGAACAGCACGTGACGAGCATAAACATTGACCAACCGAAAAGAATATTGGAAGAATTAAAGCATATTCTTTCTTATTCAATGGATTATCGTGAAAATGTTTGAAAATCACCAAAAGAAAACCAACCGAACGGAGTAGTGAGGAGTTTGTGGTTAAATAATGGCTATGCATAGCGACGTCTTTCAGACAATGTGTAAGTTCATCGATTAAGACTTTTTGTAGGAAGAGATGTTTGAAGGCAGCGATGTTCGTATCGTCAATATGCGAAGATAAATGTACAAATAGCGTTGATGTGTCCAGTAATAGATTTTCTGTTTGAGAATCAGAAGTTTCTCTCCGATGTAAAGGATCAATGATTCCATTGTTACGTATTAAGATAAGTAATTCATGTTGAATCAGTTCATGATCAGCTAATTTCTTATTTCGATAAGGTACACTTGCTAATGAACGAATAATTCGGTCGATAAACATATTTTTCATGTTGACATTGTTGATTTGCTCTAATACCGAATGACATACGGTAAAAGACATTTTCAATTGTTCGATACTTATGTTCGAGCCATAGTCTTTGATTAATGTACATTGCTCATCGATTTTAAAATTCGACATGGTTCGGCGAATGAATCTGAAATAAACATCAGTCATATTCTTTCCGTTCATAATTTCATTTGTCTTTGCTCAACAAAAATGGTTGAAATGAATGTGACTTCTATGAATCATTTATTTATTTATCTCAGTCAGAAATGATTCTCTAACAATGGACAATGATCGAGCTTCGTACAGAGATGCTGTTCTCTTATGCAGTTACGTCATCAAGGCGATTTCTCACTGGATAATTCTATTGTCTGTGTAGGAGTATAGATACAAATATATCTTTATCGTTGTCTTTATCAATGCTTATGACACATCAGATATTTCGATATCTTAAAGTAAATCTTTGACGTCGTTTATTATCATTTTTAATTTTTCCGATGAAAGCAAAAATATGACTCATATGGTTTCACAGTGATGATGAAACAACGCTTATACAGGGAATACAAGTCGTTTTCGCTTATGATTATATTCGTATCTACAACAAGGAGTTTCATTAAATTGTGTCTCAAATAGTCTACTGTATTTATGGCAGCTTCTTCGAGTTCTAACGTTAACAATGAAGAAAACATATTTCAACAACAAGGTTTTGTCGTAGTTAGCTGGAATGTCTTGCATTTGATTCATGAAATCAATCACACATATGACTTAAGTCCGGTAATCAATCGATATTCCATCAAAGAAAATTGGTCGAATGAACAGCAACGACTGAATGATATTATCAAAACGTTGAGCGATATATTGGTCAAGTATTCATCGATAGAATGTTTTATTTGTTTACAAGAAGTACCTGGTGATTTATTACCGATGTTAGATACAATGATTCATGCACATGTCGGCTCTGTTTTAATTAATAAGCCAATGATTCATGTGCGTAGTTATCCTCGGGTACCAGCGACGAGACAAAGACCTAGACAACCATTGTATACTAACCCAAATGAAAATCTCGTCACAATTCATTATAATCCTTATGTGGCTGATGCGAATATAGCAGTAGATAACAGAATGGGCGCGACATCTACTCTGCTGAATGACCGAGCTGATTGGACACAATGTCCCTGTGATCCCGGCAAAGGAGCACTTACGATAGTAACCTCGTCAGGCCTAACTGTCGTCAATATACATGTTCCATTCAAGGAACAGCACGCTATTTCACTGCTGAATAGTCTGCATTGGCCTCGTCAAGATACTCCTTTCGTACTTGTGGGTGATATCAATCGCCAAGCGCCTGCATTCATGCGTCTGATTCAAACAGCTACTAATGGAAAGCCATCTGCTGGTCTTCTGTGTTCCATAGCACCTGACAAACCTACGAGAGTAGGTTTAGAACAAGATGGCACACTTAAGAAGTACTGCATCGATCATTATCTCGTCTCTGCGTCATTAAGAAACTCAACTACGGCGCCCGCACTTGTTTACGACAATATTGGTGATATTTCCGATCATTTTCCAATCATACTTCAATTCAACAGCATGTGATCTTGCTGAAATAACATTTCATGACACAATAGTTCACATACGAAACATATGAGAAAAGTCTGTTTTTATTCATATAACAACTTTGACGCGTTTTCGCGTCAGAGAAGAAAAAGAACAAGAATAAATACAAAAAAGTATATTGATACAAACTGTGTACAGATCTCGTGTTTGATGTAGTCAGATTTTTATCTATCCTGTCGGACCAATCGCCATTGAACTTGCAGCTTGACATGTATTCGGGAATACAGACACTGTCGAATCAAGTGTGTTAACTGCAACTAGATCTAACAGCTTATCACTATTCAAATCATTTGCTAGGACTAGGCTAGGATCACTGCCAGTTGTAAGACTCATACCGTTCTCGAAACTTCCACTACCATTGCCCAGAAAGACGTTAATATTGTTATCAACGTAATTCGTTACCGCTAAATCAATATATGTGTCGTTATTCAAGTCATACGATATGATCGATGTCGGACTACTACCAACCGTGTAATTAGTAGAAGACAAACGGAATGTTCCATTACCATATCCAAGCAGAATGTTGAAATTACTTTGATTCTGATTGATCACAGCCAAATCAAAGAAAGTATCGCTGTTGAAATCATTCGTTGTAACAAATACGGGATATGAACCAACTTTGTAGGTTTGGCTCAACGTAAACGTTCCATTTCCGGATCCTAACCACACGCTGACGCTATTGCCGTTTCGATTCACAACAGCGAGATCTACATATGTGTCCCGGTTGAAGTCGTTCGCTGCTAACGCAATCGGCTGATTTCCCAATATTGAGGTTATCGACGAAGCAAAATAACCATCTCCTTTGCCCAGTAAGATAGTAACAGTAACACCAGCTGAGTTAGCTACAGCAAGATCGAGGATCTTATCATTATTGAAATCGTTTGCTAGAACAAAAGCCGGCTGACTGCCAGTTGAGTACAGACGTTGTGCTTGAAAGATGAATTTGGCATCTCCAGCAAATATAACAAGAGCACTGCTAGATTGAGCCACAATTGCTAAATCAAGTAATGAATCGTTGTTAAAATCATTCGATATGACAGAAGTAGGCTGATAGCCGGCAAGGTACTTTGAATGTACCACAAAAGTTCCATCTCCGGAACCAATTAAAAGTGCGAATGAATTGTCTCCAGAGTTTGTTACAATTAAATCGACTATTTTATCAAAGTTGAAGTCACCAGTCGTCACACATGATGGAGAAGTGCCAACTGAATATTTTGTTTGAGTTTTGAACGATCCACTTTTATCATTCAACAAGACGCTAACAGAATTGCTTCCCGTGTTGACAACGACTATATCTTGAAAACTGTCGTTATTGAAATCGTTCGATGCAATGAAGTTTGGCGTCGTCCCAACTGCATACGTTTTCTGATCTTGAAAAGTTCCGTCAGAATTTCCGAGGAGTAGACTAACGGTATTGTTGGCACTGTTGGCAACAACTAAGTCAAAGACTTTGTCATTGTCAATATAAGTAGATATAATCGAGGTCGACCTACTACTAACAGAATATGAAATCGGCGATGAAAATGTGCCAAGTGCACTGGCAAGAAGAACGTATATAGTACTGTTGTCGCAGCTGGTGACTGCGAGATCTAGTAGATTGTCGCTGTTGAAATAGTTTGTGGTGATGGCACATGCGGCAGTTGGAATGCTATATGAGACCAAAGCGTTGAATGGATTATTATCACTACTGACAGCGATGGTGATGAAACTTTTAGTGGACGACACTGTTGCTATATCTGTAAGATTATCACCAGTGAAGTCACCAGATACCATGGCGTCAGGAGTTGTAGCGAACGTATAGGATCCTCTTTGTCCAAACACAGCGTTCCCGTTTCCTTGAAACATGACAACAGTTCCGGCTGAAGTAAGTACAACTAGATCTAAAAATGGATCTCTGCCGAAATAACCTGATATAACTGATATAGGAGGGCTGTCTGTTGGATAGCCGACGAATTTAGGAAACATTCCAGAGCCAAGACCAAGTAAAATGCTCATACTATCGGCGCCAAAGTTTGCCACCGCCATATCTAATATAGAATCATTGTTGAAGTCATTCGATATGATGTAACTAGGTTGTAATCCGACTGGATATTTTGGATATGAAGGAAATGTTCCATTAACACTGCCAACAAGAAGACTAAGGCTGTCATCGCCGTAGTTGAGAACAACAATATCAATGTAACTGTCGCTATCGCACATACCTGCGACAACGCTAACTGGGAGTGTGCCAACATTATAAGTAATTTGCGGTTGAAATGTTCCATTTCGATAATTTATCAAGATGCTAATACTGTTCTCTCTGTAGTTAGTAACAACTATGTCTGGATATTTATCATTGTTAAAATCAGCAGATGCCAGGGCGCTTGGACTAGTACCGACACGATACGTTGCTTGACTTTTGAATGTTCCATTAGCACTGCCAAGAAGCACAGTGATAGTGTTGTCAAAGAAGTTAGTCACTGCAATATCCATACAACTATCGTCATCAAAATCTTCATATATCATCGAATAGGGCGTATTAGAGACAGCATAACTGTTTGCTATGACAAAAGATCCATTTCCATAGCCATATAGTATACGAATACTTTTATTGTCACTATCGGTCACAACTAAATCCAGATTTGTATCATTGTTAACACTATAGGCCACCAGATTTCTTAGACCACTAGTGATCTGAACTTGCAGTTGTGAATTGAATGTTCCGTTCCCTAGGCTAATGAAAATACTGACGAAAGAATCAGCGGTATTCGCCACTGCTATATCCACCATACCATCATTGTTAAAATCGCCCGTGGCGATGGCACTGGGTAGGGTTCCACAAGTGTATTTCACCTGGGTACGAAAAACACCATATCCAGACCCCAGTAGCACGCTGATCGATTGCTCTCCTTGATTTGCCACTACCAAATCTGGTATATTATCGAAATTGAAATCAGCTATCTCGATGAAAACTGGAGTTTGACCAACCGAATAAGATTTCTCGGATTGAAAGGTTCCATCGCCTTTGCTAAGTTGAACATTGACAGTATTATCTGCTTGGCTAGTCATTATTAGATCGTTCTTTTTATCCTTATTCAAGTCATACATAACCACATAAGTCGGATCGCTGCTTGTAAAGATAGTGGACTGAGCTTGAAAACTTCCCGATCTACTGCCGAACAGTATAACTACATTATCATCTTGTTGGTTCACAATTGCAATATCCAAATTTGTATCATTATCGAAGTCACCTGTTGCGGCAGCGACTGGATTACGGCCGGTGGCATATAAGCTGGCACCTTGTGCATAAACTAGTTTACATGATTGAACTAAAATAAAAAGCGATATTTAACCAAATCGCATACTGATGGACTTCTCTCTAACTCAACTTGTTTATGTCTTTTTACATTACAAATACATACACATAGGACCTATTATCGTTGAAGCTGCTGTTGATCGCGTTCCTAAAACACCACCAATCACAGCACCTGTGATAGCCAAAGTCAACAGCAAACATACTGGAATCACAAATCGCTTCTGTTTGTACCAAGACTTTCTAAAATCAACTCATTCATCAACACTCTCACTCTTTCATCATGTCCCACTCACTTCACTTTCGGAAATATCAGTGCACCTAGACATACACAAACAACGATAACGAAGAAGGATCAGTCAGGAAAAGAAGAAAAAGTTACCTTCGTATGGTGGCTTGAGAAGAGGTTCGTCAGGAATGACTTGTTTCAAGTGAATGATGTGTAGTTGAGGTGCTGGACTGAACAGTGACTGAACTATCATGTGTGTGCCAGGTAGAAGAAGAAGTTCGTCTTCGGTGACGAAATGTGAATGTGCACGAACTGTTCGACCATTGATGACTTCGACGGAGAACAGTGTTCGACTTCCACTGTTGCCGAGATACATGTTATTTTCGAGAACAGTCAGTTCGGTTGTACAGGATGAGAAGGCCCACCAGGTGACAGGAGTGCCAGGTGGAAACTCTTGACTCAAATCTTTTGTGACACCTCGCCAAACAGTGAGTGGTGGCACACAGGGTAGTTTGACAAGAGCGGTGATGAAGAGTTTCATGTACCTGAAGTATGGTCGGAGTTTTTCTCTGTTCTCATTTTTGAGAGTGTAGTTGAGCATGGAATAGAGACTTCGATGTGGTCGATCCCATTCGATAGTGTACAAGCGAATAGCAGCACTTTCGTCGATGGTGAGATGATCGGGCGGTTCTTGAGGTGTTTCTTCCAAAGCTAGCTGAACGTAATAGGAAAGATTGTGTAGTATGGTGTCGAGAGGAGCACATGCTTCAGCTAGTGGTAGGAGTGGTTCGTCGGCATACTCGAGAATGGGTTCTGTTGGAAGATCGGTTGGTTCGGCTGCGACTGTATGATTTAGTTGTGTTACTGGGGTAGTTTCTACCATGCGCTGATTGCCACGTGCTGATTCGATACCAGTATTATATGCGTCGTGCAATAATTCCATTGCTATAATTTCTTCATTTTGAATAAGAGTTTCTCTTTCGTGTGTGTTCTTATGTACTACGTTTGTGTTGTACGATAGATCAGTCAAGATCTGAACAGGTGTCCTGTCAGGATTTCGACGATAATGCATAGCTTCATCATTGTGTCCGATTGATGTTAACTCGGTTTGTATACGAGCATTTCTCATTTTAGTTTTTTTATGTCGTGGCCTAGAATCCATCTTTTTTGACTGATTACTGTCCAGCAACCCACGAGTATGACGGTTTAATTGATATAAATGTACACAAGCCCTTTACTGTCTAAATTAATTATACAGGTCAGTGGTAGATGACTTCGTTCAATTACCGTCAGAGTTATCTAACCAATGAAACGATAGATCAGTTAAATGCAAGTTAAATTATATAATACTACTTACTTGACGTACACTTTCATATATATATGCATCAAGGCATAGTGATTATTGAAGTATGACTTTTTCATGTTGTTTTTCTTTTAAAGTACAATTAATCAAGTTGGAGGCGAGAAATTAGTTGCATATTTTTCTTTTCTCATTTCACGATGAGCTGCGTGTCTAATTAGCACGCAAGGCAATGATGGCCATTTTGTAATTTACAAGCGAGGAAGCGAGCCAGCATGATTTATGGCAGTGACAAAAGTGACTCAAAGTTCTGCTTCGGTTGTGTTTCGTGTTTGATATATGTTCGTTAAATTTTTATAATAGAAAAATTATCAATAAAATCAATAAAAAAAACTGTGAAGTTCATTATATAAAAAGGAGGTTTTCCTTCCTCTATGGACGCTTTTCCACGAGAACAGTTTTCATTTCAACGATAAAGACCCGCTTTGGCCAAACATTAATATGAATCTTGTATCTAGATTCTTTGCTAAATTACGCACCCGTCATATTTGTACGGGATCGTGTGCACAATGAACTGCTACTTCAATTCAATACGCGTATCAATTTGGTCACGAATTAGAAATATAGGGCACTATTATTCCTGACGAAATTACGTCAACATGATGTGTAGAGCATATGCGTGTCAAATATTCACGATGGATTTCTATGAGCATCATATACCAAACCAAAAAAAGAAGAATTAGACATACAAAATTGAGAATACTTGATCAATTCAGACAAGAAATAATTCTTGCTACAAACAAAACTAAGTTGATTTCATTAAATCAGGGAGAATACTGCTCAACTTTATCACTATCTAATCAAATCGATGATAGAAACTCGGAGAATCGGATGCTTTGCAAGTATTTTCTAATAGAATTTAATTCTTTCATCGCGTCTGGTAATTTATGAGGAATGATGATAATCATGAAACACCATTTCTCTGATTAGCAAATGACTTCTTTTTGCAGAAGTTATATATGCTGCACATAAAATAATATCGCGAGTGTATTTTGATTTCAACCGTCTTTTTTCACTGTATGACGGATTCCTCTCGATCGTTAGAAAAGTTTGCTATGGCTATTAAAATAAAAAACAGCAGTATTCTCATAGAAAGATTATTTGAGAAGGTGATCTCAATAATTTGTCGAGTGCAGCAGATAACGAAATTCGACGTTCCTACGTTCTTTGGTAGTGCGATGATGTCAGCAGTTATTTCTTGTTACTTGAATCCTCAACAGCTACTCCCAACCTTTTGTTATTCATGTCAAATTTCGCTTGAACGATCATGTCTTTAACTGACAACACGACAGATTAACAAACATATCATCAACTTTGGCATTGCTTCCAAATAATACATCAAACGCTTTTTTATGCTCCTACATTTCTCATATTGCATCTAATTGTTGTCTTCCAACACCAACAAAAAAACCTCCACGCCCATTCTTTGTTTCATGAATCATCTATATGCAATGCTCTTCGCGAATACTCAGCTTTAGCACTGTTGAAATCGATACTATCTAGTTTATCGATTGTACTTTTCACCCCATTTCAACGTATTTGCCAATGGAGATAGTTGCAATGTTGAGTACCTTTGCCATTTATCGATTATTAGATCTTGAAAAAGAGAAATGAACTTCAATCGTTTTGATCCGTATATCGAAACAATAGGTCGTCAATAAAATCTCCTCAACGACTATCGCGTATATTTATGTGCACTTGACTAAATCAAAGCGATTTTTTCTTTCTATTCTGTCTTGGGGTTATATAATAAAGTTTCTAACCAATCACATTATTTTTTGTCATTCATGCATATTCTTTCCAATACATGCTTCATCGGTCTTGTTTTGACTGTGGCAACGAGGACAAATTCTATTTGAAATGTATTGATATTTCAGATATGCCTCGTGGCTTTAGCCGGCGAATAATTCAGCATGGTCTTGTTTTGACAACATCCGCACTCGGTACGGGTTATCTTGGCCAGTATCTGCTCAAGGTTACGCGGAAATCGTCAATCATAGCTTAACTGAACGTTCTAGTTATATCTTTTAGAAAAATAAACTGAATGCCTCGGAACCTGCTCTACACAAACCAAGTGTATGGCATGATGATTTTCCAACGCGTGAAGCTCAAATCGAACGAATGTCAACCGAACCAGAGTATGATATTGTGGTTATTGGCGGTGGAGCAACCGGTTGTGGAGTAGCTGTCGATGCAGCTAGTCGAGGTATGTTCCTTCGTGATGGTTGATTCATCGGTAAAGACATATTCATGCTCATCAGGTTTGAAAGTTGCATTGGTAGAAAAATATGACTTCAGTAGCGGAACATCATCCCGGTCAACGAAACTCATCCATGGTGGTGTGAGATATTTGCAAAAAGCGATCTTGCAATTTGATCGCGAACAAGTAACAAAGAGAGAGTTAGATACTGCTAATCATCCGACTGTTTTCCTTCGAATTTAGTATTCTATGGTGAAAGAAGCGTTGTATGAACGTGGTAATCTTTTGAAAATAGCTCCACATTTATCCTATCCATTACCCATAATGTTGCCTGTTTATAAGTAAGTCTGTGAAAGTCGTTGATCTGTATCGAATGTTGATTTAGATGGTATCTTCTACCTTACTATTATGCTGGTATCAAAGCGTACGATTTCGTATCCGGTCGGCAGTTACTTCGATGGTCGTATTTGATCTCGAAAAGAAAAGCTTTAGAATTGTTTCCTATGCTAAAAAAAGAGAAATTAGTCGGTGCGATCGTTTACTATGATGGACAACATAATGATGCACGAATGAACATAGCATTAGCGTTCACAGCTGCAAGAATGGGTGCAAATGTAGCGAATTATTGTGAAGTCACAGAATTAGTACATGACAACATTCGAGTAGAAAATGCGCAAGGACAGCCGGAAATGAAAAAGGTCATTCGTGGTGTCAAATGCTTCGATCGATATCAAAGTAGAGAAATTGAATCGAAGTTCGACTTCATTTTCAATTGGTTTCTCTTAGACAAAGCTTTCACCATTCGAACTAAATGTGTTGTCAATGCTACTGGGCCTTACACCGATGCCATTCGTCAGCTAGACGATCCATCGCTACCAAAAATCTGTCAACCATCTGCAGGTGTTCATGTCGTCTTCCCTGATTACTATAGTCCAACAAATATGGGTCTTCTTGACCCGAATACATCAGACGGACGTGTAATCTTCTTCTTACCTTGGCAAAAACACACCATCGCTGGTATGTAAACTGCTTGAAGAGAAATGACGAGTTCTCGATTTCCAATAGGTACAACGGATACACCTTGTGATGTGACTGATGATCCGTCACCATCGAGCGATGACGTGGACTTCATCTTAGGCGAAGTGAAAAACTATCTTTCATCCGATGTGCAGGTCCGTCGAGGCGATGTTCTGTCAGCATGGGCCGGTATTCGACCGTTGGTTTTGAATCCGAACAAAAAAGATACTCAATCTATTGCACGAAATCATATCGTTCATGTCAGCGATTCAGGTCTTGTGACCATCGGAGGTAATGAGGAATTTTTTAATTTTTTTTCTCTGCCATTAATTATATAATTATCTCAGATAAGTAGAGTAAATACTTTATGTGTCCTAGTCATCATCTTGTAAGAGAGAAGATTAAATAGGAATTTAATTACTTTAGGAGGAAAATGGACTACTTATCGGCAAATGGCTGAAGAGACTGTCGATCGTTGTATTACATCTTCGAACTTGAACGCGAAAAACGAATGTAAAACTAAAGGTTTAGTTCTTCACGGCGGTGAAAAATGGACACCGACTTCCTATATTCGTCTTGTTCAAGATTACGGTCTCGACACTGAGGTGAACGGAATTCAATTCCAATTCGATGTATCTATCAAAAGCAATTCTTCTCCTAGGTCGCCATTCATCTTTCTCATACCTATGGTGACCAAGCCAGCAAAGTCGCTGATATGTCTTCATTAACTGGAAAACGTTGGCCAGTTATTGGTAAACGTCTTCATCGAGAATTCCCGTACATTGAAGCTGAGATAAGCTATGCGATTAAGGAATACGCTCGTACGGCTGTTGATGTTCTTGCTCGACGTACTCGTCTGTCATTTTTAAATGCCATAGCTGCCGAAGAAGCTCTTCCGCAGATAGTTCAAATCATGGCGAAAGAGCTGCACTGGAATGAACAAAAACAAAAAGTTTGTATCGAGTCGACGCGAGCAAAAAATATGTTTTCGTTCCTGCTAATTTGTTTTGATAATTTAGGAAGAAATAGATCGTGCGAAAATATTTTTGTTGCGTGAAATGGGTCTTAATTTAAAACGTGATATGCGTCGAAATGTGCCGATTAATTTAACACGTGAAGAAATGAGTTATTATATGAAATATTTTCGTCAAATAGATGTCGGAAATAAAGGATTTTGCTCACTTACTGATTTAAAACGATATTTGCAAGTAAAAATATCAAGACATGGCATGAAAGCACCGTTTCTGTTTTGCTTCGTGTTTTAGTTATCGAACAGTGAAATAACCGAAGAAGAATTTCGAATCTTAATGCGCGAAATCGATCAAAATCAAAATGGAATCATAGAAACCGAAGAATATCTCCAAGTAAAGCATCTCACCTTGAACTTTTCTAATCAACAACAATCTGATTTAGCTAATGAGTGCAATTAAATCCGGTACCATATCGGCCAGTCACTTTGCCAAGGCAACCCGCATTGAAACAATCAAAAGGAACCCATCGCCCGAACGGAGTGGAGGTGGGATTTAAGCACAGATCGATTCCTTTCGTTATTTCCTCCCTAGCTGAACAACGCAATTGAGAAACACCTACATATAAACCCACTCATCCAACTTTACTCCATCGATCAAAAAACTGTCGAGATAGAAGAAAAACATTCTATATAAATATTCAATATACTCATTTATACACAGTTTTCCAGATGTCAGGAGGCTGTCAAGGTTTTTGGAAATTTTGCAAGACACTGACGATATACTTGTTGGCTTATTTTCTTTTTATCTGCCTGGAATAATCTTTCAATAGCAATGTCTTTTGAGTTTTTTTTTCCTCCGATCTGTTCTACTATATTTTCTTTTCCATTAAAATGATATGTTCTTTACTTAGAGAAAGATACTTGTACGTAAGAAGGCATCATTAAGAAAAAGATAAAAGTAGGTTGTGCTCTTGCTCTTTGCCTAGATACGTGTCATAGCCAGAGAAATTTTGAGAACATCAATGAATGTAGAGATGTATTTGCTTGTCTTTCTATTCCCGATATGATTTAAGTACTTGTTGAAGAGATGAGACCACGTGCGAAGAACAGATGAATGACATATTAGACTCTATCTCTGAAGTAGTAACGGCAGCAGCTTGTTCCAGTGTTTCATGTTGTCTATCATCACTAAGATATAACAAGGCAAGCAAATTAAGCGTTACTCAAGGAGAGGAAAAAGAAGAAACGAAGCAAAAAAAAAACTGCAAACCGGGTCGACGAGAAAAGAACGAGAGGAAAAAAAGGGTTAAAGTGAGAGAGAATCTGGCCATAATAGGGTACGTTGAAAGAACGAAAGCAATAGTCGTCGACGTCGCTTTAGCATCAATAACAAGCGTTTCTCGTTTTTCTTTTTTCGAAAAAAAAATATATATAAAAGTCGCGACCGACTGGTCTCTGTTGTGCTGCCACGACTGCGTCATCGTCTTTTTGTTTCAAAGCGAGAGGAAGAAGAAGAAGAAAATCTCAGGACAAACGCGCGCGCGCGCACACACACACACACACTATATACACACACGTACACAAGCTCGTCATCATCATCCTGTGCTAGTTTAGACAAATAAACAACGTACCGTTTGTTTGTCATCATTTCTTCTCTCTCTGTCTCTCCGTTTTTTCTCTCTCCCTGCTTCTCTCTCTTTCTTTCTTTCTAACATTATTACCATCAATTGAGGTAAAAAAACAACAAAAGCAAAATAACCTACACACTCTTTCAAGTAAGTCACACATTTATTTATATGTATTTATATCTAATAAAAGGTTGGTAGGTTTTATTTTTGTGTATGACGAGGAGTGAAGAAAAAAAACGCTAAAGTCGACGAACACTTGATGGAAAAATATTTATTTTTATCGATTGACGATAATTTAATAAATATTCAAGATGATTTTCGATGTATTCGATCAAGCATCGAATAATTGAAATCTATTTTATTTGCAGAAAGCTCACAAATGCTAAGGATGAAAGGAACCATGCTCGACTGACGTTCATAAAATAACTAGATCTGTTTGATGTATTTAGGCTGTGTACAAAAAAGGAAAAAGAGAACGACTATGCGCACGAATAGATTCTTTTTCACCGCGGTCTAATTAAAAGCAACCGATTACGCATTAAACAATGAAATAAAACAAATTTCGAGAAAATGAACCTTGGTGTATATATAGCAAGACGTTTTCAGCTCTCGCTAAGGACACTTTCTAGTCGCTTTAATGAAGTTTGTTACGAGAAAATCAAAGGATGAAATTCTATGGACTGACCTTTTTTCTTTTGTCGAGTTTCTTTTACTCATTTTTTTGACATTCTAGAATGGGAAGAAAAAAGATTCAAATATCGAAAATCACCGACGAACGCAACCGTCAGGTGACGTTTACCAAACGGAAATTTGGTTTGATGAAGAAAGCCTACGAATTAAGTGTCCTATGTGATTGTGAAATCGCGCTCATCATATTCAATTCGTCCAATAAACTATTTCAGTACGCATCAACCGATATGGACAAAATCTTGCTCAAATATACCGAATACAATGAACCACATGAAAGTCGAACAAATAATGAAATCGTGCAGATTCTTAACAAGAAAGAATCGAAACATCTCGATCAAAACGATAGTGATAACGACATGGAAGATGAAAGTGCTAATGAAATGGACAGTAATCATCCGATTCCATCTCATCACCACCACGAACCTAACATCAACGATTCAAGAAAACGTTCGAACCAAGTAAGATAAACAAAAACATATTTTTTCTTACATGTCCTATAACAAAATATCAACTATTTAGTCTCATCAAACTAGCAATTACCCTCCGTCTCTACCGATGGTAAACGGTGCAGGACAACCGTCTGGTCAGCCAAACTTTTTAGCTGGTAAGAATGAGCATATGCGATAATCCCACACGTTCAGATTGAAATTTAGTCCATGGAACCACTGGTGTCGATGCGTCATCATCACCCTCGCCTCAATCAACGTATTCACCGCAAAGTTCGCCAAGTGAATCACGTACCAGTCCATCGACAAAACAGCAATCGACGTCAAATTTAAATAGCAAATTTTCCATGAACACAAACAGTGCACCGCCAATGTCCTTAGGTCCATCTCACCATAACGATTTGTCCAGCGGAGGAGCAGCAAGTCGACTTAATGGTAACTTTTGCTTGTAGATTTTTTCATTTGAGCTCTGCGAACAACTTCTTTAGCAGATTTTGCATTGAATCCGACTGGCGGTGGTAACACAGGCGTTGAAAGTAACAATTTTCTTCCATGGCATACATCGTCTCATTCATCCTTAGCTGCTGCACTTCACATGAACACATTACCATTAAGGTAAGCCATGCTCATTTTCAAACATTGACAAACTTTCTCAGCAAATGACTTCATTTCTTCTTCTTTAATCCAGCATGATGAATTATGATATGCAACAAGCACTATGTGGTCCACCGCCATCGTCAAGTAGTACAAATAATACAAATCGCGGTAGTCCACATTTGTATTACTCACAACCACACCATCTTCATCATCAGCAACAGCAGCAGCAGCAGCAACATCGTCTGAAGAACGAACCGTTTTCTCCTCCGATTTCCATGAATTCGAATTCCAGTTCAACTCATTCGATGTCAAAAACGTCAATTCCTCCACAGCAACGATCGGTTGATTACCTTAATTCATCACCTAATCCCGAACCATCGTTGAAACATCCTCGATTCGATCCACAAGTCTGGCCCAATCCAAGTTGAACAAATACCATCCTCCAATTTTCTTTCTTTTTCCATCATCGTTGCTCAAAAAAACACACACTTATTGAAGTTCATATTCATCTATTCGTTTTAACATACCACACTCAACTTGAGAACTACTTTTTTCTTTTACTTTTTGCTCATCAAACTGCGAATGATTACATATGGTATCATTCTGTCTCACTTGTATTGTATTTAACAAAAAAAACCCAGAAACGTGTGAATACCAGTGTACGTATTTGTATGTCTAACTGTTGTTGTTTTCTTCTTCTTCTTCAAAATTCTATCTTTATTTTTGGTGTTTTTCAGAATAATGATGATGTTGTTTTTCCTTTTATTGCCTTTGTATATGTAGAGAAGAAAAGAGAAATTCGCGAAACAAACACGACCCAATTTGAACAGTGATCAGTCGCTTTCTACAACCTATAGGTGATCTTTTTCGTGTGTTTACTGTATTCCTTGTTAATGTATGTCTGTTCAATGACACTCAGCCCATGTGAACAAATAAACAATAATGTTAACTCAGATGCTTAACGTTCTTGTGAACTCCTGGGAAAAACAAACGTTGACATAACCATATCAAATTCAGTATGTGCGAGAGAACAGCGATAGCACATAAAATATTTTAGCGACATAATGATAAATATAGATTTTGATTAGAACCTAATCTGTTCGTGTTTCTTTCAATATCTCGAAGCCGTATGTGAAGGTTTGAGTTTACTCTGTCAAGAACTTTCTAACCACTCATTTCCATTCAGTCATTATTGATTACATCGATTTGGTCTTCCGATGAGTACTTTTCCTTTCCAACACTTGAGCATGTAACAAGTGAAAAAAAAAGGAAAAGTTTCTCTTCTTACTGTAATTCTTCAGAACAAGACTGTTATTGAATTGACTTTCTAGACGCTATCGACATGTACGTTCAGAAAAGCGTTCTTTTATTTTCATACAACAGAAATAGCAAGCACTGACATATCATGGTCTTTGTCTTTCTCTGTATAACTAATCGTTGTACTGACGGTTGTTTTAGTGACTTGTTGTGTATGAGCTATACGTTGGATTGTGTCTAAGTAATAATCCGTATGAGATAGATGTAGACGTCGTAGTTTCTGCCGGTATCGCATCGCACATGCATGTGCGCGTTCTTCGACAATGGCTTGGAGCTCATCGTTCTTTGTGGTCATGTATGTTTCGTGATCAGCGAAATATGCACTGAATATTCGTTTCAAACGTTCCACATCCGATAATTCTTCTAAATAGACAATGTTTGAATTTTAGGGAAAGAAAGAGATCGCTGTACGAACGATAGAGTTTGTTCTTATTTGGAACGTCCCAAAGAGTTTTCAAGAAATAAGCGGGTAGTTCGTGCCGCTGCTTTTGTGTTTCTTTCAATTGCTGACCAAATATACAAATGATGCTCAATCCATAAAAGCCAATGTAAGTCACAATAAACAGAACAGCACCTTTATTTCCAAATTGAATATCATTGATGAGATTTCCGTCGTCAAACGATGTCACATTCATTGGTTATGACTGGCACCAGATTTTCTCACTCGTTGATTGTTATCGAAATGAAATAATGAATCCAAACGTCATATGGCTTCTTTCTTTTCTTTTCTATTTCATTGAATACGAAGGATAAATTCTAATGTTTGTATCCAAGCAAACAAATCTCAGAGAATCTATTGAACATTCTACGTTTATTCTTAAATCAAATGTGGAAACTTGGTTTTCATTTCCGAGCGGAAGAATATGAAATTACTTCTATTACTAAATCTAAGCGATATCAATAGATGTATTTGACGGCATACTTGCACTGAGACAAATATTTCGAACATTGAACTCAGACATCCTACGTTATAATTAACGTGATGTAGAACAGTTCACACTTCCGTGTACTTTTTTTGTTAGCGAGTGTCAAAGATCGAAGCTTCGACCTTGCCACCAAGCATCTGTGCGTCTCGAGAATGTAACAACACGAAAGAAAACGAATTGTTTCTGTTTTTTAAAGTAAGACATTGTTATTTGCTGTCGCAATGTTTCTATCCGCAATTAGAGACGATTCGTTATCGCCGACTGAATTTTGTGATGCTTGAGCGCGAAATTTCCGATGTATCTTTGGGTGAAATATCGGTATTTGAAATGTTGTCGGTTCAATCAGAGATTTCTGCTGTCCACTAGACAACATCGAATCAGATCGATCGATGTGAATCGATGTATAACATTTGAGTTTGAACAGAATGTTCGATGGACATAATAGTAGAATGTATAAGAATGGCTTGAAACATATACCCAACAGAATCAACTGAGCCAACATACGACTGTTGATGATATCACTTTGATTAAACACGATAATCGATTCGAAGAGAACTTCCATAGACCGGTAGATATAAAATGGAAGTGCCGTCAATGTCAGACAGAGAAATATGTATAATACATCAAGCGAGAGTTGTTGTTCGCGAAGAAATATCGGTGTGATTGATCGAGCAATTAAACAGCAAGTTAAACGAATGTGTAGGAAGATTTCCAAGAGAAACCCTAAACAAACACGATACGTGTAAATAACCTGGTGTTTACGGATACTTGAAGAGAAAAACGTTTTGTCATACTGTCTCGCTTCCTTTGATTTAGAATGCTAACACAAAAACTTAATAACTACAAGCTATTGCAATGAGAGGGCAAGTTGCTGCAGGCAAGCTTTCCAGATAGGTGAACAAATTTGGATAAGATGGGGGGTAAACAGTGGATGAGAACAGACAAAACTTCTGTCGATGACGCGAAACTTGTTGAAATAGCAAAGCAGAAGGACAGGAAATCGCACTCGTCTAATGATAAAAAAAGAGAATGTAGCTATCATCACTGAATTTACGCGAGAATTCTCACGCGAGGATCTACTTAAACATTTTCAGTCTGCTTATCTGACAAAACAATCGGTATGTGTGCACTCGGTCTGACTTCTCCAATCATCAAACCTAAAAAATGATCATGGAAATCCTTCTCCGAAATCTCCTTTCACGATGATAAATCATGTATGAATAATGCATTTAGAGTGCTAAAGAACGCCGAATGTCAACGAAACAAAAATGCATTCTTACCAAGAAAATGTAATACACATAAAAGAATAAAATCTGCTTGGATTAAATGCAGCAGACGAGTCGTCAGACTGAGATCATTGTTGGTTTGCAAATTACAAATCAATTTCTGTTTGGATGCATAAATTTCATTAAGATAAAAGTTCTCTCGCTGAGTATCAGCATCTTCGTGCATCGGACTCGTCTGATTCTGTTCCTTAATGAATGGTACCGACTTTATATAACTTGGTGCATACGTTTCTCCCCATAACCACAACCCGTCGACTGACCATGCAATGGCAATCAGAAACGGAATTAACGTGCATAGATCAGAGCAAAATAGTTGATTAAATGTCGTTGTATTGAAATATTTCGTTGGAAACTTCTTTGCTAATATGTAATGGTAACGGAAGAGAATGAAAATAGTCAAAAGGGGAGAAAAATGAAGTGTAAATTTCCAAAGTAAGGAGTGAAATGAACATGAATGATAATTAGCGACTAATGATTGCGAATAGTATTTGCCGTCGATACAACTGAGAAGTGCTAATAAGCAGAGTAGGAAATCATTGCTGGTAAGAAAAATCAGAAATTTGTATTTTTCATGAGACAGAACATGACTTGATTTGCTTTGTTCGTGACGATTGCCGAGATATGTTCGACGTTGATTTTTCAAGATAATCCAGCAAAGGTAAAACATCGAGAGAAAATTCGAACATATACCAAAGATACTCAGCACTAATGTTGTCGTTGAATGAAAGAGCGGCGAATGCGCGATGGTCCTCTCTCGATAATGTGTTTCATTAATCGATTGTTTTGACAGAAAGAAATAATTATCATGTAGCAACATAGTTCAAATTTGAAGATGAGTTCCTGGAATAGTCTATCTAGAACACGACATGCCGAACAATGAAAAGAAGGCAGAGAAAGAGAGAGAGAACTTCATTTCCTCTTTTCAACTTACATATTTCTTATGAATATTCGACAAATCAAATCAAAGTATTGTTAACGCGTCTTATTAACGTTAGAATGAATGAAAAAAGTAAATAGCTAACGGCAAGAAAAGTTCTTTGTTTTGATCGAGAGAAAACTTCCTCTCCTTCTCGCTTTGATCTCAGTGTGAACACAAGCAGAAAAAAAAGTCGTTTGAACAGAGACCGTTGCGACGAAAGTTACAGAGCCGTGCAGACACTTCGTTCCGTCAAGTGAACGAAAGAACTTCGAGTGCATTGTTCTGATTTGCCCCTAAGAGGAAAAGGACGACAAACATATCTAGGGCATTTCCGTTGCCATTGCTGGCCTCAAAAATTGAATTCATCTTTCAACACGTGTTCTCGACACGTTGAAAGAAGATACTTTTTTACGTTTCTTATACAATATGTTTAAAAGAAGAGAAAAACTGGCAAGTACTGCAGTAGTAGAAGAAGCTATGTTGTGTTTGATGAAATTTAATCATTCAGAAAAAGTTGTTTTGCCCTTATAAACGACTGTCTGCAGCTAATGCAAATAGGACGCTTTCTGTACTTACACACCTCTGAAGGAAAGGAATTTTATTTATATCCGTTTTTAACATTTGTTAAGTGTTTTAATGAGAGAGAGAGAGAGATATGAACAGACTATTGTGTTGAGCTAATAAACATTTTCTCTACGCGCTCTGAATTAGACTTTTTTTCTCTAGAAAGAAACTTGTTGTTTTAGTCTAACAATTACATTCTTCTTATCTTTTTCACTTCAATGCTTTCAATCCTCTGATTAATACAAAAAGGAGGTTTTATCTAAGATTTGTGAAAAATTCTCTCGGCTTAGTTGTAATAGGAAAAGGTTTTCTTCTAGTGATTACCAATTACATTGTTTTCATACTGACTGACTGAGTATCGGGGGGCAATGTTCCGAAGAAATGAGCAGTTTTCTCATTTGCAACAGAAAGAGAGAACGCATTTGAATATTTGAACTTACATAGAATAATTAAACGATGAAGGCTCGACTTGATGTATTATGATTTTATTATAAATCATCGTTTATTAAAAACGGACTGATTAATGAGAAAAAAGTTTATATCTCGTACTTAAACGACGTTGTGTAAATATTAATCATGTTCGTCGAGTGTTTTTTTTTGGACAGTTCAATTATATGGACTGAAAAACGACACGATCTATCATTGTGGCATCGAAAAAAGAAACCAGGTCTCGAACGAGAGTGAATAGTGAACTTGAACTGCTCGATGTTATGTTGGGAAAGGAATATGTCGATGATAGGATTAAACGACGAAAAGAAGCTAACCGTTTCATTCTGGATGCTGAATATAAGAAGAAAAGAGAATCATGACAGATTAATTCTACTCGAAAAATCTCTCTTCGACGTCATTTCCATGCCGTGAAAATCTGTAGTTCCTAAATAATTACTAGACCATCATTTTACATCTCACTAGCAAAATTTCACTTCGAGAAGATAGACATATAATCAAACAAATGCACAACTCTACTAAATCATCTTCGACAACACGACGTTCATATCCCAACTCAAACTCCGAATGCGCCTGCGATTGCACGAGCATCGTTGCATTGCATTTCAATATTGCAATCAACTAATGCAAATCGATCACACTTGTGAAACTTAATCAAACAGAAACGACGGTAATTTCTACCGAGTCAGTTCAGTTCATTGATGTAGTTTCTTCTAAATTTTCATGTCCGATTTCAAATGCAAAGATCACACTCACCCAACCGCATGAAATAGTTTGTTCATAATCACTGAAAAGTCAGCACGCTCGATTTTCTCGCAACACAGAACTGATTAACAGAGAAAAGAGATCTGACAAACAGAGAAAAAGTCCTTCTTTGCCGTTATTATTATGTATGACTTATGAAAGCTGAATAGGTAATAGGAACTAGAAAAACCATTCTCGACATTCCCCTTGGATTCACTTGCATTGTATTCAGCATAATCAATCGATTTCCAACATCATTGTGTTTGAAAATATAGATGTCACCATGTAAGGCATCAACGAAATATCGAATGACTCATTGAAAAATATATTTCATCTGACTTACTTTCTGATACAAAACGTGATGAATGAAAAATAAAACATGGCCAAGTCTCCTGAGGTGTTTAATTTCAAAATTCTCGTTATTGGAGAGTCAAGTGTCGGGAAAGTTTGTAGAATTTTAGGCAAAATTTTCCTTTGAAAGAGGTTTTCGTTTTTAGAGTAGCTTAATGACGCGCTTTGTTGATGAAACATTTCAAGCTACATTTATTCCGACAATTGGTGTTGATTTTAAAGTACGAACGATCATGATCGATAACTATCAATGCAAAGTTCAAATTTGGTTCGTTCTCGAGAGGATTTCGTGATGAAATGTCGACTTTCGCGTAACGTTCTAGGGATACAGCTGGCCAAGAACGGTTTCGTGTAATTACAACAACGGTAAACCTTTCTTGTACAAAAAAGTCTATTTGAAAGAATAAATTTTGTTTTTTTTTTAAGTACTATCGAGATGCAGCTGGTGTGATAGTTGTCTATGACGTTACCAATCACGAAACATTCTCACGTGTTTGTCGTTGGCTTGATGAAATCAAGAAATATTGTGATGATAACATCATCAAAGTACTTGTTGGGAATAAAGCCGATGTCATTTCAGTGGAGGATAGTCCTGTGCAAAAAGTTGTCTCCACCGAACAAGCGCAACAGTATGCTCAGGAGATGAATATTCCATTTTTTGAAACTTCGGCAAAGGACAACAAGAATGTTGATATTCTTTTCCATACAATAGCACGTTTAGCATTAGATCAACGTTTGCAAGCTCGACAGAAATCTCAATTATTACAACGACAAGATCTGACTAATGGAATAGGATCATCTCAAGGAATTCGTCTGAAAGGATCGAAGAAGAAAACGAGTGCGAATTGCTGTAAATAGCTGCTTTTCATTTATTTGACACCGCTCGCGTTTTCTTTTCGACAAAAAAATCTCCGTCTCTCTATTTTAACACAATATCTATTTACGAAAATATACAGCTAAATTTTAATAAACAACCCTATTTTCTTTTTCTATATATACATGACAACACATCTTCCGCTTGTTCAAACATTCAAAGTCCTCGTCGTCGGAGAATCAAGTGTGGGCAAGAGTTCGTTAATGAATCGATTTGTTCACGGAGTATTCAACACAGAACACACAGCGACAATTGGTGTCGATTTTAAAATAGCTATTGTTAATATTGGAGAATATAAATGTCGATTACAAATCTGGTTTGTCGGCTCTCTTTCTGATTCACACAAAACATTTGATTAACATCTCATGAGGATCAATCGCTTAGTTGACAGATAGGAACTGAGTTTCGAACTGCTTTACTGGAGAATAAACGCAGGACTAGGATGGAGGAAGAAAAGCTAGCCAATTCATACGACCGCTACTCATGCTAAAGTTCAATTGACGATAGTTGTTCTTTTAGGGATACTGCTGGACAAGAACGGTTCCGTTCGATCACAAGTAAAGGAATCTATTCAAGCGATAATTTTTAGTACTTCTTGTTCTATTTCTTCAAGGTAGTTATTACCGAGGCGGTGATGGAGTAATTATTGTTTATGATGTATGATAAGATTTTCTTTGACGTTCATTAGTCGTTTTCAACGGAAATCTTTTCAGGTGACAAATAGCGCGAGTTTCGATTATGTAAAAAGTCAGATTTCTGACATGGAACACTACTGTGATGAGGCAATACCGAAGATTCTCGTCGGAAATAAAAACGACATCACCAACGAAACAAACAAAGTTGTTTCTACACGCGAAGCATCAACATATGCTCAGGAAAATCAATTCATCTTCTTCGAAATATCCGTCAAAGACAATAAGAATGTAAATGAAGTATTCAACGCCATATCACGCCTGATACTTGAGCGGCGACTTCAACAATCTGAATGTTTACAAACGATGTCGAATAATACACGTATTGAATCAACAAAGAATGCGATCCCGAAGAGAAAATGTTGTCGGTATTAAGATATTTTCTTTAATTTGAATGAAAAAACAACAAGTAGCTGATGAGTGCAATGCAAATTTGTTTTGTTTTTCTACCTGATGATTTCTATTTTTGAATAAATGAATAATTTTTTATCTTTTCCAAAAAATGCCTCTTTTTCTCAACAGGGTGGTAATGATGAAACTTCTATTTAAAAATAATGAACGTCATTCTTAGGAATAGACTTAAGTATTCCTCGTTCTGTCATGATATCTTTTCATAGAACAGCGCGTGATACACTCTAATGAAGAGACATTTTCCGTCACATTAACCGTTGTCGACTTTGATCATTCATTTGCTCTGAGAAGATTCTCTTAAAGACAAAGATGAGTTGTATACCGATGGTATGGTCTCCGAGTACATCTGACGAACTAAGTTCAACCTTTATCGTTTGTATTGTTGCTACCGTGGTTCACACTCTGTTCTGGATTGCAATTTTTGGCTTTCCTTCGTTAAAACAGAGAACTATGCTTTGGCTGTATGATTATCTGCTTTGTGATCTGCTTTTACTTATACGATTTTTCCTACTTTATGGTATGCGTCGAGAACAACTATGTGTGAATCCAACATTCCGAACAGTTCTATGCTATTACGAAGCATCGTCCAAATTCTATATGAACACTGTTCAAGCTTATCTTCTACTTGCATTAACTACTTCTCGGTATTTCCAAATCGTCTACAATCGAAATGTTTACATAGAAAATGTTCGCTCGATTATTATCAGTCATTTTCTGATTTTTGTCCTTCCGGCTGTTAATGTTGCCGTACAATTTTTGGCAGGTTGGACCCTCCTATGGCGTCGAACAGGTTCCTCTTGCGACATTCAATATGTATCAGTATTTGTACAAATATTCAATCTGCTCACAATCTATATCATTCCTATCACAACCAATCTTCTTCTTCTAACCCTCTGTATTCGCCATGCAAGCTCGACTCGAGGTATACAGAGCGAACAAATCATTATTCTTCGCCGGAAGCACCAACGAACACTTCTGTACCCAACAGTCGCATTCTATTCGATCTGGTTAGCTTTGTGGAGTCCGTATGTTTTAGCATTTCAATTCATAAACATTAATAGTGATTCGGGAACTTATACGTCATTGATGAATTATGTGGAGATCGCTGTAGATCCGATACTGATCGCGATACTTGACGTTCGCTTTTTGAAAGCATGGCAAACAGCCTGGCAAAGAATTCGAGGCCGACGGCAAGTCATTGTTGCACCTGTGGCACAGAAAATAAAAACGGTCATGTAGAATAGACATTGTGTGTGTAAACAAGCGACATCTATCAATGTAATTTTTCATTGTTTTCTCGGAAAGAAAAAGAAAAGAGATTGCTCAATGCAGCATTTCATTTCACTTTTTATTCAATTCAATCGTTCTCGTAGATAACCTGTTCTTACCGGTTCACATTCGGCAATCATGTCACTTATTTGTTCATGTAGGTTATCAAACTAACTTCCTTGTACTTTTCCCTAATCAATTTCGATTGTTTAAGTATCAAATGAAGTTCCTGAACAACCCGTTCTTTCACCTGTATCAGGTTGTATTTATGAAAAACGCTTAATTATCAAATATCTTCGTGAATCTCCCACGGATCCAATTACTGGACAGCCACTAACTGAAGAACAATTGATTGATGTTAAAGGTATACTCGTCAAATATTATGCACATCATAATCTGTCGAATTTTATTCTAGTCACACCATTAGGTAAACCAAAACCACCCTCGGCAACGAGTATCCCAGCTATTCTAAAGATGTTGCAAGATGAATGGGATGCTTGCATGTTGCATAGTTTTACACTTCGTCAACAGTTACAAACAGCACGGCAAGGTCAGAATTTAAGAACATATTTCTCAAAACTAAGACTCCTAATCTTTATTGGTATAGAATTATCACATGTTATGTATCAGCACGATGCTGCTTGTCGAGTTATTGCTCGCTTAAACAAAGAAGTAACTGCTGCTCGAGAAGCTTTAGCAACATTGAAACCACAGGCTGGTATTGCCCAATCATACACAGCCGAACAACCTATTCATCATGGAACAACTGCAACTAGTGCCGATAACTCTCACGCATCGGTAACATCAGCCGAAGGAATGACTGATGAAATCATTCAAAAAGTAAGATCTGAAATGCTCGTCTGTTGTTCTATCTCATCGATTTCTTTCTATTAGTTACAAGATAAAGCATCGGTTCTTACACAACTACGTAAGCAACGTGGTAAACGCGTACCAGAAGGTCTTGCAACGGTTGACGATATGCGAAACTTTCGTTGCTCTGCAACCCATACTGTTCGTCTACCTTCATGCCTAATTAGCTCATAAGAAACTCTTTTGTTATAGGCATTGCATAGTGCAAGTACTCCAGGTATTTTAGCACTCGATATTTCTCCAAAGAATCCGAGTATTATCCTAACTGGTGGAAATGATCGTCAAGCGGTGGTATTCAACAAGGATAGTGAACAAGTCGTAGCTACACTGAAAGGTCATCAGAAGAAAGTAACACACGTCATTCATCATTTCGAAGAAGTAAATCGATTTGAAATCTAAACCATCGGTGAACTATCCCTTTTCGTAGGATATTGCCATTACGGGTAGTGCCGATTCGAGTATTCGTGTTTGGCATATTCCATCGGCTCAATGCTTGAAAGTTCTCAAAGCTCACGAAAGTCCAATAACAGGTCTTTCACTTCATCCAACAGGTGACTATGTTTTATCGAGCGCAAGTGATACTCATTGGGCTTTGTCTGATCTACGCACGGGCAAACTAATTACGAAAATACAGGATTCAACAGCACAACGAGGTATGAAGACGAGTTCTTTTAGTGTTTCATATTAAAAAGATTGTCTAGGATTAACGTGTGCACAATTTCATCCTGATGGAATTATCTTTGGTGTTGGCACACAAGAGAGTGTGATCAAAATTTGGGATTTGAAAGAATGTAATAATGTCGCAGACTTTCCTGGTCATGCCGGAAGTATCAGTGCCATCGCATTTTCTGAAAATGGTAAGTTTTTCTAATCGAAAAACGCGAATGAAAAGAGAGTTTTTTCTTTGTAGGTTACTATTTGGCAACTGCAGCGGAAGACGCTTCAATTAAACTGTGGGATTTGCGTAAATTGAGAAATTTCAAAACGATTACACTCGACGATAGGTACGAAGTACGTGATCTCGTTTTTGATCAAAGCGGAATGTATCTTGGTGTTGCTGGTACCGATGTTCGGTAAGGACGAAGATTTTCCCATCTCCGAATTCACTTCTATTTGATATTCATAGAGTCTATCAATCAAAACAATGGGATTTAGTTAAATTATTCAATGATCATACGGCATTAGCAACTGGCGTTCGCTTCGGCACGGATGCGAATTTCCTCGCCAGTGCCAGCATGGATCGGTCGCTGAAATTCTACCAACAATTATCTCAAGAATAATTGTTTCTCACGTACAAGAGAAAAAAACAACAAGATGATCCAGAAGAATTCATTTTCCTTGTTCTCTGTGTTTTCTGTTTATTGTTGTGTTAGTTTTCTGTACTCATTCGTATCGCAAAAAAACGACGAGACGATCGACATAAGTTTCTGAATGATGAAATAAACGGTTAAAGTTTACAAATCGAAGTTGAGGAAGACTACTGATGACAAGCTGTCAACATCTCTTAGCTCTGACATTCTTCACATGTCTGGATGACAATAAGTAGTAGCATTTATTGATTCTGTATCATTTAGTTCTCAAGCCTTGTCAATGACTGTATGTTTTTACTCGGATTAGATTTGTCAGCCTATTGCATAAACGAATAATATGTTGACGTATGTATTCTCGAGTGAATTTTTACGTTCAGTTCACGGATGTGTTTACTGAAAAGGAAATTATTCGATAATAGCTCGTTTCTTCTTGGCCAAGATTGAAATTAGACTCATTATGAAAAAGAGACCTGTTTTTGCATTGTTTTTATTCGATTATTTTATGTAATGATTTTTTCACGCAGAGAGAGAGAAAGAGTAGAAAAAGAAATTACTATGATAATTAGCTATTGTCGTAATGCTTAAACAATAAACTGGCCTCTATTTCTATAAGATTCTCTCGAGATATAGAATCTAGTGAAGAATGTAGTGATGATTTAAGAGAATTCCTTAAGGATAAAAACAAAACGACGGTTTTCTTTTCTTATATATATTTTTTTCTATTTGTCTCCTACGCTTTCGCTCTCAATATTTTTCTAGACGGATTCCGAACGAACTGTTACGTGTGTATATGCGTGTGTGTAAGGTTTTCTTTTTCTTTTTTTCCGATACCACATTCTCATTTATATCGACATCTAATTCACATGAAATGTTTGTCTCTCGAGCAATAACAACAAGTCATGCAGGTCACCGTTGTGCATCATCCGCGAAGTTCATTAACACACGACGAGCAACACAAGGTAAGACATTTAGACGATCTGTACACGGACTCGGAAATCGTTTTCTATTAGATCAACCGCAAATACCAGACGTGGAAGATGAACCACATCCGAAGCGAAGTTTCGCTTGTGCTTTTGTATCTTCGTTGTTCTGTCCGATCCTAGGTGAGACTTGATGAAACCATGGGAATTTTTTTCTACTTATTACTTTGCAGGTATCTTTGCGTTGTTTTATTCAATCCGCGCGTTACGAGCCTATAGTCAAGGTTATTATGCTGAAGCAGCAGCGTACAATAAACAAGCTACGCGATGGTCGTTAATAACATTTATTGTTGGTTTAACAATCGGTTCCATAATTGGATTTATTTTCTTTGTGAAAACTGTTTTATTTCTCTAAACATTTGAATTACATTTGTGACAATCTTTGGTAACAATCAATGCGGCTCGATCTTATGAAAAAAAAGCCAAGCCAAAGCAAAAATTTGACGAGCAAATCTTTTTCATACAAAAACAGTTAATTCGATTTCATTTTGTTATTTATATCTTTGATATCACTATGTGTACAAATGTGTTTAATAAATCGTACTATTTTTGTCGAGAAAAATTTCCATACCAATGAGATTATGGCCATGTAATCAAATGACAAATGCGTATTGAATTTCATCTCTATCAATCTTCATTTCGACAACAACAAGCCTAATAAATGTCAGCGAATTGAAGTAGTTGAAATCGATTTGAATTCGTTGTTTTTTTTTACTCGTCATGCTCATTGAGAATAACATTTACGTAAAGTTTCGTATAAAATTTGCGATCTTGAGAAAGATTAAACATTCATAAATCCAATGAGAGAAAAATGTTCTCATTCATATTCTTACTCTTGATCGTAGATGTTCATTCGCAACTCTCGTGGTACTCAGGTTCACCAACCTATTCATCGTGGAATAATGGAGTACAACCAAGTAGACAGGCGTTGAGTCTCAAGCGCGGATCTCGATGTTCGTTTGTGTTTTTTTAGACCATGCTTCTGTTCGAGGATATCTTCTGAGCGAGGATGCAGCTGTTTTACCATATGGATCACAAATAATCGTTTCGATCAAAGATATCTCTCTTCAGGATGTAGCAGCAGTTGGTCCACTGAATTCGTTTGTTTTGTATGGGTCCTATCGATTTCCTATTGCTTTTCAAATCCCATATTCAATTGCACAAATTCAACAAGATCCAAGCGGCTATCGACAATACGCTCTTCAAGCGCGCATTGAACGAAACGGGCAACTGCTCTACATTAATGACCAACAAATTCCAGTTCAATTGATTCCTATCCCTAATCCAATCAATATCATGATGAAAAAGGTCGGCGGATCAATTTATCCTGGTAAAGATGCACGAATATTTCATTCTTCTGTATTATTCTATGACCTAGGAGGTACAGTCAATCCAACAGCATTGCCACCAGTGAGCGGTATTTACGTTTGCCAATTACGACCAGATCCAGGTCTTTGCTACGGAAGTTTCGAAAGATACTATTTCAATACACAGCTACGAGCGTGTCAGACGTTTAACTATGGTGGTTGTGGTGGCAATCAAAATCGATTCTTATCTCGTGACGAATGCGAGCGCGCATGTTTCACCTATCGTCGACGATTGATGCATAGCAATGCTAAACAAGCACCTATTGGTTAATGAATCGACTATTTTCCCCCTATTTATGAGCGAAGTTTTCTTAATGAATAAAATTCAATACGATGCAATAACTCAGGTCGTTTTAGGATTGGATAACGAAACGTTGATGAGATGACTCATCAGTTATTGATATTCATACGCATGCAATGACATCGGAGTTTGTATCTGTCCTTGGAGTTCGTGTTCATTATAATCTTGCTGTTCCAACAAATGAGAATCGCTCGGAAGAATCAGGTACTGTCCTGCTGATTCACGGTTTTCTCTCGAGTACATTCACATGGCAGAAATGTTTACAACCATTAGCCGATCAAACAGGGTATCGAGTGTTAGCGTATGATCGTCTAGGCTTTGGTTTTACCGAACGAATTCTCGACGGTGAACGTTACACTCGCAAACAAGAAGAAGTACTTGCGTTAGAGTTATTATCCCAATTGAATATTTCGCGTAATGTTCATCTTGTGTCAAATTCATCTGGTGCTGTTATTGCATTTGATATGGCTCTAAGTCGATCCGATCTAATTCAATCAATTATCTACATAGCTCCTTACGGTCTCGCTAGTGTTTCACACGCGGCTGGACCGATAAGTCGATATCTGATTGGCACAAAACCAGTTCAAGCTCTAATGAAATTTGGTTTAACACATTTTCTTCCATTCAAGAATGCTTATTATAATACTGATCTGGCCAAAGACGAAACTATTCGTGAAGGTTATCTAAAACCAATTCGTGACGATCCGCTTTTTCTTCAGGGTCTCGCTCTTTTTACTCAACATCACGATCAATCAGCTTCCGAAATCAAATGGACTGAAGTAGATAGGAAACAAAAGGTTTTGATTATTGTTGGCGAACAAGATAAAATAGTATCAAAAGAAAATACACAAGAATTCTATCGTATGTTGAAACAATATCAACATACGGAATATGTCAATATTACTCATTGTGGTCATTTACCACAAGAAGAACGACCAGATGAATTGATCGAAATCATTTGCCAATTTTTGAAGTCTTAATCGATACCTTGTGCCAAGAGAACTGTTTCTTTCTCTAATGGCTTGTAAAATGCATCGTATAAATGTGAATAAATAACTAAGAAAACAAAGAGTCTTTTGCCATGAAACAATCCATTCAAATATGTACTTAGATCTCCGTGATTTAATTCGATCGCGTCGATAGTTCTGCATAGACTCTCGCACGGATATTTCGGTCGAAGTTCAATTAGACCCGCGCCTTGTATCTGTGCTATCCAGACCCAACTTTCCCCTAGAGGAATCTAAATGAAATTACAATAGAACGACAAAATCGAGATATTTCTTTGTTTAATCTACCTTTTGTAGTCGCTCTGATTCTTTATGTAAACCGAATGAGACAAAAAACCAGTTCCCCATGAGCGTTTGGCCAACAGACGCAGGCAGAAAATATGGTTTTGAATAATATGACCGAAGAACTTTCAATGTTTCACGTTTGCAATTATTCCTAAAGTTTCCATCGATAGAAGAAAAAAATGCTGTTTTTTTGCATTTCGATTTACCACTGAGCCATAAATGGACGGCGAGTGTTTGACAGATAATCGTTGAAAAGTTTATCAGCACCACCAGGTTGATTGTACAGACGGATATTTGCTTCGAAACGGCAAAGATCATGTTCCGAAAGGATCGGATCTTCGATGTAGAGCTAAAAATTAAGCCATAGGAGATCGAATTCGATGAATCAATACGAACTTTGAATAGTTTCTTGAGATTTAACTTTCTCGTCGCTGTCCACGATTGTGTGGCATCGTCGACAATAACAGGTCGATGATTTAGATAGACAGTTTTCGTGAAATTAAAAAATGTCACATTTGACTCGCGCAAAACTCCAGTAGTGTTGATGCATTTCTGAAATCATCAAACAAATCATCTTTCTACCCATTCAATCCGACTTACATCACATTCAGATAATTCCAGAGAGTTATTAAAAAACGGATTGTTCACAAAACATGCACTTGTGTAAATCGTTGTCCAATCCCATATCGGCAAAATCTATGGAAAGTATTCGTTTACTAATCAACGAATATGATCAAATGATTGTTCTTACTTTGATTAAGAGCAATCGAATAAATGATAATAATACGAAATAGATTTCATAGATAAACTCTTCCGACGAGCAAAACCACGCAATGGCAAGGCATACGCAAAGAAGGAGACAGATTCGTACCCATCTGTATTTGAAAATCGCTTTTTTCTCTTTCAGTTCGTTGAAAATTTTTCTTGAAAACGAAATATTCTTTTCTTTTTTAATCAAATCAATTAGTTCTCCAATTTGTTCGTTAATGCTATCCAGAACATCCGCCTGTGTATCCTCCGTCATAGGTAACTAAAATAAACACATCGATTAGCTTTCACACGAAAAAGAACACACGTTGGAACTTTTATTGACTATTTTTCTTTTCTCAATGTATATATGTTTTAGAAAAACGAACATATAATAACAAGAAAGACTGGTCTCTGATCGACTTGATCATATGTCCATGGAAAATTGGTCATCACCATCTGAAAGAAAGTTTGTTTGATTAGAAAGCAACTAAATGACGCTTCCTTCTCGGTACCTTTTTTCGTCAATGGTGACTTTTGTTGCTCGGAAGTTTCGTCTTGATTCGTACTATTTGAACCTGAACTATCACCTTTGGATGGATCAGGAATTAATGTAACTAAACATAAGGATTATTTCGAGACTTGTTGCGAAGCAAAATGTTGAAATATCCTATGCTCATCATACATTCGGCGGATTAGTCAAAGAACAAACCTTCGGGAATGTAGGGCAGTTTCGATGGTGGCGAACGCGTCAGTGGTGAATCACGACGAGAAAGAAGAAACGTTCGGTCGTAATAAATACGGGTTCCTGGAATGAAAGAAATTCTTTTTCTGCCTTAGAAATTCTTTTCTTTGACGAACCGCCTGGTGTTGTCGAATAGATGCTTCCACCTGGTGTTTCACCATAATGAAGAGGCATATCTTTGGGATCATTTATAACAAGACGACGGATAGGAATACCTTCACTGTTACTCATATTTTGTACTTCTTATTGATTATTTCTAAAATAGAATCAGCGTACTTTGTTCTCACTGATATCAATACCGAAGATAATGGAAGAGCAAAATAATCGAATCGACTGCCTATTTGCAGACATATATATATACACACACATACACAATCCCTGGAATAAACAACAAATATGTGTTTAACTGTAATATCTATCGATGGATGGATGTTCTGTCGTTCGATACGATTGGTCCACAGGTCGATTCCAATAGGAACTTCTTTTCTAGAGTTCGCTCTGTCACTGATTATTAGTCATTCTTTTGAGTCTTAAGCCTCGCACGAGTCGAATAGCTGAATGATACTTTTCCGTCTTCACAAATACCAATTTCTGTGAGAATGTATATGCACATGACTTCATCTGAATAAGATTCTTTTTTTATAACAAAATTACATTTCTGTTAGCGAAAGACTCAACTGCTTACTTATTAGCATAATAAGTTTTTTTTTAGCTGATTGTGAGATTTATTAATATATACATTTGAAAGATTTCGATTCATTTCAACGAGATTCACTCAACAGTCTATAAATAAATGAAAATAAGTATGGGTTCGCTTAGTATCGTTCGAGCATTCGTCGTTCCAATCGAATTGGCACTTCTTTTGGTGCAATTGTGACCAGTTCAACTAGTTCCAAGTCTTGATTTACTGTCGACGAACACGATGGTGCGACTGTATAGTTCTGTAAGAGATGTATAATAGCAATTTTAATTTCTGCAAGTGCAAATCTCATTCCAACACAATTTCGTGGCCCAGCTCCAAATGCGACCCATGCGAGAGGATGTCGCTTTGTGGCAAATCGTTCCGGATAGAATACTTTTGTGTCAATTGGTCCCCATAAGTCATTGTCATAATGTAAATTATACATGTCAAGAGTAATTTTCGTTCCGGCAGGAATGCAACCTAACCCAGGTAGGTATATCTCTTCGGAACACTGTCGATTAATGATAATGGGCGTCACCGGATACATCCGCAAAGTTTCTCTTATGAACCAGTCAAGATATTGCATTTGATTTAAAATTTCATATGTGAGAATGGTGTCTTTGTCGATAAACATATCAATATGCTCTCGTAATTTCTTCTGCTCTTCGGGATGGGTTGCGAGAACATGCGTAACGTATGAGAGTGCTGTGCTCGCTGTTTCATACCCAGCAATCATGAAGAGAAAAATGTTTTGTTTAACTTCGTTCAATGACAATATTCGCTGGTCCGCAGTAGCATTCTAAATGAAGAAGTAAAGTTAAAATACATCTCTTTCAAAAAAAAAATGCTTTGAATTACTTCATCCGTTTGATTGAACTTCTTCTGCACTGCATTGAGCATGAGTTGTAATAAATTGACTTCTTCGGAGCTATCTGATGTTTTCCGTATGAAATGATCAACATTTTCTTTCAACCATTCACTTGGATCATCAGCAATGAATCTATCTGCCATCGGTAGGAAGGTACGTAACTTCGATTTGATAGTGTTAAGCCAATGATGAATGGTTAACCAACATGGCTGTAATTCGGGAATGAAGATTCCCAGTAGAGTTGTTAGATAGGTGCTATTTTCTCTGGCAAAGACTTGTTGAGAACGAATCAGATAAGGATTGTTTGGATTGCTTTGCATATCGGTTTTCATTCCGAAACAACATCTCCATATCAAATCCATTGTTAATGATTTGTACAGTTTAGAAATATCAAATTCGGCTGAGTCGTTCTGTATACAATCTTCTATTTTTGCCACTAAGTTCGATATACAATCAGTAATCATTGGAATCATTCGTTTGATTTTCAGCGGTGAGAATGTCGGATTGATGATACTTCTTTGTCGACGCCACTCATCACCGGTAGCACTGAATAAATGTACACCTCTACTCGTCGAACGATCTTCCAACGGAAATTGGCGACGAGAGTGAAATTTGGAGAAATGCTTCAAAAAGATGTTTTCTAATATGTCCGGATCGGATACAACTAGAACTGGTGTGTGCCCTTCGAAGTAACCGTAAATACGACCGAACTGTTTGGTCCAATTCTGAATTGATATTGAAATACGCTTGGTTACAGCAAAATCGGCAACATTTCCAAGGAAAAATGTTGGTCGCGGTCCATCGATGCCCAAACGTTCAAAGAACTTATAACAATGACGCATATGAGCCACATAGAAAACCAATATGATAAGGATCAGAAACAGTGTGAGCAACATGACTTCGTTTGCGATGACCTTTTACAAAAATACTGTATGATGATTTGTGCTTTACCTTTATATAGCAACCGGGTCAAATAGAGAGGAAAGAACTGCTTTTCTAATTAAGTAAGTCTTCGCAGCTGCTTCCAAATATTTCCAATACTAATGACGTCGAATAAATAAGTGCTTTTTCTCTGTCTCGCCCACTGCCAGACAGACGGGTTTCTTCGTATGTGAGTTATTTTCTTATAAAAATAGTGAAATACTTCCTATGACCTGCACTCTCGAGTACGTGAAAAAATCACATGCAGAATCGCTCGTGTCTGTCTGTCTACCTCTTTTTTTCGATCATGTCCGCCTGCACTTACACAATACAGAGGAAGATATCGTTATCAACAAAGAAAAATCTATGCTTTTATGAATGCATTTGCAGGTGTTCTACCCTCCGTATGATATTTTTGTATTCGATCGCATGACTGATTTTTGCACCGATTCATGAGTCAGAATTTCACATTCGATTTCTATAAATGACACAGTCATACATTTACTTCCGTTTATCTTATTATAAATGACAGTAGATCGAAGGATAAGTGCTTCATTTCGTCGCATGTGAGTCTTATTCACTATTCGGCTACATAATAGATTATATAAGCTTCATTTAATGAATACATCATGGTATTTCCGTCTCGAAAAGGATGATGATAATTGAATTTTCAAATAACGATATTAATTAGGACTGGTTGACAATAGGAAAGATGTCATCGTCACTCGTAATACGCATCAGGTTTTCTTTGTCGGCGACAGATGTATTTTTTCGACGGAGAAATCGATTTTAAACATGCATAAGTCACAAAAATAGACATGATTCCGTCTGCACTCAGAGCTTTTATTGTTAGCGTCTATAGATATATCGAGACCACCATCTGACTATTGTACTTTGACCGCGAACTTTATCACTCGCTTAGAATTCACATCAGATATTGAAATGGCTGCTATTTCGATTTATTGAGATGTTAAATCAACACGGGTAAAGTCAGAGAAAACAATCAGACGTTGATGGCATGCTTCAACTTCGGCGAATAAGAAGAAAAAAAAAGAAATTTACATTATGTGGCAATGTTTGCCATGTTGTTGAAGGCGTCGTCTCGCTTGTTGTGCAGCTTGTTTGGCGACAGTGTCTTCAACTGTTTCTAGCATGTGACAAACTTCTTTGAATAATAAAACTAAATGCCAGTGGTATTTCGCAGAACATAAAATTGTATTTGCTTTGAGATTTTTCTTTGTGTACTGCAAGATGTCACGAGTACTTGCAAGATTGAAATTAGTAAAATGTAAATCGGTCGCAATTAGATCGACTTTATTAGCGACAACAATCACCGGTATATCCATGGATGACGGGTCGTCATCGTCATTAATTATATCAGTATGATGAACTGCGTTTTGTTGTAAATAAGAATTATTGTTATTATAATTGAGTCGCACACGAATGATTTCACGATAAATACTCTTTATGTAGCTAAATGTTTCTTCTCGATTAACATCAAAGACTAAGAGAAATACGTGTGCTTGACGAAAACAATACATTCGAACCCATTCCTGTTGAGGATCAGTGTTATTCGTTTCATCAAAGCGAGGTGTGTCAATAATGCGAATATGAAACAAACGTTGTCCATTGAATAATGATGTAAAATGATACGTTGCTAAGCGCGTGGTAGAGTATATCGATGAATAGTCGTTTGACAGCCATTGTCGAACGATCGAAGTTTTTCCAACACCCTTGTCACCAAGAACTGCGATTTGAATAGGTTGATCGCACATAGTTTGCGTTTGGAAAGAGTATCAGTTCATGTTGTGATCTCTAAGTGTTTATACCCGTCAGGCAAATGAGGATATTAACGATTATTTTCATCAGAAAATGTAATAAGCAAGAAAAAGAAATGTTCAACTGAAAAACAGCGTTTTTAGTTTTTTCCTCTCCGTTCTTTTCTCATTTTTTTTCTCCTTCTTCTTCTTCTTCTTTTTTCTATATCAGTTTCCGGGAGTTTGGAAATGTTCTCGTCTGAATAAGCATTTTCATTCATTCATGCACCGCGAGCATTGTCTAGCAACAAATACGATTAGATTGATATGAAACCGCGAACACAGAACGACGAAAATAGAATCGAGATCAATAATAAAGTCAGACATATCCTCGACTCGTCCATTATTGTTATTATGGCTGTCGGACATGCATGATGTTGTTGTTGTTATTTTTGACGATAGAATAGCGAGAGAGAGAGAGAGAGAAGAGAAATGAAAGAAACCATTGTTTTCTATTCTTGACTTGAATGATCCGTTTTGATCATGTTCTAATGTGACTGGACCGGTTCTACATCAAACGAGAATTCTATTCCTTTCATTCCCTAGGGGAGTGAATATATAGATATAATATATGAAATGTCTAACTGTAATTACGGGCTTTACTTCATTTTACAGAGAAGAAAAAGAGGAAATTTGTGTTTCCGATATCTCGCTTGTTATTAATGATGAAATATTACAATCGATCATTGTCAAAAGAGATCAATGCAAGATCGCATTGTTAACCATGAAAATAAAACAATACCGAGAAAGAGAATACAAAACATATGCTCTTACTAATATTACGATTCGATTAGAGATAAAACAACGTCATATTTCATGTAACGAAATGGATCTAATCGAAGATTGCATTAGAACATGGATCCATCGACTAGTGTGCATGGTAGATGCAGAAAAATGACCTTGGCATGAATGTACCTTTCGTTTTTTTTGTTCGTATAGGAGATGTGAACATATCAACGAAACTCGTCATTAGTTTTGGAAGTCTAGGAGTAATTCTATTAGGATTTGCCATCTTTTATTGCTATAAAACAAAACGCAGAGGTTTGTTAACGATGACGAACGTGATTCGATATCAATCTTGTTCTCTTATAGACGAGAATAATGATCGCCGATCAAGTTCAAGCTCAATGGAGTCTTATCAACAGTTATACTTTTCAAAAGTGCCATTTGATCAACTCGAAAATATCGACCACCGTATTATTGAGCGTTGGTCATCGGTAGCTGATCCTTCATTGACATTTTATCGGTAGAATGATCTATTGTCTACAAATACGATATATATTTTCTTTTGAATTCAACTCTAGTGTTCATATACAAGATTATCTGGACAGTGTCTACCAACCTGTCAATGAAGAACGCTTGCGTTCATCGATTGAGCAATCGAAAGCAATGGAATACGCAGGAGTTGAAGTAAATTTTTTCTAAACTGATTCTTTTTGTAGTTTAATATGAAGAAGAGAAGAAGAAGAAGAAAAGGAACGTTCAGTTTATGTTTTGATTCTAATTATTTTCGACATATACTAAGTTGTTGTTGTTGTTATTGTTGTTGTACGTAATGGTACAACTCGAAAGCCTTCACCGAAAAGTCTAATAACAGTCGCTAATGCAATGCTACTAATAACACCTAAGGTCGCTGCGACAATAGTGACGAAGCCTTGTTGTTGAATACGTTGAAACTTCTCCTTTACAATCACGCTGAAACAACCGTCTAAATTATAACGAGCCATTGGGTTCGTTGTATTTCCGTAGACATCAGAGCAGAGATTGTTTTGACTTGAACGGTATTTTTCATTGCAACAACTTATTGGTAAGAGAGGATAGCCTCCTGCATTCGTCGGAGATTTTTGCGGATTTGTTATTTTGCCCTTTGTGTTCGATCCACCCGAAGATGAAGACGAAGAAGATTGTGATGCGTAAAATGAAGGATGTCGACTACGATAATCTTCGATCGAATCACTTAGTCCACAACATTGATGTTGTTTTTCCAATCGTGCCATCTTAAGTGTATTATCCACAATAATATGATTACCAGCCACAATATTATATTGAGTTTGATCTAGTTCTTTTACTAATGTACTATTAATCGATTTGGGCAATTGTCCACTTAAAATTGTTACAAATGACCAAATACTTAATACGATTAAAGTCAACGAACTAAAGATTAACAGACCAGCTGCGGCGAGTACGAAAGTTCGATTCGTATTGATTGATCCAACATTCAATAAAATAAATGCTAAGATGGAAAGAAAGCCAACGGCAAGTAAAAACGCCGATGTTATATGAAGCGGATGATGACCGATATCGATGAAGTATCGAAGACGACCGAGCGCTAATCCCGCATGTAGAAAAAGAATCACACTAACAAGTATTGAGCCTATCGTGGCGACAGATAATGCCGTTCGGAATAGTGTTTGTCGGGTTGCTATCGACGGTGCTGTAGTTGGAGCGCTAGTCACTGTGACTGGACGAGAAGCCATTGCAATGTTTAACGTATAAATGAAATTCAATGAATGATGCTCCGAAAAGAAAAGAAGCAAAGCGAGTACCGACGCTTTCCTTTCGTTCAAATAAATAAGATTGATCGAACGAGTTGTTCTTTTCTAATGAGCAACAGAATTTATCTAGGTCAAATTACCAGCAAATGATATGTACTGATGCATCGTACACGAGAACAGACGATAGTGAAATGTGGTAGTGGTAGTACTAGCAACTGAAAAGTCGAGAGTTACGATTACGTGAATTGTATGTTTTTTTGTATATGAACTTTTTCAATCAATTAAATAACATCAGCGGAGAAATCTTTATCTGCGAGGTATGCGCTTGAAAGTTGTTTCATTTGGGCATGTATGCATCTGACTTTGTCGGGTAGCAAAACAACAAAATGTAATTTATGTAAACGAAAATTTTCGTGTGAAATTAAGGGTGGAACTCATACAAATTATACATTACCGTAATAGGGTCATTTGCCAAAGTCAATATTTTGAAATGATCTTCGCTATCGGAAGGAACTTATTCAGCTTTCATTTTCGCTTTTGAATCGACGATGAACAGTCGAATTTTCTTCGGTATTCTACTTTTACCAATAGCTTTTGTTCTTAACTCTCATTTTCGTGGCGGGACAATCACATGGTTTGTTCTCCTTTGCGAAGTTTTCTATTTCATTGTCGACAATATTCTGTAGGCGTCCGTTAAATAATACTCCATTCGGTGGAACAGTTACGTTCCTCATTCGACAGCGATATTCATGGCGACGCAGTGCCGCAATGTGTACCGATGCAACTATCGCCACTCTCGGCTATATTGGTGGTGCATCACTAGTTGTCTGTGTTTCGGGTAGCTGCGGTTACTGGACTAATAATATGTATACAAACACACATTGTACTGATTTTAATATCAACCTTGATGTCAGTTCCGGAGAAAAGTATGAGGCACGTACGTACCCAATAAATATTGGATTGAGTATTGGATTTCTCTCTTGCTGTTGGTTTGCGGATTTGACGAAGGGCGCTAACGGTCAGTGGAATGTCATCAATCAAATCAATAGTATTGTACGACCTGATGGTTATATTAATACGAGTCCAGTAGCTGTTACACTTCCGATTATCTATAAAGAAACGTATATTCAGCATGTGCACGTAGTTCAAATGTCGGATTTCGATAGTGATGTGTTGAAATGTCGATGGTCAGCAGCGTTCTCGAATGTGAATGGATATGATGAATGTGCGGATGTATGTTTAGGCGTGAGTGGTGCTCAGCTTTTGGAAGAAAATTGTACATTAGTATTCACGCTAACCACAGCTGCAATCTATTCGGCAGTAGCATTACAAATCGAAGATTTCTATAATAGTGCAGCAACGACACCGATGAGTTCAGTGCCATTACAATTTCTTTTCTATGGGTATGGGAATCCAGGTGGTTGTAGTACTCCGCCAGCGATTATAGGAAATCGACCAAATCGAGGTAAGTAAACATTATTGGGATCCATACAGTCGGCGTTCGATCTGATTTTCATTAGCTTGTATTGGTACGCCCATTGGTTCGAATGTTACTGAATATGTAATAGTGCAAGTTTACTGTGCTGGAAAAACTATTATTGATTTTATTACAAGTACACCAGTTGGAATGACTAAATCAACTATTTTGAATCCAAGTCCCGGTTAGTATTCAGAAATGACCCGTGACCTCGTTACTCTTTCGAACCTATTTATTATCTCTGTCACAGGCATCTACGAACTCATTCTCAGTTGGGTTCCAACAGCTGATCAATTGGGCCCACAAGGTTTTTGTGCCGGAGCGATCGATAATACACAAATTCAATCGAATCAATGGTGTATCACATTCTTAGTTGGCTTCGATTCACCTGATATTATCCGACCAAAACTCGTTCAAGGCTCAGCTTCACCTATTGGTACAATCTTTCAATACCATAGTATCTTCTCTATACAAAGTACCAATTAAAGATATTGTCTATGCTTTTCTTTGATCATCTACGTTTTCAGCTACTAGATCAGTCAGTCGTCCAACACGTAACTATACCTTTATTTCCTTCTATGATTCAACTACGAAAACACTTGTTCAAAAATTTGATTGCGGGTGGGCACCGGAAGTGACTTATACAGGTTTGACAACTGTTGTTAAGTTTACAAATCCACCATGGATTCCTGGACATTTCTACTATGTTACTTTTGATAGCGGTTTGTTTTTACAAATTTTCATAGTACAAACTCATAGATACAAAGATGTATAATTTAGGTGTTGCAAGTGGAACAGACTTCTGTCGTAAGTAGATAGAGTTAGAAAAAATAGAGAAACACATCGTTGTGTCCATAATAGATCCTGAATCAGCACCAGTAACCGATCCAACGTTTTGGACATTTAATATATGGAATCCGGCAGTTTCATCGACAACAACAACTACTACTACACCATTCACAACCGTAACAGTAACAACACGACTCACATCAACTACTACAATCAATACTCTGGTAACTAACGAGAATCCTCTCTGCGGTACTATCATTCATTCTTAATAGTTAACTACAACTGGAATTGTAGTGACTAGCACAATTCCTTCTACAACAACGACATCCACAACAAGCACTACAACGTCTGTAACCACTGGTAAGCATCGTTGATTGAACATCTGTTAACTCTAATATGCCATCTTCTTCTAGCAACAACGACGACAAAAGTAACTGTAACTACACCATCCACTGTTGCAGTCATCTATGCTACCAATATGGTAACTTGACGAAGTTTTTTTAATTGAGATTACTTAGATATGTTTATATGTCTACAATAGGAAGATCTTTGTAAACAACCAATACTAATTCTGACAGTGGCTGGCATGGCAGTCATAGCTCCTGTTCATATTCTGGTGATGTATGCTGCTTTTACTAAGCTTTCTAATATGTTCAATACAAGAAAGCAGCAGGTGCGTTTACGCCATCAGAATCGACTACGAAATTTGAATTGTAAATGACAGATTCACTTTTATCGTCTATTGTATTTTTTTTGTTCAAAAATCTTTGCTTGAAGTATAAATAAAGACAAGAAATATGTGCGAGAGTAGATGTCGCTCACAACAATGACGCAAACATTCGATTCCATATAATTATTCTTTTACGCGAAGAATAATACATGGATCACCCTAGAAACAAACATATATGCAATAGGTCAGTAACAATTCAACAAAAAGATTTCTTTAAAATGTTAGTTATGACCTAAGAAACTACACTTTTGATTCGTTCGCGCTTTTAGATTAACTTATCGCAATGTTTCGTGTAATTACCTCATCTAGCCGAACAGTTGCTCAACGTATTGTTCGTCCGACATTAAGTTTCGTTCGGTAATAGTAACGTAGAGATTCCTTCCTGTTCTCATTGTTTTCTGTTGTAGTGCTGAATCACGAACTGACGCCGAAGCTGGTTCTGTTGCGTACGTTCATTAATTTGGAGTTTTGTTTTCGGTATTCAGTTCTTTCTTCTCTCGATTTTAGTTCAGGTAATGATGCTTTCAGCAAGAAAGAACATGCTGAAGAAACACGTTGGGCACGTCGTCATGTAAGAGATGAAGAAAAAAAAACGTTCAGTGAATCCAAAAGTACGATTGTTTCTATGATAGGATGCTGAACAAATCGCTAAATATCGAAGTGAACATCCAGCTGGTGCAAAAGTGTCACCTCAACAACGTCTTGCTGATCTCGAAAATGAAAAACGTCGCATTGAGCAAGAAATTGCTGACCTCAAACGTCAACAACGTTAAACTTGACACTTCTCCTTCCTTCTTTTCCATTTCATTTTTTCATATATGGTTTAGCACAGATAGACTCACCTCTTTTTTGATGATTTCTAGTCCTACTGATCACAACTGAACTTGATTTGTTACGTTATGAATTCTAGATGCAACCTGTACCGCCCATCTCCAATGCCGCTTCAGATTGCTATCTTCAAATACGTCGAGGTAAACAAACGGTATTTATGGATGTGCCGGAAACTTTAAAGGTCCTGGATTTAAAACGATTTCTTGCTCATATACTTAAACTAAATCATGAACTTATACGTTTCACTGCTCGAGGACAAGTGCTCGATAGCGATACGAAATCATTGCGTGAATATGGTATTACAACCAAAGAAGCTCGGCCACAGGCACCGTATCAGCTGGAGTTTGTTCTTCAATTGGACGATGGAACGTTTGAAACTGAAGAAATTGTTCCCTACACTTCGGAAAGTAGTTCAAGATCTGATGAACAACAGCAAATGGGAATGGCGACTGATTCCAAATAAATCGATTCTTTTCTCTTTTTCGTTTGTATGAAAATTTTTCTTTAATCTTTCGAATAAAACAAACAATTGATTTATTTTTAAATATGTAAATGTCAATTTTCAAATTCAATAACCGATCCACAACTTTTTTATGTGATCGTATGCACTTGTCTTCACTTGTTCACTGAAATGAAATAACATCATCATCATCAACGCTGTACATACAGAAATCGAATTAATAATCAGTAAATACAATGACGAAGGTGGTAGTTCAAGGTTCACCATATGCCAGAGAACGAGAACTAAAATAATATGAAATGGAATAACAAACGCAGTGACGATTCCATACAATGCTGACAGAATTGTGTTTGTTGTACACGTGCACAATCGTGATTCATGTTTATAGATACATCCATCGTCATCGATAAAGAATATTGCTACTGGAAGAAGTATACCTAACAATCAGTTGATAATAATCAGTAATTGGTGAACACGATAAGTGAAAAAGATACTTCTGTTTGTAAAAGACAACAGCAAAAAGACGACTGACGGCGTGAATTGCATGTGAATATAGAAGTAGTGTACATGAAACTGACACGCGTATTGATGCAATGGCCACTGTTCGTCAAGATCGTAGATAGATGAAATTAAATTGAATATGAGGTAAATGTCAACAATGACACTTGTATTTCCAGTGAGAAGATTAGTAATCATGCGGCATTGTCTTTTGAAAACGATGATAAAGATTGTGAGAAAACTGAAAGTTAAACCAATGATAGAAAAAAGAATCGAAATGGCAAAGATGACCTTGAAAAACAGATCGGTGGACATATTTTCCTATCAGAAAAGAATGTTACCTCGTATCGAAGAATCAGAAAACAAGTTTCCTCTTTTTTGACTGTCCGGGGCAGACTTCTAACTACCGTGTATTCTATGTTCTTCAGATAAGAAGAGTACTGGGGAATTGAACCAAATAGGAAACTCATTAGCATTGATCAAGCGAAAAACACGTCATTTTATAAGAAGTAAATTACGCATCAAGCAAAATGTATATTCATGAAAGCATTGTTTTTCGTGACTGAATTTGAACGTTCTTGTAAGCGAGAAACATTACTTCAGCGAATGATTCAGTTGAATTGAATAGCCGGTTATTAAAGCTTGCGTTAATATTCGTGATCAAATCTACTATCGGTGTACGTTCAACCTTTGGTGTAATTACTGTATGAATCGCATGTCTAAAAATACATTCATTAAAAACACTGCAACCATCTGCAAAATCCATTTCTGCCTTTTCGTCAAACAAGAAGAATGCTCTGAAAAAGAGCAGAGATCTCGTCATCGACACACAGAGACTTTTTTCGATTACGACCATCGCACTGTTTGGTTAAGATCTGATATTGATGTGTTCAGTTTTATTACATTGAAAGAATAGACAAAACATGATATTGTTTTCACAAGTCTCTTTATTTTCGTTGTACGTTTGCGTCGAGTGCATTACGTAGGTTTTCATTTCGTGATCTAATCCATTCAAGATTCATTTTAACTTGATCAATAGCCTGTTTACGTGCAGATACCCCCGCGCCAGCATTTGGATAGTTAGAAAACAATTGGTTCATCTAGAAGAAGCACCTAAGATACTCAGAGTGTGGGTGACCGATTCAACTTACTTCATCAAAATACGATTGTTTTTCAAATGATTCTGCAAAAGAGAGAATAGACTGACCAAATGCATAGCTTTCGACATTAAAACTAAACATATAAAGAAATTGTCTTTTATACGAGCTTTTTATTCACTTACACCTCTACTAATCTTCGATAATTAGCTTTATAGAAAGTCCAAGCCACTGTTCTTCCCACTGTGTAAGCAGCCATAAACTTTATCATTCGAAAATAGTCTTGTCGCTTGATAGAAACCAGAGGATTACTCAGTCCTTCTTCTAGTAGTCTGCAATGAGCAGAAAAATAGCCATCGGCGTAATACTAACGAATTCTTTCCCTACCGATTCAAACGAGTTGTATTTTTCGTGGCACAAATAGCGCTCAAAGCACGTATTTGTTCTTGCGGTGATATCGCGATACGATAGTAATTGTACATCATATTCCAGTCCGCTTCGTTATCATTGACTGACATATGACTTTCGTAAACAGTCGTTAAGTAATCTGCGTTAACACTAGCATTAGAGAATAAATCAGTTTGAAATTTTCGCGAAATACACAGACGATTTTACTTGATCACAACATTTGAATTATTGAAATATTCAATCGGAATCGATTTGAATAATTCACTCGCTTTTTGCAAAGCACCAGCATGATTCATTCGACACAGAAGTCCAAATTTCAAACTTTTTAATAACTTTGTATTATCATCATCGGTTGGATTTAGTGTAAGAATACCATCGATCGTTTCACCGTTGGATAAAATCTGTTGAATGGCAAAATTCTATACGAGAAGGAAAATTGAATGAGAACAACGTGTATTTGAAATAGTTTACAAACTTGAAATTTCGGTAATGTATCAGGTAGGTAGTCAACTAGACTAACTAGAGTCGACCAATGCCATTCGAATGTTTTCCAATGTATGTGCTGTTGTGTATTAGTTTTGACTAATGAACGCATTAATCGTAATGGTTCTGCATAGTCAATCAGACCTTTGTAAGCTAATAGGAATGTATCTTGGAGGAAATTAATCTTGTCCGTGTTGGAAAAGAACTAGAAAAGACTTTGTTGCTCGATGTGTCTATTTCGTACGAGAGAGATTTGACTTACAGTTGGATTCGTTTCTAATACGTTGGCAAAACGTTGATAGGTATTTGATGGGAATGAATACTGAGTCAAATGATAGCTGATGAAATCTCGATTACATTTTATCCAGGAATAACTTTTACCAGTGATGACTTGCGTCGATTGTTCGGTGTCGAAGAGGAATTCTATTGTATCACCACCGATATTTGTTGTATCGGAATTGGGATAATCACCGCCTAGCAGAAATCAACGAATTTTTGTGAGAAGAAAGATTAGTCAAAAGCGGATCTACCTAAGACACATTTGATCATAATTTTCCATCGATAATTTGCATCTAATTGTGACGTATCAAGCGCATTCGAAATGATAAACCGCGATTGAGTAAATGTCACTGTTGTGTCACCGTTTTCTACCGATAAAGTGACGTTCACCACTGGAAAATTCTTTTCTTCTAACCAATTCATCACAAATGCTTCTCCGCTCATATTTGTAAACAGATTATTATAAAAAAAACTTGGATCACCGACAGAAAGCGCATTCAATCGCAAGTATTCTTGTAGACTAGTTTGAAATTTCTGCGTTCCAGCTGTCAGTTCCAGCATACGTAGTATGCTAGCTCCTTTCGAGTAAGTTATCGAATCGAATAAACTCGATATTTCACCAGGATCTGTCACATTAGGAACAACAATCGGATGACTTGACGGTCTCGCATCGTCCCACATCGATGGAATGATATCAGTAGAAAATACAAGCACTTCCTTGAAAGAGAAAGCAAAGTCAACGAAGCTCGAATGAAACGGATAGAAATTACCATATTCCAAGAAGGATAGCTGTCTGCAAATGGCTTGTAAGAAAGCCAAGTGGCCATGGCTTCATTTAACCATAGGTCAGTCCACCATTGGCAGGTAACATAATTTCCAAACCCTGAAAATCATTATGAATTATTCGGTAGAACGGAATACGAGAGAAACGTACAAAAATGAGCCAGTTCATGTGCGATTGTTTCTCCGAGGTCTTGTTTTCGTTCTGTGGACACGACTTTTTCGTCATAGATCAATTGATCTTCGCGGAATGTCACGAGGCCCCAGTTTTCCATAGCACCAAACACAAATTCTGGTACCGCCAATAAATCTGTTGGACGAAAACAAAGATCTAAGCTTTCTTTCAAAAACAAACACATCTTTACCAATTTTCGGTGTGATTGGCTCCGATGTATTGAAATAACTCGCATAGAATGGAATAGATTTACTTGCGATCTCCAAAGCTAATGCTGTATGATTTCTTTCTGTTACTTCACGACGCGCCCATACGGTCATCTAGCAACAAATACGAACGGTGTATCCACTTTTTCTTCACGATCAAAATCTATACCCAAGGTTCGTCTTCGTTATCGTTTCGACTACCGTATGTATCGGGAAGAATAGCCCATGCTGCGAGATAGGTACTCATCGGATATGTTTCTGCGAATTTCGTTCGACGTAGACCATTTTCTAATGATTCTTCGATCTATAAGAAATGTTCACTACTGATTCGAATGCAAGTTACGAGAGTCAACGAAACATACGCTGGGAAAATTTGCCAATGCAACAGTATTCTCCGAATGAATGATAGTGATCGTAAACGGTGCTTTCAAGTGTGGCTCGTCAAAACAAGGAAATGCTCGGCGAGCATCGATTGGTTCAAACTGTGTCGAGAGTAATTTTCTGAAAAAGAAAGATCATTTCTTATGAAAACTTCGCTACCGAATTGACATTCGTTTACTCCATAGTATTATCTCCATCTTTGTATATCGTTTGATAAAATCCAACGTTGCTGTCGGTTAGTTTAACAGCAAAATTTTGTACTAATCGATACCGATTTCTTGCGAATAGAGAATTCGACATGAGACGCAGACTAACATAATCATTGCGTACATATGTCCTCATCGAAATAAACCGGTAGACTTCATCTTCAAACAGCGCTGGTTCTTCTAATTCCACCATCTCTTTCGAATGATAAATCAGCTGTTTAATCGGCTGTTTCAATGTGAATTCAATCGTCACTTGACCTCTCACTATGGTTTGTTTACTATCATTGTACGTATATTGAATTTGATAACTATGCACAATTACATCGCTCGATAAGCGCGGATTACATTCGTCTTCGACACAGAGAGAAGGATCTTGAGTAGTTGTCATGGTACCAGTCGTCGTTGTTATGGTACCAGTCGTCGTTGTTATGGTACCAGTCGTCGTTGTTATTGGCACACTGCCAGTTGTATTCGATGATGTTACTGTTGCGAGAACACTTATTTGTTGTGTTCGCCGAGGTAGAAGTCCAGCAAGTAAGCCAACAGTGATCACCGATGCACAGTAGAAAATCGCGGCAGCAATTAGCCATGATTTTGGAATGCTGCGTAAAGTTTTAAAACGCTGAGGCGTAGCTCTAGTCGTGCTGAGTGTGGATTCACTGAAATTAAATGTCGATGCTTTATTACTTGCCATTGACTTCTAAATGTCGAAAGAGACTTTGAGCGAAGTAAGACAAAGAAATGAATGTAAAAAGGGCTTTTTTAGTAGATAATTTAAACCCTTTGTCTTGTTTGCATTCGGTTACTGATAAGATGCGAACTTTATTTTACTGATGTCGATTCTATGGTTGTTTTTATCATTTTTCTATATGTCAACTTCTATCTGTTTGAAATGATTTACATCATCTTTCCAATTGTGCGAACGAACGAACGAACATATGTAGAAAGCATAGTTGTCTGAATCGAATTCACGAATAAATTCACAAAATGGATGTCGTGCGCAGTCGGCATAGTGTTGTTCTATCGAAGATTAATCATGGTTATCTGTACAAACATATGTTAACATGCATATACGACGGAGAACATACGAAAGATCGTACTCGGATACTTCTGGTGATACGAAAAGTAAGTCCTTGTGTTCTCTGTTAGATGGATAGATGATATTTCAGGTTTTGATGCAATCTATCATTTCCTTCTTGTTCCTGTCATGAGAATTTTCAGTATAAATCAGTTGTACTTAAAGAACTTCAGTCGTAATTCTGCATGTGACCTTTGTACCTATTGCGTTCGGTTTACTCGCCGACTGTAATAGTGCATTTCTACAGTAACAAAACCCAAACTCGAGTATATTTACGAATCGATCTGAGATTTTCTCGGAGATAAATCATACAAGGTACTTCATATTGATTTTTCAGAATTCGGTAATAAATCTCAGTAGCTTGACATAAACGATCTGTAATTATCGCCTTTTTGTATGTAGATAGAACTCGAACGATTTCAAGTTGCTAATGATTTATTAAAAGAGAAACACGTTCTTCAGAGATAGAAATAGTTGGTTGATTTCAATGACTCGCATTACATTTATATAGTTTTAACTGAAAACATACGTTGAAACATTCGTTCTTTTCTCACTCTCTCTCTGTTTCTATATCGATTGTTTGATATTCATCTACAGTCGTCTTTGCTGTTGTGTCTTGAAAATGAAATATACTCTTATTCTGCCGACGACTAATCTATTCGACGTATTTGATCCGATTTTCTATGCCATATTTTCATTGTAATGATTTAGTCGTTCTAAAACGACATCGCATCCGCTCGTCGGCTACCGATGCACCTACTATCTACGAAAACTCTTTTCAACAATCGAGTCCGACAAGACCATTCCCGAAAACTCGCCGTGCGACACTCGTCGGTATTCCACCGACTTTAATCAATGCTTCAAAGGAAAACCTTCAGAAAGAGCTCGCTGTTCAGCCAACGGTTTTCTTCTACAATGAAGAAACATTTCAAGAAGCTTGTTATCGCTCGATCGAAGATATTCCACTGGTAACAGAAAACGAATGTTTATGGATTGATGTCACGGGAGTGAGTAGAGCAGTACAAAGAAAATTCCATGTTTTTCAAATGATTTTAGGTACATGATCATGAATTATTGTCTCGTATTGGACACCGATTCAATATCCATCCATTGGTTGTATCTGACATTGAAACGACCGAACAACGAACGAAATTAGATGTATTCGAAGATGCGTTGTTTCTCGTAGGCAAAATGATCTATCCCGATAGCATTCAACCGATAACGCACATTGAACAAATAAGTTTCTATTTAAAAGAAAATATTCTCATTACATTTCAAGAAAAGCCCAAAGATATCTTCGAAGCGATTAAAAGTTCGTTTTTCCTCATTTCGATCGACACGCTCACCTCTGCCTGCCATTCATTTAGATCGAATTCGACAGAATAAGGGTCGTATACGTCGTTCGAAGATCGACTATTTATTCTACTCTTTAATCGATACAATCGTCGATCGATACATGGATGTCTTAGACAATATTGGCACGAAAGTCGAAGCCATCGATCATCAGTTAATGCGAACCCTATCTCGTGATACACTGGAACAAATCTATGATCTAAAACGCGAAATGCTATACTTTCGTCGTTCGATATCTCCATTGAAGGAAATCATTAACAAGCTGCACAAAGAAGAAGAAACGCAAATCATGCAAGAAAGCACGACGATCTATTTAAAAGATCTCTTCGATCATATCGTTCAAGTCAATGACACTATCGATACGTACAGAGAAATGCTTTCCTCGTTCATCGACTTCTACATGATGTTGAACTCGAACGCTATGAATGAAGTGGTGAAAACATTAACAATCATTTCGACGATTTTCATTCCATTAACTTTCATTGTTGGAGTCTATGGAATGAATTTTGACTATATACCGGAAATCCATTGGAGATACGGATACTTTGTTGTTCTTGGTTGTATGACTCTACTGACATTGATTATGCTCTCATGTTTTAAGCGAAAGAATTGGTTTTGAATGTTAATAAACAAAAACGAAACTGACAAAGATATTTTTAGCGAATTTGTCATGGTATTGTTTGGAAAAAAATCACATCTGTTGCAACGCGTGGGCTTTTTTAGGCTTGATCGATGTCATGGCCGGTTTTCAGTATTTTTTTACATGAATCATTTGATTGATTGTAGACGCTAAGGACAATTTGGTGCATTGTCTTCTTGCTGATTTATTCGAAGAAAAACAAAAGCTAATTTCAATATTCAATTGTTTTGATTTCGCCATTTTTTATATCAACTTTCTCGTTCCTATCTCCACAAATCAATTCTTGTAACATTAGATTATGTGAAATGACAAAAATATGTTTTTCTGGTCGATTCATTAGCCATTGAAGAAAACGTTTTCTCCGTTGTTCGACTTGTTGAACTGAATAAATACTTGTCACCTTCGTCTTCTCAAGCCATTCAACTCCACCAAAAGTCTGTTCGAACACGTCCAATTCACTGGTCAATGTTGAAAATGTTTTCTTCAAATCCTCGACTGAACTACCCGTATCACAAGGTTCATTGCACACTTCTTGAATGTCAGGATGTATAATCAAAGGAAGATTTCGTCGATTGCCGAACATGAGTAGATAAGTTTGCAACGTTCGTTTCAACGGCGAACAGACAATTAAATCAATGACTGGAATGGTTTCAAGCACCTGAATTGCAGACGCCGCTTGACTTTGCCCGTAAGCAGATAATCCCGGATCACGAATGCTGCAATCATATGGTCGAACGTTATGCAAGGCTTCAAAATGTCGCATATAATAGACGATTTTTTTCGTCGACATAACTAAAATAGGAGACTGAAGATAGTGACAAATCCTTTTCCTAGGAATCAATACACACAGATGAACATAAAATGAATTCTTTTCGTTTGTTTATTTATTTATTTGATTCAATTTTCAACATATCTCCTTCGTGAATTGTTCGTTTTTTGTACATGATATTCATACAGTCGAAAGCGTTGACTAAGTCAGTACATGTCAATTGTGTTGGTGGTCGTCGCGATTTCCGTGCGAAGGTGTGAGCTAGTTTCAATAGCTCTTTTGTTGTTTGTTCACAAGACCTTTGTACAAAATCCATCGCAACGTTATCTCGTCGGTCGCCACGAAAACGAAAACCTTTTTCTTTGTTTTTCTCAGTAATTGATTCATGTGCAAATCCATTCATACCTAACTCTGATAGATGTCGATATGGAATGATGAAATTTTCCATAATTGATTGTTTTCTTATTTATAAATGACAAGGATCATTGAATGTTGTTTTGAACAAGGCATATTATTCGACCTTAATTTTCTTTCACGAATCGAACATAATCGAAAAAAGCAATTATACATCTTTCTTTCTCTTTCTTCTGCCTAGCTGACTGCTTGTTCTGGAATATGTAAAGAATGGCCTAGAATAAATTCAGTTTCTCTCTACGGCCATGAATATTTCTACGCATTTGATTGACAAAATGATTAAAGAACGAAATTCCGTTGATTTGATTTCCAATGTTCTTTTCTCTTCATTTTTTTTCGTCATTTACGTCACGCGGGCGAATTCCTTGTCTTATATTGTCTTCACATGGACCTCGACGAGAGTATCACGTCAGTTGCCTAACTTGAGGCATTAAACACTTGAAAAAAGAAAGAATCTTTCTCTCCTGCTTCTTCAATTCAAATTCGATCGATTCATCATTGATCAAAACAGGTTACCTGCCAAAAAGAAAGAAAGAAAAAGAAAGATGCATGGTAACTATGTTTGATGACGTCTAACGGGACCTTATATTTTAGACATACGAATACATATATACTTGCACGTTGAATCTCTCGCTTCTATTTATTTACCGGACAGTCATGTCGGATCAACAGATTAATTTGACACAATTGCTCGATACATTTCAATTATTCGATACGAATAAAGATGGTGCAATTAGTTTCAGTGAAGTACGTTGATGAGATTCGCTTTGTGAACGAGTGTTTTTAACGATTCTGTTTGTAGCTTCGATCGGCTTGTCAAAAGTTACAAATGCCAGTCGATAAAAAGAAATTGAAGGATTTGTTTCAACATCGAGAGAATATTTCCTTCGATGAGTTCTGCCGCATTATCCAAGATTCGGGTCGACACTCACATGATGCTTATTTTCAAGAAACATTCCGTGCATTCGACAAAAACTCTGATGGTTTCATCACTGCGAAAGAAATAAAGAAGACTATGAAAGAACTGGGTGAAACATTAACAGACAAACAAGCACGAGATATGGTGAAAACAGCAGATTCCAACGGCGATGGTAAATTGTCTAAAGATGAATTTCGAATTTTATTTAATTACTTAACACAATTTACAATGTCACCCTCGATAACAATCGATTCAATGCAACGAGAACAAATCTAAATACTCTCGCTTTTCTCTTCTTCTTTTCTCTTCTGTATATATGTATAGAACAACGACACTGATATTGTTTATTGCACAAGTCTGAAATACAAATGTGTGTGGAAGAATTAAATCGTCGGTATCTAAGTACTAGAGATTAAAAGATCCAAATCGAATGATGAGGGTTAAATTTAGTTAGTAGGATGCAATATGATTGAAGAACCGTCAATATCAATAATGAATATGACTTTTGAATTGAATGATTGAATGAAATGATCTAGAACAACGAAGTTCTGTCGAGAGGAAATATTTCGATCGATCTTTACTTTTGTTAAATCGTTCGTTCGCCATTCGATACAATGCCTTCGACAGATCCGTCGCGTCACTGGTTTCGGTAATGGAGGTTGTACTGATTCACATTCGCTAATATTCACTCGTCTGTGCGGCAGTTGACGAGTGTAACATTGCAAATCAGAACCATATTCAATACCGAATCCACATCGGACCGAACACTAAAACATTTCATCGAGAATACAATCAATGCTTGTATCGACACTTACACCATGCCATTCACCGATTTGCCACTCTAAACATTCTGGTAGTAGACAAATTCGTTTTGTTGAATGTCGATGTTGACTGTGTAAACATGCAGACATTGGCAATAACTCTTGACGAATTTGATCAACGCACTCGATCGTTCGTGTTTGTAAACAATTGTGCAAGCCGCACTAGTGAATAGAATAATTATCATTATTTCGTTGAGTTGTGAAGAGAATGTTACCTCGGTCCAATCACCTATCCTCCAGGTGGATGTGACATTGTCACAAGAACTCCTATGGCATTCTTTGGCTGTTAATGGTCGATCGGTAGCATCGCATTCTTGTAGATCCACTGTTTCATTGTGACTTTTACATGAAATCGACCGATTTCGAATTCCTATTCCACATGTCACTGAACACTAATGCACCAAATGAACTTCTAAACTATTTTGAAATGAAAAGTATCTAGACGAACCTCTGACCATAAGCCAACTGTCCATCGAGGACAATACTCTTCTTGACTACACATTTCAGTTATTGAAGGTTTCGTTCCGTATATCTGTAAACAATAATCGTCATCAACCTTGTATCCATGATGTGAACACCAAAGGGTTCGGCCATGTTTAGCCATTTCACATTTACCAGTGCAATTGCTCTGTACACTTGTCTGCCAGCGAGGGCAATCTGTTAAAGTACAATTTTGCTGATAAAATGGTTTGCTTGTTTCACCTAGCACATTTTGACATTCTTCGTCAGTAATATAAAGTGATGGACGGGATAGATCATGACAATAAACATGTCGTTGCTGAATGCCCAGGCCACATGTTGCTGAACACTAGAGATAAACATACAGTTAGTCCTACGATCGACTTCGACATAAATTTATATTTACGGTCGACCATTGACCGGTAACCCATGCCAAACAAGTCAGATTGCTTGTGCATGCTTCTTGTTCGATTGGTTTCAATTCTTGATGACAAAAACGATTTGGAACGACTGAACTATTAGACAAACACATCACTCGCCGAGAACGAACACCTTCGAGCGATGAACATGTTATTGAACACTATATGCCACAAATTATTCGAACACAAGCGAAATAGACCGTTACTCACTGCTTGCCAAGCATCGGCTAGCCAGTACGATTTTGGACACTGGTCCGAGCACGAAATCGTCTCTTCAGGTTTAGGCTCGTGTAAACAATCGAATTCACTAATCTGCTCGTCATCACGCACACATGAAACATTTCGCCAACGAAGTTGTGAAGTACAATCGCACTGAGGTGTCACGAGACTTAAATGTGTAACTGTGCAAAGTAAAACTCACTTCGGACCAGGCGGTAAAATTCCACTGAGATAGTTGACAAGCTGATTGTGCACATCGCTCAACATTGAACAAAAATTCTGCATTACAATTCTCATCTGGTACTGTTAAACCACTTGCATTTCGGCATTGAGCTAAACGCTTTCGTACACAATTTCCATCCTCATAACACTAAAATGTATCCCACTCCGAAGCTCAGTAGACAGTGATTTCTATCGCAAATGACTTACTTCACTCCAATCTCCATAAACCCAACCCAGTTCATCGCAGTTTCCCATACACGCAACGATTTCCTTCGGCTTTTCCCCGACATATTTCCTGCAGACTTCATCATCCATTGACTCGACGTACGAACTACTCTTCGTACATTGAAATAGAACGCGTTTGTAACCTTCACCACATCGTGTCGAACACGCCTGTTGATATCTCGCTGTCCAGCTCAAGACGCAATGATCATTGCACCGTTCGGTTTGATGTGTAAACGGTAATTTGAAAATCAAACAATAAATCGAATCGTAATCCGTTTCGTGTATCAAACACTTTTTCATTTGTTTATAACCTTGACACGGTCGGTCGCAGTGATGATCAATCGATTGATACTCATAGTGGCGAACATAGTCGTCTTCATCGTACGGAGTATAATATTCCCAATAGACACTCGTTGCCGATGGATCAACTTCGTAGAGTGAAATCAATTGAATTTCTAGTGTAACTTGAAGACGGCCAGTGATCAAAATACTTTCATTACTAAAACCGAATCCGCTGTAGAGTAATTTCGAATTACCAATATGAAATTCACTATTATACAGCTGTAAGCTGTGCAAACCATTGAGGGCGTATGTTCCATTAGAATATCGGACAGCTAAATAGTATCGATCAACACTGGAAGATACTTGAGTGACGCTGACACGGGTTGTATTTATTGGAATATCGACAATATGTGTTATTCCTTTAAAATACGAATAGAAAAAGTCAGTAGGAAAACGAAGATCGAGACACGAACCAATATGTGAGATATGTTTTTGTCCGTGTATCAATTTACACGTTCGATTTTGTCCGTTACATACTCCACAAACATCTTCAGTTGCATTTGATCCATACTTATTATCGCAGCCAATAGGCATACAAATTCCATTGATACAAAGATCACGAATTTCATCTTCACGTCCACAAGGTGTACCATCCTCGACGCGGTCGCTCAGAATGAATGATCGTTCCAAATCATCATCGGAAACCTTACAGATTAGTTTACATCGTTCGGATGATAATACTAAAGCCATAAATCTCCAAGATACTCAATATTAATCTTCAATACTAACCGTTAAATTTCGGTTCGAATCGAACACCACTTGGCAATGAGGGATCGATCGTTTGATTATCATATTTCGAACACTGACGGTAACGAAACATGTCAACTGAATCTTCACAAGGCTAGAAATAATCTTTAGTTCAATTATCAAGTATAAAACAGTCATATTCAATCTACTGGATTATCTTCGCATGTGCGTATTTGTGTTGATGGACCCGAACAATATTGGCCGCCATTTTCCGGTCTAAAACAAACTTTTGTCTTCTATTAACATTGCACGATGATAAGTTCTCACTTTGGATTGTCACAAAATCGTTGTGATTTTTGTATAGCACTTCCACATGTTCGCGTACACGATGACCAAGGTGACCAGTCACCCCAATCACCATTTACTGCCAGTAAATCATGTGTGCTTCGACATTGACCATGAAAACAACGCTACAAGATATCCATTTGAAAATTCCAATCGCCTTCATCGTTTTACCTTAATTTCTAAATGTGAATCTGAGCATACAGTACCATCGGACCAATGCGCGTGGTTTGTTATGCATGATGAAGCATAGGAGGATCTTTGACGACAATATAGGCGAGCGCATTTTGGCTAATGAGCGAGAGGAGAGCGACTTAGTGAGAAGTAGTGAACGGATACAATTGACTTACACCATGACTGAGATCTTTACAGTATTCAAACTTGCTTCCGAAAGCTCGCTGACACTGATCATCGAGATTGTTCAAACGGCCAGGTAATTCCCGAGCTTTTTGTTCATTGTTTAATCTTTCGATTGATAATGATTTATCATCTGGTAGGTTGTTCAAACAAGAATATCGATTCGATCTTCAAGTAAAAGAAAACTCTTTGTTTATCTCAAATAATTGAAGAGAAATACTAACTCCAGATATTGTGTAAAATAATATTGACTACAATTCGACCATTTGTAATGATTATAATTGAAAATCAGCGATGTCGCCATTAGATTCTGTTCCTTATTGAAATTCTGACAAACTTGATCATTGTCATGACGAATACCAAATCTATTTGGAAAAACACGCAGACCACATCTTACTCTACACATGCGTTTATGTCTTACAAATGCGCGATTTCATGAGCGATGGTAAACGCGGTCGCAAATCCATTATCACGTATAACAGCGCAATTTGACGTTAGATTACACATGGTTCCTAACTCAGTTATACCTAACGTATCACATTTACTGTCAGTCGTCGTACTTGTACGTGAGTTGCACAAAGGCATTCTACACACAAATGGAACCATTCGGACGAAATTCTTACGATAATCTTTACCTTGTAAGAAGAACAGCGGCATCATATGTTCCCGGAGTATTGTAATCTCTTTGCCATTGACAGAATTGACGTAAGAGATCAGCAGCATCATCGATCGGTTTGGTTTGATCCTTAGAATGCAAACAAAAAGAAACATCACTTTTGGAAAACTCGTGTAATCCTTACACCAAGATCTTTTCCCAATTCGACGAGTTTAACTAACCAAATCTTTATATTATTTCCAATACTTGCATCCGAATACAAATGTGAAACCTGAACTTCGACGTACATTCGAACAATCGTCCCTTGTTGTTTGAACTTACATAGCTGAATAATGTCAGAATATACGATTTTACGTCGATATCCGCATGAAATTCTTTCATTGAATTATCATAAGTAACCAGAATCTCCACATGTTTCGCCATCTTGTCAAAATTCAATTTCCGTCTCTTTCTGATCGTTGAATTTTGCGGTTGATCAAGATGGAATCTATGATTATCTAAAGAGCCCCGACATTCCAAAACACAAGCTTGCCGAAAACGATTTACCACGAACACGGCAGATATTCTTGCGTTTCGTTACCGCTCGTTTATGATTATGTGTGTATAACAGATGTTCAAAATTCCATGTCGTACCATTCGTATGAGGCTTTGGCTCGATAAAATATTCTTTCCCATTGTAAATAAACGTTCCGAACTAAACCAAACGATCGACAAACAATGAAATTTTCTTTGTCTTTGACTTACCAAACCATCACATAGACTAATTGACACAGTAGACCTATGATTATCATTAACATAACCCTTGTAAAAGCAACGCTTCACACTTCGATTAATCCATGTTTGAGTATGATTGAAATATTGAACAAAAAACTTCGGTGAAAGAAACGTCGTGTCTTTCTTTAATGACAAATCGAATCGCTGATTAAAACCATTGATTCGAAAAGAAAGCTGATTGTCTATTGAACGTTTCTTTTCAGTCGTTCGTTTTGGAACGATGATTTCGTAATCAAATTGTTCGAGTTCATTGACACCTAAATGAATATCTTCGAAAGTAAATAATACATCTACTCGCCTTGAAATTCGATCTGTTGTCATAAAATAAATAGCTTCTTAGACACAAAAGATTATATGCTCTCTCTCTCTCTCTTTTGTATGAAATCCATTTCTAGGCACGTATTAGATATGTATACAAGACTGACCTCGAACATGTGTGATATGATTATTTATTTGTATTATGAAACGCTTGACAAGGATGTCTCGATCATGATCAACTTGTTAAATCCATTGATTTCAACATGGTTGATTGGCTTCGAAAAAACTCTCATTACTAAGATTCGCAACTTTACGCATCGTTTGTTTTACTTACTCAGTTTAGCATTGGTTTGAACAGGTGCGAAGAATAAAAGAATGAATATGCTAATTCGAATGAACGTATTCATATGATTATGAACTGAAAGAAATGTCCTAGATGAGAATTACGATGACAAGTTCGATGGCATATTAACATTCAATCCGATGAATAGACCATATAAGAACGAAGAATAATTGTGCGAGAGACGAGAGAAGGCGGAAAGGAACAAGAAATATAGAAATAGGTAGCATTCATCGAACCCTTGTGCGCGTTATCGAATTAGTCTGCAAGTCGTTGTTGAGATAGAAATTTCGTTGCATTTTTATTATTTTTTTGTTGTTTGATGCAACCGAATACACAATTGTAAAAAATATAGAAAGAATGAACGCAAGCAAACAATTGAATACATATTCACACGCTCACAAAAAAAGACGAATGAAAAGAAAAACGCCTGATAAAGATAAGAGAGAAAACTCATGAATGATTATATACACAAAAAAGAGAGAGAGAAGGAGAAGGAGAAAGTGTTTTGATTTTGTGTTGATAGAGAAGTAAATAAGGAAGAAGAGAAACGCCAGAGAGAACCAGAGTTTTGTTTCTTTATATGTCTAGTCTACACAAAGAAATTGAGCAACAAAAATATTTCTAAACAATCCCAAAATGAATATAAATAGATGAATTGTTTCGTATTCCTTTCCAATGATTAAGCATTGTCAAGATTATTGATATCATCTTCTAAGCCGCCAGCATAGAGATCGGCTAATCGAGAGAATTTCGGTCCCCAGGAGTAGAGAAAGCGAAAATCGTGTTCTTCTTGGTATTGTGTTGATTCGAGAGAACTCAAATCTGATGCAATCGAACCTTCACCTTCATATCGATAATGTAATTGAGTATCATTAGCATATGAAACGATTTGCTGTTCCGTTAATTTCTCATCGATATATTCGCCAAGTGCCGGACGGCGATTGTTGATCGTTTCAGCATAGGCTACAAAAGAAAAGAAATTTCTTTCGAAATGAATACCTTGTTTCTTTTCGAAAAATATATTTACCCATATTATGCAAACCACTGCGAGCATTGTTAGCCAGGATTTCTTCGTCACTCAAAGCATAAACAGGTTTCTTTAAGACACCAAGATTATATGTTGAATGATCTTCTTCTCCTGCAGTCTCTCTGAAACGAAAAGTCATCATTATTCGGTCAAAGTCTTTCCAGTCGTATGTCGCGTGTACTCACTTATAATCAATAATATTATCTCGAGTATCATCTGGATATAATCCAGCTAGAGTCTTCTGTTGTTGTCGTCGTCGTATACATGTTAATAATCCTAATGCAATTATTGTTGCTAATAATAATAAAACTAATGCAATAATCAACCATGTATACCAAGGTATGATGATATCCGTTGTTCTTGGTAATAGGGTTGATGTACAAGAATTTGTTAATGCACATGGACATTGTCCAATATCTGAATTAGCTGAGGCTAATGCAGCATTCATGTCCAAATAATAACCGTTGGACATGACATTTCGTATACATCCACTGAATGTATTGACTTGTGTGAGACTTGGATAGAGACCAGATACTAACGAGCCTGTAACTGGTAGGCCACCAAGAAATAGTTGAACATTCGACAGATCGTAGCTATTCAATGTCTTGTTAAAGCCCGATAATACATATTGACAATCGTTAACTGTGACGAGAATCAATGAATCAACGTACTGAAAAAGAGAGAAAGTGAAAAGTTGGAAACAATCTCGATGAAAATGAAAGAAGAGCATACTTGAAATTCTACATGGTACCATGTTGATGCGTTGATGACTGTATTTGTTGCATCGAGTATTTGATCTCGGAAACGAAGTCTCAATTTTGAATTAAAGATTTCAGCCGAAGTCCAGAAAAAGCCGTTGACATCTGTTGTGTTCTTTCCATATAACAAAATCAATCCGTCGACCACAGGTGATCGCAAAGCAAAATCAAATGAAAAACGTGTTGGAGCTTGATTTGAGAAATACATTCCATCGAAAACAGCGTATCCACCACCGTTTTCACGGAATGTTCTTCCCAGTACTTGACAATAAGGACCAAGTGGAGCGTAAGCTTGTAACGACGTGCAAGGGCAATAAGTGAAATTATTGAACGAATATGTCGTACAGCCAGATTGAGTATTGGTAAAATTAGGTGAATAAGTACTATTGACACAATCAGCTGAATCTACAACATTGATGCCAACAAAAGATGTTTGATTTGAATCAATAGCGTAAGGTAATGGTTGAATGGTTCGTGTTGGACGACAGATTGTACCGGATATACAAGCATAATTCGAACATGGATTTGGTCCACTAGCATTCACTATGATGCCATAGAGTGAGGCAAATCGAGCAATGTTGGTATTGACTGAGTTTTCAATATCGCTCTTGGCTAACGATGGTATGTAGAAAACAACATCGGTTAACGCTTGTTGTTTGGCTTGATCGAATGGTAAAGGTGGATAGTATGGACTACGATACTGAAAAACGGGTCGAATAGCAAGAATAGTGATAGAATCAGCAGTGACAAGCAAGATGGATGCCAAAGCATTGCGAAGAACGTTGAGACGATTACCGAGTGTTGGATCGATTAACGTTTCAGGATATTCACCTTGAATGCGAATCGTAGCTGCTTGTCGAACCCATTCCGGATCGACACTTTGGACTCCAACTTCCATTGTACCAACAGCTGATGATGGCACATTTGGTTTGGTGACATCAACAAGAACTGTCGCTGATCCTGGATAGAGTGGACTCGGCGTTCTTAGATAACCTTGATTAATTGTGAACGTTTGTCCATTACTAGCAGATCTGACCGAATATGATCGACTAGCTATATACCAATCGTCCGGATCATTGACATAAACAGAACCAAGTGGAACATTGATTAATGAATTTATATAACCATTAGCATAGATGACAGTCACAGTTTTATAACCATTTGAAATGGGATAACTATTTAAAACATCACCAACAATAATTGGAATGCTTGATATCGCTGAGAAGCCTTTGTTATCACTAGCATTGAATGTTACAGTGAGATTCTTCGTGACAGTGCGATTCAAAACACCATTGTATGTCAATCGATATGTACCGTTGTAATTCAACGTTGGACCAGATAAGGAAAATGTTGATGGAGAGATGATCTGTACTTGAAAAGGTACTGTATTGTTCTGTGCTGGATCATCGTAATCAGTAAATATCACGGTCGTACTTGGATTCACCACGCCTTCTGTTAATATCCATGGTGGATTCTAAATCAAAGAGATTTTCAGTGATAAGGAGCGAAGTTTCTCTTCAGCGCAATTTCTTACCGTTGGTATCGGTGCATTATTATTCGTATCAATGACTGTAATACTGACTGGCGCATAACTGGATACACCTAGTCCACCTTGATCGGTGACTTGGATAGTAAAGTTGTAAATAGGAGTACCAAATGGCAAATCACGCGAAAGACCCGGTGCGGCAATTCCCAGGGTAGTTTGGTTATTTGCTTGATTGAGATATATACTATTGATGTTCCATTGTACGTTATTGGTAACAATACCATAAACAAGTGATGTTGGTGGAATATCAGGATCAGTTGCGCTGATCTAAATAGAAAAGAAAATTGAAAATATTTGCTTGATTGCTATGTTGAATGGGTGCTTATCAAATATAACACTATCAATGTAAGGTCATACACTGTGCAGTTTGCTGACATTTCCAAGTAACAATAGAAAGGGAGAGCCTTGTGAACAAATTAATACCGAGCTTATTGAATTCAGCGGTAATGACATTAATCTTTTCTCACTCAACTAACAAATCTTGAATACACACACATGCGCGCGCGCGCAGACAAACGAAAAGTTGAAGGTGAGTCAAGCAACTTACGACTGGTCCGTTGAGAACTGAAACGGCAGTTCCTTCTAATACGGAATATTGATAAGAACTGAAACCGGGCATCAAATTAAAAATAGGTGCTCGTGTGTTCTGTGGGAGCAAAATAACATTGACTGTAATCGTTGCTAAGTTTTGAGTATCGAATGCGAATAAAACTAGCGTATAGTTATTCGTAACTTCATAACTCAAAGGTCCAACGACATAAAGTTGTCCTATAGCTTGATATTGTGTACGTGTTGAATCAGCAGTGTTATCTGATAACAGTCGAAAAACAAATGCATTTTTGGTGTTTCCACTCAATATGCCAAAGTCAAGGATAGTATCGAAATCTGTATCGGTGATGGTTAAGTTGAGGATACCAGTACCAATTGCTGTTGTTTCATTGATATATATAGTGAGCGAGGTTGAATTGGCAAAAACTAGTGAAAACAAGTTCATATCCTTTAGAATTTCAGAACAAATCAATCGCTCTACCTGGTGGAACATCGTTGACATCGATAACTTGAACATCAAATTGAAAATCTTGAGTATTTGGTTCCAGTGAATTCCAAGCTGGTGCGCCGTCGTAAGCTGTGATAAAGATACGATAGAGTGTTTTATTACTTTCACGATCGAATGTTGCATTTGTCCAGATTGTTCCATTGGCAGCGACAAAGAAGTTTCCGATCGCTCCCGAATCACTCAATACTTCATTCAAACGATATTGAACGAAGCTGTATAAAGGATTAACATCACGATCGAACGCTTGAATTTGAGCAATAACCCGACTTCCACTTTCGTTTTCGACGACACTCAAAACAATGGAACGAATATCAAACGTGGGAATTTGGTCATTTTGATCAATCAATGTCACGGTTGTTGAGCCAATCAATGGCGGAGTGACAAGAACACGAATATACATTAGATAAGTAATCTGAATTTCTGCATGAAGACCACTGTAAGAGAGAAGAAAATTAATTAGAACAACACGAACTATCGGATCATCTTCACTTTACCTGGTAACAACAATACCACTACTAAAAACGTATCCATTTCTTGTTACAGGTACGTCGCTAAATGGTATGTATGTATTTGGAAACGGACTACTAACTGTCATAATGGATGATGTTGTCGATGTCAATATATAACTGATAGTTCCATTAAATCCGTAAGTTGTGTTAAATATCGGCCTATTTCCATACGTTTCATAATATTTTTCAATAATGGGAAAATTCAATTCTTCATAAGCTGGATCGACCCATCGTGCAGGTGGTGGATCATTACCATTGTTATAATAGATTGTAACTGTGGCATTCGTCTCACTAGTACGTGGAGGTGTGCCACTATCTTGTGCATACACTTGAAATGTAATTGGAAAGAGACTAACACTTAAATTGTAAATTCCAGGAACACTGCTACGAAGGATAATTGTTCCTGTCGTCTGATTAATTGTAAAATATGGAACGCCAACCGTTCCTATATAGTAATTAATCTGTCCGTTGACGCCTGAATCAGCATCTGACGCGATAATACGTAAGAAACGAGCGCTATTGGAATTGCCAACGGTAGAACGATAGATTGTATAATTCCAATTTGTCATAACAAATACTAAACGAAATCAATCCGATATGAACATGAAAGTAAGAATCCTCCATCTCACCTGGTGGATTATCGTTCACATCCAATAGGTTAATACGTAAACTGCAGAAAGCTAAACACAATTTGAAATAGAAATGCGTTGAACTATGAAATCGGGCACTTACATTGCCGTTGAGGTGTGCCATTATCAGTAGCTAATATAAATAAATACCAAACTCGTGGCAAGCCTAAAAGTGCAACATAAGATTCATGTCTTTCTAACCTTGTTCATATTTAGAATTTGGTTAGTTATTTTTCGGTTCAATGAGTATTGTTTCACAACACGGTCACTGATCAGTAAATTTAAAGCTTGATTGACTTTTTTCAGTTAATGGCGTTTCTTAACACTCGGAAATTTGTTACGTAAATTTTTTTCTCATCAAAATCTTACATCAACCAATTTCATTCCTATCAATTGTTCGACAAGACAAAACAAATCAATAATCTTACCTGGTGCATCATAGTCGAATGAAATATTCGTTCGTAACAACGCTGAACGAGTCGAATTCGTTTGGGTTAGTTGTTGAATATAAAATTGTGTGTAAGCCGTATTTCTCAAGCCACTCACTGGAAGTGAAATGTTCATGTTTATGTAACGATAACATACGTATGAAAGAGTTTACCTGTTGTTCGAGCTTGTTCCGATGGAAATGCGATCGTTACCTGACCATTTTCTCCTCGATCACTATCATACACCGATATCGTAGTTATGTTCGCTCCGATAGCATTATTTTCGTAAAATGAAATCGTTGAGCCACAAATATTGTTCAGAAAGATTGGTGATTGTTTGTTGACAGCTGTTACATTGATGGTGATAGTTGTTGTGGTCGAAAATCTTGGACAGGCTGCAAGTGCTGGTAAACATGATGAACCATCATCACTTGCAGTGACAGTAACGAAATATTGTGATGCCGCGTATGATGGCAACGATTGTTGTAACTGCAAAGAACCCGATGTTGCATCGATAGAAAACAGAGCACTAGTCATCGAATAGACAATGCCGTCGCCATCAGGATCGGTGGCATAGACCGTACCGAAGAGCGCTCCAACAGTTGCCGTTTCACTAATGAAAAATGTCTGATTGGCTGGTATAAACACTGGTGGATTGACATTATAATTTTGAAGATTAATCACAACGAGTGCAGTGGAACTAACCGATGGTCGAGTGGAATATGTTTGAGTTGCAATTAAATTAAATAAATAACGATAATAAGGTACAAAGTAACTTAGTGGACTAGATGAAAAGAATCGAATTATATTCTCATTTAGCTATTCTTGATGACTTACTAAGTATTAGTGACAAGGGCATAGGAACCATTTGATAAAGTAGTAACAGTAAAATTCGGGTTGCTCGACGTCACTGTTATAACACCCTGTGTGAGATTAAGTGCCCGACCAGTAACAGATGTCGAAACAAAACTTGGCCGAGTAAAATCTGTTTGTGGTTGAACATTGAAGGTAAAGACTGTCGTGCCATTGGGCGATGCAACAGAGAAGTTTGATACTGTTATCACATAAACAGATTGATCGAAGAGTGGACCAGCGAAACTGGTGTTGTAGAAGAAATCTGGGATGTCATTTTGACAGACTTGTGAGGAAGTGAAATTAATTAAAAGAAATATTATGAAACAATGAATCAATACGAATCGATGATGTTGATCTGACTGAATCATTGCACATCTAAAAGAGAAACGAAGGGAAAAAGGCATGTGAAGACAAATTCATTTTCAAAATGGACGATGTCCTAGGTCGATTGAATGTGAATATATCACGACCTTTACATAGAACGAAAAATGCGTTCGTTCATCATTATTTCGGACGGTCAAAGTTGCCGAGAAAGAGAGGAAGAAAAATAAACCTTGAAGAAGACAAAAAGTGCATTACGATTGGCTCAAGCATTGACGAGACTGTCAAAACTTTCGTTTGCACACTCTTCTCTAATACACTTGTGTAAAATGAACGTCAGACTGTCAGCATTTGATCAAGAAACCAAAAATTAATATACTAAAAAAAGAAAACGAAGCGTCTCTTTTCTCTCACCTTCCTTCTCTCTCCCCCCTCTTTCAACATTGTATTTTGGCATTCTACACACATGAGATGACCGCAATCATTCGAACGTACTGAACAATTCTTTTTCTTCTTTTCTAATACGTACGAACCGCAAAGAAATGAAAATCGACCGCATCATTATATATGCACGAAAAGAAAAAGACATCGACACATACACACACCTTCGTATTTGAAAAGATGATGACGAGAGCGAGCAGAAAGAGAGAGAGAGGGAGAGGACAGAGAGTTATGATGCAAACGAGAAAATGTAAAAAAGAAGTTGAGAAGAGAAGGAATCGGCTCAGATTTCAACTATCCAAGTATCATTGATAAACTAAAGGTCGTCAAAATCTACCCATTGAAGGTTAAGATCAGATGTTCTCTTGACCAGAAAATCAACTTGAACTATTTACTCAGACATCTATATACACGTTTGTGATAAAATTAACAAGCGATGTCCTTGTAACATAAAAAAATTTCATTTTCATGCCTTTTTGCTCTCGATTTTATATTCGGTGCGTTCAATTGAACGAAGTTCTTACGAGAATAGGTATATCTTCTCGAAAATGAAATTGTAATATATTATATATACATGTACGTGTATACGAAATTGATTGTTACTGATCGTTGATTTGCAAAATGAATAGGAGAAGAAAAAGAAGAGAGAGAAACTGACGAGAGTTTGATAGGTGAACACGTCCTTCCTGTTCATGTACAATAATAATGGTTCTGATGGTAAATAGCAGCGAAGAATGTCAACTCGAGAAAGTACTAGCAGTAAACGACATGAGAGAACGAATAATAAACGCGTGTTATGACAATGCATGAAAGATCCTTTTGTTTACCTATCATTGTTTCTAATCGATCTTAAGTAAGACTAGACTAACATAACATAATCAAGCGCAATTTTCAAGCTTACCTTATAATATTATTAATAATAATGAATATACGAGAATCATGTGTCGGACACTTTGCTCTTTTTCTTCTTCTGATTTCATCACTCAACATCTGTGACAGTAAAGTTCTCTCTCCTGATTAAGTATGTAAGAAGAGAAGGAAGAGAAATCGAAGCAATGAAACAAGTAAATTCATGTTGAAGAAATGTGTATATGTATATTTGAAAAAAAGAATCAATTTGATTTTCATTTACGGCTTCACTTCAATGCTTATTTCTTTATGCCATTTGTACTTTATGCTAAACTAAAGCAAACTTTTATGACATCATAATGAAGGTTATCATATGAGCAAATATACAATATATAAATTTCGCTTCATTTATCTTATTTAAGAGAAAACCGAGAGCGTTCTTCACGTGAATTTATATCGAGCTATGCGTACGTGTGTACAAAGACAAACAGATACACTGTATCGATTAATTGCACGCGTTCAAGCTTTGTACTTACTCGTTCTTAGTGGGATGAGTTCATCTTAGTATTTGTGTCCGACTTGTATTGTTATTGTTCAAGAGCATGATGGTCTCGCCTTCTTCTCCATATGTACGACTACTAATGAGAACGACGTAGAGAAGAAAAAGAGAACAGAAACTTTTCTTCCCTTTTTTTTTATGTTCTATTCTCTTTCGTCATTATACATAAAGTTCGAGTACAGGGCAATCTCTTCAATGAGCGTTTATTGTACAGTGCAGAGGGATAGAGAAGAGAAAAGAGTGCAGTCAAGTGGAGGGAACCACCTCATACACGGTTGCTGGCACTAGTACTGCTTAAGGCATGTGGTGACCTGTCAGTGTCAGATGAAGGAGAAAGGAATGAATTATTGTAAGCCATACATAATCACAAGAATCTGTCTAATCTTGCTACTATTCTGATGGCATCTATAATATGAACATATACATACATATATATATATATATTGATCAAGCGGACATAAAATTTAACACAAGCATGTAATTATGCAAATGGACTTCATTGGAATCGATGTAGGACAAATAAACTGTGTTTGCTTATTGAAGGTATGCATTGTCAGGAGAAAGAGAGAATGTGTATTCGAAAAAAAAAATGAAATTAAAAATGAAGCTGATTGCTGTTGACGTAGGCGAACGGGTTGATTGTTCAACGAAATGAGTTACTTTTTAGTAGTAGTTTTGGGTCAATTTGATTCGCATATCATTACAACATGCATATGTCTTCGGTTGGACAAAAGAGACAATCTCGTTCTGTTCATATCTCAACATAGAAATGTTCGATTGTTTCAACGCTAATTCGTTTGCGTGCCTGCGGTGAATGCTGATTAAGTAAAGAGAGAAAGAAAAAAGAAAAACCTTACAGAACAGAAATAATACAGGAGATGTATCGTATGCTTGATCTTCACATTGTTTTGATTAAGAAATCTGAAGACAAATAATATTTATTCATTGAATCTATACCCGTTGCAAACTTTTATGTTGATGGATGAGACACGAGTGAATTTGATCGATTGAAAAAAAAGACCCGATGTGAAGGTTAGCAAGAGAAACAGAAGTAAATAGAATAATGATAGTTTACAGTTGAATTTCTCATGCCTATCGAGATAATCTCAATGAATTCGCGATAAGCGTTGATGTGACAACAGACAATTATCGATGAGACTCGAGTGTTGTTATTTATGGATCGAGTCTATTCGTCAAGGTGAATTTTAAAGAGAGGGAAAGAGTGCCGTCAGAATCATTTGATTTGCAAGTGTTTCTATAAATAGCAACCGAGTCGTTACTTTTCGATGACTCCGAACGTGCAAGCAGAAATCAATAAGCTTATTTTTTTGTTGGTTTTCGCTGCTCGTCGACTGACGAACTTTTTTTCAATTCTTAATGGATGAATTTGTCGTCGCTTAGTTCAAGAATATTTGAGTATGCTTGAAGTGTTATTTTATCAATATTTCCAATATTTGCATATATTCATATTCAGGTTATACGCAAATGTCATTGATTATCACGTTGCGGTGCTCTTCTACATCGTAGTTAAGAAATTGAACCTCTCCTGACGAGTTCGATCGTGCCGGTCAAATCTTCTAAGGTTTTCATCGAACGAAATGATTGAATAAAGCACATGCTACTTCTTGTTAGCAATCAAAAGAACAGATCTTCATTTTAATGTCTGCATATCATCAATTTCTCACAATGTTTCGATTGAATAAGTTTTATTCAATACATTAGTGACTAATTATAACACCTACATATGTTGCATAAATCAAAATGATTCATTATTTCTATACCATTGCACGTCGTTTGTTATGCATGATTGCTGTCACGTTTCTCAAAAATATCAATAGCGTGTAGAAAATCTTTGATTGACAATTGACATAAACATGGGTTTGCTGACAAAGTTGAGACGATTTGGTAGTGAACACATTTTGCCTCTCTTGGACGGGAGACCACCGAAAAGGGACGAGCCTGTACCGCCTCAAGATGTGGAGTATGGGCCGCTACCGCAAAGCTTTTTTAAAGCTGTGAACGTCGCTCGGGAAGAAGCTGGTTATGATGCATTGGCATTGAAACGAGATAAACATGGACTGGATCGTGGTATGAGACCGGAATTTGGTGCCTTCGACCGAAGTCGACGACCTTCGCACGAACGACAATTTGATCGTTCAACTCGTCATGGTTCACCCGAGCAATTTCGTCGTCTTCCACCCGGTACTCCCATCAAGTTTCGTCGACGACCAATTTCACCTGAGTTGATACAACCCAGCGCTTCCGCTCCATCTCTCTTCGGTTTACAACCTCATCCGGTTTCTCCTGATATGCTTCGCGAATTCCAATACGCACAGCAAATGTCACACGTTCCACGACAACAACAACAGCAATTGGATATGATGCCTCCTCCTGCTGCGTCGTTCTATCCCCAATTTCAACAACCTCTCTACCCGATGATGTATCCAAATGCGAATGTACAAAATTGGTTTATGATGTCTCAGTATCCGCGACAAATGTATCCGTTATATTGAAGAATTTCGTCTTAGACCTCGAACTCTTCGTTGACGTGTAGAACGTACTTTTTCCGAAATGAGTATACAGGCAAAGTTCACGAAATTTTCCGCATGTTATCTGAATCGGGAAATGACTTTCTTGATGAAACATTGCAAGAATGTTTTCTTTTATTTCAACGCTAAACTATCGCCGTTCTATCCAATAAAATTCATCACAACTAAATGTAAGATAATATGAGCGAAAACGAAATCAGCAAATGCACGTTCTGGTGTGACATTGAATGTCGATTGATTTGCTTTGTTCAATTGAATGCGCAGACTTGCTAGAAGAGAAACTTGGTCAGATTTCGTATGTATTCTAGAAGGAAACTAACCGGCTAGAACGAAACAACCAACAGTCGAAATAAAACCCGAGAGAAATGAATTGAATGGAAACGTTCCGACGAGTAAACAGTACGCAAATTGAATAATACCCGTTAGCATCACATAAACTAAATACGCATCGATCAATTTCAGCTTTTTCGGTGTAGTTGTCCGATATTCATCGTAGAGTTTACGAAGGATGCCTGCGACTTCTCCTAGTTGACCCATTTTGAATGGATTTATCTGAAACGAAACAAATCAAAAGAAGAGAATTGTATTGGGTTTTTATTTCTCATGTCTGAATGTATGTTGGTTTTTTTTTTGAACAAAAAAATTTTTGCTAAAAGAAATGAATAACAATAAGAGATTAAACATCTATATAAGTGTATTGATTGAACCGTCGTCTGCTTTCCTTCTATGTTGCCATCAATGGAATATTTCCTGTTTCGCCTGCTGCACTATCCATAGTGCTATTGACAGATGGTGAGCCAGCGCTTGATGCCGATGTATGTGGAGTTGTTAAACATTGGTATTTACCATCGAGACCGACTTTCCATAAACTAACTTTATCCGCAGCAGCAACAGCAAGAATATCACCAGTCAATGACCAACTCACACTCCAAACGTCATTAAAATGTGTACCGATTTGTATGCATTCCCAATTAGTTGATGAACGTGTATCACGTGTGAAAACATAAACATGACCATCCTGGAAATATATGAAATTCGTTCAAAAAAAAAGATTGTCATCATATGGAATCTTACTTGCGAGCAACTAGCGATTTTGTCTTTGTGAAAGCTGAACGTTGGTGCCCAGGCAACATCTCGTACCCAATCGTTGTGCTGATCAAGGTGTGTTTCTTCTATCCATCCATCATCCTGCTCTCGAAATCTGCAGATAAAAGAAGTTAGCAATCTGTTTTTTCTTCTTCAATGAATAAACTGACTTCCATATACGAACTAAACAATCACATCCAGCTGAAACAAAACGTTTCACAGGTTCACCTGTTATTCCCTGTACACCTGTCTCATCGCTAGATTGCGGAAGAACAGCAGGTGCCCAGCTAAGTGCATTCACACCCGGCTACGAAAAAACGAATCCGCAACAATGAATCATTTTACTCTACAAAATATTTCAACATACAGGATGACAGTCATTGATTTTCTTCACTGTCCATCGTCCATCACCTATTTCGAAAACACAAACGTTTCATTTCAACGCGCATAAATCACTCATACCAGTTGAACTGAGAATTGAAATCGAGCCATCTGAACTTCCACAGGCTAACATAAGACCGTACTCATACGGTGCCCATGCAACAGTATTCACTAAAACATTTCCAATAATATTCACCAATCAGACGAAAATGTTCCATCCCAATCCTTACCAGAAGATGTATGTTTGTCATATTCATATATAACCGAATATTGCGTGCCACCCGTTGTATTCGACTGAGGTGGCAAGCCACTTGATGTCGTCTCTTTCCATATTAACACTTTCCTATCATAAGAACATGATGCGAGTAAACTGCCAAATGTTGGATGTGACCATGATAATTGCCATACGGGACCTTCGTGTCTGCACAATAAATAAACATCTTGAATTCTTTGTTGAAGATCATCTTACCCTTTCAATTCAGCAATCAATCGTTGTTGGTTGTTTGACACATCGAAGATTTTAATACTTTTATCTGATGAACATGTTGCTAAACGAATGCCGTAATAATCTAATTGAGCATCATGCTAAAGCAGACAATTTTCTTCCTACAGAAGCATTCGAAAGCAAACTACATACAATTAATTCTTCGTGGCCTGTATCAACTGCATTGATTTGTGTCTAGAAGCGAAAACTAAACAAAGCTCAATTGATCGAACGAACGATTTACCATTTTAATGACGAAGACTTCTTTTTTAAAAACGATCTAGAAGGGAAAAAAGAGTTCGTCAATATTTATTCAACATGGTCAGTTTTGTGTTTTGTTAAATAACGATAGATATCATTATGTATATTACTAAATAGAAATGTTCCTAAAAACACCGATGCAGTTCCAATCCAATGATTCAACGTGAAATCATTTTGAAAATAAATTATTGAGATAAGTAAACTAATAAATTTCCGTAGGGTAATTATCAATGTTACAATTAAAGATGAACATTCAGTGGTCAAGATAAAGACGGATCGAATGCAAAAATATTGTGTGAGCATGTTGCAGAATAGATATGCCCACATGATCGGAACGCCAACATTCGAAAATATCGGCAGCCAAGCTAAGAGAAACTTTCAATTACTGATTGCTATTTCGATCGAAAGATTTACTTGATTGGTTGAAGAGTTGAGCATGATGATAGATGTCTTTGCCGACGAATCCGAACAATGGGAGAGGAAGTAGATGCTAGAATGAAAGCAACGATTGCGAGTGAAAACAGTGGATGTTGACGTACCGAGTAGAACAATGCTTCTTGAGGATGTTTGCCATATTTAGCGTAGAGAGTTTCTTGGTAGATGCCCATTATAGCCGAAACAATCAAGGCAAAGACAAGCATAATAATGCCTGTCAAGAACGAAAAGATTAATAGGAATTTATGCAATGTGTTTTCGTACCGATTGTCCATCGAACAATATCTGGCTTTGGTTCATCAATTTGAATATTTTTTTTTGCTTTTTCTTTGTTGAAAGATTGACTAGACGCATATGTAGACAGAACAATGCCAAATGTAATTAAAAGAACTGATAATATTTGACGTAATGAATATCTAGACAAATGGCAGATATAATCGACACGTTTACGTTCGATTTCTTTTTACCTTCTTTTCAATATAATCATCCCTAAGACAAGATTCGCGATCAATGAGCCCTAGAAAAGCACAATATTTCTTCCAATTCTAATATTTATTCAATCATTACCGATCGAAAGATCATATGCAACGGCATTGGGATATTGAAATTTAAAGCATAATTATTAATCACACTCACTAAGAAGAACATCACCACCATGATGGTGTAATCTCTAAAAGATTGCTTTCGAGAACGAATAATTTCAATTATGAAAAGTATTACTTGATCGGGACCACTCGTTTTGCTGAACCCCATTTGAAGTAGTTGAAAAAGCCTTCAATCGCAATGAAGAGAAACTGGGCAAAGGTGATGATATTTCCACTTCCTGGATAAGGTCTGAATAGATCGATCAGACGATCAAAAGATTCGTTAGATATTGATGGTACTCACCGGACGATTAATTCAAGAAAAATAACGTTCGAACAACAGCCAAGAAAGATGAGAAATATCGTTTGTATGACATGCTTCATCTTTGTGTAGCCTGTTTTATAAAAAAATTTCTATTCCGATGACGTGTTACTATAAGTCTCAGCGTCTCCACCAATCAGATTGCATGAATTCACGGAGGACGAGAAATGGAATTATATTGGCGGAGGAAAAAAAGTAAACGAGATGATGATGTGATGTTGACGTTCTTGTTAAACCGTTGAAAAGATTTTTCAAGGAAAGATGACATCGAAAAACTTTTATGATAAACATGCTGAACATCAGGATAAGACAAGTTTGGGTAAATTACGATCGAAATATTGGACCACTAAGCAACTGGTGATGAAAAAGCTCGGCCGGGAAGAAGATGAATTCGTCATTGCCTCGGATGCTGATGTGGATGCTAAACTTGACCTACTCTATGCTGTCAAGCAATCCTGCCATGATCTACTTCGTGTAAGTGACAATCTCCTAACGGAATTCTTCAATATGATTTCATTTTCAATAGATTATGGACACTTATCAAACCAACGTTCTCTTCCTTTCACATGAGGAGACTGATATGGCTCGATTTCTCAAAGATTACGCACAGATGGACAAAACACGTGCGGGCAAAATGATGGCTAGTGTATCGAAAGTTCTTGCTTACACAGCGCATCAACGGATTGCTCTACGTCAACCATTGCTTCGTCTGCATAATGAAATCGAAACATTCCGTCATCGAGCTGTAACTGATACGTTGTCAACAGTGAAACGAATGGAAACAGCGCGAACAGAGTACCGTGGAAGTATTCTTTGGCTGAAAGATGCATCGGTTCAACTTGATCCGGAAAAACAATTAGAAAAGTTTCGTCGTGTACAGAGTCAAGTGAAGTCAACTAAGACAGAATATGATCGTCTGAAATTTGATGTCATTCAGAAGATCGATTTATTAACAGCGAGTCGATGGTTTGTAGATTTTAGCGATTTGATTAGAAGATGTTCGATATACTTCTATTTTTAGTAATATGTACTCTCATGCATTGGCGACTTATCAAAAAGCTCTCTTGGTTTTCTGGGAAAAGACTTCAAAAACTATGTCAGCCGTTGCTGAATCTTTCAAAGGTTATCAATATTATGAATTTACCGTGATTAAAGATCTTGCTGAACCGAGCCGTTTATTAGCTGAATTGAACTCGAAACCGAAAGGAAAAAGCGAAGCAGTTCTCGACGCAATGAAAAAAGAAAAGCCTGCCAATGAAACTGACCAAAATCAAAAGGAACTAGTAGATCTGACCGAGCCAGTGAATGCATTAATTGACATAACTGATGATCAACTTGATGACCAACTTCTTGAATTAGAAAAACTAACAACTATTGATCGAACACCAAAAACCTCGGCGAATTCGAAAGGAGCGGCGACTGCCAATGAAGAAAATCTTGTTGAACTAGCAGAAGAAATTAAGGCTGAACACGATAAACTCTTCTCCGATCTGCTGTCAACAACAACATCAGCCAACACAACCAATGACTTACTTGGACTCAATGACACAAACAGTTTCGATGCTCATTGGTCAGCAGCATTCGGAAGTAGTGCAATTCAACAACCTACATCTACCCTGCAAACGGATTCAACACCAGCAAATAATACATTCCTTCCATCGTCGCTTCTAAGTGAATTACTAACATCAATGAATAAACCTGTGAAACCAACGATACAACCAATACAAGCGACTAATCCAAAACCGAAACCGGCACCATCGAGTAAATCATCAGATAAATCCAATTGGTTGAATCTATTTTCTGAACTTGATCCGATACAAAATCCTGATGCAATTGGTAAAACAGCTGGCGATGAAGCTGATCGAAATTGTTAGACACGCCTTATTCTTCTGAACAATGTCTTTATCTAGTCATGACATTTTATTTCTCAGAGTGAATCAAAAGCAAAGAAATGATCTGGTAACAGTGAGACGACGTTTTTCTCTTTGGAGATGTATATGATATTTTAATTGTTTTACAGTATTTCATTTATCTACTCTTTCTGTCTTGTCTACAAATGTATTCTGTTCATTTATCTTGCTGTTTTTTTCTTCGATGTTATAATATATTTATCTCGAAATCAAAATTACTTTTTATATACACAAACGACAACTAAAATTCAGTTTAAAATGATTTCAATATTACGAACAGCACTGGTAATACCATAATAGCTCAATTCGTGTCGGGATTTGATGTGTCGACCTTTGTAGTATAAATGAAACTTGCCATGCGGATGAAAGGTGTGTTTCAGATGCGATTTGATGAAACCCACTTTTCGATTTTCGTCCTCGGCGATATTCATGCACATACTTTTACCATCTCTTTTACGAACGATTCGTAGAACGATTTGCCGCGATGGAATTGGAAGAGACATATGTATTTAGATGTGTAAGTGTGTGTGCACGTTTCGTTCGATTCTTAAATACGCGAATGTTGAGTAAATATATCTCGTCGTTAATCATTCTTTTTCTATGAATAAAAAGAAGAGAAAGTTTACACAAGGTAAACCTCCGGTCGATCGTTCGACAGTAACTGGAGGGAACGAAAAGCACTTATACATAGCTTTTTTCGGCTTTCATTGAGGAAAAAAAAGAAAGCGATACAGAATTCACAAAAAAAAATGGACATGTCTAAGAAATGACTATCTAGTACTTCTAAACTAATCGTTCTTCCTTTTTGAATTAAAGGTTTTCGGTAGTAATTACTAGTTCGTTCGTGTATGTCACAGGAGATTTAGATTCAATCGGGATGACCGGTAATACACGTCTTATGTTTAAACCATGCGTAATCCAATGAAAGAGAGCATAGGCTAAAACAATTACAAAACCAACCATAGGAACAAGAAAAGAAATTCGAGTGGAATGTCTATCAGCTATGACACCTTGGATGGGTGGAAATGCTGCTCCTCCGGATACGCCCATGATGAGTATACCAGCACCGCGGCGCGTATGTCGACCGAGATTCGTTGTTCCCAAGACAAATATCGTAGGAAACATGAGAGATTCAAAGAAGAACAATGCAATAAGAACGATTACAGCTGCACGGCCATAACCAAATGAAATGTATGCTGAGAGAGCAATACTAATGATTGAGTATACAAGAAGAATGAAGTCAGCTTGAAAGAAATGTGCTAAAGCTGTACCAACGAATCGACCGACGGTAAATGTGATCAGAGCGTAGGATAAGAGATTTGATGCTTGTGGATCCGTGAAATCGGCATTTTCCGTCGCATAATTAATGAAAAATGAACCTACAGTCACCTAAAACATTATATCGAATATAGACTTTCCGTAAAATATGCATAGATCTGATTAACCTGAGCACCAACATAACAAAATTGCGCAATGAATGCAAAGATCATGTTGTACTGTTTCCATAATGGTTTATCATCATTTGCTCCATTGGCTGTTGAATCTTCGTCATCTGTCATTACTTCTGGCAATTTAGCAAATATGAAAAATACTGCGACTAGTGTTGCCGCACAAGCAACAGAGATATAGACATATTTGACATTGTCAAGATTACTAGCGTTTTCACCTGAGAAAAACAAGCGAGATGCAATCAATGGGCCAATAAACGATGCTACACCATTCCATGATTGGCAGAATTGTAAACGCATTGAAGCTGACTTTGGATCGCCAATTACTGTCGCATAGGAATTTGCAGCTGTTTCAAGTGTTGCAAGACCACAAGCGGCAACAAATGTGCAAACGATAAAACCACCGAATGCTTGTTTAGCATTGCTGGGAGTAGAATAATGAGCGGTCGGCCAGAAAAAAATAGCGCCTATTGCGAACAGAGCTAAACCGGTGACGATGGTAATTTTGTAACCTTTACGTCTGAGCAATTCCGCAGCGAATGGCGAGAAACAAAAGTAGCCACCACCGAAGTAAACGATTTGCAGTGCAGTTGATTCGAGTCGTGTAATTTTGAGCACATTCTGAAAATGTTTATTCAACACATCCAGTAGTCCATATGAAAATCCCCAGAGAAAGAACAGTGAAATTGCTAAACACAAAGGAAATACAAGTTGACGACCTTTGAGATATGTTCGATTCGATGATGTTGCCGACGGAAGAACAACACCGCCTGCCATGTTTTAAAGTCTTCTCCTATAAAACCGAACGTCAAGATGTATCTCCACACTAGTTTATACTCTTCTTACTTGAAACGATCTAGTGGAAGAATGAAATCTCTGATCTTTACACGACGCGAAAACAGTGTCTTATAGTCGGTTTCTTTTACCCTTTTGTTATCTCAAGATAATCACACATTTTATTTCATTCCTCATTACATTTACAATCATCATAGGAGCCTTTTTATGTTTTGATTGCATGAGAAAAGTTGCTTCTAATAGACTATATATTTGTTCTCTGTTGATACCCGTTCGAGTTTGCCCTTGCAATCTTCGAAACGTTATATCGAGTAGTCTTTGTTCACTGCTTGCCAGCAACGGAATATAATCACCATCAAGCAGCATACGAAATGTTGTTTTGCGTCAAAGAATTTGCGAACTAGTTATAAAATATTGTGTTCGTCTTTCTGTTATTGAAACGAAAATATTCACAGAAAATCATGTTATTCAACGTTTAGATATTCTACTCGGGTATACATTGGCCATTCAACTGTATATTCCAATGGTAAACTACATTCGCCATGTGAGGGTAAAATGCATTTCCATTCTAAATTATTAGCATCATTCAATTTAACAGTACGATTGAAACCTTGGTCTTTTAGTCGTAGGTCAGGTGTCAATATTTTGACTTTGACTCTTTCATTCGACGAGAGGGGAACCTGTTCGTGAACAAAGATTATCACTTCCGATGATTTTGTGTTGACTAGATGTGTTTCTAGACGAACATGTTCAATATTCACTTTGGAAAGAAGCCCTTGTACATCGTTGACTTGTTTCACTGGTTTGTACGTTACTTTCACGCTTGCATCAGCACCCAATGGTAGATCGAACGTATCACCGGAACAAATACTATCAATGGAACTATGCGTAATGAAATTATTATTCATAAAAACGGATACTGGCCCAGCTAGCAATTGTTTGTCGGACGTATTCGTAGTTGATGCCTTAAGAAAAGCATGTGTCGATGATTTGGGCACTACTGTATAAGTAAACGTCGATGTCAAGTCCAGGACATCAATTGTCACTTTGTGTCGTTTACCCTAAGAATAGACGATGTGTAAATATGGAATAGGTCGGACACAAAGAGATTATATATACATCAGCATCGATGGTTGCTGGCCGAAGAATTGTAAAACTTGTGCTAGACATACTTGCTTCAGTTCGCGTAGTCAGAACATTGACCGAATGAGATGATTCACTGTCAGAATCATCTTCACTCGTTGGGTGTTTAAGTGCTGGCGAACGTCGTTTTGAAACTTTAAGTGATTTCTTGTTCTTCTTCACGCCGGATCTTAAACAATTTGTTGGCGCATCTGAACTTGATGCTCGTCGACGATAATTGTTGAATACTTTGTAGTTCACTACAAGAGTCCTTAGTTTGGGGGAGACACCTCCGAGTGATGGCATCGCCGTTGAAAGCGATAGATGCACATTGGACCAATTTTCTTGACTTTGATTAATCTAATAGAACAACAATGCTCCAAGAAAAATTACAAAACAATGCTGATTATACTCACAACAATCCCGTAATAGGTCAGTTGTGTTTGATATTGTGCTGTTTCAGCACTGTTGACACGAACGTCATAACTGGCGGTCCATGAACAATTACTAATCAAATAGGATATCTCTAATGCAATGTCGATCGGACTGCTCGATACATGAACAGTAATAGTCACTTCTCGTTTGGTTTTACGACGATTGTCTTGTCCTTCAGCAGCATGTTCATTTATCTGTGTTTGGAGAGCATTTCGTCGCTGTATTAGATCTTCGAGTAGCTTCTCTACACTCGTTGTTTCATCGTCCAATTTCGACAATCGTTCATCGTAAAACTCCAGAAATTGCTGCATCGAATCGAGATTATTCACATTCACTCGTCCATCCTGATTCATCAACGCTGACGCACGCCCATCGAGCCATGTTCGTTGTTTACCGAGTCGCGTTAATTCTTGTTGATATTTGCCAATATCTTCTTGAATTTGGTCTAATTCATTTTGTAATTGATCCAACAGAGTTAAGCTGCTGCTCGGTACTGTATTCTCTTGACAAACTTGATGGGACACTTCCAGAATTGTACATGCTTTTCCCGTTCCACCGCTGACATGAAATGATGTTAAATCAGCCGATGGAGAAAAGTCAGCAAAGACCAAATCATGAGTACCTTCGTTGTCAAAATGGTGACTTACAGAACGTGTGACTTCAGCACGATCATTGTACACGGTAACATACTGTATAAGACATTGCTGATTGATATTGAAATGTACGACGGATGTTTTCACATTCATTGAAGATCCTTTGGTCGGTTGTATTTCGATTAAAATCAAGAATATCGTCTACGTGTTTAAATGATGTTTTACTTGTCTATACTACTCTTTCAACAAATATTGTCTTTTCTTCGTGCTTTGATAATATTCGTAGTTGAATGATTCATAGACATACGTCGAAAGAAGACGACGTATTTAATTTCACAAGCGAATTTCTCTAATATAAATTCAGGTCAGATATATGGTACCAAAATAAATATTCTCAACACACTCATTATTTATTCACAAAATATAGAATTGAAAGTATGTTTATTATACGTATAGAAATAAGACTAAACTTTTATAAAACTATTTCATAAAGTTCATATGGTGGTTCGATCAATCTCGAATCTCTTTCATAAGTATACCCTAGTGGATTGTTCACATATCTGATTTCATCGCCAATGTTCAGGATCATTTTGCGATGACTATGACCTAACAAAGATAAGAAATTTCGAAAAGAAATCTTTCTTTGCGAAGGAAATAACAAACCAAATATGTGTATTTGTGGTTTGATCACTTGTAATTGTTTGTCCAGTAGTTCTGTTCCTGCAACTAATGAGAAATTTGCTTTTCTCACTGCACTGGTTCGTTCTTGTTCACCAGCTGTCTGCTTTTCGCTCTTCCTCGCATATGCGCGTCGTCGTTGCATCTCATCACGATAAGCTTCCATTAGTTTTCTTGAAAAACCGTTCGGTGACCATCAAATTCGATTAGCTCTACTTACTTGCTGGTGAGAAAATGTGAAAATGTAATTATCTTTGGATGTTTCGTTTTGTCTTGGAAATCGAGCAGATTTGCTTCATTAAGTTTCACGAAATATTCAGCTGCTTTGCCTCGAGGCACCTCCTGTTTAGTTTTTTCTTTTTGTATCAGAAAACATTTCAAATAGAATAAAACAGTCCGTTTTTCACTTACATCAGTCCAAACGCATCGATGGTAATCACTCCAAAGTCGAATATCACTTTCGAGTTCCGGACCTGGTATGTGCAAACTTTCATCATACCTAAACAAGCAACGTTATTAGGCAGATAAAATCTTATCGCATTACCATCCGAATAGAGGTATAATTGTTACTCCTTGCTCAGTGATACCAGGTCGAGTTCGAACACCGATAGTGTCGCAAAGTTCGATTATCTAAGAAAGATCCAAGAGTAAATTCGATGTTATGAATATTTCTTACGTGATGAAATTTTTCAATCGAATTATCCACTTGTAATTCGTTGTCCTCCCTGCACGATTGAGTCCATAATTCATGATTACCTGGACAGTAATAAACATCCTTGAATTTCGACTTCAATGCTTTCAACGTTAGAGCGAGTTTCGATAAAACATGCGTGATATCGCCTAGCAGATTGAATTCATAGCTAAGCATTTCAATAGAATAAATTAAGAAAACTCTAACCAGCGACAATGATCGTGTCATTTAAATATTTCCCATCCGAAAGTCCTTCAACCCATTTCATATTCTCCAACTGATCGACATGAAGATCGGAGATTGCGTATATCTTTCCACTCGCCATTGTTAATATGAATTGAGAACAATGAATATTATTACCGGTCTGTGTTGTTGTTGTTGTTGCTGTTTATTTTCGTTCGTTCGTCGGAAGCACGTGGTGTAACAAACGAATCACTTTCGAAGGTGAGTTAGTCAACCGTATTTATCATATGGTTTAATCTATTGCTATCTTTCTGATCTGCGAGTAACCAAAGTACTTAAAATACAGTGAACATGTTGAGTGGACGTGTTTAAGAACGACTTCAACAGGAATTCTTTGAATGTGGGTACCCTTTGTGGAATTTGTGGTTCATTCCCTTGCTTTGATCATGAAGATGTACGTTTTTAAAAGAACTCGATCTAACTGGGTGTGTTGGGGTTTAATTTGATCATGATTTATCTGATAAAAGTTAATTAAGAAAAGCTAATACACTTTTCTTTCATGAAATGATCTATATCTGACAGCTTGTCAAGAAATTGGTCGCTACAGCGAGTGATGTTCTTCATTAATGCGCATCAGATTAGAAATTAAATTGTCCAGCTTGTTGTTGACAGGATTTTGATATGTTTGATAGCAACAAATCAAAATGACAATTGTGCAACTATAAAAACATCGTCTAAATCGCTAGTTTTCACAATCAAACTATAATGGCTACAAACCGAGTCCAAAATCTCAAAGGGAAAGTTGCTCTTGGTAAGTCGATGGTTAAATTATATTGATCGTTAATGTGCTTGTTTTCTCGTTTCTAGTGACTGGCTCTAGTCGAGGAATCGGTGCTGCCGCGGTTATTCGTCTTGCGGAACATGGTGCCGATGTTGTGATAACATATTTGTCATCGACGAAGTTAGCTGAGGAAGTCGCAGAGAAATGCCGAGCACTTGGAGTGCGTACTCTCGTTATACAAGGAGATTTAACTAAACAAGAAGATGTCGTAAGACTTTTCAATGAAGTTCTGGAAAAATTCGGTCGATTGGATATCGTCTTTTCCAATGCTGGCATTGAACATTGGGGAAAGCCGAATGAAGTTGACGAAGCACAAATTGATAAAGTAAATATAATCGGATTATGATATCCTCCTAACTGGATTTCTTAGGTTTTTGATATAAATGTCAAATCTCAGTTCTTTGTTGCACAACAAGCATATAAATACATGAACGACAACGGTCGTCTAATTCTTATGTCATCACTTGCTGCTCACCGAGTAAATTGTCTTTTCGTTGACTACTCAATCATAAAAACGTTCTTCCTTCATTAGGGCATTCCGGGCCATAGTATTTATGCTGCTTCAAAAGCTGCTGTTCAAGGTATGGTTCGCTGTTTAGCGTACGATTTCGGACCACGAAATATCACAGTGAACTGCGTTGCACCTGGTGGAATCAAAACAGATATGTATGGTAGGTTTGATCAATTGTTGTCCTTAGCAATTACTATATCTCTTTTCTCTAGCTGAATCGGCTCCGAACTATATTCCTGGCGCGGATAAAATGACCGAAGCTGAACTTGATCGTGCTGTAGGAAAGTGGAGTCCACTTGGTCGACCAGGTATCACAGATGACACTAGCGGAATCATTGCACTTTTAGCAAGTCCTGACAGCCAATGGATCACTGGACAAACATTGCAAGTTAGTGGTGGTGCTCAAATGACCTAAAGACATGAATTGCTTTATGCTCCCCACTTTTTCTGTGTGTTTGTCTGCTCATAAACGATATAAAAAAATAAATTTTCCCTATCTAGACAGGATCTTGTACTGATGAGAGCAAAAGATAAGCAAGCGTTTGTGAAAAATATTGATATTTATCTGCCTGCCGTTGACGTACGTGCAGATTGAATAATACGTGATGAGGGATGATTGAAGGTAAGAAAAATGATTAACGCGCGCTCTCAGGTTATGATTGTAGCAGTCATCAATACAGAATTTTCGAGTATAGTTTCGTGTTTATTAATTTTTCTTTTGTTGAAGAGAAATATCGAACAAGGAACAAAAAAGAAGAAGAAGAAGAAGAAGAACATCACCACCACACGTTGTTTTATTTTTTTAGTTTGAAAAACCACACAAACAAAAGAAAGAAAAACTTAAAATCTTCTCGACGGACCGAACAGAAAAAGAGAAAGAGGCGTTTAGTAGCAAGCTCAAGCATGAATAATGTTTTGCACAAAATCAGTTCGTTATGGTAAAGTATTGATAACATCTTGGATCCATTGTTCAGTTAATTGAGGGCAATCGAATGCCTGAAATAACGTTTCAAATGTTTGACTCGACAAGAGGTCTTGTTCGAAATGTTTCAAGATTTTTGTACATGCTTCCATGATAAAAGCATCGTTACTACGAAGAAATTGTGCTAACTGTTGATTGTATGGTGTAGACGATGCCATATCCAGGCGCTAATTGAGAAGATGATGAAAATTGATTGATAGAAGAAAAAGAAGAAGTCGACTTACCGGCTTTAACATATGAACAAAGAATGCATTGACAAGACCGAAAAAGACCAGAGCTGTTTTGTATGTTGCATAGGTCCTGGCTGCTTTTGAAGCAACTCTAAAACACCAACAAGACAAGTGAGATCGGGAATGATTTTGCGAAGGGTTTTTACTTTGATCGATCATTTGGTGAATTAACTGAACGAATGTGTGCTGTTAGCAGAAGTTTTTGCAAAAAGATTAAACGATATTTTTCCCAGTCAGTTGGCTTCATTACAATCAATGCTAACGTTGTCATAAAGAATGGACCATCGATGTCGAATGCTTCATTTATGGTCAATTCTGGTCGACTGAGAAAGTTTTGTAGTAATTTTTCTTCACGTTCAATTTGTCGACTTCTACAAAAATGAAAGACATTAGTACAAAGAACACTGGTATCATTTCGAAACATACGTCGTAAGAACGTAGAGTATCGCATGCATTTCGTACGGAATCAAGCGTATGTTCGATTCACGTCCACCACCGCCTGTATCTTCGCTAAAAGATTGAGCATCAGCAAAGCGGAGTAATAACAGTTTTATGTCATGAATTGACAATGTCGGTGAAGTCTCGCGAACGCCTGTTGCTTCAGTGATGTTTGTATCATATCTAAATCAGTAAATAACGCGATCAAATCGATCCTAAAGAAACAACGATCCTTACTTAGCGAGCGCAGTTGTGAACTGTGCTTCGGCAACATCTGGGCCCCATAGAGGTAATAAACCATTACAGCGTGTGTTGGCATTTTGCAGTAATGCTGATTCCCATTCATCTCTTGATCGTGCTTGTTTGATTGCTGATGTATGACATTCAATATGAATGATATTAAAGTGTGTGACAGTCGAGTAACCAGATGTTTTTCGTCCCTTGGCTTCGAATGGTTCGATGTCGACTTTTTTCGTGAATGTATAGATGGCTAGAACTTTGTTTGGAAAGTATCTATAGCCCTCACGGCAGATGCAGCAAACGTGGCCAGTTTCTTCCGTTAAATCGGAATGCGTACCGGCAGCTGATGGCGTTTTCGATGCTGTGGCGGACGATTCCGAGGCACTCTTCATTCGTGTCGTTTTTGTTAAGTTTAATTCTCGCATTTTTCGATCACGAGCTTCTTGAGCTAGACGTTTCTTTTCAGCACGTGTTTGATTTCTCACATCCTCAATTTTCTTCGCCACCTGTTCATTTTCTGTTAAGGAATGAAGGAGATCTTCAGCTAAAACACCAACTTTACCAGCAGTTGTCAGCAGTTCGATTTTATGTAGAACAGGTATCAAATTTTGGCCAATTTTCATTTGAACATCGGCATGTCCATTGGATAAACCAGTTAATAGCCGTAAAACATAGGACAGACTTGGCTTGTTCAAAAATTCTTTCCAACTATCCTGATCTTGCATACCCAAGTAGGTTTTCACTTGTGGTGAGTTGCTATTGATATAATTTATACATTGATCGATAATTCCATTCGATTCATTGACGAGATCCCGAAATTCTTTGCCATAGATCGATTTCTTATCCAGATGTTTGCATATTTCGCAAAAACAATCTAAATGTAGTTGACTATCGTTATCATTGGATGTGTTCGTTGCTGGCGTTTGTTCGTGATCAAAGCGTTGGAATTCGAGATGAGGTTTGAAATAATCGAGTAAAGTTTGCATCTTTTCTTTATTTCCAAATGATAGATATGGTAGAAGATGAATCAAGGCTTCCATTAGACTTGGATGGCTTTTAACGAATGATAGTTTGATGTAGTTCAGCAATGAACGTAACTGTTCGATATCGCCTACGAGGAAAAAAAAGGAATTTTACTTCCGAGACATGGAGTTTAAACGGAAAACTTACCTTCGCATGAAATGGAAAATTCGTTGTACTTATCTTGTGACAATGTCGTGCTTGCTTCATGGAATAATTGATCCATGATAAAGAGAAGTTTCTCCGTTAAGGATAAAAGCACTTGATCGCGGCCCTGCTCTTCAATTTCAGTTTTCAGTAGCAAATTCAATTTGTTTAGCATCGACGATATGGCACGTAGTTTCGGATCGATCAAACGTTGTCGATTCACTTTCAATTTAATCGCATATTCGAATAATTTCAAGAGAATTTGTAATAACGCTTTGCCAGAGGACATATCATGAATCGAGTCTAAACGTTTCAACATGGTTTCCAGACCTGAGTGTTCACTAAGAACATTCGCTAATCGATACACATCTTCAGGATCGTCTTCGCCATTTTCACCTGCATTCTTCTTCGTATCAAATGTTTCAATGATATCTTCCGTTGCATCGCCTAGCAAACCACGCATACGATAGATGATATGCATAGGTTCTTGGTCATTCTGTCCACTCAATTGACCGTCGGCGGCCGATGGCGTTGTTTGATGAGAGTTAATATATGGCAACCAAACTTTCTTGTATACATCACGAACAGTCAAGCCTAGATTAATTATTTTATTGGCGACGAGTAACTCCATGCCGTTGTCATCTTCAAGTAATGCTATTAATTCGCAATCAGTGCAAATTTTGTTTTTGATATCGCGCATTAGTGGGCCCATCGCTGGATCTGCTGAACTATATGGATTGCCCATCATTCGTCCTAGAAGAGAAGACATAAATGTTCAGTAGAAACTCTTTTGTCTACAATACAAATCTGAAAGCTGTATTTCCTTGTCAATTTTCGATAGTTTCAAGACATACCTTGTAAGAAATCTTCTTGATTTGGATCTTTTTCCACAACGATAAAGAACTCCTTATTTCCTTGCATTGTTTCTTCAGGATAGATTAGGTTACACAAGCGTTCAAAGATGAACAGTGGTGTTTGCATGTCGTTCAATTGAAATTTCTCGATTGTATCTATGCAAATTATCATAAATTGTCTTGTTTCTTGTTCATTTCCACGTGTCATCTGTTCCAATAATTCTAACATCTTATTTTGCGCTTCGTCAATCAATTTCGTGCGTTGAACGATTAGTTTCTTCAATGAGAGATAACCATTGAGAACGATGGCGATCAAAATTGATTTGTATTTCTGTTTCAATTCATCCTGTTGAAGAAATAGATTCAATAATTCCGTTAAACATTTAATCGAGTAACCGAATGTTAAATTTGAATTTGCCAGGTTTCGTTCGTCTTGTTTATTGATCAACTCGATCTCGTTTTCGATGAGTCTCGCTAATTGCTTGATGATGTTCACTTGTTCGTCATTACAAAGTGATAATTTCAGTTGATTATCATTTGAGAGGAGATCTTTCAATAATTGGACATATTCATGTGAATACGTCGAGAGATGCTCGTTGCATATGATGTGTAAGTACTGAATTAAGATTTGTATAATGAAAAATTTTTGTTTCTCATTGGTACAAAGTGTTTGGATGAGTTTGCATGTTAAGTAACGAATCGTTGCTGATTGAGGACAAAAAATTAGCTTCTCCAACCAGGAATTCATGATTCGCGACGAGTTGATTGTCAGTTTCTCTTGCGATTGACTCCACTCTTGATAGGTGACTTGTCTCGAGAGAAATTTTTCCATGTCGATCGCAATCAGTTTCGTATTGTTCGTATTGGTTGGTTTGGACAAATGTATCAACATGCGTAAGCAAGGGAGAGTGATGATTTCGAGAATCTGGGGTGTTGAAGCTTGTAATGAGTGAAGAAATAGTTTGAATATACAACGCAGTTTATTCTCCCAGCATAAATCTTGATCGTCTTGATTCGAACGTTGGATTAAAGAGTAAAGAACCAAAAGATCGTAGTTGATTAGTGACGAAGAAAGATAAATTTTTTGTTGAAAGATCAACTCGATTTTATTACAAATTTTCGTTGTAATGTAATCCGTTAACTGTGAGTTATCACGCGTTAAATAACAGAACAGTAGCCGAACGTCATGACGAATTTGTTGATTCGTGTAACGAATATTATTCAGTAACAATTCATCGATTAGTGACATGTTACTTGTAATCGATTGTTTCAAACGACTTGACGATGTAGCAAACGCACGTAGGAGAAGAATACAATGTGAAATAGTCGACAATGTACAGCCATAGCAGTTATGTGATGTCAACGGTGGAATTGCAGATGAAGTCGATGTTGGTGAGTGCGAATGACGTTGATCGTATGTGTAGAGTTCTTTGCGTGCATAGATAATCTTTTGAATGTATTTGCCGAGTTCATCGTAGGTTTGTCGACATTCGATGTTATATTTTGGAGCAATTTGCTGAACGATACGATTGATACCGCTGGCATTGGCTGCAGAATTTAATGCAACCGTTGGAGTTGGCACAGTCGGAGGTGGTTGCTGTTGTGGCGGTTGTTCAGATGGATCACCGGGTGTTGACGTGGTGGATGTAGCTGTCGTCGTTGGAACAGCCGCGGTGTTTGTAGTTGTTGGCAATGAAGGAAGTACTGGCGAACATTGATCGTCAGAGGTTAATTTTGTTAGTAGATATTCGAGAATGGGTTTTTGATTAATCAATTGTCGATAGATCTTATCCGTTTTTTCTAATAGTAAACTTATGTTTGTAATCGTTTTAGCTCGATCTTCATCAGATTCGATTGGTTCGATATAATTGACTTGTTTAGCAGTAAAGAGAAAGTCAAATTTACAATACTTGCAATAGCCACACGAATTACACAAGAACGGATCACGTTCATCATAATTGATCGATCGACATTTATGACACTAGAATTGACGGCAAAATTCAATGACAGAATTCGTTTTCTTTTTTCTAGACAAACCTGAAAAACATTCTCTCCACAGTTCGGACAAATGCCCGGTGTTGCCGCGACAGGTGAATTGCATCTTGGACATTGCAATGTCGTCGTATCTGTAACTGTTGGTAGATTTCCGCTTGGTGTTTCGAAGAAGTCGACATATTCAATCATTAGGTTACAAGCAATGATCGGAATTACAAAGTCAACTTTCATTTCGGTTTGTTGAATATTATTCAATTTAATGGTTTTCGCTAACAACCATTTGCAATTGACGCTGTTCTTCAAGTCAACAATCGATTGAACATGACGATTGTTATAATAAAATCGAATCGTTCGAACAGCTTTACTGCGTTTCATGTCCGACATTCGAATGTGCAGTTTTTGTATGGAATACGCTTGAATGAGTTTAATTATGTGAGATGTGGTTGTGTAGCGCTGGTCGAGCTTGATTGTTTGTAATTTGACTTGTTGATAAGGAGTGTCAGGACTGTTACAAACTAAACACGGTTCCGTTTCGAAGTAGTATCCATTAGCTTGTTCGATATCAATGACTGTTGATAAACGACGATAGATCGATGCATTCGGATGATTTAGTAGCAACTGGTTTTCGGCTTTCAACATTGATTCTAATTTCGGAAGAAAATCGGTTGTCCGTTTGTCGTCTTTATTTTTGATGATGATATATCCAAGAAGATCAACGTATTGAAATGCTTTCGAACCATAGTGCGAAATAGATGGCCAGAGATTGATCAAGAGATCGAAGATATTGTCCTGTAGTTGTTTATTCGAATTGACGTAAAGATTGTAGAGAAATGTATGTGTTAACCAACGAATGGATTGTTGATTGTTTTCCAGGAGGAATAGACGAATGAAATCCTCGAGCAATTGATAGGAGATGATCTTTGAGAATTGTAAGGCAATCGAGCAAATCGAAAGATCATCGACCGATTCGAATTCATTCGGACGAACGGATTTGCTCGATTTTAACGATCGACTGCTCGACGACGGTTGTTGAGACGATGATATTGAATTGATCAGTAAATGAAGAATAAATGGCACGAGTGAATCATCAACTAGCATGATCAATTGTACGAGAAAATGTAGAATCGACGGGTCATTTTTACAGAATTTCTGCCAATTGACGCAGCGTTGAGTACTGATATCTTGACAAGATTTCAAATGATCAACGAGACGCATTAATGTTACATAGGGTATTTGTGTTGACGTCGCTTTACGTTGGTCGTTATTTGTTAACGAAAAGTTATCTTCGTAGATTTTCTTGATATCATCGAGATTAGTAGAAAGAACATGTAAATCACGTAGTTTGCGATATTTATCACGTGAACCACAAATGTACATGAGTAATTTGCGAATTTGTCGTTTGAGGAACGATGCTTGAGGTAGAACATAGTATTCACAGAGACATTTTTGCCAATCGGATGATAATAAGAACGGACGAGATTCCGATGTACAGTCGAACACTTTCTTCATTTGATACGGCAATCGAGTGGCGATCTCTGCTAATAGTTCCGGATAGGCTTCGAAAACATCGTTGCCATGATGCTTAGTGTATTGTTTATAGAAGAATGGTGATAAGTCTGGCAGTGTTTGCTGATTGCCTATTTTCAATAATGTCATCAGTGATGGTGAAGATGCTTGAGAATTGGTCGTTGCTGCTAAGGACGTACCGCTCGGGGATGATGCTACTTGATCATGGAGCAGATTTTCGTCGATTGGTTGTTTGATTAAATATTTATAGACAGTTTTTAGTGCGAATAAACAGTAGCTGACAACGTTCGATTCGTCTAATTGTTTCGCGGCTGTTAATGACAGATGAATGTATTGTTCACGTTCATTTAAGCGTACTTTGAGCATGAATGAGACGTAAACGGTGAATAATCTTAGTAGCATGAGTTGAATTTCATGTTCAGACGTGCGTCGGATCAATTCATCGTCTGTTTCTTTTAAGAATACCATCTGTCGTAATAGACTTTTCAAGATATAATGAACGAACTGTTGACTTTCTTCGTCCGACTTCGAAGCGAACTCGATTGTTAATGTCAATAGTAATTGTAAATAAGCAATGGAATTCAGCCCGTTCAATGCTGTATTATTCAGTAAATATTCATCAAGATTATCCAACAGCTTTTCGACGATCAGATGTTTCAGGTCGTACAAACGTTGCTCGTAGACAGCCGAATCAATGGAGTCGTTAATATTCAATTTCAACGTTGTATTCGAATCATTCGACGAGGACGATGGAGGAGGCGGAGGGGGAGGCAATGGTTGTTGAATTGGTGTTGACGTCGTTTTGCTTTGTTCCGTACCGTCGTTGGTCGTGGAACTCGATTCCGACACGTGTCCGTCATCGCCTTCGTATAAACTATTATTGTCACTATTCGCCGATTGTGGATTATCAATTCCGACAGCGTTGTTCATTAATTCCAGCATTTGATGCATTTCAGCATCGTTTTGAATCGAAGGATTCTCATCGTCGTTATCAACGAACTCAATTGCTTGAGGAAGATTGGCAACTACTGCTGCCGCCGATGGATCAGGAGTGTCGGCCATGCTCAATGCTAGTGCAAATTGTAGCATGGCAGACTCATCTGTAGCAGAAGTTGGAAGCGTAGGCAATGGTGGGGGCGGAGGTATTGCAGCAGTTGTTGTTGCGGTTGCCGGTGGTGCGTCGGTCCATCGTGGACGAGTATGTTCATCAGTAGGAAAGATTTGTGCGGAAAGTGGTAGCGCATGGAAATGCTTTTCAGCCACTGCTTCTTGTTGATTTAAATCACTGGCGGTTGACAATTTCGAGATTAGACGTTGAATTTTCGGTTGCATACAACGATTCAATGCATTTTTGATGGTAAAATTGATTTGATAATCGTGATAAGTCAATAAACGAATGTAAGAGTCAACGACCAGATTCATACATATTTGTGGTTCGTTCAATGCCAACGAATGATAAATGTCGACGAGAATATGAAGAAGTTTTTTTATTTGTTTCACATCAATTGAACTATTATCAACCGATTCAAGTAATGGATTCGACGGACGTTGATTCAATAGATGAAAGAATATGTTAACCAAGTACGGAATGAAAATTTCCATCGATGCTGATTTCGAGATGACGTCCGCCGATTGAGCGGATGTGATATTCAAAAATCGGTTGATATTATGTGGTCGATGACGTGTTATTGATAACAATGAAAGAAGAAGGTACTCGTAGGTGTTGGTATCATTGAATAATGCGAGATAGTTTTCTGATGAAAAGCATTGCGAGAGATATGTGAGTTGCAAACGATCGATATGTTCGTAATAATCAAAGTCTGAAGAGGAGATGAACGAGAAGAATTCTTTCAGTAATTGACGAGAGCTACGTTGAATTTGTGAAGGTAATGACATGTGAAACATATGTGATGTATACTGGACAATATCCGAATTCAGTTTCGCACGGTTCTGTTCGTCGAGGCTGTGATGTAATGACAATGAACTAATCAAAACTTGCATACTGTAAACAAGTAATCGATCAGGTAGACATAGTGTTGCTAATTCTTTTTCGTCATTTGTTTGTCGAAACGAATGTAGATATCCATTTGCTGATGCCGCTGCTGCTGCTGTTGTTGTTGTCAGAGCAGCCGCAGTCGTTGCTGAGACTAGTAGTGATGCGTCAACATCATCCGGCCATTGAAATTCTTCTTTAGTTTTACCATAAACTTTGACATCGTCAATAACAGTAACATGGTTCGTATCCGATGATTGTGCGATAAAAATATTGAATTTCTTTTCAGCTTGAATGGATTCTTCACGAGTTAAACATATGTCGTAAAATCGTGGCCCTTGAGAACTATTCGTATAAATTGTGCGACCGAACACTTCGAAATATTGAGGACATTTATCCATAGAATACGAGCCCACATGAATACGAACACCTGTCATCACCATATTGTCCGAGTCTTTGTTGATCACTTCGAGTGTGAAACCACCGGTACGAACATTGGCAACGAATAGGCCTGGTGTTGATAAACGCAGTTTTAACTGTGCTACATTATAAACGTCGAGCAGATCTCGTCCGCCAAATTCGTATTCTGTCAACGGATGAGATGATTCGAAGAAATCCACTGGAAATTTGACGGAATCATTTGCAGGCGAGTCATTAACTTGAGTGGTCGAAAATGTCGTTGGATTTGCTACTGCTGTTGTTGACGTGGTAGTGATGGTATGTTTACGACGCTTAACACTCGGTTCTTGTTGTTCATCAGTCTCATTATCCGATAATGGACATTGATAACTCATATTTTCATAGTCAAGATTTTCTTCATTAAAATCAAAATCAATCATTGGATATGATTTCTTCTTTTGATACAATTTATTCAGCCAATAGTTGGTTTTATCCGGTTCAGCTAACAGAATCTTCAAACTTCCATCGTCAGCGAGGAGAATAAACGTCGTTCGTCGATCGTAACGTAAAGCGACTATATCCTGAATTTTCGTTGTTTTAATTTGCATTTTGATTTCACTTTGTCGAGCCGAAGAAGGAGTTAACATTAAAACAACTGGATTATTCGTCATTTGCGTCATCGTATAGATCAGACCAGGATGATGAGGTATTTCTGACCATGCACATAGTGTATGATAAGTTGACGTGGATTTATTCGCACCGTTGTTCGACGCTGCCGACGTCATTTTCACATCAATTGGACGGATGAGAAGAAGCTTTTCAACATTGGCATTGTCGATAATACCGTAGAAGTTCTTGCCATGCGCATAGGACCAAAACAAAAGCTTCAATGTGGAGGAATAGTAAACGGAAACTCCGCCACCCAATAGAATTCCATTGTTGTTCGTTTCAGTGATAGTTTCATGTTTGATATCGAGAGTATTAGTTACATAGAATGAACCATTACGAGCCGAGGATGAGTCGGACAATTGTTCGTAATAGACATAACCGTTTGATGCCATGATTAGTATGTAGCAGTACTGGACATTGTTACGTTTCGTGTAATAGAATGTACAATCACGAACTTTACCTGTCGGTAAAATGAAATAATACATCGGACTGATGGAATCAATGCTTAGATCATAGATTTTAATGAAATCAGCTGTTAACAGAGCTAGTTGCGATTGATTTTTATCGGATAACCATTGTGCGCGAATGATATAATTGCCGGTTGAATCTAAATTTGGTTGCAGGATAATCGTCGGCTCTTTAAGTTTTCCATTGGCGTCAATGTTCAAAATATGACAATCTTTCAAACCAGTAATACATAAATAATCGCTATTGAGCTGATTCGGTTGCATAGACAGGATAGTAAATGGAATATTGAATGTGTTCAACTTATTCAGAGTGAACTTTTTCTTCGCTGAATTGTCATTCGAAACATTGTTGATCATTGTTGATGTTTGTTTCAGAAGCGAATTTAATTGTAGAATGGTAATCATGGCTTGTTTACCTTTTTCCTGGCTAACAACCAAGTGTTGCTTGGTTTGATCCGAATATATTGACGACATGATACACATCCCTTGTCGACGAATCGAATTGGTGCTAAGTAATTGTTTGATTTGTTGACCGTGTTCATTTGTAAACGATAACTTCACATTTTCGAATGCGTTCTCTTGGGAATGAAGAATTCCGGTGAATAATTGCGGCTGTTTCATTTCATCGGCGTCGGTAGATGACTGAGGACTTGATTTGAGAAATTCTGAGATGAGATCGAAGCGATTTTCAATATTGTAGATCTGTTGATATTCATGATCAACGTATGGTTGCAGTAATTTGAACAGACGAAGTGCATTGGTTGGAATCTGATTTGTTTGAACACACGAATGGTATTCTTGCTGTTTCGCGTTAATCTGACGAACTAATCGACGTTGACGAGTAGTTAATTTCGTGTTCTTATTCGACGGGGTCGATTGCTTCTTAGCTTTCTTCTTTTTCGGCGACAACACTGGTGTAGTTGGCACCAATGGTTGAACATTGGTCGTTGCTGGACGTTTGACTAATGCTTGGCATGCACCGTCCTCTTTAGCACCGCAATCACAAAAAAATGAGCCGTATTTTGCATATGATATGTCGTGATCTTTATGACAAACATTAGCACAGATTTGACAGATGCCAACGCGATCAATCATTTTACATGTATGACAATGATACCAGTGTTGAGTTGCATAATCCTTTTTAGTTGTTGTAAACGTACATAATTTGTTCGGATCATATTCAGTTTGGTTCGCTGACGAGAAATAAGATTTTCTTGGGTCATTCGAGATCTCGTCGCCGTCTTCGGAATCGTCATCGTCGTCATCGGATTCGTCATTTTTCAATAGTGATGAATCAATTGTCGATAAGTGTTTCAATGCAATTAGAATATCATTGATGTAAGCAAGAAGATAAACACTCGCTTCGAGAATATTCGAATGAAATACCGACAGATTTTCACTTGACGAAGATAATAGAGTGGAAAGAAACGAGCCTGTCGATTCTTTTTCATCCAGCGCCAGTGAATTCGCACAGAATTCCAACCAAATAGCTGCGGCTTGAAATAAATACGTATGCCCATTGCCTGATCCATGTCCGGCTAAGATGACTAATAGCTGAATGATTTGCGGAAATCCTAATGCGTATTTATTTGGTTTTAACAACTCGTTTCCTAACTGTATCAACACCGAAAGAATGGAGAGTGAAACATCTTCACCGATCAGATCCGTTCCGTCGTCGTTTTTTCGGATCAAGTACTTTGTAAATGTTTCCAGAATGTGTTTACATTGTTCCGGAGTGTATAATTGATTTTTATCGTTCATTGGTGGCAGAACAAGTTTCGCTAGCCATTGAGATAGTTGTTCATTGTTCAAATCAGCGATACGATTCAGACTTGCGATAGATGATTGGAATTGCTGTGAATAGGAAAAGATTTTATTGAATAGCATTAACATTCGTGCGAATATCGTTAACGAAAGATTTTGTTTCGCTGTTAAGTAGAGTAAATCGAATAATGTGTGGGGTGCTAAGCAGTTTTGTAAGATCTGTGGCTTGAATTGTTCGTCGAGATACTTGATCAGATCGTGATAGATCTCCTCGGTGACGACTTCATTCGGATAGGCATCGTTGAATAAGATCTCGAAGATGTTCTTGTAAATGTATTCGGACATGTCGTTATTGAGGGTTTCATTGTTAAGATTTTTTAATTTGATTTGATCTTTAAAGAAGCTGAGGTTTGCATTGAGTTGAATCTGAATGTATAACTGTTTGTCATCGATTTCCGAATTAATGGACGATAAGATTTGAAGAATTTCACGGAGAACTATGTAGCGAGGTTGATCGGGTTGTTCGAGTAAAAAATTCAATTGAAATTTAAATAAATCTTCGAAATCAGTCGGAAGTGTTGGGATTGCGACTGTCTTAGTTTTCTCGTCTGTCGATTTGCTTATTGGAATGATTGATAACGATTCGCAAGATGAATCGGTACTCGACGTGGCTTTCAATTCCTTGATAAACACTTCATACAGACGATTGATTTCTTCGGACGTTGACGAAAGGTTTTGCAATAGAACTTGATAGACAATCAAATCGAACAAAGACAATGGTTTCTGTTTGATATTTGCAAACCATTGAATCTCTTTGAAACTAATCTCTTTTGCAAGAAAATCAGTGATATGTTTATCATGAATCAATTTCTTCTCCAGACGAAAGCTATGCAACAAATGTGTTGATTTAGTATAACTATTCATATTTTCCAGGAACTCCGTCGATGGCGGAAGGCAACCAAGAATGCGCCATAGAACATCGTAATATTCTTTCATCGATGGATTGGACAGGCCCTCTGAAATTAATCGATTAGCAAAACATTTGCAGAAGTATGTCGTTTACCTTTGCTGCTTTTAGTAAAGTCCAATTGATCGATGAGGTGATCGTAGAATTGGTTGTAGGTTGGACTGTTGTACAAAGCACTCAAAGCAAATCCGTCGAGGTGATTCGAGTTGTTCTTCGCGACAATTTGCTGGAAATCCTTAGTCATAGTCACGTCAGTTTTCGCGATCATTTGTTGAATGTTCTCAATGATTTCTGCAGGTATTTCATAGAAATTATACATGATGTATTCAAACAAAAGTAAGAGATAAGTTTTCTGTGGCGTGGTCTGGATAACTCGAGTTAATTCGAGAAGAATCGTTTTTCGTTGTGCGATGGTCAGTTGATGAAAAAAGATTAAGAATATTTGTAAGTGTTCCAACGTTAAATCTTCGGACGATTGACCGATGCTTGGAAGGAATCGGTTCCATAACGAGTAGATTAAATCGTGATTTTTACGTTTTAAAATGATTTTTAAAAGAATGATTGAAGTGTTACGCGAGAGTTTGACTGACCATGCATGTTCGAATGAAATGCCGAGCTTTTCTAAAAGAAGATTTTCATTTGCATGAGTAAGAACATCGTTTTGAAGAAGATTATGGACAAAACGCGGTATGATCAGTGAATGTTGGATTAGAATTGCAAGATTCTCGATTTGTTCAGGTGTGTTTAATGTCTGTTTCACATCGTCGATGACAATCTGAATATATTCGTTGAGATAGTTTTTATCCAGATAGTTCAACAGATCGAAATGATCGTCGGCATCGTAGAATTCCTCGGAGCACACGTCAAGATCTAGACAACGGTTTAGTATCGTTCGCTTTCGGCTGCTCGTTGAGAATGATCGATGAAGTGTCGGCGGAATTGTTGTGGTGGCTGTGTTTGTTAGAATTGGCTCGATAAACAAGTCTCGAATATAAAAATCCTCGTCGGTTTCTTTTTCGGTTGGAAGCATTTCCGATGGCAATGGTGGCGCGTCAGGAATCGCTGATGATGGTTTAATCGGTATCGGTGATGTTAGTCGACGAAGAATGGTCAGAAATAGTTTCAATGTTTGATGTTGTTTTAAGTAGGAATAGCGTTGGTATGACTGAAGTGGAGATGTTATTGTGAATTTGTCGGGAAGAGAATCTGTCGACACAGAAGTTGTTTCGGAATAGGAAAGATCAGTGATGATCTCTCGAGTTGAATGCATTAGGACTGCGACGAGGTGAATGAGTAGATTATTAATCGATCTAGTGAACGAAAAGATGCTGTAGGAAATTAGGAAATCAACTGTCAATGAACGTACAACTTGGCTTGTTGCTGATTTTCATTTGATTGCTGCGAAGTTAAACTGCGTAAGATTTGTTGCAGTCCTTTTGTTAATGTAACTGCTAATAGAAGATGATAATTGAGAAAAACATGCCGCGAGTTTTCTAGACGAGGTGAACATCGAATAATATCACCGAGTTTAATGCATATACGAGTAATATCATGTAGAATTTGATCATTAGTTTGAATTTCATCGCTATTCATTACTAATTGGACGTATTTCAAAGCAGTCTGCAGAGAATTCGATGCGATGGTGATGAATTTACTCAGACGATATTCGTCAAGTGGTTCTATGATCGGTAGTTGAATTGCACGACGAACAAAGTCCAGATCACCTTTCATCGTTGTTAAACTATCGACAGAGGAAACGAATTTTCAAGCATCGTCAGTTAATGTTCTGTTCGTTACCTTTCTCGAAATTGGGTATTGGTCTCGAAAACATTGGTATCTTTCTGAAGAATATCGTGGAGATGAAGTTTCCCATCGTTCAGTAACGGTATATGAAACAGAATCTCGCTGAACAACTGTTGTCCATGTAGTTGTTTGAAATAAGTCAAGAGAAGTTGACTCATATGTTCTAAAAAAAAGACAAAACATTCACTGTCAGACACAACCAGTGTCGCAAAGCCTACTCGGAAATGTTTGTTTCGTTGTAATACCCGCTGAGCTCGGTCTTTCGCGTTTGTTTCCATTCGATAGATCTTCTGACGACGAAAAATCGTACAAAGCGACATTGCATAAGGAATCTACGAGACCCGTTTCACGTCGCGCAATAGTAGTTTTACTCGACGAACGTAATCGACGGTCTACTAATGATGATGTGTTACGAAAATGATCATTTGCTCTTCTTACCGTCCTTATTAACCTGTGGGGCATCGGTTTTCTTTATCAGCTCTAAACATTCTTTGACTTCCGAAGAAGACAGACATGTTTGAGAGTAACATAATGATTTAATAGCATTCAATGTCGGGAACTACGAGAGACAAACCGAGATTTCGATGGTGATAAGAAACAGTCGACATCATTACTCGATTCGCTTCAGTTGTTTTCGGTAGAAGGTTCTGTAGAAGATATTTCAATAGTAATTTTCCTACGTTGATGACATCAGTAAAACAGGAGCGTTCGACTAGAAAATGAAAACTAAGAATTCGGAAATTTGCAATGAGAAATGTCAACAAACCTCGTGCTAAACCTGCAACAAGATAATGCGCTGCTAAAATCACAAATGTACTTAAAAACTGTTCATTGCTAGGATCAGATCGAATCAATAAATCTTCCCTATATACACAAAAGTAAAGTATTTCAATTATGAAGTCTTGAGAGTGTTCTCGAACAAACCATTTTAAAATCGATTGAATAAGTTCATTGTATTTCGTACTGTTCGTATTCTCGCTGAATGTTTCAATCAATGTCTTCCATTCTGACACCGTATTCGATGGAGATTGAGTCTGTTGTTGATTATCACCGTCCGATGACGTTGGAGATGTAACAACAGTCATTTGAATCCTCTCTTATTGTCAATTCAAGTGCATAAAATATTTTGGAAATAGTTCTAAAAATACGGATTTGGATGAGATTGTTTTCGGTGAACAAATAAAAGAGGGTTGGAAATGACGAAAAGAATCAAGTGACTGAAGAGAGAAATAAAACTCAGCCGGCCCGGTGCACAAGTAAATATAAATAGAAAACAAATAAGAAAAATGATTCATATGTTCTGAACCAATAAAAGTCAAATTCATCAACAGAATAGAGGTCGCTACTACGCTATCCCATCAGTTTGTAGAACTTTTCTGTCCATAGTGATTGACTACGATAAAGTCCTTTTTCGCTTGACGAGCAAGAAGGCTCTCCTATTTATTCGAACAGAATGATGTCAAATAAAAAATGTGTCTTTCTTATCAGCATGTGACACATATTGCTCGTTTATTACAAAAAAAAAATCCGTGTTTCTTTCTTTGCTGTAATATGCATGACAGAGCATACGAAAGTTTTTGCTGTTTTTCCCGTTCTGTACAAGTAGTTTTCTTTTTTTACTCGTGAGAGTACTGAATAATATTTTTTCACAATAACAATCTGACTTCCTTGGCGATTGTCAGCAAGTCATCTATCAGAGACTGATATCGTTTCCAGTTTTGTTTGCAGCAGGATATACACACACATATATATATACATATACAAATACACGTCAACATTTCAACCACTGTTTTTCATTTACAGGACAGATCATGCGCGCAATCTTTACACTTATCATCGGCATTTGTTGCACAGCTTTCAACGGTAAAGTATCTCGCGAACTTTGTTCTCAGTCAATATCTATCTATTACCTATAGACGCAAAAAGCATTCGGTTCAATGAACCAAGGTCAACATTGCGGGGACGGGTTGTATTCCCTAGTGGCTCACGCGAACCAGTCGAATCGGATGGCGTTTTGACTGTCGAGTTACAGGATACATCATTGATGGATGCGCCTGCAAAAATTATTGGGCAAGGTGTTGGCAAAGCTATTCGATTTCCAATGGCTTTCGCTGTAAAATTCCCACCCAAGGAAATTTCGAAAGGCCACAGTTATTCATTACAAATCTCAATAAGAAATAAAAAGAACGAATTGTTGTATGTCAATGACTTTCACGTCAGCGTAGTACCCACTGGCGCCAACCGAACAAAATTTATCGACGTGCCGGTTGTGCTCGTTGCAAGTAAGAATACGATAAGCTGCGATGCCTTTTTCGAATTCCTTCAGTTATTTAGAATCCAAACCCAAAGAGGAGAAAAAACATCAATGGCCAGAATTACTTGGCACAAATGGACAAGAAGCCGTTAATATCATTAAAAAAGAAACAGGCTTTAGCCAAGTCGTAGCAATCCGTGCAGGATCAATGGTTACCATGGATTATCGTAACGATCGAGTTCGTGTTTACGTTGATAAAAATGGCATTGTTACCAGGACACCTATCATTGCATAAGCAATCATCTATACAACTGACTTTCATTCAAAATTCTCTTCTACACAAAAATTTTCTGCGAATATATGACACTCATTTCAATTAAAACTTGCTTTCATAATCTTTCTTATTAAAGAGTATAAAACAGTTTACTTATATCAGGCATGTAATACGCTGCGATCTGCACAGGAAAAATTCATATTTAAAAGTACTAAAAGTTTTTCGCTGTTTTCTATTATATTTCGTTCACTGTAATAAATCATCGGCTCTCTTGCCTTTTCACCTGAAATATCTACTGAATTTCGCCAGAATCCTGTACGCGACTGGCAAAGTCAAGAAATAGCAGATTTTTAGCGTTTCATTGATGGCACGATCGAATGCAGCGACATGCGCATAAAAATTCGCGACAATGAGACGTATAATCTACAAACTTTGCTAAATAACGGTGGATGTTTCCAAAGAGTACTTATTCGCGAACTTAACAACCGGCACGAGTGGTATATTAGCATGAAAGTATTCATTCTGGACTAGAGTACGATTGAGATTATAAGAACAAAAAGAATTCAAACGACCATCAAAAACATGTAAGTATCTACGCGAATAGTGATAGATTCACTAGCAAAAGTGTTTGCTGAGGTAGTTATGATCCGTTTTTTCAAGTACTATTAACGGAATATACGAATACGTTCTGTGTATTTTCCGTTCAATACGATTTACAATTAATATTTTCGACATTTCCGAGCAATATGAATAGTCAACATTTATTGGAGTTCGAAAATATCTTAACCACAATTTACAAAACCGAAAAAATTGTATAGATGATTGTGGATGGCAAGAATTCAGCTACAGTATGGTTGATCATTTCCCCATGATCGACAGGATGATGGACACTTCCCAATCGTCACCCATCGATTACCACCAACACATTGAACAATACTTGCTCCACTCGATTGGAAGTAGCATTCGTATTTGCCTGTATCCACACATCGACCAGTAGTCGTTCGACAGTCACATCCACGACGAACACGATCTGGTGCTATTCGAACAGAAACGAAACATTCCTTCAGAGAAAGGTAGATGAAGGTGGAGATACTTACCATCGAGAGTTGCAGGGTCGATGATGTTGAGTTCTTCTTCGGGCGCTGGATTAGCAGACGAATAACAAATGACTGCCACGAGAACGACAGCAAATGTGATAATTGTTGAGATTTGCATTTTAGTAGATCGAAGTTGAGAAGGTAGATTTGATGATGAAGATATGAAGAGAAACTCGAGTATTTATACGGGTGATGTGATACAGGAGTTGATTCCCAGTGCGTAGATGATGAGGACGATGACCACAAAAATGTGTGGAAGTGTAGGTAGTATCAAGATGGGTAAATCGTCATCCCCATACATACATACGACATTACTACGCACAGGTGAGTGGGCGATCAGTGATACTCTTTCTCATTCTTTCTACCTTGAATGTTTTTAATTGATACAAAGAGCTAAATGTAGTACGATATTGATGGCAGAATAAAACTATCTTTTTACGCAGTACAATAACTAATGAAATAAATAAGTGAGGAAAAGAGAATATGTTTGCGATTGTAAAAAGTATAAGGTTTTCAATTACTACTTGGGCGAACATCTGATGAGTAAGAGGGTGAATAATGATGTTTCTTTAAGATTCGAAATAGAGATTAAATACCATATTGTACATCTTTATTCTTTAAAAAACACGAACTTAATTATACACTGTTTTATTTTTTTCTCTCCTTTTCGTATCAATGTTTATAAATAGTCCTAGCTATATTTCACGTTAATGATGTTGGCATAATCATATTCTCCCGGTTGTTCCAGTTTTTCACTTGTCTTCGGATTTTATTGGTTACTTCAGGCAAACAACCGATGCAAACATAAGGTAGTAGAAGTGTGAGCAACCAATACACATAGAAGAGATAAACATTTTTTATATAAGCTGCCGTCGAAGGTAGTCCAATAAGTGAATCGATCACTTGTATGAGCGTATACGGTCCCATACAACTAAAATACAGTGTGGAAATAGATAATAATTGTAAAATCATTCGACGATGTTTACGCCATGGAATATCCTGACGGGCTACAGGTCGTTTCCGATTAATTACGCGGATAACAAGAGCGACAGAAAATAATGTAATGAAAAATGTTGGAAGCCAACTATGTGCAAAGAGATCGTAGAGTGAAATAACCGGATATTGAGTGAAACACGGTTGACCACATAGTGGCGAAGTGAAATCAAACTGTTTCTCACACGAATGGAAAAAGATGACTATGATATAGAAGAATATCAGATAGAAAACAATAAAAAGCAATGGCAAGTAATGAATCAATAGTCGACCTCTACTTGTGGAGACAAGATAACCGTGAAAGACAAGAATATGTCGTTCAAATGATGCCCATAGCATTAAAAGATTCGCTTGACCGTAGAACAGGTAGTCCAACCATTGCCAGAGAAGACAACTGATTGATGAATGCGTTCCAACGCTACCTGTGCGTAAGTAGTGTAAAATTCGTGGTATTTCAATAAGATTTGTTAGTAGAGATACGATCAGAAGAGCTAAGATTGCGTGATGGTGTATAGCTAGACGAAGATTACGATCTTTGATGAGATAAAACACAAATAAAGAATTGCAGAGTACAGAGGGTGGTTCCAGAACAAGAAAAACACTGAATTTGCTGTATCGCGACAGAGTAGTTTCAGAGAATTTAACAACCGATTCGTTAAAGTGAGAACTCATGTGTACTCATGACCACGTACCGTCCGAAGCTGAGATAGAAAATGGAATAATGAACTGCAGACGTGTCTGTCATGTTTAGACTCTTATTTACCTTGTTCAGAGATAAATGTTGCGTAGATATCGAATATCATTCTGATGACGAATGCAAAGAAATTGATCCCAACAGAACTCCTTCGAGAAGTGAAACTTGAGTCTGAACAACGATTGGAAAGTCAGAGTTTCCAAGGACATCGCATAAATATAGGTGATATAGTGTACGTGATTGTCATGTGCGTTTTGATTTTTATTTACATATGCACTCGCTACTGAGGCATCTATGGGATAAATGCTCTTTTGTTGCTTTCTCTTCCTCTTCTTTTCATCGTCATGCATAGGTAATGAATGAATACATTTCGTTCGAATCAAATGTGCAATGGCCCAATTGCAAGTAACCATTGTCGAAGGAAGAAACTTGAAAAAGAAAGATTTTTTTAGTGAAAGTGATCCGTTCGTTCAGGTTTATCTTGATGATAAAAAACAAAAGCAAAAAACCACTGTGCAAAAAAATACGAAGAACCCACAATGGAACCAGTCATTCGTCTTGTATAATATCAGTTTCATCAATCGTTATTAGTGAATGAATCGATCGATCTCTGTTTTAGCAACCATTTGACGGGACAACATATTCTACATGTCGATGTTTATGACAAAGATATTTTTATTAACGATAAAATCGGATCCATAGAAATCGACCTGCACGACTTGTACGACGAAGGTATTTATCATATAAAACTGCGAAAAATGCAGAGATCTTCATCTATCGCTTCAGGTCATATTGATCAATGGTACAACCTTCCATCCCGACATGGCAGTTCATCGAATGGAGAAATTCATCTGGTGTTTGATTATCAACCGCTGAAATTTTGATATTGTTTTTTCGTCTTTAATTGACTAACTATGATTTTTATTTAAACATGTATCATCAAGATGTACGACGAATGTATATACAGTTTTACATGCCATATTTGAATTTATTGATTACAAGAAGAGAACACAAGATGATTATCATAGGAGAAGATTCGTGCAGGAGTATACATAAGCAAGTATTCATTTGAAAACAATCAGCCAGTTGTTGGTATACGAGCGACTTTACCTTTTTCATTGACGTAAATACAAACACGATCATAACGTATATCTTTGGACACTTTCGACCGATCGGTAACAACAAAAACCTCGGCGAGGCCTGAAAACTCACCATCGAATGCTCAAAATCGAATGCGTCAAATTCTCTTTACCTGTCTCGTTTTTGATAATATTCACTGCTTTTTCACCGTCCATACCCACTAATTTTGGCCATTCTCGTACCCGATAGTATCCTCCTACTATATCTTTATCTGCAAGACAAAACAAATAATCTTTAACAATACCAAGACATATTGCATCATACAAATCACGCGTATCACAGGAACATCGATAAATGTTGTTCGACCGTGTCCTAATAAGCTCACTTCGATTCGCTTTTGGTTAACAAACATAATTTCATCATACATATTGACAATTCGAACATTAATGATATGTACATGATGAAGGATAATTCGCTCTGGATTATAAGATATGTTAAAAATGATTGGAAACACCACTGCTGCACGCGTTTGTTCAGCAACTTTGACCGAAAAGACATCTTTCACCGATATATCATGTAGTTCAACAATCAGTTCACTGTTTGGCTCAATCAAAGTTTGGGGACCGTGCAAATAGAGGACTTGTCCATCTAGAGTGTAATACCTCGCAGCAGCAGTAGCATCGAACGAAAAATAGCCTATATTTTAGAGTGAGACAATCGTAAAAGAACGTATTGAATGCGTCTGCTTACCATGTACATTGAATATTTGGATGATTAGAATAAACAAATCGATAAATTTTGTCATTTTTTGAAAACAAATAAGTCGTTTCACTCCTTTTTCTGTTTGAGCAAACGAAATATGAATAGCGCAAGAAGAATTTAGTCTAGTCTATATTCGTTTCTTTTTTTTCTACATATGTCGAGACCTCGATGTTCTGTGTAAACATCCCGATGTTCTTTTTCCTTTCTCATTTTTCGTTCACGAGCGACTTTTCCGACGTCGGAGCAGTGCATGTCGACGTCAAAAATTCTTCTTGCGCTCTCTAACCGCCCACTGATAATCATATGTCACAACTCTACGAAACGAGAAGATCACGTACGGACAGACAAGAAAACAAGATATTGAACCTCACGTTGAACACGTGAATGCGAGATGAATGAACATATGTGAGCAGTAATAAAAATGTTTGACTTGTTATCGTCAATTTATTAAACATTCAAGATTAGAAAAAAGATAGACTATCTTTGTAGGACGAAAGCTGAATTTATTGTTTCGTTTGGGTTTGTTGCTGTTGTTGCTCGAGCTGTCGTTTCAATGCATCCAATTGTTGGGCTTCTTGAGCGTGAAAATAAGCATTTTCAGCAGCTCGACCTCGTTCGCTGAATGCACCACCTGCTTGTCCAATCGAACCAGCTTGTGCACCCAAATTGAAATTGTGATCGTTTGACGACATTGTAATTCAAATCAGATAAATCTAAAAACAAGTTCAAATTTAAGTGCAATTAGTTTCCCTTGATTTTATACTACAGATATGACGTTGTTCTTATTCATGTTTGTTGTTTTTCTCGTGCAATCTTCGTTCGTATTTGTTGGTCCTTTGCGCGTTCTTCCACAACACGTGAGAACGAATGAATCATTAGATCCAATGTATTATTAACTATCACATTCAACCAATACTATATTTGAGCAGTAGCTCGAACAATCGAAGGAAATACGAGACCTAAATGTTATTTACACATTCATTCAATTCAAAAGCAACGAAAGATTTGTCTTTCGAATTCGGAAACTATTTCCACGTACATCATTACTGAGACTTTCACTGACAAAAGTTGAACAGTTTTGATATATCATTGAAGATAAAATTCCGACTTAGATAACGAAAACTCGATATTCTTGCCATTGTTGTCAAACTGCACTTTTCCTCTACTATAACTGGTAAACCAGAGGGTGGCGCTCGATAGAAAAAGAAAACGATTGCATCGTTCGTTTCTACCTCATCGAATGAATATTATTCACTACAAGCTCGAGCTCGAACTCCGATTGCAAAATGGTCAAAATCGCCTTGCAACTCAAAGCAACTTTGGACAATGTCACGAATTTCCATATCGAATCTCTCGATGATTTCATCTGGTATTTGAAATTAGATTGTAGCAAATGTCATACACAATCAGAGAAATATCATGATATCTCCCTAAAAGAATCATCCAGTATTGCTGGAAGTCGTGGCGAAGCGAATTTCATCATGAAATGTAAATTTTGTTCTCAAGAAGGAAATATCAATATCGAACCTGTCAAACCGGCTGCCGATTACACAAGTGAAGATTCCGATGACCATGCATTTAAAACAATTGTCATATTTGATTGCCGTGGCATCGAACCCATTGATTGGCAACCGGGTAGGAAAAAGAAGATAATTTCGTGCTTTTCTATTGGATTTTACTTGTGTAGGTGAAGGATGGGCATGTCAAGGTGCGGAATCCAATACGAAATTCAGTGCAATTGACCTGTCAGAAAATAAGGAATGGATGGATTATGACGAAAAAGCCAAACAAGCTGTCGCTATTAACGAGATCGAATTCAAATTTGTTAAAGTTAAATAAAAACAGAATGCGTACAGTTTTCTTTTTAAATAAAGATGATTGATCAAAGCAGATGATTTGACCTGCTGTCCGTCCATCTTGAACTAATAGACAGATACGAGAAGAAAAAAATCGACTATCATGTATTGTTTCTTCCCTTCTTTCTTTTTGCACATATACCTGCTCGTCAATTGGCTTTTCCCCTCTTCATTGTTACGGGACATAAGTTCAATATTGAATTCAAAGCAGAAGCCTATGTCAATGTCATCCGATAGTCAATCAACACCCTCGAACACGACAAGTACTTATGAGTCATCCTTAGACCAATTACGTTCATTATTGCCCAATTCCGATGCGAAAGGAATGTCAGATTATGATGTCGTTCGATCAGCAACTGATTATATTCAAACATTGATGAAAGATACTGGCGTAGCAGACTCGAACACAACGGAAAGCAAAACATGGTGAATCGTTTTTCTGATTTTTTTTTGTTATCAATCACATATATATATAGATGTTTGTTTTTCTGTGTATAATAAAATGCAGCAACAATGATACACGGCTAATGTAAAAATGATAAAACTAGTATCAATACAATAAAAGACGAGAAGATAATCTACTAAACAATACATGATAGAGAAAAAAATACGAATAAAACTAAAAGATAATGTACGTATACACAAAACATACTCACATAGAACATGCAATATCGTAAACAGAAGTACAAGAAGAACTTTTACGTGCTTCTTGCGAGCGGAATTCGAATTCAATGAAAAAGATGAAAACATGTAATCATGTTCGATTCCTTCTCAAAATGGTAAATTTCGAGAAGAATGTGTTTTCTTTTTCAGCTTCTAATCTTAATAACAATCCATCTTCTCTGCGTTCATATTGGCCGCCATTGTTGCTTGTTCATTGAGTATCAGTGCTTTCTCGTGAAGTTGATGATGAACAAGTTGAACTTTGTGGAAGAGCATTGCGCGAATGTCGGTTAATTGATATGGACTCAGATCGAGTTGAAAAGCTTCTTCCGATGATGGTTCACCGCCTGCATCCTTTCGATAATTATTAAACAACGAACTGTGAAGAGCATCTTCAGCTGTCAAGCGTTTTTGCGGATCCATCAATAGCAATCGATCAAGTAAGTAAAATGCTGTCTCATCAAGATTCGGTACAATAGATTCCGATGGAATAAATGGTTTTGGATGATAATTTGGACATTGAGATAGAATTCGACGCAGAACATTCAGAGATTTGTCTGATATTGTTGGATACGCAGTTTTATGTTCATGAGCGAGAAAACCGAATGCACCACACCGACGTTCGACTACGAGACGTAATTGATCTAGATAATGACGTCCGGGAAATAGTGGTTGGCCGAAAATAAGTTCACCGAGAATGCAACCTACTGACCACATGTCCATAGATGATGTATAATTTCCATCACAGAGCATTAATTCCGGTGCGCGATACCATCGGGTACATACTAAAACAGGTTCCCATTAAAGTTCCAGCATCTCATATGAAAATGTGTCACGAACCATAACCAGTCATCGGCGTATTTGCTACTTCTTCAGGTACACGAGCAAGACCGAAATCTCCTATGCGTAAATGACCATCAAGATCCACGAAAATGTTGCTAGGTTTCAGATCTCGGTGTACTACAAACAGAAGACAATCAGAGGAAAACCGTCTCTTCTTCTACTTACACACTTTTGCTGAATGAATAAATTTCAAAGCTCGTAATAATTGATACAGAAAATGCGGAATATGACTACTAGTGATAATACGCTTATCCGCAGATCGTTGATTATTCATTTTAATTAGATGATGAAGGTCTAAATGCATTAAATTAGTGACAAGATAGATTTCGCGCATTTGATCAACCGTAGTCGCAGATGTATAACAATCTAATAATTGAACAATGTTATCATGTTTGAGTGGTGTTAAGATACAAATTTCACGTAGAGAACGCGAATATAACAATTTCGCTTCCATAGCATTCATTGAAGGTAATTTAATCTTTTTTATTGCGACTTTACGTTGAAGTAGAGCATCGTATGCAGATACCACTTGACCGTATGCTCCAGAGCCGATCGTTTTAGGCGATGAATAACGTGAACCAAGATGAAAAACATGCCCATCAACAGTAGTATTTGTATTTAATGATGGCAATAATGCTGGATGACGACGACGTGAAACATCGCGACAAGGATCATCACACAGAGAGGAATCTAGATTAAGACAAACAGATGTTTAGAAAATCTCTAGCTAGGTAAGAACCGAATCGCGTATGCCTACTTACAATTCGTGTCACGAGGCATGTGTTCGATCGACAGTGAATAGATTCATGCGAGCGAAGTCTATTTATACATATGATATAATGACAATAATGATGATATGGTATAGAATGGATAGAGATATAGAGAGAACTTTTTTTGTTTGATACCTTGATCTAGGGTATAGAAGTTCATCATACAATCGACTCGCTCGATCTAATGGAAAGAACGAATGAAGTAAACAAATACACAATATCAGCGAATATAGATCGTATGTCTCGTAATTTCTACTTATATACGATGGACAACGAATGAATTAGAAGTGAGTGATCATTCTTTGTCTACAGATATCTAAATACATATTTACAAGCAAGTGCATAAATAGATTTATGTTATCAATGAATCATCTTTTATTTATGAGATGTGTCTTTTTTATTCTTCTAACAGGTTTCTGAACGACAACAACAGCTCGATGATGATGCATCTGCTTGTATCGACGAGTGATTTGATTGCGTTGCTTTCTGTCAAGAGAAAATATAGTAGGTGAATTTCCGTTAGATGACTTCGTACTTTCTCATCGGTGACAGAGTCAAATCGGAAATGTTCATTGTATCGAGAAATACGGAGCATCCGAACAAGTTCAGCATTCAAGTATTGTCCTTGATCACCAAACTAAATGAACTTATAATAAAACGCGAGCATCTCGTTTTCTGTACTTTGAATGTGATGGACTCAGTCAGTTGAAATGCATCTTCATAATGGACCATTGGCGTTTCGTAGGTTACCAGAGCGTCCGATGTTGAGTTTTCAATTGATTTGTCTTTAAATAACCGGTACGTACGTGATGTAAACTTGATATCACCTTGCCGAAAATACACGTAAGAATAAAAATGAAATTAGATGAATCTTACCAATTAGTTTTTGTAATTCCGTATTGTTGATACAAATAGGTTGCTGAGCGACTAATAGAGGCCGTGTAAAACCCATATTCAGTGCATCTGTAATCAAATCATTTTCGCACATTGCTCCACTAAGACATTCACCCCAAAGAATCTTATCTTGTCGTAGTACATCGGGAATCGGTCGATCAGCGTAGACATCGCTGAAATAAAATTCACCACCAGGCTATAAATGGATACAAGTGTTCTGTACAAGATTTCACAACTGCTAGATATGTAGTTTTACTTTTAATATCTCGTACACCTGTTGCAAAACTTTCTTCTTATCGGGACTAAGATTGACAACACAATTGGATCTAAATCCGGGTAATGAGAGCGTAGATCAAATTAGTTCAATGATACATACACAACAACATCGAAAGTATCCGTTTTCAACTTGGTATCATCGATCAGTTGTTCAATTCGACCTTGACGAAACTCAACATTTGGTGTAGTCATACCAAATACTTGCGTGTGATAATCAATGAAGCGATTCGCTGTTTCCAACTAAATATCGAAATTTACGCGAAAACATTCCACTAAAATATCAATTCACTTGTTCTTTGGTCATATCAACACCAATGACATAGCCTTGTTCACCAACAAGACTCGATAGGATATAAACATCACGACCAGCTCCCGAGCCAAGATCTAACACTCGACATCCTTCCAATTTCGGCGGAAAAACTAAGCCGCATCCGTAATATCTGCGTCAAATCAAGACAGACATTGTCAATAGTCGAGATATTTCACATACTTCATTTTGACTTCTTCATGGATCTTCTCAAGAATCGTACTGATAAACTTTGGCACACGTGCTTTTGAACAACAGGCATCAGTTTTCAAGTCGGCCGAAGTTTTCAATTGTCGTCCGTAATAATCTTGTACATTCTCATGGATACTCATGATATTCAATTGACTTTATCTGCACTGACGTCGTGTAATCACATAAGTGCAAATCAACAGGTGTCGCTCTTAGCCTATCCATTGTCCTCCTTTTCCATTCATCTAAACCAATCCCATTGCAAACATTGTATAGAGGAGGTTTTTGATGTCATTTTCTCAATGGTAAAAGCGAAGCATGTTTTGTACGCATTCAGCTACGTGTTCTAGTTTGAGATTATTTTCTAGATGACTTCCGCGGTGAATAGCACCGCTATGAACGATGATGGTATAACATCTAGTCCATCAAAACGACGTCGTTCATCGATCGTATCATCGACAGTTGAAACTTTAACTGAACAATCGCCGTCGAAACGCGTTCGTTCATCATCTCCCACACCAAATCTTCAAACGATATTTTCGTGTGTGAATGACATTGTTCAAACACATCGAAATCTTGTCCGAGAATATATTGACTTGCACATGCGTGATCGAACTGATCTCTCAGCCGATGAACAACGTTTTATCAAAGGTGAAGAAGATCTGATTGAAAAAGTCGAGAAAAACCTTCAAGAAATCAATACATCATTCATTTTGAAAGATCTTCCAAACAAAATCCCCATTAATCGTGTTAAACATGAAAGTGAAGTCTTGAAACGCGTCAATGAACTCAAATCCAAAGGCCATTGGTCGAATCAACGTCTCGTGAAATTTATCGAGCCGAAGAAACGCAAGACACATTGGGATTATCTACTGGACGAAATGCGCTGGTTAGCAGAAGATTTCGCTCATGAAAAACGTTGGAAACAAATGATGGCTAAAAAACTCTCCCTAGCGGTCTTGAAATACTTCCGAGAGAAGAATCAAGCGGAAAGTCAGCAACAACGTGATGAACTTAAACGTCTACGAAGACAAGCGTTGTTCGTTTGCAAAGAGGTAATGAACTTTTGGAAGAATATGCACAAAATCGCGGAATATAAAGAAACTACGCGTATACAAGAATTGAAGAAACATCAGCTGGACTTACATTTGAATTTTATCGTCGATCAAACTGAACAATATTCCGATTGGCTGGTGAAATCTTTGAAAAGTGAATCCAATGAAGACGATGATGATAAAGACTTCAATGTGACGGAAGATATGAATGATGACGACAATGAAGAAACTATTGAACGAGAAGAAGAAGAGGAACAGGATGAATATGCTGCTAATGAATTAAAAGAATTAGAAGCTGATCGAGAGGAATCCATAGATGCTCTGCTAAAACGGTACTATGGAATTGATTTGTCGAATTCATCAAGCGAAAAAGAAAACAACGTTCCGAACGAAACCAAAACCGACGAATCAATCGAAAAAGACGAAGAAGAAGAAGAGGAGGAGGAAGAAGAGGAAGAGGAGAAGAAGGCGGACAAACAAGAACCAAGCAAAGATCCGACAGAAAACAAGGAAATGAACGATTTAGCAAGTACAGCTCAAGCATTACAGCCAACTGGATTCACATTGAATACAACGGAAGTCAAAACACCGGTGCCGTTCCTATTAAAGCATTCATTGAGAGAATATCAACACGTCGGTCTCGACTGGCTAGTCACATTATATGACAACAAGTTAAATTGTATCTTAGCCGATGAAATGGGTTTAGGTAAAACAATTCAAACCATTGCTTTGCTCGCTCATCTAGCATGCGAGAAAGGCGTCTGGGGTCCACATTTGATCGTTGTTCCGACGAGTGTGATGCTCAATTGGGAATTAGAATTCAAGAAATGGTGTCCGTCGTTCAAAATTCTTACCTATTACGGTTCAGTTAAAGAACGGCAAATGAAACGGCAGGGTTGGACAAAAGTCAATGCCTTTCATGTGTGTATAACGTCTTATAAACTCGTTCTACAAGATGCAAAAGCATTCCGTCGTAAGAAATGGAAATATTTAATCCTAGACGAAGCTCAAAATATAAAAAATTTCAAGTCACAGCGTTGGCAAACTCTACTCAACTTTCATTCACATCGTCGTTTGTTATTAACCGGTACTCCTCTACAAAACTCTCTGATGGAATTATGGTCCTTGATGCATTTCCTTATGCCAAATCTATTCGCTTCGCATCATGAATTTCGTGAATGGTTTTCAAATCCGTTAACTGAAATGATCGAACAAGGTCAAACCAATGCGAATGATCTACTTATCAAACGTTTGCACAAAGTTTTACGACCTTTCATTCTACGTCGTTTAAAAGTCGATGTCGAAAAGCAAATGCCGAAGAAGCATGAACATGTTATCATGTGTCATCTCTCGAAACGACAACGGCAGCTCTACGATGATTTTATTCAATGTAAATCGACGCGTGATGTCATCCAACAAGGACATTATATGTCTGTGATCAATATCTTAATGCAATTGAGAAAAGTTTGTAATCATCCAGATCTATTCGAGTCCCGGCCTATTATTTCACCACTTACTATACAACGAAAGCTGATTACTTGTGAAATACCGAAATTGATCGAAAAGATTCAACTGAAAAATCCTTGTTTAGACTTTGATTTACCACCTAACGATACATTCCTTTGCTTTCGAATTAAATTTACCCTACAAGCCACTCGAGATATGATTTTTGACTGTATTAATTCTATTGATGACACTCAACGACAGATTATTCAATTAACAGCAGATATTATTGAAAGATACAGAAATAGCTCAATATGGCATCAAGCCAATACATCACTAAGAAGTAAGAACAACTCAAGTTTACTTTTGGTTCTCATTACAGATTTCGTTTTAGATACTCGCAATCGGCAATCAACGAAATTAAGCACATCTCTTGACTTCACTGATGATGAATATCAGCCTGATAATATCTATGTAAGCTTATTCGACGGAAAATGTTCTTTTGCATAATCAAAATTCTATTCTAGTACGAAATTTGTAAACAACGTCAACGGGAACGCTTATCTCGTTATGATTTATTCTGTCGTTTGAACTCCGACCGATGTCAGTCACGTCCATTGTATGGCTCGGATGTGTTAACTCAAGTACAACTAGCCATGTCGCCTTGCAATCGTCTAAGACGAACGACTTTCAGCGGTTATGCAGCTTGCCATGATATTTTCAAAGAGCTAACTACTGTAAAAGATTATTTTTCTACGACGCACACACTTCGGCAATTGATTCGATCGCATAAACATGCGATTTGTGATTATCAGGATATTCTCGATCGGTAAGTGCTTGTAGAGAGAACTTCAAGGTATCGAGCGCCGAACAATTTCTAGATTTGTGATGTGTACAAGTAAAGTCATTGCTCCACCTGTTGAACTGTGCCAATGGAATGGCATCAGTTTGAGAGATAGAACAACTCAGCAAAAGCCGTTGATTGAAGTCATATCTTCAACGGACTTTGAAGTACTTTCATCAATCAATCAGATCAAGCAAAATATGTACTTACAATTCCCTGAACGACGTTTGATTCAGTACGATTGCGGAAAACTACAAACTCTTGATATCCTTCTGTCTCGGTTGAAACGAGAGAAACACCGCTGTTTGATCTTCACACAAATGACCAAAATGCTCGATATACTCGAACTATTCTTAAATTATCATGGTTATACGTATGTAAGATTAGACGGAACGACGCAGATTGTTCAACGGCAAATGTTGATGGAGCGGTTCAATAGTGATGAGAAAATTTTTGTTTTCATTCTGTCGACTCGTGCTGGCGGTATTGGAGTAAACTTGACTGGCGCTGATACGGTGATTTTCTATGATTCCGATTGGAATCCGACTATGGATGCTCAAGCACAAGACCGTTGCCATCGAATAGGGCAAACTAAAGATGTACATATTTATCGGTAAGAATCGATCGTAGTGACTTGTGTTTGATTTCGACGATTGTTTGAAATAGATTGATCAGTCGCAATACAGTCGAAGAGAATATTTTGAAGAAAGCCAATCAAAAACGTCTACTCGGTGATTTGACCATTGATGGTGGTAGTTTCGATGTAACTTATTTCAGGAAGAATAACATTCGAGATTTATTTGATCAATCAGCAACGTTGGAAGATATTGTTCGGGAACGAAATAGTTATCAACAACATATGGATAATGTCAGAGCAACAGCATCAACAACGACAACGACGGCGGCGACAGATAGTGCGAGTGCAGATGTGAATAATCTAACCTTGACGCAATATGAAGAAGCGCTTGCAGCAGTCGAAGATGAAACTGATCGACGTGCAGCCGATGAACTAAATAAAGAAGTTCGGGCAGAATTGAACGAATTCAACGAAGATGAAACCAATGATTTGAATGAAGATCAATTGATCGAGAAACAAAAGCGGCAGATGAACAGAGTCGAAGAAGAATTGAAGACTCTTGATGAACAGGTAAAGAGTAGACTAGTGTGCGATTGTTTCTTTAACACATTTTTCGATTTAGCTTCGACCTATCGAACGTTATGCTCTACGTTGCGTAGAAGTTTATCGTCAAGAACATCAGTTGACTCAAATAGCACCTAATACTTATCTCGATGCTGAACAACTTCGAAAAGATTGGCAGTTATCTCGTTTAAAATCACTGAAAGAAGAAGAAGAAAAGCAAATGGAACAAGAAGATGATGAAATGATGTACACATACGCCTTAGATAACGAACGACAGGTCAATTATAGTTATACGTATTCGGCAGCTCAAAATAGTTTGGTTGCTAATGAATTAGCACGACATGAGAAGAGCTCCGCTGCGATTGCTGCTAGTCAAGCGTTACTACCACCGCCACCAGCAGTTATTCTGCCGCCAACTTCACCTCAACCTCCGTCGCCATCATCATCATCAACTTCAATTTCGCGTCCTGTTCTTATCAAACGTGCAACTCATACTCCTAATGAAAATCTTCGAAAACGACGTATGCAACCAGTACGAACATTACAGCAAGCACCCCCGCTCCCTCGACCACGCCAATCACTACCAACACCATCAGTGCAACCATCAGCTCCACCCGCCTTGATACAAAAACCAAATCATGTTACTTTAAAACAACAGCAGCAGCAGCAACAACCGTCGTCCCGTCTAACAAAAAATCGACATAATAGTAACGATGATTGTGTAGACTCGACTACTCTGCTTCTCGCTGATGATTTCGATGATGACGATAATGATGATGACTTCGATAATGATCAAAGGATCTACTCATCTAAATCGACCACGACTCTATCAACAATCACTCGAAAGCCAATTTCAAATATTACACGTGTCACACAAAATCCTTCATCATCGACGAGCAATGCCAGCGGACAACAACAAATCTGGATTGTCAATTCTCTCGATCAGCAATCCGTTCTATCGCTAATCAATTATATTAATCCAAATTCGACTAATAATTCGCGCTCAACAGGATCAATTCTCCTTAGTAATAAATCGAATATGAATACTTCACCTGTAACGAATCTTCTCACTCAACAACAACCTCGATCATCAACAGCTGGTACTGTTTATCAAATTCGTCCATCACAACAACAATCACCTACTACTACATCCACATCCCAACAGCAGCAGCAGCAACAACAGCCACAAAATGTTGTATATCAAATCCAAAATGGTCGAATATTTCAATCAACTAAAAAGACAACCTAAAAATCTTTATCAGCTTTATTTCACTATCGCAGGCGATAATGTAACAGTGTCTGTTTGTTTTTCTCGGTGTTGTCTCACATATGCATATAGTCATATAAAAAAGAACTTTCCTCTCTTGTTCATGCTTTCTTTTTTTCTATATGTGTGCGCTTGCTTCTTTTTCTCTCTTTCTCTCCCTCTTTCTCTCTGTTCTACTAATATGAAATATAAACCTATTAAATTAAGCAACACACATGCATTCAAGTCTTACTTCTTACTGTATGAACTCTATTTATTTTGAGTGAAACATTCAATCACATTGGAAAAAAGAATCTTTACTCTTATTTATTCAATTGTTCACTGAGTCGAACATCTTCAGCATGGGTGATGTCTTCCAAAGCTGTTGATTCTTCTTCTTCTTCTTCATCAACTTCAGGACAAACGGATAACTTTTTATTTTTCACGAACTTTCCTTCTTCGACCTCGCTCGATTGTTGTTCATACGTTGATGCGTGTTGATGGACCTCTTCTGCTTGTCGTACCGTTTCGGGCAGTGCGATTTTCATTCGTGTTTCCGGTAAGAATATCGCACATATTGCTGCGATTGCTGAGCACACACTAAATATAATATAAGGCAACGGAAACCAAACCGATTGAGCTAATAAGGAGATTTGCGGTGCCCATACTCCACCGACTCGTGCAATGCTAACAGTTAAACCTACACCAGTTGAACGAATCACAGTTGGAAATGTTTCCGATGTATAGACCCAAGACAATGCTTGTGCTGCCGAGATAAATAATTTCGCACACAGGGCGGCAGATAAGCTAATAGTCAAGTATTTCTTATGTGTTAATGGTATCGTTAATATCGACAGAGAACAAAGAGTAAAGAAGAGTATCAGTGGTATTTTTCGATCATACTTTGTTGCGCAAAAATGGCAGAGACATAAACCAAATAATTCTGCAAAAATCGACAAAAGAAAGATTTCATAGGGACGATCATTTGTCAGTGATGTAATTCCCATGCCGATACCAAGATAAAGCATAAGGTTTGTCATCATTATGTAGAAAATAATCAAACAGCGCTGTCGCATAGCAGGTGATTTGATTAGACTTATTAAAACATAGGTGTAAGAGTATCGTTTGGGACGATTACGAGCTTCGCGTTGTAAATCATCGTACAGCTTCTTTTCAGAGTTTTCCAATGTTCGTCGATTGAAATACGCAATTCGTTGAAGGACTTTGCGAGCTTGCAATAATTTACCAGTAGATACAAGCCAACGTGCTGATTCCGGTACACACCAATAATAGCATAAGAATGGCATGACATAGATTGTTAAAATCCACATCGTTATCGACCAATCGCGAGTGAAATAGTAGATCAACATGATTAACAATTCACCTGACGTATAGAAATAGGAAAGAATGTTACTTGCAAGTACTCGTCGGTTTGCTGAAGTCATCTCGAGCAGCAGAACCAGTGTAATCGAATACGTTGTTTGAGCAAAGCCCGTTAAGAATCGGCTTATAGTAAATATAATCAATTTCGTATTCACGGACATTTTTGAATGCATGACCAGTTGTGTAGCATTGAGAACAACAACTAACAATAATATCAACGAATACATTGTTGTTCGTCGTCCTAATTTATCTGACATAATCCCAGTCACAAATGATCCACTTGTGCCCATAATGTACGCATTTTGGGTGATAGCTTTCAAATGAAGACGATTACAAACAAGATCCCATTCCGTCGAGATCGTCGTGTTGTAGAATGTATCATCGAAGACCCATTTTTTACATGCAATCAATTTCTTAGTGGTTGAGTTAACATCTCGAATGAAACATTTTTTATATTTAGGAGATGATGGAATATACTTATTGATGTATGATTGATGGTAATCAGACTGTCTAGCGAAAGTATCAGTAAAATTCGGCCAATCTATTTGACAACGGTGGTCCGGTGTTGCAGCAATGAATACATAACTGAATGCTGTCGCAGCTGGTACAACAGCAAGAAGACCAACAAGAAGAAACTGAACTTTTTGGTAGAGACCGAATGATCCTGCATCGTGCAGTAACTGATCAATCGTACTAGTCGGAGGCGGTGATGGTGATGTGACAGGTCGTTCTGGCGAATTTGTACGTTGAAATAGATCAATCAACGAGCGCTTACGACTAACCTTAGGTACAGACATATCTTTTCGTTTCTGTGTTTTTTGAGTTACGAGTGACTTATATTTGAATGCAACGAAAATCTTCGTTGGTGCCTTTACGATGATCATTGTGTGATCATAAACTTTGCGAAAGGTCATGGATTATTGGAAGAGTATTGCTTATTTAGAGGTATGGTCTATTTCTTTTTATTACACTACATTTCGAATTTATTGATAATCACGTCATTGAAGATCATCGCTGTTTAGTAAACGCGATTTTAATCCAAATCTGAAGAGAAATCTTCTTTTGTGCGCACGATGATTAACTTACATAGCTAAAGATTTACACTGAATGAATATGAGAAATGTTACTGTTTTTTTTTTCAACAGAAATGCGCTTTCGGTTAACACCACCTTAAAAGTCTAATTTTAATTCGACATGCTCGGTGATGACATGAATGTGTTTATATAAGAAAAAAATGACGTTAATTACCGGATTAACTTGTCAGGAAAAGAATTATCTAACTTAAATAAATTCATTTTAGTAAAACTGGCATCTGCTCACATATGAAGATTCTCAACTAGTGTAGATAGAAGATGACGCTAGCAACATCTCTGTATGAGATTCAACGGCAAGTATTTCGAATCGGCGGTCCAGTATTAATAGCGATTGGAAGTGTCAGTTGCTTGTTGAATATATTCATACTTACGAAAGATACTTTACGAAAAAATCCATGTACTATCTGCTTAATTGCTGTTAATATTATCAATTTTTCCTATTTTTATCTGGGTCTTTTACCGACGACACTAGCTGTCGGTTATAACATTGATCCAAGTACAACTAGTCTTGCGTTTTGTCGATTTCGTTATTATGCTGCTTTTATTCTGGCATGTTGGCAAGCATCCTGTCTCATTTTAGCTTCTGTTGATCGTACACTGATTACTTCAGGAAATGCTAGGACACGAAAACGTAGTACGAGTCGTTCGGTGAAAGTGAGCATGATATTCTTAGGAATATTCTGGCTATTAGCCGAAAGTCATGCATTGATTTTTACGGACATTGTTGAGTTTGGATACAATTATTTCGTTTGCTTCTACCGGCCGGGTTTATATACTACGATTATGACTTATCATTCGTTCATAATTATGGGGTTTACTCCAACTCTGCTTATGGCAATATTTGCCCTTTGGACGGTGAAGAATATTCGAAGCATACGTCTTCGTCGTCGTCGTCCGGTGCAAGATGCTCCGATAGCAACACTCGGCATGATCACAATTCAGAGACCACTTGCACTTCGCTCGAAAGATCGACAGTTGATCCGAATCTTACTTATAGATATACTTGCTTATATTATTTGCAAGTTTCCGTCAGCGATTGCTCTTCTGTATCTACAAGTTACTTCGAATTATAATAAAAGTGCTGATGAGCAAGTAATTCAACAATCAATTCTGCAAATGTCATTCTTCTGGTACTTCATTGACAATGGAATTGGCTTTTATAAGAATATTCTCGTGGCAGACACATTTCGAAAGGAACTCAAGCGCATCTTATTCTCCTAGTATTCGTAGACTGAAAATAACTTTGTCTTTATTAATTTGTCAATGACAACTAGTATTGATCGAAACAACAAAAACCATATCTGTGTTATTTTTCATCATTCCAAGACACAAAAACACACACATAATAATGACAAGTTTAGATTCAATTATGCATTGCAAATATCACGCTTAGTTGCTTTGTTAATACGACCCAGTTCGCCGTTATATGTCGTGCGATGTCTTGCAAAACAATCAGCAGCTGCTTTGTCACATTCGCAAGTATTACGATCACACGAACCGGACTTATCAGAACAAGCAATACCCTGATTTGATAAACCTTGCCAGGCATAGGTGACTAGTTTAGGCCAACAGCCGAAGAATCCTCCAGCGATTCTATCGTAACATTCATCGTGTATCCGACAACACTCGTCCGTAGCGTCGAGTGTTTGTGAACCGAAGGTGCCAGAACCACACCTATTCCATTCAATCAGAGACGATTTTTGTTTTGTAAACTACGATTCTTACCAGCAACCATAACCGTTGTAGTCAAATGAACTAAAACCTTTGTGATTGATCATGTTGCTGAATTGGGCAAGATTTCGAGTGGTTACCACTGCAGATAATGAGGGAATAGGAGAGTAAAGCATCGAGATGACGAGGATTAGTAGTACTTGAGCCATTGCGAATGCGAGCAAAACAAGTTGCACCGATTCGATGGCGATCGATGGTATTTATACATGTTTCATAAGCCATTTTAAATTAAATATCAGATCTGCGAAGATAGTATTACGAAGATAGAAATCCCTTTGCGTACGCTGCATAGTACTGAAACCGAAAAGATAATGACTTCAAAAGTGAAGACTTAACTTAGAGATTAATCTGAGATTGAGTTGTTTTTCATCGAAAACACGAGAATATTCTTTTTTCTTCGTTTCTCATCTGCTGAGCTTTGCCGACTTCGAAAATGTCATGCGGCGCCATGCATCGAACTGCACTTTCAGTTCGAAAAGGATAACACCAGTTGGTTGAATGTTAAAATATTTATTGTTTCTATCGCTATACAGAAAAGCAAAAAAGAAAGTATGATTTCTTTTTTTTTGTTAGTCAAAACATTTTAACTTAGAAAAAATAGCACACGAACTAGAATTAGTTATAGACAACTATTTCGAAAATTCCGGTAAGAAGCGACAGGGTATCAATACGAAACGAAAGGGAATGAATAAAGAGCGAATGGCAGAGGATTATTTTCACATGTTATTCTTTCGAAATTCAATATTTTGAGAATACAATGCTTCTTCGTCGCCATCTTGATTGAATAAAATCGTTTCAATCATGTTACCTACACCTAAACAACAACAAAATCAATGAAAAATATCGGTATTGGCAATGCGCACATACCCCATGAAGATAGATCGTTATTCACAAGTTGATATTGTACCAAAGCAGAAATTGCGCTTTGATTTGCGGTTTCAGCACCAAGCTTCGAATAGATTTTCAATTCTTTACCGTGCTGCAAACGAACACCATCTGGTATGACGTATCGAATGTTCGGTCCGGCGTCCGTACGCTGTTTGATCACCCATCGACCAAGATCAATATCTTTACTTGTCGAATGATTAAGCAAAACGATGTATTTACCGTTCACAGCGCATTCTTCTACAAAACGAACGATATCGTTGTTCGGTTGAGTCCTTTGAAGATTCTACGTACTGATTCCAATCGATTTTTTCTTTCGTGATTTGGCTACGAGTTTTCCGCTCATTCCACTCTCGTAGTTCGGCTTCGGTTGTGTGACGATAACTCGACCTCCACTTTGCGAGTTATCCAAAAGATATCGATACACAATGATTTCTGCTTCCAGGTGAACCTTACTAGAAGGAAAAGAAAGAATTGAACAAATACTTTCGTCTATTTCGTTCTTCCAACCTGCGTTGCATTTCATTGATATCATAAGCTATCTGCATGATAGTTTCTTGTAGATTGAATGCTTCTTTACCTTGCACTTCAAGTTTTTCCTCATAATGACCTTCTAAGGACTTCAATTCCGCTTCCAGTTGAGCTTTAAACAGAGAGATATATAAAAACTACAATGGTGTTTTCAAACAAAATGCTCTCTGCTTACCATATTTCTTCTCCAATTTCATTTGCATCTCTTTTTCATAGCTTAAACTATTATGGTATTTCTCGTAATCAGCTTGTAATGTTTGTATAATTAGAGCAAATTCACTGCCGTCGTCTTGTGGTTCTTGTGATGCCCGTTCAACTTCGCGTCTGACTTCGTCTGTTTTTGTTTCATAATAGGCCGTCATTTCACGATAGATCGACGCATAAAAAACTTCAAAGTCGTGACGAATCTTTTGGATGGATTTATCCAATTCCAATGTCCAAAATTGTGACAGATCGTCCATGTTAATCGAGATCGCTTCGACATTCCTACATACAAACAACAACGAATTTCACACGTTTTCGAAATTCGATATGCATCATATCTACCGAGTTGAATGAGAACGAATTCTTTTGTAAAATGCAATGTAACTCTTCAAAGTATCGATACTCATGTTCCATCTCTTTCGTTGTTTGTGTATATTACACCAATCGTGTGTTAATGATAAATATTGTTTGAGAACATTGTCACGTTCACCGTATTGATTCGCTGCTGTTCGTTCGAGATCAGCATACGAAGTCCGCAAGACTGACAAATCTGATCCAATTTGTTTGAGTTCGTGATCTAGTTTCTTCAAGCGTTTATCTCGCCATTGTTGTTCGGCATCGATCAATTGTTGATAAATTCCAATTTGCAATTGATACCATTCAAAATCGGATTCGCAATCAGCCTTGGAGTAATGCAACGAGGAGAGATCGGATTTCATGTTTAGATATCGTTCATTCCATTGAACATCGATACCACTATCACCGGATGATTGTCGACGAAGTTCAGCAACATCTGTCATATACTTTGCATTTTGAGACTCGAGCAACTGTACACGATCAACGAAGCCAGCTAGCCGGTGATTCAGTTCATTCAACGCTTCTTTTTCATGTTGATGCTGCGCTACTAGAGCATGTTGAAGTTGTTGAATGTTCACAAATATTGAGGATGTATAGTGTATTGCCGGCCCAAGTGGATCATTCCGACGGTAGGTGACTACGGAGTTGTGATCGGCGTCTCTACTGGTATGTGTGTCAAAGGACATTTTTCTTGTTCCTTGTATTTGCTAATCAAGATTCGAATGTGGTTTTGTACATATATATATATCATATATTATATATATTTGTTTTTTCTCTTTGCTTCAGGTAAAAAACGATTGGGAGATCCAGTTTCATTTTTTTTCATTCCATTTCTCTTTTTCATCGTACGCTTGAAGATCAAGAATAAATTATGATAGCTAGAGATTTGAATTTCGCGGTTATTTCTGTCTCTTGTGCTACACAGACTATCAAGGTTTCTCATGTATATTTAAATGTCTAACCAGAATATGAATGTATTAAGCATACTGCTGTCTCATCTCGTAAGAACACAATCAGACAAGGAATAGACACGATGACACTTGAAATATTCATTAACGATTCTGATTGAGAGGTTTTGTTTCACAAAACTCGAAATGAGATCTGCGACAAGTTCGAACATATCGATTGCCGTGTCGAACATGATGAATAGCACACCGAGTCAATTCAGTCAACTCCCACTGAGTATGAAAGACGGAGTGAATCAAAGTACGTTTCTTTTCTTCGTTTTTCTTTGCGGTACCATTCATCGATTTCTATGTGGATTGAGGTAAATAGATGGTTAAGAAAAAATGAAGTGTTTTTACTTAATTTTGGCGAAAAGAAATTCTATTAAAGCATCAGCACGATCTATCAACGAAAGTTATTATTAGATCGCCAGTGCGGCGAAGGCTTTCGTGTCAAAGTCTATAGAAATCAATCAATGAGTGTGTTAAACCTTTAAGACTAGCTTTTGTCCGAGGAAATTATTCTGGTAGGTCATGACCGGAGATCACAAAACAAAATTTCCCTGAATGTTTTGATTGTATTTATTTCTTTTCGTAATATAATTCGTGTTATTCATTATGTTTTACATTAGAAGTTATTGAAGCAACTATTTTCAATTACTTATGCTTCGTAGTATATTTCAAATATACATATGATTAGTCATAAAACAACATTCCTTCCGCGAAAGTACTTTTTCAATATAAACTGTACAATGGTGTTTCGAGATTGGACATGTAATTCGCAAGAACTAATGACAGGATGAATAAAGACTGTCATACGTGATGTTGAGTAATTGCATCAGATTATTTCGGCGAGAGATTAATGGTTTGTGGAAGGGATTTCATGATGTCTGAGAAAACAGCACCATCATAAGTCAATATGACTTATAGAGTCATACGATCTGATTTCATTCTCGTTCGACTGTCGCGGTGCGACATCTATTGTCGAGAAAATGAAACCATACAAACTCGAATGTTTTTTTATGTACTCAACTTCGTCAACTGAAAATATTTCTCGAAAAAATGAATCTTAGTTGTTAATGGATTAAAAATCTTAACCATTAATAATTAATTGTTTATTAAGACATTTATTCTTTCTTTCATATTGTTTTGCCTTTTCCACACACGGTTGTGTGTACTGTTTACTGTTTATTTATTTACTGGTAAGCATGGAGAATAATATCAGATAGGCAAAAAAACAACTCACGTGTACGAGATTCTTTGCGAATTTGCAAAGTAGAAGAAAAAGGATACTTTCGTCATAATTTCACGTAGAATCAAACGATTTACTTGTCGTTTTTTTCATTTTTATCTTGTACAATTGAGAATAACAATTATGTATTCTCTAGTATAGAATTGTTCGTCAATATATACAAAAAACCTGCCAAGATATGGAGTTAGAATTCACACCTGGAATCTTAGATACTCCGTCTTTGTTGACACCGAACATCGCTGTGACTCCGTTACTCTATAAGTCACCTCAGACCGATTCAGTACCTACCGACAATGACCTGACTCAAACAGACTCAACTTCGAATCCCTCATCGATTATGACGGTAATTACAACAACAAACGATGAGTCACTGTCTGTGTCATCTGCTGAAGTCAAATTATCGAAGATCGAAAATGACTTAAAACAAAGTTTCAGTCAGCCACGCAAACCAACTGAATCACCGTTTCAACGCATAGTCGAAGCTGGCGTGTTGTCGTATGAGAAAAACTCGACAATACTTCCTCCCACGATGAGTGATGGTATACCTGCTAATGTTCCTTCTACTGCTGAAGTAAATATAGTGAATCATAGTCTGATGAATCATTGTCGTTCTCGCATTTCTATCTCGTAGGTAGTGAATGACATCGAGTCATTTTCCAAAGCTGCGGCAAGCAAAGAGGTGAACGAACGCGAAGCAACTGTCAGTGATACATCGCCGTCACAAGCCATGGGTGTTATTGTCTCACCAAAGAAGAAACTGCTTTTCCGAAGTCAGTCTCATACTGATCCAGCATCACCGACATCGGTCATGATAAATACTCTATCTCAATTACAAAAGCCTCTTCGTGATGAAGATAACTCGACTGATGAGGATCACAATCATCATTTTCAACGTTTGCAAGATTTACCCATATTAACGCAACCAGTCGATCCGAGTGCACAATTAGATAATAACCATGAAACAACCTATACTATCCAAGTACGAACAAACTCAAATGGAGCGCAACAAACAATATCAAAACAACAAGCAACTGTTCTCAGTAATAAACGATCGTTTGCATCAGCAGTTCTCGGTATTTATCTCAAGTGTCTCTTCTTCTTTTTATATGTATTTCTCTTTAGCTTCGCCGATGACAAAAGCCAACTCAATTCTTCTCTCTCAACCAGCTGTTATCAATGAAGTCTCATCAAGTGATCAATCCTTAGGTTCAAAACGACAAAAAACGAGTTCAAACACGTCACGTATATCGCTTACTCTGCCAACAACTGACGACGACGACAACAACACCAACAACAGTGCACACTCCGATGATCAACGTAAAAAGCAAATTCGTGATAGTAATCGTGAGGCAGCACGGCGTTGTCGCGAGCGTCGCCGGAATTATATCGAACAACTCGAAGGTAATCTAGAAGGATACAAGACACAAATCAAACAGCTGACTGAGAATCTTGCTCGAGCCGAACGAGAAAACACTCAACTCCGCGCGATTATTTCCGAAGCGAAACTATTTCCGTCCGCAGTGCGCATGACAACCAATGATGTGATGATGGACTTTTCCAGTAATGGAATCGATGTCGCCTCGGAAACAACGGATGGAAATACAATACAAAGAAGTTTCGTTACAAGAAATACTCGCTGAGATCTCTTCGAAGTGCAAATCAAACGCATCGTTTCTTTTAGTAGTACCAACGGATATTATCTATCATCACTCTAAGTGTGCTAACCGGTTAAGGTTCTTCTCTTTGCTTCTGTGTATAGTGTATGAAAGAAATTTTCGTCTTTCTTGCAGTGACGAGTCTTGTTTTTCAATCTTTTTTTCTGCTTGTTCTGTCTGTGTATGTATATATCTCTACATATTATAAAGACGAAAGTTCAAATACTAACATGATTGTTCATTTTCTGTATAGAACGGAATTAAAGTATTAGCATTTTCATCTTGAAATACATATTCATCTTAGAAAAATTGAGCACATAGCTTTTGTCTATGAGTATTTTTTTTTTCAAATTCTTAAATTCGTCTCTTTTAGATCTTAATATGAAACACTTGTTTTTAATCTACACTTTACCAATATTACTCGCGTCAGCATATCATGAAGGTGAGTGACTTCGTTGAAAATCACGTCTCGACGTGTTGCTTTGTTCTAGTTCATATTAAATCCGACGATGATTGTTGGTCGCTTGAAAACAACAAAACCATCGAGAAAAACTATGCTGTTCTAGTCAATTTCGCACCCAAAATTGCCTACGGGAAAGACAGTTGTTCAGTACATATAGCAAATCCATGGTTACCAAACATGCAAAATGGATTTGGATTATTCCTGTCGCGTCAACAGATGGATTGCTCTTCAATATTGACAATCAATTGTCTTCCAGACGGTATTCTACACAATCAGGTAAGTGTATTTCTCGAATTTTCTGCTTGCTGACGCGACTGGAATTTAGACAATTCCCTCGTCTGCGGAATTCACATGTCACACGAGTAAAAACAAAGTTCAAATGCCTTGCAGTACACTTGAGCTCACATTCAAAAGAAATTTGAATCAACCCGGAGCGAAATCTTCAACACTAGTACAAGTTGTTGCATTAGCCAAAGGTAAACTTCGAAATTAATCTTATATTCAGCAAAATTTTGATGGAACTTTTAGAACCGTGTGATGATAAAGATATATTTTTTCAATGTCCGAATGATTATCCTCATTCATGTCTCGATAAAAAGTTGGAGTGTAATGGACGATCTGAATGTTTAAGTGGTGATGATGAACGAAGTTGTCATCGTATGTATAGTGGCACTGAAGATCATAACTGAGAAAGAATTTGTCATTTTTTAGCAACTCACTCCGAAGGTGTTCCAGTGATAGTGATTATTCTTCTCGTTTTGCTATTTCTCTTTCTGATTTGTATCTTATCAGCAGGTAAGAAAGAATGAATCATAATATATGATTCACATCTTGTTCGATCTTAGTGTTGGTTTGCTGTTGTTGTCGAGCGGCATGCAAGGGAATAGTTCGACGTATTCGTTCGAAAAAAGAAAAGAAATCGGCTACAAGTCAGTCATCTTTTTCTTCACATTCGCCTGTCTGACGCACAGATTTTGTTTAGAGGGTGATGTGACTATTTCGGCTGAAGAAGCTGGCTTAATCAAAGAATTAACAGCACCATCAAATGTTGTTGAAACTTTGCCTCAACAGCATATGGAACCTGCACCATTGCTTATCGATTCAACCAAACCTATCTATCCTCGTTTGGAATAGTTCCAGTCAGATGTGTAATCACAAATCAAATGAAATCTTCACTTGTTTATTGCAAACCTAGCTGCTTCGTATTTCGTTGTGTCAGATTGTCCTCGTGTTTTGCTGAAAGCATTGATAAAATCTTCGATGTTCTTTTGAAATTTGAAATTAATAAAATTTGATGTTCAACAATAATAACAAAGTGACTTTTTCAGATGTTACCATTGAGCAGACTTCTCCTTTACCTTTTCTTACCATCAATCTTCGCCAAAGTGACATACTGTAAGATTATTTGCCATGTCAAACTCGACATTTCCAATCAATCTTATATTTTAGTTAACCTAGAGAACACGTATGGACCGTACTGTAATCCGAGAAACAAATTCACACCAGACGCCGGCATCGTCCGTTATGCTGGGTAAGTCGGCTGCTGGAAATCATTGATGAGACTCAGTCGTTTTTCTTCAGTACACCATGGATTGGCCGATGCGTATTGAATATCGAAAGTTGTTGTCTGCCGGAGTTTCCAAATGGTACATTGATTCCAAATGTATCGATCTCCACGCGATTTTATATGCATTTACTTGTGCCACCGCTGTGTTTAACAGAGAATGTGACTGTCATTGCTGGAACAGAAGAAACGGTAAATTTCACGAAACAATTCGAACGATATTCCGATGAAGATATGTTTTAGATTCATATTAATTGTAATACGCCCAATGGAAGCGAATATTATTTTGACACGGAACGTTTAACGATTCTGTATCATCGGTCAGAAAAGTTACCATTGTCAAAATTCTCGATGATTGTCACGCCATTAAAATTGAAAACACGTATTGACTCTTATGAATACCAGCGGTTTCTTTTTACGGAAATACTTTTTCATTTGAGGGATGTACACTGCATGTGGCTTCGATTGCTTTTCGGATACTCATTGCATCGAGCAAAGTCTGGTTTGTGACCGGTATCGAAATTGTCCGAACGGTGTTGATGAAGCTAATTGCGAATACAGTTCGTATCTTACCTATAATTTTTATCGCGCAAATCGCAACATTCTTGTTCTAGGTCACCATCATGAACCATTGTCATTTCGTGGAAAGATCATTCTTTTCTTTATACTGATGATAATCATGTCAGTGGCTGTATCCATTATATTTGGCTGCTATTTCTGTTGTAAAGTAAACAAGAACAACAATCGCCTTAGTTTTATCACACGTGATCGAAAGTCAAGTATGAAAGTGATGAGGAAGATGTTTTGTTTTGCTAATTGACTCTCTCTCTAGTTGCCGGTGCTGACTTCGAAGAAATTCGTGCTGTTCATTCTCCATTAATACCATCGACAACTCTCGAGAAGGTCTAAATCGTTCTACAATGCAATCTTTTCCTAGTCAGTTCATTTATTTTGTCGTTCAGATATAGTCATGTTTCTATTTATTGATGTCGTTGAGTAATGTTACCATCAATATTTGTATTCACATTCTATTTTATGTTGTTTTATATATATATTTTTTTGTCGGAAATATTTTGATTTGATCTTCTGCTGAAGACAACAGAAGGTTTTATTTAACAATTAAATAATTATTACATTCAATTCAAAAGGTATACATATATATGTAGAGTGAGATAAATGAGAGAGAAAAACAAACAAATGAGACTTCATTCCACTGTTTTGATTCTGTGCACAAATGAAACGTCGAGAAAAGAAAGGCATTTCTCTTAAAATAAATATTATTGACAAACTCCGCACAGTACATCGACATATGTGCGTATCTAACCTAATTCATTCATATGAAGGACGCGAAAACAACGACAGATTCGTCTATTTCTTATTTGCACTCGAAAATATTGATTGAGTATTGCTTTCAAATAGAGAAAAATCGGTATGGGTTGGACTTGTCGGACTGGTCAATTGATTCAGTGGTACAGACGATTTTTGAGAATTGCCACGTGTATATGGCACTAAATTATTCAATGAAATATCTAGTTTGCCTTGAGCAGACGACCATGTATTCTAGAAAAAACAAACAGAAGCGATTATTTGCACAAATGACTATTCGATGCATTACATTGAAGGAATTTGTATTCATTTGCTGTGCTATGAATGGCTGCATCGAATGTTGCGGTTGAAACATAGCCGATCGGACAGATGTTTGTTCTTGAGCGTTCATTGCGAAGAGATTCGGTTGTGCCATGAAGAAGTTTAAATCATTGGAAGAGGTAGGTGGCGTTGGTTGAACAACGTTAGATGCTGTCTCCAAAGACGCAAATGGATCAAAGGTGTCTGACGATGTAGTTGGCCAAGGCGATGGTTGAATTCTACAAAAATAGACTTATGTTTTCCTCGTCTTCACTCGAAAGAGTTTTCAAACATACGAAGCAGTTGGTGACACCGCTTCTTGAAATTGACCGAATTCATCATCTTGTGGCGCTTGGACATAAGATGTAAAATCGACATCGTCTCCTAACAGATCGACAACTGGCTGTTCGGTTGGTTTAATATCAGTAGAAGACTAAAGAGAAATCGAAATTTGTTCATTTAAGTTCATGTTTCAGCTTGTGCAAACGAGTTTAACAATTTCATTGGTGTTAAATAGCTGTCTACATCTGAAATTCTCTTCGATAGATTGATTGAAGTCGGCATTCATTGTGGATGATAGACTGATACTTCAATCTCTATCGTTATCGAAACTGATATATAATATGTATGATCAAATAAAGAAACGACAAGTGCAGGTTGGATTCACTTGCGTAGGGTTGATGAACATTGATATTTTTCTTGGCAAAATTCATAACACTATGAATATTTGTTCATACATAATGTTTTCAAGGCTTGCCTTACATAAATCTCTGTCATTCGATGGATTGTTTACCTTAGTTTTTGTATGGTTTTCTTCTTTTTTCCAGCTTTTTGATTTTTGATTTTCCTCGTCGCTAAAAACAGATAAACAAAAGTTCGATCGAAAGTTCAATGGTCAAATTTGCTCAGATTGGTATGAATGGATGAGAAATGCAATCATCAAATTGACATCAGATGACGCGCATGAAAATAATCATCATAGCAAATTTTCAGTTTACCTAACATCAGCGCAGTAGTCTGGCGATTTTGAACTTTGCTCTGGTTTGGACTTTCGACGTTCGGTGTGATCATTATCTTTCCATCGATCATCTGTGAATCACACGATCAAGAATCAATGACGAATGAGAACCGAAAGAAAACATACTGTAGCTATAAGGTGAAGATTCATGACTTAAACCAATGTATTTATCTCGATTGGCTTTCGCACGTTTCCGTTCTTCACGAATACGATCATCGTCTTGAACGAATTCGATCAATTCTTTGACTTTATGCCGAACTAAAATAGACTATCGTAAGAGCAGAATCAAATCAATACTAGCGTACTATTAATTCCTTGATCTTTGCCATGTTCGTCATGATATGCGAAGTTTTCTAAGCTCTTCAAATCGTATAGATGTTCGCGCGTTGAGGTAATCACCTTGTCGCTACCATTTTTGATTAAATACGTTAAAACGAGAAGTGACTAAACAGAGAATAAAATCGATTTTCAAGAAAACCATTGTTGTTTTTTTTCAAAGCATACTTTATATGTTCGTCTCCAGTTCTTCTTGTCTTGACCAAAACAGCGTTTCCACAACATTCCGATCAACTGAAATATTCTCATGAAGAATCTTCGTATAGTTTCGAAAAGCTCAAGTCTTACCTCGTTGTAATTTTCGGGTGAAAAAGATAACTGGGAAAGATCTTGTAGTAACGTACCAGACGGACCCCACGATTCATCGTTCGTGGCTTCGACAACTTTTGCTTCTGTATCTGTGTAATTCATGACGATATTTGTTGCTTTATCAAAGAGTTCTCGAACAACGTATGGCATTGCTGGGATATAACTTCCAAGATTAAATTTACTTAAATCCATTTTGTGTCCGGCCTGTTTACTATCTTCTACTTGAACTTCTGCGATGGTATGGGGTAGAGCAAAATAACAACCTCACCTCCCTCCGATAAGCTACCATCGGATTGGATATGTTCGACTATGTTCATAGGACTTCGTGAAAGTTTTCTTCGAATTTCAATTGTTTGGACGAATTTTCCAGGGAAAAGTAAAATAATTTCGAATATATGACAGAAATTGTTGTCAACAAAACAAATGGATTAGGATAGGTGTCGCTCGGAGATTATCAAGACTGGTCCAGATGACGACCAATTGACAAATTCTTGTTACTATATGTATTTTGTGATGAATTGAATCTTGATACCAAAAGTGAGTACTGTATTCAATTTCGATGGTTTAGAAATTGGGATATTTTGAAAATTTCTATTGTCACTCTGGTATTGGATATCATCGTTTAGGGAGGCCGTGAGTCAACGGTGTACTTAATATTCAATCTAAAATCTGGGTTCTGCATAGATTAACTTCAGGAAAAAGAACATGTTTCTTGATGGCGCATTCAATGAGTGATCTTATTTTGAAAAATCTGTCATTCGCTACACAACAAATCAAAGAGCGGCTAGGAATCTATAAGTTAGTTTCACAAATTCACTATAAAAAATGATTACCCTTCGATTTTAAGATCTCGACGGGTATTTTTCGTGTTTATCCTTGTGGCTACAATCATACTCTATTTTCTATCGAAGTGGACACCACGTCGGTCAAACTATAAGACTGGTAACATTTTCCACTGTAGCGAATATCCATTCAATTTCCATTTCTATCTTTCAGTTTTATATGATGCTTGCATTCAAGAGAGATTAGATGCATTCGCTGGTGATGCAGCAGATAAGGATGCTATTTTCAATCATGAGCCCATTCACTACGAAGAACATGCTAGTTTACCATTTACAGGTGAAATTTAGAATTCAATCAAACGACTTATTTCATCGATTATGTAGGTAATGGATATATTGGCATATCCCACTCAGGCCAGTCTCATCTTCAACTGATATCTGATACAAATGCTCCATTTATTTCCACTGGTTACTCTCCTATCATCCAAATCTATTCAGCGACTTGGGAAGTATCAAGCGCAACTGTGCTTCACATGAATCATGGTCTTGTGAGGCGACTACAATGTTTTAAAACTAGTACAACACGTTCCGCCTATGTTACACATTTGCTGTATGCACATCGTCGTCGTCCTTCATTGATTGTACAAGAAATCGACATCGTCAATCCAAGTGAACAAACGTTAGATTTAAGCTTTGCTTTGCCAAAATCCGTTCTTAGTGGTGATCTCAAACAACTTGAACAAAGCGAGTCGTCCGACGGCAAAGCCTTTATCACCACTTATAAAATATCCCTTCGAGATCGTAGTTCCATTCTCTTTGTTTCTATAACAAGTAAAACTCCTTCTGAAAGTCATGTTAAACCCAATAGGTATAATTTAATTTGTTTTTCATATTTTTTTCATGTCCACACATTGATTTGTTTAGTCAAGATAAACATGTGATTTTAACCGTGACCAGATTTTCTCCCATTCTTCACAATGATAAACTACGCAACACAACATTTCTCAGTCGATGGAAAACTACTTTGCAAAAACAAGCCGCAGACGAATTAAGCGAAGTTTTGGAAATCAATCCAAAATCTCTATTAAAAGACCACATACAAACATGGACATCGGTATGGCAAAGCGGATTCTCTATCAGTCATTCATTAGCACCATCTGCTATGAATGGTGACGTGATTAATCGAACGATATATTATGTTTTGTGTTCGACGCCTTCCCCACTGTACGATTCGAAGTTAGATGACACAACACGAATCGAATACAATCAGAGTTTATTTCAAATCGATCGGTGCTATGAAGGTCATTCAACATTGTAAGAAAAGCAGATGTTCATCGTCGAAAAATGTTCTACTTTCGATTGTAGAGTCGGTGATAAGCTATGGCGTGCACCAGGTGATGATCTAGCTGTTTCACAGTTATCTCTTCTTTGGCGTTCCACTCTATCGAAGAAAGGCTGTTCTACTCTAATGAAAAGCGGTAAGTTCATTTTTCTTCTCAGCTTGACATCAAGATTTCTTTCGTCAAGGTGTCAATGGTATGCTCCAATCGATGCTAATTTCGATTGGTGGTATTCGTTTTCGCAATCATCATTTGGAATTGAATCTTGACCCTAAAGAACTTCATCGTGATATGTTCTTCCGTGCAATTCATTTCGGTAAACAATATTGTATCAATATAACTATTACCGTTGGGCAAGATAATCGTGCTGTGATTGATGTTTCGATTGATAATGATAATACTCAAACATATGCATGTGATGCTGGCTGTTTAGATTCGTATACGAAACTAAGGTTTGACGCGTGCTCTTCGTAAAATAATCTAGATGTTTTCGTTAATCGATCTAGTACGACACCTGTTCGATTTCCTGTGAAAATGACGAACCCTGCAACTGCTATTCTCTATATAACCGAAGATTTAGAATATATGACCCAATTGAAAGATACGCTTCATGTCAAAGAAGTTGAAATAGGTACTTGAAAACATCTATTCTATGATTTGTTTTTCTAAACGCCTTTCTTTCTTTCTTTAGCTCCGCCTCATGCTCACGATATTCTTGCTCTTCATCGTCATGGGCACAAACTTGGTGGCTTACCCGTCATTTTCTGGATAGCATTAGCATTCTTAATCGTCATCTTTCATTTGTTTTTATTGAAAATTGTTCTCAACGAAATGGGATTTTTTAAACATACATCAATCACACATCCGAGACCGAGGACTCTATAGACATTCGATACTTTTTCTTCTTTGTTATTTTGTTTCTCTTCACAAAACATTGACACTTTGTAATTATTGAAGTCGCATTTTTTTCTTTTTTTTCGATGGCTTTTTGTTTCTATCTGCATACTAAACGGGAAGAGTTGGAACAAGTTTCAATTGTTCTTTAATGTTAAAATGCTTCTACTAGTTGAAGTGCAAAACATGCTTTCGATCAAGTCATGGCCGAAAACAAAAGAACCGGCATCGTATCAAGAAATTTATAATCATGTTGAGCATTTTGGTAGTGAATGTTCGCAATTTATTGATATTATCGAAATCGATTATTATCAAGGAACAACATCAACTGAGATTGCTCTATCAAAAGATCGAATAACGCATCGGGCACTGTCTGTGATTACAATACAAACATGGTCGCGACGGTTGAATCAATTACGAACGATTGCCTGTTCAAAAGATTTTTGCAGTGCTGAGTCGACTAGAGAGTTCTTAAATGGAGAGCGATTGATCGATAGTGAAATTATTGCTTTGATTGAAAGAATTAACAGTAAGATACGACAACAGTTTAAAGTAGAAATTCCCGTATTAATCGAGCGATTGAATGATTGTATGGAAATGATGAAACAATATTTCTTATCGTTTTATCAAATCGAAAGCATTCAACGTATCATTGAAAACGATCAGGAAGAAAAACTTCATGTAAGCAGACGATAGATTCAATCTACCGTACAGGATGATTTTGTTTTCTCTAAGGATGAACTATGAGAAATCTCGCGGTTTACATATCTTTCAAATAGATCAATCGTTGAAAATACTTCGTGAAATGTCACAACGAATCCACCAGGCGGAAGACGTACCACTGTCCACATTATCGAGAGAATGTCTATCGTATCCGTTTGTCTTTGTGCTACCAAGATGCTACCATCGAGCACGAGAAATATTGAATATCTTTCAAACATGGCTACGTGAAGACATGATATACACGGAATTTATTGAGAGGTAAGAACTTACAAGTCTGCCAGAGAATATTAATCGAAATTTTGATTCAGATCGTTGAAATCCTTGGACAAAAAGTATCGCGAAGCGAAACAAGCATGGGAGTTGAGTAAAAGTCAGTATAGTCAAATCAAATATCGAGTACGAATGGTTTTGAACTTGAATATGCTTATTTATTGTCTTCTTTTTCAAGACGGAGACTCGTGATACTCGATTGAAGAAACTCGAACAAACTCAATTAGAAACCGATTTCTTTTCGAAACAGCAAGATTATTCTTCGAAATGCTTCAAACGTCAAATCTATGCTATGCGCCTTTATGAGTTATCGCACCGATTGAAGAATGCCCATGGTAATCATACAACGATTGGAAAATTTCAAACCGGTTTTAAGGATTTATCAAAAGAACTGCCAGAGTTGGAATCAAAGATTGCAGGTTTCCGAATACGACGACATACTTTCCAAAAACATGAATGAATATTGATGAAGATGCATGACGAGGATATGAAAAACAATCAGGATTTACAATTGACTATGGATAATTAACTTGAGAAAGAGAGGCAACTAACTCGCATAATACATTGCCGTGACATCATTCGAAATATTTATCAATGTCGAAAGAGGAGGGATTTGGCTCAACAAATATTCTATGGTTTACCAATAATTCAGTGTCATGATGGTGAGATTTCCCTTATTTGACAACTCATCATTGGTTTGTGTCGTTGTAGACGATCTTTGCAAAACATTCTCTATCGTATCGAAAACGATTGGTCGTGATTGGGATCGGCTCTACCGGGAATTACTATTTCATCCTAAACGGGGTCAAGAAGAATTGTCCAACGATCTGAAAATCATCAGTAGAAAGTATGAGCGTGGAAATACTTTCCAAGTAATATAACGATTGATTTGTACCTACTGCAATAGTCCTTCTAGGACCAAACAATGGATGCATTGAACAAATGGTGACGATCTCATTAGCGGACTTCGGCAAATTCGTCGTTTCGACGTCATACGAGCAGTTCAAGACAACAGCATCAAATGCCAAGATGTATCCGTTAGCGACCTTGACGAAGCCAATATACAAACGGAAGACATCGAAGGTTTAAACCAGAAGCTTGTCCTATTGTTTGAAAAACTGAGAGCAAACGGTTCGACTACATAACTGTCGGGCATCAATAGACTATCAAGGTATGAAATATTTACTCAGGCCAAAATAGTATTAAGTGCGCAACGCAGCACTAACCTGGCTGTCGCGACAATGAAACATTACATTCATAAATATCAACATGAATAGATCTTTTCAGTTTCCATGTACATTAACATCGATGAATAGAATGATTAATTTATTTTTTTCATAAAAACAACAGAGGACATAGAAGTGCGTATTTGCTCACTATTCTTTTAATTTTCTTTGTCAGCATCGATAATCACATGTTACAAGCAGGCAATCTTTTCCTGAAAGAAAAATAAACTGTACCTTTCTATTTGTTCGTTGTGTTTTTTTGTAAAGATTCGTTCTCTTGCTGCTTTTCTCTCGCCTTTCCCTGCATTTTCATATCCACTCACATGTCGCCATGTTCGAATAACACCAATGGCTCGTGTTTGAACGAAGGCATATGCACTTCTGGCATTTGTATCTGTTCAAATGAATGTTTTCACGGTGATCGTTGTCAAACATACTACAATGTACTTAGTCTTCCATTCTCTTCCGCGATGGCAGAAGACACTTCCGATGCACACATTGTCTATATTATGTTGTTGACACTTATAGTCATCATTGGACTTTTGAATAATATTGTTTGTATCGTCATATCGACACGTGAACATATTCGGATCACCGCCAATGGGGTTTATCTATTCATAATATCGGCTAGTGGCATTGTACGTAAACTATTTCTGCAAACTGTGGTTTTAACGATCATCGGATACGATTCATCATCGTTACGTACATGGTCATGCTATGTCAATCCTTACATATCGTTGGTCATAGGTTATGCATGTATCTGGATAAGTGTTGCGATTGCTACCGAACGCGTTCTGATCGAATGTTTCAATATGGAGTTGTATGAAACGCATCGACATGCGATAATAATTTCGATTGGATGTTTTATCTATTCATCGGTATCAAACCTACCGAAAATCTTTGCTCGAGAATTTATTCTTAGTCCATCGGGAGAGTCAATTTGCATGTATGATTATATCTCACATCCAGAATGGAACATACCAGATACTGTTTTTTCTTATATCAATGTTATCGTTCCGTGTGCTGCTCATTTGATTTGTACTGGATGCGTGTTAACAACAATAGTTCGCCGCAAGATACTCATATGCAAAAATAGTCAACCGCAGCAGCGTCTCTATCGTGTTTGGTTACGTCAGTTGTACTTTCATCGAGATTTTCTAGTCCCACCTCTATTTCTCATCTTTTGTCTTTTACCAAATGCAATCCACGGACATTTAATTGCGATTTGTATACAATACAACAACGTCGCACATCTTCGTCTGCACATTGTTTGCATATTTCTACTCCATCTTCCTTTCGTATTCATTTGTTTAGTGTATATCTATCCAAACCAATCGTATCGGAAGGAGTTCCGGCACACATGGTTCTATCGAACACTGTGTTGCGGTTTATCGCGAAAGGATAAAAAGAAAGTGCAACAACGATACCAGCTAACTGCCAAACTAACCCTCTCCGAGCTTGTAGAAAAGTCTAGTTCGCAATGAAGATGTTCATTTAGGAGACACGGTATGTTTGATCGAATAAAATTTCAATTGCCAATGGCTAAACATATGACAATGCTCATTAATATTCATCAACATTCGGTCTATACGTGAAAACGTAGAAGAACTACATTTGAAAGCAAAATGTTAACATGGAAAAACAAACGATTAATTTTGTTGTCATAATTTGAGCATAACTCGCAAAATCCAATTATGTAATTTTCTGCTTTCAACACGCCCTTTTCTCTTCTTATTTTTAAGAAGGGTCGAATTGTCATACTGTTTGTTTTCTATTACATTAAACAGCATTTAAAATGCGTTGTCACACGGCGAAACATTTCTGTTGTGATACATTTCTTTTTCAAACAAAGAGAGAAAATCAAGAGAACATAAAGGACATACATCATTCAATCATTTCGTTTTGCGCAAACGCAATACGAAAAGATGACGAAAAGAACGAAACGAGACCGTTTAAGTAAATGGGATGACGGAGAGAATCCATTGAATGACGATCAGGATGATTACATCTCCGAACGATCATCCATTCTCTCGCTTGAAGGACATTTCCGAGGTCCAGACGGTGCTACTAAGCAGCAGCAACAGCAGCAACAACAACAACAACAATCACAACCGTATCCACAAGGCGATCAACAACAATATCAGGACCCGTATCTCAATGGGGAAGGACCACATACTCTTCGATATTTCTACAATGAACTACCTGAGCATGGCGTACCTGCAGCGACTGTCGTTAAGGAAAGTAAGAAAGAAACGAAAAGAAGAATAAAAGAAGAAAGGGAAGCAAGGCGCGGCCAAGGACAACTCGTTGAAGGACCTGGCGCTAAGCCGATAGTGTCCGGCGAGATGCACGATAACTACTACCCTTATTGGTATTACTATAAAGCGAAAAATCCCGATTGGATTATGCGTCAACAACAATATAATAATGCGCCGTTTATGCCTGCTCCTGAGCCGACAACTAAAATTGATCTGACCGAGCCAGAAAATTTACCTATTGAACCTAAACTGACACTTGCACAACAAAAGGCACGCAAATATCAATATGGTGATCGTAATACACCCGATATCAAATATAACCGTATGCGACGACGTTATGAAATGTTAGGTAAGGATGGAAAACCAATAGATGGTGACGGAACTAATGATCAAGAAGGAACATCCTCGAAACAATATATTCCTTTGAAAGATGGTGATAATGAAGATGATCCACGCTTACGAAAGAATGGCCGATATTCTCGGTCCGATTCACGTGGAAAGCTTCACACAGAATATGATTGGGCTGAACACTATACAAATTATATGAGAAACAAATCCGCTCTTGGAAATCATAGCGTAAACTATAAACCCAACATTCGATCGAAACATCGCAGAAGTAGAAAAGATTATGATCCGCTTCGTGGCATCTACGGAGATGATGATGATGAAAATGGGCCTAATGGAGAACGCAAAGATCAATATTATACTTCCCGTGGAAGAAACTATAGTCCCAACGCAGCCTATAATCGTAATAATCGTTATACAACTAGATCTCAACAAGATTACACAACTTCTTCGAATCGTTATGGCCAACAAGGATACAATCAATCTCAACCACGTTCAAATCAAAACTATTCCGCACCGCACGGTGATCGAAATGGACCAAACGGTAATAACTACAACCACTCTCATGGTCATTCCCATAGTAATGGTTACGGTTACGGTCACGGTCAAGGTCAGAATGGTAATCAAAGAAATAACCACTACATATCATCCAAAGATATGACTGGTACTGGCTTTCGAGTTATGGATGCTTCAGGACGTACTGGAAACGGAAACGCTTTGGTTCAAGAATATTCGCGTGGTCGTGGTCCACCATCCATCTATAACCAAGGTTCATTGCTTCCATCGATTTCACGTGATTATCTTGATCGACCGCATCCAGTGGACTATTATGGCACACAAGCATTGACAAACGACTGGAAAACGCTATCCTACGCGCCTCTAGTATATAAATCGAACGCTCGAACGAAATTTTACGATCGTTATTTGAGCAATGTGATAGATAAACGTTTGTTTACATGAAGAACGTTCTTTGTACAATTTTTCTTTCGGTAAAAGCAGTAATCGACAAAAATAGTTAACATTTCGAATTGAAATCGGCAACGTAAAAAAAGTGCGTCATTCATTCACTTCAGATTGCATCTTGTGTGATGCACATACACGAAGAGACGCGTAAGAAATCGAAAAGCTTGAGAGAAACAAAAGCTTTTTCGTTCGATAGCAGTGACAAGATCTGTAGATTCTTTCTCCGATTTGATTTATATTACCTTTTCGATGATGAGATGTCAAGGTTCAAGTCTTTGCTAGTCAGTACGTCTCATCGTTCGAATACTTCGTTTAGTGATGCGTGATGCTCTAATTAATCTGATCAAGAAGAGTATCTTCTGCTTATTCTCGTCCAGGATTACATAGTATGACTCGTGATGAACGTCATCGATCCGCCTACAGAATCGATACAAGTATTGAACTCAGCGTCCGACGACGAGGTGCGCCATCTATTCATGCGTCATTCAATTAGTTCGAAGCAAACTGATTATGCCTACATCCAACAACTGATAGATGAAAGAAAAAAAAACAAATCAAATATTTATAGAAACGTCCAAGTTATAATTACCAAATTACCTTGCAAACTAACAGTGCAGTTGATTTGTTCAGAAAATCTCCTTGGTTTAGCCGAAACGATTGAAATCAAAAGAAATACTTTTAGATTTAGTGTCTAATATACTATGCTAATCGACGACGAAGGTGCATTACGTGACTGGCTTGTGGTCACACTTGAACCGATGTAAGTTCATATGGAGATAGTTGTTTTTCATTTTGACTTTGATTGCCTTTGGTAGATGTGACGCCGAACCTATTGCTCTAGCTCGTTATGTACTTGCACTAGTTGCTAAAGACAAACCCCTAGATAAATTACGTGAAAATTGTGTTGATCGCCTAGAAGTTTTTCTTGATCGAGGTAAGCGAAATGAATTTTTGTCGAAATTCAATCTACATTTACGTTCTTTTTGTCTTTGTCTTAGCTACGAAAGATTTCGTCGATCAATTATTTGATGCAATACGAAATCGAAAATATATCACCGATGGAAAGAAAGTAAGAGAAACGAATGAGACAAAAGAATGCTTTCATTGATGAACTCTAATAGGAAAATGTCCAACCGAAACCAATTGAAAATATTGTCGAACTATCCGACAGTCAGCAACAGCAGAATGTTCCATCATCATCATCGAAAGACGAAGAAATTCAATCGAATACAATCCCAACAACGTCGTCTTCATACTCGGCCAAAAGGTATGATTGCTAGATGAGAAAATGTTTCTTGAAATATCTTTTTTAAGACGGTACTCATCACGTCGCAATGATAATCATAAACGTCCATCTCCAGGTTCACCGGCAGCGAAGCGCTCTCAGCGTACTTATTCCCATTCTTCAACTGATTCGTCATCTCCTCCATCGCCAGCAACCGCATCTAAAATTCCTTGTAAAGACTTTTTTGATAATAAGGGCTTCTGTGCTTTGGGCGATACATGTCCATATGATCATGGATCGAACGTTCTTTCTCTGGAACAACAAAACTACTATTCATCTTATCAACCATATGATAATTCTTCATCGCATTTTCATCAACAATACAATCCTGAAACACCTGATTTGAAATACGATTCACATCCTATATCATCGATGTATTCAAGACAACCAGCACCACCTGGTCAACGAACATTAGTTACTGTAGTTACCAATGCGGAACCATTGCCATTAGAACAACGACTACGGCACAATGAATCAGGTAGATATCCAATCGATTGCTTGTTATTTGTAAATGAGATCTCCGGTTTAGGCGGCCCAATGCCTCGCACAAAACGACATGTGACCACGACGCCTTATCCCACAGATAAACGAGCTCAACAACGTGATCAAGGAAAGCATGATGGTTACCATAATAGAAATCGTCGACGTCCATGTACGCTTGATGAATTTATTTACAAATGTGTGATTGTGAAATTTTTCTATAGGGCAAAAATCGGATTCAGCATCATCAGGAACAGCAACTCTTGAAATACGTAAAATTCCTGCTGAATCTAATACAATTTCCAGATTAAACGAACATTTTAGTAAATTTGGTACTGTTACCAACGTTCAGGTACATTTACTGAATGTTTGGAAAAGAATCTTACAGTCATCCATTTAGATTGCTTTTGACGGTTCACCTGATTCAGCACTCATCGCTTACGGTACATTTCAAGAAGCTGAAACGGCATATAAAAACCCCGAACCATTATTCAACAATCGTTTTATCAAAATCTTCTGGCATAATCCCAACAAAGTACTGTTCATTTCCAGCCCATGCTTATCTTCAAAAACATCTTTTAGGCACAGAATCCATCGAACCCAACTTTACCAGCGCCAGATACTAATACAGCAAAGAAACCAACTACTCCTTCTAATCCGACGAAACACCATTGGGCAAAAGGTCCAAAATCTTCTCCAACGAAAACTGAAGTAAATTTGATCATGTCATTTTTTCGTCAGTCCAGTTCTTCTCTTCAGACACCACCAAAAAAGAAACCAACGATTCCACCTGCTCCTTCGATAATCAAAAAAGAGGCAGCAAAGAAAGCGGCCATTGAAATTCGCCGCAAAAAGCAGGGCTTGTTGGAAGAACAAATTCAGCAGCAAAAGTTGCTACTGAAGAAACTCGAAACAGCCGAAACGCCTGAAGAAAAAGAATCGATTCGTTCATTAATGAAGCAAGTCGATGCGACTATCGTCACACTCAAAGATTCGTTACATACAGCACCAATCAAAGCAGTAGCAGCGGCAGCCATACCAGCTACTAAAGTTAGTCAACAAGATCTCCTCAAACAACGTGCTGAAACATTGAAAAAACAAATCGAAAGCCTTCGAGCTAAAACATCTGCAGATATGGTACATAGAAAATCATTTTTTTCCACCTCATATTCATACTTTCTTTGTTCACAGCGGCGTGCAATGAGTAATACATTAGAAACCAAACTTCCTCCTGCCAATCAAAGTGCCGAGCCTGATGTCGACGAAGAGCTTCGTTTACTGAACGAGGTCAACGATAATCAATACTTGCTTGACAATGATAAAAGTCGAAATCAACAATATGAACTCGAAACTCACGATGAAGTTCAATTACTCGATTAGTAATACAGCAGTTTCCTTTCTTCTGTCTCGTTAAATACCGAGAAATTCTTTATATGTATGTGTGTATGTGAAAATACTTTTTACTTTTGTTTTTGGATCAATGTTTTGTTCATTTCCCCGTTTCGATGTCATTAGGAACATATCTAACAAAACGTCAAGAAAAAGAAAATCGATATGCATATATTCTATAGAATAAAAATCATGATCACAACCGATGATTTACTGGCAAATTCAATCGATTGTAATCAGAAAAGAAACCCTCTATCAGTCATTTATACAATCACGTATGATTCAATGACCTTACTGTACGTTTGTCTTACATGGAAAAGAACACTATCATATTGATTAACGAGGTAATTCATCCGTAACTACGTCATGACAAATCAAGGATTGAACATAAAAAGAAAGAAACCATTTGGATATTATTACATCGCTTTTTTCCCCTTTCTTTTGTTTCGTTAATAATCAACAAATTTTTATAGAAAATTTTCGCAAAATACATTTCTATAGGATTTATATCTACATAGGTATTCTATATCGATGAATGAATACTATTGAAGATTGATAATAATAATAATAATAATGCGAAGTCTTTCGTTACAAGAAAGAAATGAAGGTTTCATCAATCAAGTAAATGACAATCACTTGAGGGTCACTCTTGTTACAATGAGACGAATATTAATACTAACTGACATGTTGAATTTTGAAAGCTGTTTATTAACTAAATAAGCCCGCTCCAGACTTTTTTTACCATCGAATTTATATCGTTTGAAAATGATTGTTGTGTGTTGATGGCTTTATTTCCCTGATAAGTTACCTGACTTGACAGGTGTCTGTCATACGTTGCTTATTAAACCTCATTTAGTGATATGATATGAAACTCAAGATCAACCAATAGATTTCTATGTGCATATGGATATATATACATGTATGTATTCAATCATTGCAAGTGGTTTGTTAACTAATGATCAGACACCGTGTCATTTTTCTCGCATTAAAATGTTTGGAATGTAATTAGACATTGGTAGTATGAGACGGATTTTTTTCCGTTGGGAAAACGAAGCTTTTCTAGAACGGTTTTGTGCGTCACGATCGAAAATTATTGCTTATTGTATCAGTTGTTTTGAATCGAATGTGTTAAGATTTCTATCGATGTTTACTGGCTTTTTTGATTGATCAAAATCAAATTAACATCAGCTCATCAAAGAAAATACCTTCTAATGATTTTTTTTCCTCTTAACTGTGATTGTTACGGTCTAATGAGCATTCTTCTAGAATACTCTGCATCGACGTTAGCAAATAATGATAACAGTAGTGGCTAGAGATAGCGTCTTATTTCTGGTTATTTACGATAAGGAGAGAAAAAATAGGAGGTAGTCGCGAGTATTTATTTATATTGAAAAATGGTTTATTTGGTAGAAGAATCTAATCAAGTTATCGAAGGAAAATCAGCGATCGTCGAATCAAAATCGTTTTCAAGTATACCATCCAACGACACGGAACAGGAGTTATCTGATATATTCTCCGATACGATGAATATCAAAACACCCGAACGAGTAATTTTTGTGAAAGATTCGAAACCATTGTAAGTATGAGTAGTATGCAAACGATAGATCTTACGTGTGTCTGATTGTGTAGAGCGAGACGGAGTGTTCTTTATTTGGGTGCAGCGATTCCCGCTGCGGCTGCCAGTGGTATCGATTCGATACAAGAACCATTGTCCAAACGATATCCAATCAATGGGGAAGAACATGCTTGTGGTATGTTTCCCTACGAATAGTTGTGTATGTGGATATCTACATTGTACATATAGGCATTGAGGCTTGGCTGTCGATCGATGAAAATGGTTTACAGATACAATTTCGTGATGATCCATCGATGATGGTCTACTATCCACTTCGTTCGCTTGTTTATTGTGCTGGTGTACGTTATGTGAAGCACAGCAAGTCCAATGGGCGATCATCGAATGGTTATCGATTCGTCTCGTTAGAAGATCCCGAGACAGATCTGATTCAAAACGCTCGAAATCCGCCAATATTTGCGGTAACTCTTCAACGGACACGGCATTTGCCTGTAAATGAATGTCACTGCTTCGTCACCAAAACGAAAAGTGCTGCTTTGGAACTAGTCGAAGCTTGTTTTGATGCTTATCAAAGCACTAATTCTGACCAAGACCTTTCGAAAACACCTCTCTATTTCAAAGTAAGTTTATCGCTATCGAGTAATAGCTCATGTGCCAATATGTCCTTTAGATTAGCGATGACGGTACAACAATGAAAGAAACGGATCGTGGAATTTACATCGTACCAGCATCTGACCGAGAAAGACTGTTCAATTACCAATGTAGCCGAGAAGCTGACGGATTCTTCTACAAAACAGATAAAGTTTTAATTAAATGTTGGGAATTATCTGAGCATCGCGGGTCGGCAGATCGTCACACACTAAGTGAACATTCATCAAGTTCACGCTCATCGCACTACTCACATCAACATGATAATAAGACAACAGTTCCCAAGAAGCAACAAGCAGTACCGCAATCTCCATCTTCAGGTCATTCAAACGAACAGTCGGTCACGAAACATACTGATCCCGACAACCCAATTGCTAATTCTTCACGTGTTCAACGTATCAAAGATCCAAATTCAGGTCGAGATGTGTACGTACGATGGATGAATAACATGCCATCTATTCCAGAACAGTTAACACAAGCATCCAGTTTTGAGACTGTTGCAAACTCTCTTTCGGAAGATGCAATTCAAAAGCAGCTATCCGCAGAAATTGTTCGGTTAGCACTGGTAACGACACCTCAAAAACCATCGATCACTTATGAAAATAAACCATCTATCGAACCACCCAAACACGATAAGAAAAAATCATCGAAGAAAAAACATCGAAAGCATAAACATCAAAATCCTCCACCTAACGACGATCGCTCGAAACGAAAAACTTCAACAAAAAAATCTAAACAACATCGATCTCGATACGATGAAACATACTATCCTTCGCCTACAAGCAATCTGCAGCAAAATTATCCAACACCACCTGTTCCTCTTCCTCAGCAAGACTACTCCAAAGCTTCTTATCCACAACAATACTATTCGAATTCTTCCTATGTTCAACCGGACCATAAGCAACCGATCTACCCTCAACCATCGTTCTCTTCCGCTTCCTTTCCTGCGAAGCCTTCCTATACGCCACAAATATTTTCATATCCAATCGATCCTAGTACTTCATTCAGTGGAAAACCTCTTCCACAAACAGCCTCGTATCTATATCATACCCTGCAACCGTATTTAAATTCGAGTAATTCGAATTCAACAACGCCATATTGGTTTTATACGATGTAATCTGCTTCTTTTTCGAACTTGTGTTTACTATTTGAAAAATATAAATGCGCCTTGCGAAGAAAATATACATTGAATATAAAATGAATTTTCAACGCTATCTCATTGCAGGTCATATTTATGAATTAAATCTCGAAAACATCAAAAGGATACCTTCATTGATTTTTAATAATCAGATGCTTATGAAACAACTTTATGATCCTGTACGACAAGTCTATTGTATTCCACGGAATCGAATGTTTTTTGAACTGATCGTTTTTTATGTAAATCACGGAATTCTATCGAAACCGATCGATATACCACTAGTAAATTTTCTAAAACAACTCAAAATCCCACGTTTCGATTTTCTACATCAGGACTTGTATACGGAAGAACTGAAGTATTACTTTTCCGATAATGAATTTTTAACGAATTTAAAGAGAAAATACGATATTCCTCAATTGTACGAGACGACGGAAATCCGTTATTTATCTCGGCCGGGAAAGAAACGGTTCCTTTGGCGCGCAATCGAATACAACGAAACTTTATTTGGCCCATTTTATCGTTTTTCTTACGGTTTAGTTTGTCTCATTTCGATATTTTTATTTCTCTATGAAATCATCGTTACTCGAAACGAACACTTCATTAAATTTACCGAAAGATACCGTGGCTATGTGCAAAATTCCATTCATCCAGTCAATATCACTGTTCAGTTCATTGATTATCGTCCACAGATGACATCTTGGTGTTTTCGGTCGGAAATTCTTTTCGCTTCTCTCTGGACATTTGAATTATTCGTACGAATATACTCCGCACCGAACTTTCGATTCTATATCAAATCAGCCTTATTCTGGTAGAAAGCATACGAAGCAAAACAAGAAGAACTTCTATGATATTTTAGGATTGACATAGTTAATTTGCTTAATACGTTGATTTATATTCTTCTGGGATTTGCGCACAACCAACAGAAGGAATTACAAACCGATTATATCAAATCTGTGACGCTGTATTTTCAAATGATTGATATTTTCAAAACATTAAGAATGATCAAACTTGGAAGATATCATCGATCGATCAAATTAATCATTGAATCCCTCGGTTCGTTCATCTCTAACCTTATCCAGTGCATACTTCTATCGAACATTTAGGGAAAGCTTCGATGGAGTTTCTAACCTTATGTACCGTTCTATTCGGTAAGAAGAACATCATTCAGTATCGTCCATCAGTTGAATTTTAGGCACCGCTTGTGTATTTGGTACGATTATTTATGCAATAGAACGAACAACAAATCCCACATCAACTGTCCTATTTCCGAATGTTGGTACAAGTGTTTATTACACAATCTTAGCAATCACAAACGTTGGTTTCGAAGGATTTCTACCTTCGACTTATTTAGGTAAATGGATGGCTTGTGCAGCAATTACAATTGGAATATTATCAAGTAAAAACAAACTTTCTCCTCACAAGCTAAATGATTTCCTATCGATGAGTTAGGCGCATTAACACTACCACTGATTCTGTCACCGTATAATCGACAATTACTTATGAAGACTAAAACTGTTATCTATCGTGATGAATTCGATGTCGAACTATCGCACGATGATTTTGATGTAAAATACACTCGTCGATATTGACGCGAGGCAATCAGATAACGCCGTGACTGTACATTAATGCATCTCAAATCAGTTAAATATTTCGATTTCGTAAAAGCCGAGAAGGTCATTGTTGCATGCCAAGAAATCAGATAGGAGATTATCATTGTCCGATAATTTCATACTCAACGCATCGCATGCGAACTATTTCTCGAAATGAATCTAACTAATTAACACAATCGATGTCATTGAAGAAGAAAGATATAAATAGAAAGTGAAAATTATTGTCGTATGCTCGATTAATTCAATTGACATATTGCAGAGAAAATTGATCGGATTGCTAGTCAATCGTAAGAGAAAAAGAAAATATTTATCTTCAAGATGGAAACATTGGCCGGATGAAAAAGAAGACGAGAGCGTACAGCATTCGAAGTTTTCAATCGATTTCGAGTTGCAATCAAACGCAGGTGACATCTAGGCTAGCGAGAAAATGCATAGGTTTTCTCATCGATAATCGCTGGAATCGCTTGGAAGAAGCTTATTATGTGAAAGCGCGAATTTTCCTTGCGGACATTCAGAGCAATTCAGTTACTAAGGAGGAAATTTGAAATATAAATTTGTTTTCTGTCTGGACGATTTCGACCAATGAGAAGTGAGTCAGAATCCTCTAGCAAATCGACATAACATTTTTTTTCTTTTTAGCTTCTTCTTTTCTCTCACATAAGACACGAATACGAACAGCAACATTATTATGTCTTTCTCGCTCACTCTCTTCACGTAGAGGGACGCGCAGGCGTCGAGTACACACTACAATCTCTCTACCTATATTGTTCAGTCATTTTGTTCATTCTGTTTTAGTATTTAACCAACTTACAAAACTTGATTTCATCGTCCAAAATTTGTGACGAGTAAAAACAGAAAAAAGAACGAAACTATTAAACTAAACATATTTATTCATTCATTGCTGTCCAAAGTTTGGTCAGTCGTCATTATTGAAAACGTTTGTTTTTTTTAAAGTAAGATTCACCATTCGTATGTTTTCTCCTATGAACCACATATTGTGCTTTCAGATGAATTGGAGTGAACTTTTTATATAATATCCAGCAAAACATTTCTTCTTCATTGTTATTAATTCTTATATGCAAACTATGAGTACAGATCCACAACAATTTTATCCAAATCAGCCTGGACCAGGACATCAACAACAAAGTAATTTTTATATAGCAACCAATGGCATGGAACAAGCACGTAAATGACCTTCTTGTCTAACGTATTCATCTGCTAAATTTTGCATTGTTTTGTATTAGCATATCCAATGACAGGAAGAAATCCAGGCGCATACAATGCACGCGTAAGTTCAAGCAGATGTTTTCTTTAAACTCTTGTTCAACTTTGTTTGAATTCAGTTGATGAATCCACAAATGGCGAACGGTTTTCAACAAGCTTATTATCCATCACACTATTTACCTGCACCATTCGTTCCTGGCCCTTCTCGACCAATGGTATAGGAAAACAAATCATTCTGTCCGAAAGATACCTATTCGTTTTGTTTCACAGAATCCGACACAATTTATACCAATTGTTCGACCACAGAATGAAACTATACCTAGTCAACAAAACTTCATATCACAGTATCCACAATACCCTCCAGGGAATACTAGCATGACCTCGACGACGCCTGTTTATCATACAGCATTTTTTCCACGTAGGACTCTTTGATTTCGAATAAGAACTTTTCATTCCATTTCGATACATCGATTTAGCAGCTAACTATCCGATGGGAGCCTATCAAGCTATGCAGTCAGCACAAATTACGAGTCAACAACCGATGCCACAGCAATCACAGTATGCGCTGCCGCCTGGCTTGCCACAACAACCACAAATGCATCCACCTCAACAGACTCATCCTCAACCAGTAAACGATTTTGCTTAGAAAAGCTCTCATCCTGTGCTATGAATTTAGATGGATCAACCACTTATGCCAACATCTCAGCCTACAATGCCACAACCAAGCACGCATTCTACTACGGAAAAACGGCAAAGAAAACCGTTGGTTATTGTTGATCCAGTGTCACATAAAACTGTGGATCTTGCACCTACGCCTTCGACCGCGACATCATCCACAACAAATCCGCCAGCAGCATCTACGCCGGCGGTCGCGAACGAAAATCGTCAAGTCGAGTCATCGACGGATTCTGCAGCAGCTAACGTGAAATCCACGAGTGATATTAATAAAACTCAAAAGCAAAGTGAGTTTCGATATCAATTTGCCAAACTGTTAAGCGATAATCCAAATGCTCAACCAGACAAAGTACGAGTTAATATCTACAAAACAGCAAGAAATGATGAAAACTTCATGTTACTTTTTTGTAGAATGTCAATCAACAATCTGGATCTCATGAAGATTCGTCAACAAAACAGTCATCGACTACGGCACCACAAGGGCCATCTTCTACGTCTTCATCGCGATCTGGTTCAATGTCTCGGCCTAAATCTCCGACGGCAGTACCGTCAACGACTGCGCCTTCAACCGCTAGCAAAGAACCGACAACACATAAATCATCCGAACAATCACAGCCACACCCTGGTCTTCCTGGCATTCCTATAGGAATAATAGCTGATGATAAACCGACGACGAAAGTCAATCAAGACGATAATAGAGATAAACGAGATCGAAGCGATTCTCAAAAACAATCAGACATCGAAACTGTTGAAACAACTGAGAAAGCAACCAATGAGTTAAAATCAACGGTAAATAAATATTATCTCATTCTTGAAACGTCTTGCATAGTCACTCATAAGATCGTTCGTAAAAAAACATAAAAGTTTGTGTAGACAAGAGAACGAAAAAAAAACTTATCTGCTATCCGTACGACTGTTACCATGGCTGAATTCATAGAATGGCAACGTTCTAGCTTTTTCTTGTTCTATCTGTAACGTCTATTTTCGATATTATGATTCATAAATACTTCTGTTCTTTTCTTTTTCTTTATTTCTCCTCCCATTTGCGGTATGACTTCTTACCCCATAGATTCGACGCATGATCATCACATCTATCTATTATTTTGTGTATGAAGAACGAGAAGAACAAAAAAATAGTAACTTGTGTACAACAATAGAAAGAAGTAAAGGACGTACAACACGTTAGAGTGCTTATTTTTTCTCGAAAAGTAAGATGTACGTAGACTAATAGATGTCGAATAAGTATGGTCGTTCAACCTAAACCACATAGAGATCAGTTTTGCTTTCGTCTTCTACAAGTACGCATGTGCTACTCGTTTTTCATCATCATATATTACGTAATATTTTTAGTCGGATGATATCACAACGGCAACTAAATCTGACGAAGTATCTACTTCAAATCTTCCAGATCCTAAACCAACGCCGCCCTTATCAGCAACAGCATCGTTAGAATGTGTAACACCACCACAGACGCCTACACCAGTGACCAGTGCTGAAAAATCTCAAGCAGCAGCAACAGCGGCAGCGGTAGCCGCAGCAAATCAACGATTACGCTATGATCGAAATGAACTTTTACGTATTCGCGATAGTTCAGGCACATTTCCCATTCCTCAACTTCCAGATCTTGATATTGTTCTTAAACAACGTGATAGTGCTCGTTCATCACATCTATCATACACAGGTACCAATAGTCAAGGACGTATCAATCCTAACATGCATCGGCAACTATCGGGAACTAATCATCCATCATTAACACGTTATTCAAATAATCAATCGAATAGTGCCAGTGATTCCAGACGTGGCAAACCGGGAATTTATCTAGCGAACGAGCCTGATTTTAGTAATCGGGTTGAAAATCCTTATAAACCAATTGATCAAAGCAAAATCGATGCAAGTAACAAAGTTCTACGTGATGTGAAAGCTATTCTGAATAAAGTAACACCACAAACTTACGACAAGTTACAGAAACAATTGGAATCATTAGAGATCGATCGTTATGAACGATTAGAAGGAATGATCAATATATTTTTCTCAAAAGTAAATTTCGTCGATTTTGTCTCTATGTAAACAACTTTGTATTTCTTGCTATTTTAGGCAGTCGATGAACCAGCATTTAGTTTTCTATATGCCAAATTGTGTAAACAATTTCAAAAAGTTTGTGTTTCGTTGTTGATGTAATTCCTTTTCATTGGAAATGTGTTCTTTTTAGAAACAAGTAACCGTACCGGGTGAAGATGGCAAAACAGTAACACATTATTTTCGTCAAATTTTATTAACCCGTTGTCAAAAAGAGTTCGAAAATGATTATAGACAAGAAATTGAATATGAAAAACGCAAAAGTGAAGTCGAAGCAATCGCCGATGAGAAGAAGCGTAAAGAAGAAAATGAAAAATTAGAGGAAGATCTCGTAAAAGCAAAACGAAGAAAATTAGGAAATATTTTGTAAGTTCTCGAACGGCGAACACTGTTCTGCTCATTTCTGCTTCATTCTAGTTTTATTGGTGAATTATTCAAATTACAAATGTTAACTGATACGATTATGTATGACTGCATTGAATATTTACTTCGTGATAAAGCTGATGAGGAAGCTTTGGAATGTTTGTGCCGTCTGTTACGTACCATTGGCAAAGAACTTGATGTGAAAGCCAGTGAAAAAGTATGCTCGCTCGTACTTTATCTGATTGCATCGATAACTGTGTATTCTAGGCTATTAACAAATCAAATTTGGAAAAACATTATCGTGAACTAGATAATATTGTGAAAGAACACAAAACATCAGCACGTATTCGTTTTATGATCCAAGATCTGGTCGAATTGAGACAAGCGCACTGGGTCGCTCGACGTGCCGAAGCTAAGCCGACAACGATCGATGAAATTCACGAACAAGAACGTGTTAAACGCGAACAACAAGAACGTGAGCAAGAACGTGAACGACAACAACGACGCGATCAAAACCGTGGTACAGCTATCGGTAGCGCCTACACTGGAGGTAATTCACAACAGTACAACGATAGCCGTGGTAGCCGCGGTAGTGGTATCAAACAACAATCAAGTAGAAATGACGAAGACCGAGTCGACAATCGCTTTAATGTTAATTCACTAAGACAGTTACAAACAACAGATAAACAAAGTCGTGGACCATTGGTAAGTTTGTTTATGGCAAGAAGGGAAGAAAAGAAGATAATCTTTGGTTCTTTTGTAGTCGATCAATTTAGCACCACAACGAACATGGGCCAAAGGATCCGGTATTGAAAAGAAACCCGAAGAAGATCGTTCCTTTGCCGGACGGTATGTCACTACCAAAAGCCACTTTCCCTATCATGAATTTATATTAATAGTGCTGGCAAACCACCAGCTGGTCCTGTCGCGCAAATCAAAGGTAAAGCTGGTTCATCTCAAGGTGGTTCATCTTATCCTCTTCAACGACAATCATCACGGGTAAGAAAGCGAACAACGCGATCTGCTCTCTTTACGATTAGCATTCTCTTTCATCGTTAGGAATTAGCACGTGAAAACAGTCATCGTGATCGTGAAAATGCTTTACAATCATTACGCAAAACCACCACTGGAAGTGGTATTAATAGTCCAGTGAATGTTGCGGGCAGTTCGTCCATGGCGAATTCACGCGAAGGTTCACGTAATGTTAGCCGTGAACAGTCGCGTAATGCTTCACGAGAATCTAGTGTTAGTGAACGAGCATCAAATGCTGGTTTATCTACTCAGATAAGTAAATCCTCGACGACAGATTCTTCGACTGTTATCAATCCAGACCCATCGAATATAACATTCGATGAAGAAAAAACTCAAGCACGCGTACATTCACTTATCGAAGAATATACTGAAAACTATTCGGAAACAACTGATCGACCTGTTAAAGTAAAGCACCTTCGTCGATGGCAACCACTCGAAAATGAAAGTGTTTTGTTCTCTAGGAAGCTTTGGAAGATTTGAATGCTTTCTGTACAGCAAGCCAAGATCAACAAGCACTCATTGTTCGAGAATTGTTTGTTAATGTCCTCGAGGCTAAAGCACGTGCTCGTAAAGCTGTTGGACATTTACTTGACGCTGCACTCAATGACACTATCTTATTGCCAAATTCTTTCATTTCCGGGTATGTTTAAATCGAATGAACGTGCTCTTGTTGAAAATATTTTGTTATTTTAGTTTTAAAATGGTTGTTGAAGTCGTCCCAGATTATGCAGTTGACATTCCTCTAATTTGGCAATATATTGGTGAAATAATTGGTAAATGAACGAATGACGAACAACAGAACAAGAAGTCTTGATGTCTCTTTTTTTTTTAGGTGCATTCATTGGTGCTCCATCTTCGAACATGCCACTACTGAAGACAATTTTACAATGCGTTCCCCAAGATAAATCGAAGCAATTATTTCAATATGTTATCAAATATGCAACTGAATTCTCGGTAAGACGGTTTGTTTTCGGATCTGATATACCTATGAAACGAACGATTGTTATCTTCTAGTCTCGATCACGTATCCAAAAGTTTTGGCAATCATCCGGTTTTTCTCTTCAAGACTTTGTTGATGCTGCAACTCTGAACGACTATGATTGGCTATCCGATGCACCTGAAAGTGAACCTTCAACGCCACAATCAAAAGAAAGCCTTTCACCACGTGCTGATCCTCAGCTTGTTAAATTATTCAAATCTGTTAACGATCAAGGAACTACTGTAACTGATTCAGAAATCATCACATACATCCGTGAAGTATGCCGCTAATCCTTTTCTTCATCAAAGATGCTATCTTCTCTCTGTCTCTCTCTTTCTTTCTTCCAGCATATGGATTCAAATGAGAAATTCTACATTCGAAACATTGTTCTATCCTATTTGGAAGCATGTTTAATCAATCGCGATCCACAGAAGAAGATCCAAGAAGACATCGCAAAAAAACGAATGACAATACTCAATACGATCATTGAACATAAACCCGAAGCTGAAATTCAAGCTGTGTATGCGATTCAGAATTTTGTTAACAAACTCGAACATCCACCAAGTATGTGAAAAATAACGATGACGATTAGTTTCATCAATCTTGACTGTCATAGAAATGGCTCGACTACTATTTGACATATTTTACGATGAAGAATGTGTAAGTGAAGATGCATTTTTTGAATGGCTGAAACATCCGGATCAATCGGAGACTGAAGGTATGAGCAAAAGTCGAGAAGGAAAGGAAATCATCTGCTTATATTGTAGGACATGCTGTTGTTGAAATGTCGACAAAAGACTTTTTTACTTGGCTGCAGCAAGCTGAAACCGAAGTTGAAGAAGGCGAAGAAGAAGAAAGTTAAATTTTAATGTCATCAACGATACGACATTGATGATTTGTTATTGTTATTCTTTCTTTCTTTCTTTTTTTGTTGTTAGACAATGTGTTTTTTTTCTTTTCTCATTCTCTTTATTTATTTTCTATTACATAAAAACAAGCCGAAATATTATATCTGTACACAACGCATGCGACTGATCATGGATTGCCTCGTCTCTTCTCTCCTTTCTTCCGATTTCAATTTGCCGAGAACTGTGACTTTCTTTCTGTCTGTTTTTCCTTGAATTGAAGTATTTACATGATCTACGCTCTGTCCCTCTCTCAATCCTATTATTGATCAGTTGTGACCGTTCTATTATTCTTGTTTCAATGTGTGCAAAACAGTATCCTCTATTATCATCAAAAAGACGTACTTCTCCGTGTGCTTTTCTTCTTGTTTTTTTCTCTCTTTCACTCTCGGTGTACATTTGAAACCTAAGCACACATGAGTAGGATAAAAGCTGAATAAAAGACTTTTTCGAGCCGGATCTACCGAATTTGTTGCAAGAAGTTCAAAGAGAAGAAAGCCAATAACCTTCTATTTCCTACAACAGTACGCTTCTCTATCTCCTTCTCTTTCTGTTTGTCTTTTGTTTGTGTGTCCGATCTTTACTCTCTCTCTCTCTTTCTCTCTCACACATTTTTGCCTCATCATTTTGTCCTTTGTGTCTTCTTGTCTTTCGCGTTAAAACGTTTTTTTTCTGTTTTTTTTCTTTCATGTTGTTATTGGTTGATGTTTTTTCTTTTTTTATTCACCAAGCAATAAGAAAGAAAGAGACACACAATGAAACAAGTTTTAAGTAAAGACACGATGACCATAGTCACGTGCTTCACTAGCCAATTGTATTGCCACACATAATGGGCAACATGCTGTCAAACAACAATCTTCCACAATCGAACCCTAATCGAACAGGAGGGAAATGTGTAAAAGAGCAAGAACTAGTGGAAAGTTTTACTTGAATAGCATACTGTGTTCGAAATTTCGTTCTTAATTCCATCAGTGGTGCACAATTGAGGTACCAAATACACCAGTGTTCTTTCATCATAGATGAGAGTTCATGTCGAAAACAGCACCAACATGTACAAGCATAACAGAAGAGATTGAAATCATCAAAAAGTGAGCAGAGACTATGACGCCACTCATTTGTTCCTTGCCAATTTAGATGAGGACGACCACGATTATTGATTGAAGGTTTAACCCATGTTTCTATACGCGTTGGCTGACTTCGAATTGTAATTGAAGATTTTGACTGATCAAGATCGCTGCTTCTCAAGCTTTGAAGTCCCTAAACTGACAAATTTATGAATCATTCATTGATAGTGAAGCTCTACCGATATAGGTGGAACACCAGTTGGCTGGTGAGTTTTCTTTGACGACGACGTTGTTCTTGCTATTTCCTAGCATTAGCTTTTCGATCAGACGGAACAGATTGAATTTACGAAGACTTACGATTTGCTCTTTCTCTTCGGATAATACTTCGCTCGTGCGCTGTTGATCGGATGGCCTAGCAGGAATTGCCTCGTTGTTTTTATGTCGATCATTAGGAGTGTCATTGAAGTCAATTTGATTTAACACTTGTCTTGGAATTCTAACCACTGAGATTCGACGTGGTGCTTTCGACATGATCAGACAATGAATAATGAAAGAAATTCTTATTTGATATATATGAATAGGGAATTTTTATGGTTTCCCTTCATTGTTAATCAACAGGACAGGATGTGAAAAGGACATTTGATTTGATATTCTATGTTTTCATACGAATGATTCGCGCAGTTTCGCTAATGAAAAGAAACTTTCGTCGAATCAAAATGAAGTTAGCAGTGAATTTGCTCAGAAATCATCATGGCGTATCAACGTGAACTTGAATTACTACACCGGCGCGATGAAATTCTTCACGAGACCGCTGATCTCACATCGCATGTTGTTCAATCACTTGAACAGCAACAGAAATTTGCTCAAGATACGAAAGAAAATCTACATCAACAAAATCTTCTTCTCTCTTTAGCAAATGACAAAATGCGATCGATGAATCAGGATTTGACATCTGTAGTCAAGGAAATGAATGAAATCGATTCTCCGCATGGATGTTTATGTTGTAAAATTCGAAAGAAACGAACTAAGAAGGTTCATCAGCCAATAGTCGATGCAAAATCAACGGAAGCTTCTGCAACAAACAAAGAGAAGCCCGCAGAAACCATGGACACTATTCCGGAACTGATCGACGATAATGAATACGAGAAACAAATTGTTAGCGAGTTGAATCAAATGAAAAAGCAATTGATTCTCTTTCAAGATCAGGTTAAAACCATTAATAGAACGTTTGATGAAGGAGATAAAGTTATTCATCAATTTGAAAACGAAACGGATCAATATATGCATTCGAGTGAGTCTCGACCAATTTAGTTTCCTGCCAAAATCAACTAAACGACTGTTTTAGTTACAACAGCGCTTAATAAAGCTGAACATGTTCTTGGCCGAAAGATTGTTGTTGACCAAGACAAGCACAAGCATAAAGAGAAAGTGTGAAAATGTTGAATTTGTTGTCAAGCACAGCAGTCATGTAGAGAGTGTGATTGAGAAAAAGAAATAAAAAAGAATTTCACACACGTTTTACAGACTGCAAGGAACGATAATCGAATCATGACAGATCCGCTATTTTCGCGTCTGCATGGTGTCCGACAGAAGAAGAGTTATGTCGTTTGAAAGACATTTATGAAATTGAACCACGCGGGACTGCATTCGAACGGTTTTTACGTAGTGGTTCAGGAGAAGAACCCAGTTTAGCGATAGATGGATTTATGTTCTTAGGAAATTTGCAAAATGGATCTAATGAAACCGTACTTGAACGACTGAAAATCAGTAAATGCAAGAGTTGAAACTTGACATATTCTTTTCTTTTCTTTTTTTAGCACACATTATCAACGTTAGTGAGGCCGATGTTCGTGATGGGCTACCTCCAAACCGCTTTCATATTGTCCATATTCCAATGGGAGACGATGTACAAACAGATATTTAAAAAGTGTGCAGATTTAATTAAAACTATCTTCACTATTTCTTGTTTCTGTAGCATTTCAATTCTACCAACGAATTACTGCATAATTATTATTTACAAGTTGAACGCTGCCTCGTTCATTGTGCTGCAGGAAACATTGATCCGAACTTTATTGTTCTAGTATCAACATGATACACTCAAACAAGCATTTCTGTACCTTATGGAGAAACGTCAGCAAATTTATCGGAATGACGGTTTCTTAGTGTAACTAATACGCTACGAAAATGAACTGATAAAAACACGAGAGATAACTTGGATAGAAGACATGTATAAACTACAGATCTCGAATAATCCCTGTTGAAACAATTCAAGGAGTTTTATTTCAACCGCATAACGGCAAACGACTGTGTTCATTTCTGCTTTTAAATAAATTCGAACATACTCAGAATATTATCTCACTGTATTTAGCCTCTGTAGCTGATTATATTCGTAGTGTACAGAATGAGCAAAAATATTACACATTGCCCACTCATCCGTACCTACATATTTTGCGTGTATACATCGGAATGACAACTTACTCATCTCGAAATTACATACACTTACACATGCCTTTGCGGTCTTGACCCTCATCGTGTATACACCGGGGAATCAACTTCTGCATTACACCACAGGCATAAATACTTGAATTTCTCTTTATTACATCATATGATTTTGACTTTTAATGGTACATTTCGCGATCTTCTGGATGATCCAAAGTGGTTATCAACAACGAAAATCGCTATCAACAAACATCTGAAGTGTGTAATATTTGTAGAAAGGTCGATAAAGGATAGAAACATAGTCTTTCAGATAATTCCTTTTGCCTGTTTCATCTGTCAACTAACATAAGTGAACTGTACAGTTGACTTATGATTCGTTGTCGTTGGATATGCTTCCAAGTGAAAAGAATGGGTGTTTTCGAAAATTGTATATAAACAAGCTTTATTGAAGAAAGTATAACGTAAAAGAGTTCACGTATATATGATGACTCCACAAGATCTAACTGCAGTATGGTTGATCATTACCCCATGAGCGACAGGATGATGGACACTTCCCAATCGTTACCCATCGATTACCACCAACACATTGAACAATACTTGCTCCACTCGATTGAAAGTAGCATTCGTATTTGCCTGTATCCACACATCGACCAGTAGTCGTTCGACAGTCACATCCACGACGAACACGATCTGGTGCTATTCGAACAGAAACAAAAACATTCGTTCATGAAATAGATGGATGAAGATAGAGACACTTACCATCGAGAGTTGCAGGGTCGATGATGTTGAGTTCTTCTTCGGATGTTGGATTAGCAGACGAATAACAAACAACTGCCAAAAGAACCACAGCAAATGTGATGATTGTTGAGATTTGCATGTTTGGAAAACGAGTCAATGAGTCTTTACAACGATGATGATACTACAATTTAATTCTCTATATTTATACATATGCTGGTTACTATATATAGGTACACAGAACGAGAAAGAGTATCACTGATCGCCCACTCACCTGTGCGTAGTAACGTCGTATGTATGTATGGGGATGACGATTTACCCATCTTGATACTACCTACACTACCACACACCTTTGCGGTCGCCGTTCTCATCATCTACGCACTGGGAATCAACTCCTGCATCACATCACCCGTATAAAAACTCGAGTATCTCTTCATATCTTCATCATCAAATCTACCTTCTCATCTTCGATCTACTAAAATGCAAATCTCGACAATCATCACATTTGCTGTGGTTCTCTTCGCAGTCATTTGTTATTCGTCTGCTAATCCAACATTCGAAGAAGAACTCAATATCATCGACCCTGCAACTCTCGATGGTAAGTATCTCCACCTTCATCCATCTATTTCATGAACGAATGTTTCGTTTCTGTTCGAATAGCACCAGATCGTGTTCGTCGAGGATGTGACTGTCGAACGACTACTGGTCGATGTGTGGATACAGGCAAATACGAATGCTACTTTCAACCGAGTGAAGCAAGTATTGTTCAATGTGTTGGTGGTAATCGATGGGTAACGATTGGGAAGTGTCCATCATCCTGTCGATCATGGGGAAATGATCAACCATACTGTAGCTAGATTCGCTAGCTGTACAGTCAATATTCTGATTTTTTTCAAACGTTTTCACTGCTGTATATCATGTTTCATTCTTTCTAATAAAACATCTTATTCCTTTAACTTCGATTTCAAATTCCTTGTGTGGAGTTGCCGCATCTATCACTTGGCTGTTTGAATTCTATGTTGTCATTTATACATCTACAGTGTAAAATCATGCGTGAGCATCAATTCAAGTCTAAATAATGAGATTGATTGTTATGCCTATTACCGTTAGTTACGTAGAATACAGTGTTGATCTAATGTGTTACACGACATTTCACATACCTTCGAAGATCTGGTGAAATGTGTACCGATGAGCTGTAAAATATTTTTATTCAGGAGAAATATATTTATAACTTATTCGATGCTATATAGAAAGTTTTTGATAGAGCGGGTTTCTATCTAGAAGAGTGTAGTGAATTACCAAGGCTAACCGACATCAATATCTGTTCATGGAAATGGCAAAAACTACTCTGCGCTGACAGGATCTCTGGAGATCTTCAGCTCAAAATGTTCATTGTGTTGCTCGCAGATTTGTTAACTGCCATAAAAAAGAAGTACAACTGACCTTTCTCTCTCTGCTTATGGTGAAACATAATTTAGTGACCAACTCGTGAATATGTGGTATTGAAACCCGATGCGAAGTTTATTAAAACCGAAAAATGATTAGTTAAAATAAAAGGTTAACGAAACTGTACAAAGCACAAGAGTTTTTCTATTGATATTCAGCGATACGGATCTAACTGCAGTATGGTTGATCATTTCCCCATGATCGACAGGATGATGGACACTTGCCAATCGTCACCCATCGATTACCACCAACACATTGAACAATACTTGCTCCACTCGATTGAAAGTAGCATTCGTATTTGCCTGTATCCACACATCGACCAGTAGTCGTTCGACAGTCACATCCTCGACGAACACGATCTGGTGCTATTCGAACAGAAACGAAACATTCGTTCATGAAATAGATGGATGAAGGTGGAGATACTTACCATCGAGAGTTGCAGGGTCGATGATGTTGAGTTCTTCTTCGAATGTTGGATTAGCAGACGAATAACAAATGACTGCCAAGAGAACCACAGCAAATGTGATGATTGTCGAGATTTGCATTTTAGTAGATCGAAGATGAGAAGGTAGATTTGATGATAAAGATATGAAGAGATGCTCGAGTTTTTATACGGGTGATGTGATGCAGGAGTTGATTCCCAGTGCGTAGATGATGAGAATGGCGACCGCAAAGGTGTGTGGTAGTAGCCAAATGGGTAAATCGTCATTCCCATGTATACACACAGAATACGCATGTACAGGTGAGTGGGGAATGCGTAATATTTTTGCTCATTCTGCACGCTACGAATACAATCACTTCCAGTAGCTAAATATAGGAAGATATTTTTGAAAGCCCACGGTTATTACTTTATACCAAGAGTGAGAGTGTACTATTATTACGACTGACATTCGCCGTCATCCTCAAGATAGGGTGTCGCTGGTATCAGTTAACCTCATAGTACAATCTAGTAGAGGAAAAAGATAAGTCGATTCGACTGAATCTCATCAATCATTTGCATGTCGACTGTGAAATCCGCTTCGGCTCGTCACCATTGCTTTTCTCGCAATTCTTTTTGCTTTATTGAGAGTTCGACTTAGAGAAAACAGCAGAGAAAATCACTTTTCTTTCTTTTCAACAAAGTGTTATAAGCATGGGAGACAAAAATTTATGCAAGCAGAAAAAAATAAATATTAATGATCAAATTTATATATGTTAATTTTAAATAGCAACCATATCTTCATTGTCAATTTCAGCTTTGATAAAGATCGTATCTTCTTTGACATATTCCAGCGTTAGCATCGTGTCTAAATCAGTGAACCGTTGTGCTCCAAAGCTGGCATTCCGTTCAGATATTGGACGACCTAGAAATGGCTTATTTTCTTTGCAGACATTTGGTTTTACCGTGTAGACTATATGTCGACGATTATCAACGTCTTCACATTGATCGAGTAATGTAAATGTAACTCGGTGTGAAAATGGCCAAGCCAATAACGAATCAAAATCACCTCGACAAATGCAAATAAACAATGAAACGTATTTTCCCTTTGCTAGAATCAATTAGAAGAAGTGTTAGAAGAAAGGAAAACACGAGGTGTATCAACTATGTTCGTTACCTTTTCCATCTCCACAAAGGCAAATCGACAAAGCAAGACGATAACCATGACGACTTGTGCAAAATGGTGGACTAAATAAAGTGGTTTTCTTATTCGAACGAGCTTCTTGTAATCTTTCCTAAACAGAAGCAAAACTATGCACGGAAACACAAGAAATAGGCAATGTCTCACGTTATAACGATCGATTTTCCATATATACTGGGCTCCATAGGATTTTTCCAGAGCATTTACTTTACGTGACAACAGATCAATCCAGTTTTTTTGTTCTTTTATCCGTTCGTCATACAATTGTAAGGCCTTCTTTTGCAAAGTTATAGTTTTACCAGCCATATTCAAATGAATACCAGGATTTTCTTTCATATGAACAGCAATATCCGGTCGGCGGCCAAGATATTCACACCCACAATCAGCAAATGGACAATGAATCTCCTGTTTCGGACATTCATTTTCCAGATGATTTTGTACCTGAAATGATATATTCAAAATAAGATGTGAAATCAATAGATGTCAGAATTACTTCTCGGCGTGGATATTCTTTATCAGAGCATTGGTTTGGACATGGAACTTTGAATTCAGGGCAGATATTCAAATGCGAAATTTCATTTTCTGATGGAACTTTCTCCTTGCCTAAAGTGAATGAGTCAGAAGACGTTCATGCACAACATGTAACTGCTTACAGAATTCACAAACGATCATTCGTTTTGCGCAATCTTCATCCACATGTTTGCTTTGAAATCTTCTTTCGAAACTTCCCCCGCACTGATTCGGACATTCGACGGTTACGAACTCACATGATTCGATATGAACTTGACTTTCACGTAATGTACCACTCCAAGTACAGCCCTTCTCTTTATTTGTGCAATAAACTTCGAGATTTTGAATTTCTTTTTGAAGATTTTTATCATTGACGATTTTATCTTTCGAAATCGGCTGTTGACATGTGGGACATCGTGGTACCACTCTAAATCAAAAAGAGTATTCCTGTGTTGAACAATCGCCCGTTTTTTTTTCTCTCTCTCTCTTACCGCATGATATCCGGTAAACAACTGGAGCATATGTAATGTCCGCAGTCTTCAAATTGAATAGGAAAGCGTAGATAGCTGAAACATGATGGACATTGATAGTTCGTTGGTAGTTCACCGGCTTTCCATTTCGGTTCGGGTTCTGCTTTTCTAGAAAAGATCCAATATGTTCACTCCTTTCGATTCATATCGTTTTACATTCGTTGCGAAGATCAAACCTGTGTGCCGAGAATGCTGCCGATGAACCGTTCGTAATCATGATTACCTTATTTTACTTTTCAGATGCAAGAAGAGAATATCTTACGTGCTTTTAGCCGTCTAACTCAAACAAGTTATGCCTGTAATTAAGTATTCGAACGTGTCGGCTGTCAAACAGAGTTGCTGGGAAAACTTTTGAAAGAGAATTTATTATTAAAGTCATTCTCATATATGAAGGAGTACAATTTTCACGATTCATCCCGATGGATCTTACCGTCGAGCTAAGCCGGTCGCTGGTTGCAACCGAGACATGGACGATGTTGTACTGCGTACAGACACCAACGAGCCATCGTACGTCGGAATAGTCAGTGGCGACTCTGCCATTGCACTCATTAAAGTTATTGTCTTTCAAATACCTGACACTTTGTTAAATGCGTGAAGAAGTACTATACTCTTTTTCTCTTTAGAAAATAGGTTTTTCTCTTTAATATTTTATGAAGTTCTTCAAATATTCACAAGCTTCTTCCTCTTTTTGATGATTTAGCAGTAAAAAGCGTTCTTATATCACGAGTGTGAAAAAAAATATATCAACGAAGGAATCTGTTGCCATAGTAAATGCATTTTTCTTTATGTAAGCGTTAGAGACATTGTTTTGGCAAAAAGCATGACTGAGATACACCTAAATAAATGACGTCAAAACATGTTTGATGATGTAGACATCGATTGTATATACATCTCGAGCAAATAGAAGATTGGAATTAATTGCAAACATCTGATAGATATAGTTGATCAAACAATAATGTAGTCGTGTTGGTAATGATCATTGTTCTGCGTTATTTAAGTCATCAAGTATGGTTATATCATCAGAACTGATTGATCTGGCATTCGTTGATGTCTTGTACACAGTTGATGCATGATGTTCTTTACTGAAGAGGAAAAAAATGAGTTTGTCACTTCTTATTCATATGCTTGATTGAACACGATAAAAGAGTGCGGGCGCATATGGAGACTTCTTAAACTCATTAGAAATGTTATTGTCGATCATCTCTTTCATTGGCAAAAGCATATTTTCTTTCTTCATGTTTTATTGTATGCATGTTATTTTTCTTATTCACATACCAACACATCTATATCGACTTGCTTTTCTATTGTTATCAAAATAGAAGACAAAGGCGAAGTATTCTATTCACACAAAATAGAAATGCCACGAATAAAGGTTAATAGAAATTTTCTCTCGAAGAAAACGAGCGTAAGTTGAAGGTTTTGACTTTCTTTCTATCGACAGATATTTCATGTGATTGATTGATTGATTGATAGCCAATATCTATCTAAGATACTCATCTTCTTTCGTTATTAGTGCGAAAGAAAACGAAAGAGAAGGCCAATTGATCGCGAATACCCATCGATCAGTCGATTACATTTATTTTCCGTCAGTTCATTGTACACTAAGTCCTATTACCTTTGCCCTCCTATGCTTTTTCTTTCTCCCCCCTGCCCACTTCTTCTTGCCTTGACTTGATGAAGTGTGACCATCGTCGTTATGATGTTTATCAATTAAAAAGACTTGTCTTTCTCCTTTCACATTTTACCACTCTATGTATTTGTGTTTGGTAAAAGCTTTTTGAGTTTTTCTCTCTCTTTTTTGTGTATTAATCATATGTGATTTTAATCTCATACAAAGATGGCTTGTCAAACGATATCTCGAGTAGATCAAAACAGATTATTTCGTTTTTCTTCGACATCAGATACTTATGCATGATAATAGCAAAAATGAATAGATGATGTCATAGTCATAATTTATGTTATTGTTCAGATTAGATCCTTGAGAAGATGCAAGAAGGGAAATGACGACGACGGCGACGAAGACGACGACCTCACTAGAGAAAAAAAACTGATTACTTTATTCGTCTTTTTTTTCTCATTTTTCTTCGGTTATACCTAAAAAATTGATTTCCGACCGTAACCATCACATCAGCACATATTGCACGTTCTCTCTCGTCAATAGAAAATCATGGTTAAAGTAAGTCGATGAGTTTGACTCGGCGTTTATCTTCAATTAGACAAAACATTGCAAAGATTATTTTCTGTGTCTAGTCAAATAACGATGACATCTTGATCGAGTTCGATTGCTGTTTTTCCGTCTGGGAATGAAAACAATCTGTATATTGCTGATGTTCTTCCGTTCGTTGTCGCTTCGAGTTAGCAGTTTTATTGACAATAGCAGAAGACAGAAGAAAAAATGATTACGAACAAAATCATTTCTCGAGATCAAACCGAACTTGAGAAAGACAAATCGCCCTTCAAAGATTTCTCTCTTTTCTCTTTAGCCTTGTTTGTCGTTGTTAGAATAAATAGAGGAATCGAGTAAAAGAAACCAGATGATGATATATGATAAGAAATATCTCTAATCGACTGATGGACGACAAATCGAGAGGAAAGAGCACGGATAACAAGCAAGTTCTCGTGCGTATGTTTATTTATCCTCGGAAGATCGTTTATTGTTCGTTAAACTTCTAAACAACAATCAACATTCAATGTCTTGTTCGACATTAATGAAATCAACGAACGTCTGTATTACGAAGGTATTAGCGCATGTGATTTATTAGTTAGAATAAGTATCTAATTACGACATACAAGAAAGCATAAAGTCGAATTCGATGGCCTCTCATGTCATGGACAGTAACAGACACTTCTGCTTGTAACTAAATCTATTTAAGGTGTCTGTCATGTCTTTTTCTCTGCTTGATATTCCACAAGTAACATCCTCATGTTTAGACGAGAATATTTTTTGTGTCTCACGCAATCGTTCTAAATAGTCTTCGTGCTTTTCTTTTATTCAGAAAATGAGCCCAAATTGTTTCGATATGATCTCTTCATCGGCCACTCAATCATCAATAACAATCTCATCATCAGGTTCATCTGGTCCACTTGTGCCATCATCATTATCATCATCGTCATCGACAAATCCACAACATGCAGGCGGTCATATCACATCAGTGATCATCGGTGATAGCGGTATCGGTAAATCGGCTCTAGTTGTTAGTTACACAACCAATGGCTTTCCAAAACAATACGTACCTACGGCGTTTGATAACTACTCAGTTGATGTTTCTGTCGGCACTCAACCTGTTCATTTCGACATTTGCGACACTGGCGGAAAAGTAATCGAAATTTCGATGATTGTCATCTCTATCTCTACAAATGCTTTCGTTTAGGAACAATTCTCTCCTTTACACAGTCTTTGCATCCCATACAGTGACATTATCTTGCTTTGCTTCAGTGTTGTTAATCCTCAGTCATTTCAAAATGCCATCACTTATTGGCTGTCACGTGCGCGTCGTTCCAATGCAACAATTCCTATTATTCTCGTTGGTACACAAATGGATTTACGGTCGGATTTGAAAACTTTACTTTCACTTGATCAACAAAAATTGAAACCGGTGACAGAAAAGGAAGCACGCATGTGCGCACAGCAAATTCACGCATGCACCTACATTGAATGTTCGGCATTGACAGAGAAAAATCTGAAACATGTGTTCGATACAGCTCTTTTAACCGCACTTGAATTTCGTAATGCAAATGCTTTATTACCACTTCCATCAACATCGATTATACCCTTGATTGAACAACAAAATCAAACAACGAATAATAAACAACGATCGACACGGCAACATTCACATGCAGCGAAAACTTGGAGAAGATTAGTATCGGGTTGTATTGGTGTTTGAGAATCATTTTTGAAACTAATCGATTTCTATATATAGGCGTGTTTTGTCATTATCTTTTTTTGCGTACTTTGGGCAAGATTTTCTTCATATCTAATTTATTTTATATAATCGAATAAAGAAAAAATCGAAAGGAACAAGATGTAGACTGCATTCAATGAATGCAATTCACTGATTAGAATTCTTTGTAAGAATAACAGAAAGTGAGTGATATTTGTATTGATATAGGATACTATGAAGGCTCAGACATAAATAATCAACTATGTTTGTATACAATTTTTTGATGACCTTTTTGTTTTCTTTATTGTCGTTGTTGGATAACATCGAGTAACACTCGGCGAACCAGGACTCAATTTCATGTTTATAGAAGACAGATCGAATGAATCGCATTTTGCGTAATAACTTCACAGTTGCCTGTATTCGCAATTCGAATCAGTGCGAAACTAGCACGAACAAACGATGTGTTAGCTCTTTTGTGCTAACTTTGCATCGATAAAAAACTGTGTGAAGCAACTGGATATATAACCGCTTACTAACTGAAGAATTGGTCATCGGATCGATAAGAAGCAAAATGACGGAAGAAATGAACAAAGACAAAACCGCAAAAAGGCATGACTATGAGACAGAACAGCCATGGTGTACTTAATAAGAGAGAGAGATTAGAAGCACATACAGAATCAAAGGTAACATAGTTCAGTGTTTTACAAGTAAAATGAATTATTTGAACTGAACATGGTCAATGCATGCGCTCCGCCCGACGAAAAAGATTATTTCTAACGTTTTAACCAACTGACATTCGCAACGATAAGAAGTTGAATGTCTATACACTTTGAACGCAAGTTCCACTGATGCCAACTTTGGTTTACTTCTAACAGACAACCTACGATATTCTTATCAAATAGGTTTTTTTATTGGGAACGATGAATGTTCAACGCTCAGTAGCGACCTCTGGCAATTCGATTGTGAAACGTAGTGACACTGTCATCCATTCAATAAATATCTGATAATAAATGACTCATTTTCATGACTTTAATCGAACGAGAACGCGAGATTAATATTTAAAAAACACACACACCAAAAGTTATTGATTAAAGCGGTATTTGAGAACTTTGAATGATTTCACTGATATCATTAGGGTTGATTTCTACCAAAACTGTGATGTGTTTTGGATCAGTAAGAATCGCTACGTAAGTTTTGCCTTCTTTTGGTTCCTTGACTTCATCATCGGCAAGAGTTGTTTGCTTTTCATTTTGATCTTCGAGTTTAAATTGTAAACCTTTCGAACTCTGTTCATAATTGAAACTAGTACCATCATCTGTTTGATTCAAATATCCATGAATAACTTGAATATTTTCGAATGTTAATCGATAAACATTCCTTGCTCGACCTTCATCGTCCGCTAAACCATCTTGGACGTCGAATAGTACTGCAATAAATGCTAAATCAGCCTTAGTCAGATGTCTGATTGCTTGTTCCTTCCCTTGTGAAACCATGAGTTGAAGTAATTGAAATGAAATACATCTACCTCTCTCGCAGTTAACAGAAGACAAATGCTATTGTTTTGTTGCAGATCGTATTTCAGCCATGGCTGCCATGAGCAAATTACCGGCAATGTATCGGCATGGTTTTGTCTTAGGTATGTAGATAATTATTCAAAAATCAATTTCATTACTCACTCTTTCCAAATAGCGTCATCGATGGCAATATCTTACTGGATGACGATTAAATGGCTCCGTCAACGATCGAAACAGTGAGTGCAAATGAACATACTTTGCTAGAATTGACTGTTTATAATTTAGATTGTTAGAAAAAGATGTGAATTCATCAATGAAATCCGTGAGTTTTATGTTTTGATCGTACAAGGAGATAGAAGTTTTGGATTCTCAATTTAGCATTTAGCTAAGAAGGACCAAAATGTTGCTGTGGATAGACGATTTTTTCGGTAAGATGATTCACATGGCCAACGTCTTTGTATCCAATCTTTTGTTTTAGAAAGCTCGTCACCTTGCTGAAAATTCTCGTTCCAAAATTATTCTGTGGCGAAGTAAAACTCATTCAATCGTTTTCTTCTATTTCTTCATTTCCATTCTAAAACGCTTTTAGAGTTTATTTCTTGTTCTCGTTGCTGCTTCACTCGTAGCGCGTACCTACGCTGATGTATGGATGATTAAAAACAGTACATCGGTCGAAAGTGCCATCATCGGACGAAATACAACTTTATTTAAAGAAAATCTCGCACGATTTGCCTATGCAATGCCATTGGTAAGTGAGATTTGCCATTTATATCGCTAAAATTGTTTGTGTTTTGCTTTAGATTGCATTTGTTAACAACGCTCTTCGAGTAAGTGCTCCTGCGATATGATGTGTGATTCACCTATCGCTGTGTACTATAGTATACCCTCGAAGAATTGAAATTACGCTTTCGAAAACGTTTATCATTGTATTTCTACGATCAATATCTCAAGTAAGATGTGAATTAAAACTGAACTTCTCTCAATATGAAGTCTATTTGTTTCTGTATAGAGGCTTTACTTACTATCAAGTCAACACACTAGATAGTCGAATCACGAATATCGATCAGTTATTAACGCAAGATGTGGAAAAATTCTGTGTGAGCGTCGCTGATCTCTACACGAATATTTCGAAAGTAATTGAAAATGACAGACTTAACTTCTTTAATATCGAAATCATTTTTCGTTCTCAAGCCAATCTTAGATATTATTATTTATGCAAGAAAACTCTCAGGAACAATTGGTCCAAGTGGACCCTCCTTATTAGTTCTCTATCTCATCTGTTCCGGTCTTGTTTTAACGAGGTAGATTTTGTCAACAAGACATACATTGATGTTCATCCTACGAATAGATTACGTCGTCCGATTGGACGTATGACTGTTGCCGAACAGCAATTTGAAGGCGAATTTCGATATGTTAACTCACGATTGATAACAAACTGCGAGGAAATTGCATTTTATAACGGTAGTCGACGAGAAAAGATGATCATTCGGGACGGTTTTGAACGTTTGGTAAGAAATAGAATCGAATCCGATCAAACGCATCGCTAATTCTGCGCTTAGATCAAACATTTAAGAAGTTTAATTATCTTTCGATTGGTCATGGGCTGCATCGACAGTGTTGTTGCCAAATGTAAGCAAACCCGTCTTCGCATATCCAAGACATACAATCGTAATGAATTCTAATATTTAGATATTTCTACATGTGTTGGATACTATGTCGTAAGCCGACCATTCTTGGATCCGAAGAACACGAGACATGCTAACAGCTCCTACAATGAAATTTTAGAAGTATGAAATCAAAGTGTGATGATGTATCAGAATCAAACACATCTTTCTAGGATTATTACTCATCAGGTCGAATGCTCATGAGGCTTGCTGAAGGTATGACTTTACGATCTTGTGTGAATATGAATTTAAACTTCTGCTGTTGTTTATTATAGCTGTCGGCCGTTTGGTAAGAGTGAAATGGTTATATTAATAGGTTGAAAATATGATTAATCATAGGTCCTTGCTGGCCGTGAACTAACAAAACTAGCTGGGTACGAATGCTTTCATTGATGAGTTTGATTCTTGGAATGTTTTGAGTTTTTTCAGTTTTACTACACGTGTCAGTGATTTGATTGGTGTCTTGGCTGATGTAAATAAAGGTAACTGTGTTCGTACCGGAATTAATCATACAACGATCGCTAAGAAAAACGATCAAGGTCAAATTCGTACACAAGATGGAATCATAAAGTAGAACATTACTGAGGTTTTTGAGAAGAAAATGTGCTGCTGATTATTGTCATTTAGATTTGAGAACGTGAAATTGATGACTCCGAATGGTATGTAGTCAGAATGAATTTTAAAAGTAAAGATTGTTTGACCATTTTCAATCGTAGGCGATATTTTAATTGAAAATCTCAATTTTACTGTACGATCAGGTCAAAATGTGATCGTTGTCGGACCGAACGGATGTGGAAAATCTAGTTTATTTCGCACCATTGGTGAAGTAAGTTTTTTACCTTATAGAAAATCCGATTTCTAGAAATTCTTTCGCTCGAATTAGTTGTGGCCAATCGCTAGTGGTACTTTAACCAAACCAGGCAGTGGACATCTTTTCTACATTCCACAAAAACCATATATGACCATAGGTACATTACGTGATCAAATAATTTATCCAGATTCACATGGTGACATGCGCCGCAAAGGAATCAAAGATGAAAACTTACGAGATTTGTTGGACAAAGTTCAGTTGACTTATTTAATCCAACGAGAAGGTGGTTTTGATGGAGTTCAAGATTGGATGGATGTCCTCTCAGGTGGAGAGAAACAACGTATTGCGGTGAGATTGGCGTTCACCTTAAACTTGTATGAATCATATCAAATTTGTAGATGGCACGTCTATTTTTCCACAAACCTCAATTTGCGATCCTTGACGAATGTACAAGTGCAGTTTCTGTCGACGTCGAAGGATTTATGTATGAATACTGTCGGAATGTAAGTGTTCAGACAAGAAGAGAAAGTGAAAAGAATTTAGTTGGTCGTTTAGGCTGGCATCACTTTATTTACCGTTTCACATCGAAAGAGCCTGTGGAAATACCATGAGGTGAGGAAAAGATACTCCTTGAAGAAGTTATGCTTTGCATTCTGAATATTTTAGTACTGTTTGTATATGGACGGTCGTGGAGAATATACGTACAAAAAAATTGATGAACACACATCGGAGTTTGGATCATGAGAGTCGATATATTTTAGTGTTTTGTTTTATCTGTGATTGTACCTGCAAAAAAAAGCAAAAGAAAAACAAGTCATTACAACAAATATTAGAAGTTTTTAGTTTGTATCAATATCAGTTTTAGTTGAAATCTCCATTTACTATAGACACCGGTTTGAATTCCATTGTTGTCATTGTTCGATCGACATATCCATTGATTTCAAGTTGCATTCGTATCCCATTTAAACAATAATTGATTGGATCGGGTATTGATGTCAAAGTCGGGTAGATCCATTGAGCAGAAATGAATCGATTGGGTTGTCGATTCTGAAACAGCTGAGACAATTGACCACGTATTATAAGTAATCAACCAATTACCGCTGCTCGTACTTGTTTGCACTGTAGTGAGCTGATCTAAATTGCGTGCAACTCACAATACATACGAAAATGTTTTCCTTATGACGACTTACTACATGTATTATCAATTAAGAGAAATTTCTAAATTCGACTGGTGTAATAATCTGAAACATAGATATTTCCATAGTTAGAGACTAGATGCGATCGAGCTGGAAAACAAAAAATAGGCGCCTGATTGATTCGCTTGATTTTGAAATAAACAGAAGAACATTTTTGTTTTACAAAACGTAACACCATGATTATTAAATTGATTCGGTGTTGATCCTGCTGTAAGACCACATTCCGAAACACATCGAAAATCATATACCCCCGAACCAACTAGTCGATTGTTCCAATATTCAATAACAGACATATAACCATTTCCGTCGAGTGTAACACTCGTAGCACCTTATAGCGCAAGAATTTCTGGTGTTGCATTTCCAATCGCGGTTGTTCGATTCGTTTAATTCCGCTGGAACAATTGAACTCGATTATTGCCGGAATCAGCAACGTGCAAAGATAAGCTAATCTCATCGACAAATATTCCATTTGAACTGTTAAACATCGTCGAATCCGATCCAGATGTGCCGGTACCGGTAATCGTCGCCTGTACTTGCGTACTACTATTTATTGACAATCGTGTTAATTTCTTGCCAGTATTCATAGAATAATACAAATTATTTTCAATATCAATGAACAGGCAAATACAAGGTACAGTAACGTGCATAACGATTGAGCTCGTTGTATGATTTGCTGTCTATTTAACAACTTGTTTGTACGATCCAGTATCAGCGTAGATACCACTGTCGATTGTTGCGAAGACTCTACCGGGATCATTCATATTGCCTGTTAAGTTTCGAACTGATCTCGTAAAACTATATAGACAACAACATAAAAGATGTCAGTTAATACGCAAATTCATACTTGCGCCTGACTGTCCAATGATTAACAGTGAGTAATGGAAATATACAAGAATGTAGGGCGTCTTGCGCTCGATTCTATCACGTTACACTCATTTTTAAATGCTGATGAAGTCAAGCGAAAAACTTTCTTTTCAATCTCTATTTCTGAAAGTGAAGTACGTTATTTCGCGTCTGCATAGATCCCGTTTTTCCACAAGCGAAAACATCGGCGAGATTGCACAACCTCAATAATCGTATTGTTATTTACACTTTAGTGTTCATTGATTATGTGATCGTGATCCAAGTCACGTATTCTTACTCTTGTCATAACATTTAATGAGTCTGAAAAGAACAAGTCTTGAAATTTAAATTAACTGCTGATGATAAAGCGATTGTTCGGACATATTTTTTGATTGATTAAGGAACAAACCAGTGATCTAATAGCACATTTCAGTGTCATTTGCTCAAATATTGACAGAATATGAAGTCGAGTTGCAACATCACGAAGCGGAAGGATTTTCAATCAAATATTCGCCTAACTAATCATTTAAGTCAAACGACAAACGTTGATCATTGCACTTTATCAATTGATACGCCAAAAAAACGATATCAATATATTAAAATTCCTTCGACTTTGTTCTTGCGTCATACTGTTAACGACATAGCAGCGATAAATGTCTGTTTGTGTCTTCTCTCTCTATTTGATTAGCTTATCAATGTATGCTTTAACATCCGACTAGATGAGTGACATACAAAACCGACGAATTTTGAAAGTCATTCAGCAATCATCTCATTTATTTAAGCGCCTAACTTAATGAAATCAGCAAACGTATGCGTAGGTGAAGTCTAATATTCGAACAGATTCATTTTCCACCTTCATATTTTACTTTTTCTTTTCACCGAAAACTCTCTTTTCTACTTTGGAAGATAAATGAGGCCATACGTCAATTTGCGTCATACAAATATTTTCCATCGACATGTTTGACTTCTACCAGGATTTTTTGTAGATATTTTCAAAAAAATCAGAGTTCGTAAATATTTTCTTAAAGAAAAAGAAACAGCTGAGCAGAATTAGGATTTCTTCGAACGTCTGTCTCTCTATTTTGATTAGATATAACCGAGATGCTTTTTACGCTTGTTCAGTATTGAAATTTTGCTCGGTAGTAACGTATTAATTGCGAAGCGATGAATAAAGTGCATCATTATGATTCACTGGGAAACAACGCAGAAGGAATCACAACACGTAATTATTCTGCTTGATAACGAAACTTGCTTTCTATTTCGAAATATATTCTCGTATGCCATTGAAAATAATTTTCTGATTCATAGATTCGTCACAAACGAACGTTAAAGAAGAACATACCATGGCATTTTCGAAAAACCCTCCGATGGCGTATCCACGCAATACGAATGGGTATGCAATGATTGAATTATCGAATACGGGCCAGCATTTAACCAAAGGCGAATACACTCCGATTGGTTCATCGAAGAAACTTAATCTATTACTTCAACGTTCACTTCGCTATTCGTATCGACAACGATGCTGTGGATGTTGTCCAACGATACTTTGTGAACTGTTGTTTCCATTGGTTTTGATTGCATTATTAGCATTAGTGCGTTATGGAACAAACGCATTAGTTCGAGAATTGAATGATAATCCGGGAAAAGCACCGCCAGGTCTCGATCGCCCGTTATGTCCATACAATTCGAGTGAAGTGAAAACAAGTTCATCCAATGAATTATTTATGAAATGTTTCGCGTTTCCACCGAGTTATAAAGAAAATCTATCGAAATCAGAACAAGACTATACGAATAAAACAAATTTCATCTTTCGACCAATTACCAACGATACAAATGAACTGGTAAAATGGGCTCGACAACGTTTAATAAACATGAGCTGTGTGGACACCAACGTCCAGTAAGTCCTTTGATTTGATTCGCTAAAACAACATTGATTCCATTGTTTTGTAGAAATCAAGATTTGAACATTGGAAACGACAGTTATCTTTTACAGTCTACAACAGTTAATTCGATCCTCATCGATTTTGACTCGGCGGATAATCTAAAGAATGGACGACAATTGAGTTGTATGTATTGATCTTTCGAATAGAATTGTAAATAGGCGAGCATTTTAGATGATATTACGGTTCGGACGCCGCGTATCAGAGCGAAGAATGATCCCGTGGATTACTCGTTCATCTCGTTCTTACATCCGAGTAAACTACGAGGAAATGCAAACGGAAACACCGAGTACATGTGTTTTCTTTTATAATTTAGCGGCGATTGCGGATAGATCGAATGTAACCGATAGAAAGAAGATCGAAGGGTCAGAATTGCCAGAGTTCATCGATGTGAAGATATTTATCGATTCTTTATTGATGAGTTATCAAACGGGCAAAACAATCGACTTGGAATTGGAACGCGCTCCGATGAGATGTACACCATTTCGTCGAGATTTTATCTTCGGTAAATCAGTCATGATTTCGATAAGAAACATTCACCCTCGCCGTTTGCTGTTTAGAATCGGGTGCAGTTCTCGTAACGTTTATTCTACTCTTAGTAGATTTCGTCTTTCTTATACCGTGAGTGAATTCTCATATACTCTATCGGATGATGGATTTCGTTCGCTGTTCTAGATATTTAATCCTTCTTGTCAGTTTAATTCGTGAGAAAAACGCTAAAGTCAAAGAAATTCTCAAAGTCCTCGGCATCGAACCTATTCTCAACAATATCGCTCAGTCAATTCGGTAAGATTGCATCAACGTTCCTCAAAAATACACATCTATCTATCTTAGAACACTGGTTATTCTCTGCTTACTAACTCTCTTGCTATGCATTGTATATAAATTAAAATTAAAGCCAGATGCATACTTTAGTACCGTTAATTTTGGTATTCTTTTCCTCGGTTACATCATATTCGCTTTACAAATGATTTCATTCTGCGTTATGAACGCCCAGCTCTTCGACAAAAACGTTCGTGCGGTATTGGGCACATTTTTTATCTATCTTGTTTCGATTATTCTATTTCCTAATGTTCTCTTCTGGCCACAAGCGATTCAATATATTTTTATCTTTCTCAGTCCATACATTGCTGGCCATTCGATTTTTCAAGTCAGTGCGCTTCCTTGTTCTTCGTATTTTTCATGTATTCTTTGGTTTTTAGCAAGCAATTTTACATGACTTAGCTGATAAAGATGTGAAATTATTTGAGACAATCTATCGCTTTGTGCCGATGTATTTCCCGACACTAATAGTAATGCTATGCAGTTGTCTCTTCTATTGGTGTTTGGCTTGGTATTTGGAAAAAGTCTTCCCGGGTAAGAGAGATACGAATGTGATCGATTTCAATGAATGAAATATTTCAGGTGAATATGGCATTCCGCTTGATTGGAATTTTCTTTTCAAACGGAGTTATTGGCGTTCGGAAGTAAATTCTTATGAAGCAGAATCCTCGTCGAAATCGAGATCATCGCTGAAACGAAAACAGTCAGCTGGCAAACCGATTGTTCATGTGAATCATTTGGTCAAGAAGTTCGGTCCTGATAAAATCGCCGTCAACGATGTTTCATTTGCTTTGTATGAAAATCAAATAGCTTCATTACTCGGTCCGAATGGTTCAGGTAAAACAACGATATTCAATTGTTTGATTGGCATCTATAAACAAACATCGGGCTCGATAACAATTGAAAGTGAACAAGGAATGAATGTCGATACACGAACAAATATGGAAGCGTTAAGACGATCTATGGGATATTGTCCTCAACATGATATACTTTTCGATTTGTTAACCATCAAGGAACAACTAGAATTCTATGCTACAGCACGTGGCTTTGGCAGAAATAAACAAGAAATCGCTCGAGAAATGATTCGTCTGGTTAACTTACAAGGATCGGAAAGTCTCTATTGTAATGCGTTATCCGGTGGAATGAAACGACGCTTATCACTAGCCTGTGCGTTTGTTGGCGATACAAAGATTGTTCTTCTTGACGAAGTGATATTCCTTTGCAAGTTCATTGTTGAATATTTCTTCAGTTTCGTTTTAGCCATCAAGCGGTCTTGATCCATCGAATCGTCGTTTGTTATGGGATTGGTTGCGAACGATGAAGGAGGGAAAGACACTTCTGTTGACTACACATTTTATGGAAGAAAGTGATGCACTCTCTGATCGTATTATGATCATTGCTAATGGAAACATCAAAGCCGATGGCACATCAGCAAAACTGAAAGAACAGTATGGATCAGGTAGATAAGTTACAGCCGTTGCTTGAGAGCAGAGCAATATGTTATTTATTCACTTTAGGTTATAAATTGGTGGTTAATAAAAACAACAACTACCCAACGGAGGATCTCAAAAATGAGTTGCGTCGCTTTTTACCTAAATTAAAAGTTGAAACCGATGTTTCGATTGGGGATGTGGTTTTTCGTACGAACCAACAGCCGAATGAAGAATTTATTCAAGCATTACGTCGATTGGAAGTAATGAAAAATGAAAATCGAATAAAAAACTACGGAGTACAGAACAGCACCATGGATGACGTGTTCTTGAAAATCACACGAGATTCTAAGGTTGCCAACGATGGCGAATCAACGTCTGTTGATGTTGATATTATCGGTAAGTTATTCGATTGATTCTCTAGAAGTTGATCGATCATTTTCCTTTTCAGAACAACAATGTCAAGCTATGTTCCATGATCAACGTTTTGACACTGGCCTTTCGTATTACCTCAGTCAATACAAAGGATTGTTGTGGAAGACCGTACTTGTTCGTTATCGTCGTTGGGCGTTAACATTGATCATATTATTATTGCCAATTTTGTACAATATTATCTCGCATGTCATATCTCGCAGTCAAAATGAAACAGGAATCTTTCGAATGGAAGTAAGTGCTCTCAATCCTCAAACGATTCTCTATCATACAGATGAGAGTCTCGAAGAATATTTCCGTGCGTCCACTTCCGGTGCGAAACTCGAACAAGTGGCGAATAGTTCTGAGATGGATGACAATATTTGGCGTAAGTTTGGACAAAATCTCTCAGCATAACTTTGAATTTGCTTCGTTTAGAAAAACGTATAAAACATCCATACACATATACAGATACCTATCTTGCGTTTAACATACCTAAACCAACAGACGATCATTATAAAGTCAAGAGTTTATCGTCAAACCTAATCTCAAGTCATGAAGTTGTCTCGGTCGCATCGAATACATTCTATAAATATCTTTCAAATGATACAAGTGCATCAATTCAAACAAAATTGATCTATAAAAGAGCAGGAAATTTTACTGAACAACAATCCGTGGGCGATCTGTTCAATTTTATTACTACAGTGGCCTCGTGCTTTCTCAAATTAATACCGACATCGCTTTTGTTTGACGTGTAAGTACAAGAGTAAAGCACATTCGATGCATTTATTGTCTTTTCATTTAGGTTTCTATTCTATATTCTATTCTTCTATACGACTGTTTTTCTGATCAGTGAACGAAAAGATAGCTTTTTATCACTGTTAAATATCAGTGGCTTACAGTAAGATTGCCGTTTCGGTTGTCGAATCAATGACAAAAATGATTTTCTTCTAGTCCTGCATCTTACTGGCTTTTCAGTTACATTTTCGATATAATCATCGCGACCATCTGGTTTTGCTATTTACTCGCCGTTTATTGTCTGATTTATGTTATCTTTAATGGAATACCGAAGGCAAGCTCTCAATCGGATTTATCGAGCCTATTGGAATTTCTAAGTCCTTGGGATTTACGAGTTAATTTCTATCCATTGGCTATTTTGATTGCAATACCAACATTACCATTCGCGTATCTGCTGACAAAACTGTTCCGCAGTGACATTCTCGTATGTATCGTTTGCATTTTAATAAAAAAACAGGAAAAGAAATGTGTATTTATTTTCTTTAGGGTGGAATAACAATATGTTTCATTTTAGTCATTCTCCACTTTGTCAGTCTCATCGTTCCCATAGTGATGATGATCGTCAAAAGTACATCAGTTCGAAATCTTCTCTATTGGCTGTTCAATGTTCTATTTCCCAGTGTGAACGCACAGGTAATCGTCTCTGATATTCTTGCCAAGAAAAGTGGATTTTGCAAGACCATCGACCTGGTCTTTGGGACAGATGATTCATTGTTTACATCAATCGGCAATACTACAATGATATGGAATTATGTCATATTAGTTGTACATACTCTAGTATTACTTTTGATATTGATTGTTATCGATAGTGGATTATTACAATTCTCATGTTCATGTTTTTACACATCGACATTTGACGAAAATACACTTGATGGGGATGTTCTAGCTGAACGTCAACGAATATTAGGGTCGCATAGTCACACAATTGAAGGCGAAGAAGATAATGATGAATTAGTTGTCAGCGATCTGGTGAAATACTATCCAATGAGAAAGGTTCTAGCTGTAAATCATTTAGCGTTTGGTGCACGACGTGGTGAAGCATTTGGTTTACTTGGATATAATGTAAGTATACAGGTTAAACGTTCGTTAAGTCATTGCTCTATTCATGGATGTTAATAGGGTGCGGGCAAAACAACAACATTCCGCGTCGTTGTTGGTGATCTGATGGCCACACAAGGAACTGCTTATATCTCAGGACAGAATGTTCGTCGTCGTATAAGATCAACGCGTGGTCTTGGTTATTGCCCTCAACAAGATTGCAGTATGGATTTTCTCACCGTGCGCGACAGTCTTTACCTATTAGCGCGCATTCGCGGCGTTCGGTCGATGCGTATAGAAAAAGTTGTGCAAACTATGAGCTCATTGTTTCTACTTGATCCATTTTTGAACAATTACATTCATCAATTAAGTGGCGGAACAAAACGTCGTCTGCATGCAGCCATTGCTTTGATTGGTAAGATATTCATATTGACATAAGCTTTTATACAATAGCTTTTGTATTCAGGACCGCCATCAGTCGCAATTTTGGATGAACCAACAACAGGTGTGGATCCAAATGCTCGACAACAGATGCAAGAAATCTTCTTGAACGCTGTCAAAGCAAACTTGACAATTATTTTGACTAGTCACTCAATGGATGAATGGTAAATTCTCTTATCTTGTTTCAGAATGTAATCTGTTCCTTTCTTTTGTCTTGTAGTGAACGCGTTTGCAACCGTCTTGGCATAATGGTTCACGGTCAATTAGCTTGTTTAGGTACGATTCAACACTTAAAATCGAAGTTCGGCCAAGGCTACACAATCGAAATCAAAGTTCATTCGTATCCCCAAGATCCAGCTGCGATCCCGATAGAAAATGTTCAACGATTTCTTCAATCTCGACGAGATATAAAAGTCGAAGTGAAAGAAACAACGCATTCAACCGGCTTGTTTCAAATCGAAGGAACTACACCTGGTGAACTATTTCAATTATTAGAGGAAAATAAACAACGATTAAACATTGAAACGTATACTATCTCTCAGACAACACTCGAACAGATATTTTTATCTTTTGGCAAACAAATTCGAGTCGCTTCAGAGAACTAATAAAGCATATTTTCTTTCATGTAATTATTCAAAGCTTTATTTCAATAAATTGATTTCGTAATCCACGCATTTACTTGGAATGATACCTAGACGTTCGTAGACTTTTTGTGCGGAAACATTTTCTAGTGCTGTCTGCCAGATAATTGACCTGATATCACCCCGTTGACGAGCTTGATCTTCACACGCGCGAATCAAAGAGCCAGCTACACCTAAACCGCGCACTGCTGGTGTTACGTACAGATCATTGATAAGCGCCTGTCGACCAGGATAAGGCAAAAATGTCCACGTCCAAAATAACGATGCAAATCCGATCATAACGCGATGATTGTCATTAATACTCTGTCGTGCTACGAGATAGACACCTTCATCTTTGGGATTTTCCACAATCGTTCGACACAGCGTCAGAAGACTTTCACTACTCGGCTTAGCTACATGTGGTTCATCGGAACTATCACAATACGCACGCATAAGTAGAACCAGTTCGTCAATGTCTGATTCATTAGCGACGCGTATAGTAATCGAGGACATCTTTTATTAAATGTGCGTTCTTATCAAAGACTCCACATAGAAAACGAGAGAACAGAAAAAAAGAAAGAAAGAAAAAAATGTGCGAGCCAAACTTTCTTTTGCTAATATTTACCATAGAAAAATGTCGACACCAAAAAGTGATTCACAGTGGAACATTGATCTTGTTAATGAAAATGATCTAGCCGATCTGTTACCATTATTACGAGCCTATTGTGAATTCTACAATCAAACTGAACAGATTCCATTGACCGACGACGCTGCTCTCATGTCAGTATCACGTGCACTGATCGCTAATCCGAAGCACGAAGGCATTCAACTGCTTGCTCGAGATAGCAAGGATCGAACAGCTGTCGGTTTTGCAACCGTGTTTTGGTCTTGGTCAACATTACAAGGAGGTCGTCTAGCAGTTATGAATGATCTATACGTTAAGGAAGGCTATCGAGGACAAGGTATCGCCGATCTCTTGATCAGCGAATGTGCACGACAAGCACGTGAACATGGAGATCGTTGTTTAACATGGCAAACGTCGGTCGATAATAAACGTGCTCAAACAGTTTACAATAGAAGTGGTGCTTTTAAAAGTGATCGTTGGCTGAACTATTCTCTTGAATTATAAAGAAATGCTCGCTAAAACAGAAAATCTTATGCAGAAGAATATAAGTGCAATCTAAAGGATTTCTGTTCTTGTTTTAGATGAAATGAGTCAACCACAATCGATAGAATTTTTTGTCATTCTATTTATCTTCACTTTATTTTTATTTTCACCAATTGTGACATTGATTACTTTTGTTTGTCTATCATGGTTTTGGTCTTTACCGATGACTTTAGTTCTTTTTCTATTGTACGGATGTTGGATGTATTACGATCGTCATGTAGACTCCCAAGGTGGTCGTTGGTCTGACCGATTACGGCAACTATCCGTTTGTAAATATTTCACGAAATATTTCCCTTTAAAACTAATTAAAACGGAAGATCTTGATCCAAATGAAAATTACATTTTTGGATTTCATCCGCATGGAGCGTTCAGTTTCGGTGCGTTGGGCAATTTTGGTACTGACGCGACACATTTCTCCGCACTTTTCCCAAATATTCGTCCACATCTGATGCTTCTTCAGCTACAATTTCTCTTTCCATTTACACGAGAGATTCTACTCCGATTAGGCGCTTGCTGTGTATCGAAAGAGAGCTGCGAATATTTCCTCAGAGGAAATCACGGCACTGGCCATGCGTTAGTCATTATAATCGGGGGTGCTCGGGAAATGTACTTCACTAAAGCTAATACGATGAAACTATACCTAAAAAATCGCAAGGGTTTCGTTACTTTGGCATTAAAACATGGGTAAGCAAGGTCTATTTATCGAACAAAGTATGTAGTTTTGTTCAAACGTGCTTAGAGTGTCACTTGTACCCGTGGTTTCATTTGGCGAGAATGAACTATACCAACGCTTGACTTTCTTCAACTTAATTCCTAATGGAATTAGTTGGGGTCGATCTTTTTTCGGCTATATTCCACTCCGACGTCCGGTTGTTACTGTTGGTAAGCAAAACATTTCTCTTGAATATTCTCAATACAGCTGAAAGCAAATATTTGTAGTTGGTAAGCCAATTCGTGTCAATCAAAATGTCAATCCATCTACAGAAGATATCGGTCAACTTCACGAGCAATACATGCAAGCTGTAGAAGAATTGTTTGAAACAAATAAGGATAAATACGGTTTAGGACATGTTAAACTTGAAATTGTGTGATTTCGAAATCTGTCTGTGTGTCCACAAGTCATCAAAGATCGAAATAATTCTGTCCTACATATATTCTATTTTTAAATTACACCGAGTACATTCACCTTTTATCAGTATTCATATAAATGCAAAATCCGGAGAGATTTTTGTTTCTTCCTGTCGTTTCACTGTCAAACTGACGGTAGTACCGTGCAAAAATATGCTCGTGGTTAATTTTGATTGGTTATCTTTTCAATATCCTGGTAATCTAATCGTCATCACATCTATTTTTTGATAATGTGCTGTAGAAGAGTTGTCGAATATTTAGTAGTTAATATTCTCATAACTATCTTTCTATTTTCACCTATTCTAACGTTTGCATGTATCGTTACTCCGATAATTTTACTCTGTGTATTCAAATGCTATTGGTATTTATTTATTGTTTTCGGAGTTTGTGTTCTCTATGGGTTTTGGCTACTCCTTGATCATCGAACGGATTCGAAAGGAGGTCGGTGGTCGAATCGACTTCGACGTCTATGTCTTTGGAAATACTTTGCACATTATTTTCCATTGAAATTGGTCAAAACTGAAGATCTCGATCCGAATCGAAACTATATTTTTGCTTATCATCCGCACGGAGCATTCTCCTTGAGTGCATTCGGAAATTTTGCCACAGATGCCACACATTTTTCACACTTATTTCCCAACATTCATCCACATTTGATGCTTTTAAAACTGCAATTTCTGTTTCCGTTTACACGCGATTTGTTTCTTGCGTTGGGTAGGGTTAATTAACATTTCTATCTGAATATATTTGTATCATATCGACGTAGGCGCATGCTGTGTATCGAAAGCCAGTTGTGAATATCTTCTCAGCGGCGAACGTAATCATGGAAATGCGTTAGTAATCGTTCTAGGCGGTGTACCTGAAATGCATGCGACACGACATGATACAATGATATTTTACATCAAACGACGAAGAGGCTTTATTCGATTAGCATTGCAATATGGGTAAGTAACGAAAACCGACTATTCTTTTCAAGAGCCTGCTTTCCCCCCGAAGAGCGTCCATTGTACCTGTCATTTCATTTGGCGAAAATGAACTTTACGAACGACGTACTTGTTTTAATATGATATCCAATGGAATTCCCTACGGTCGATTGCTTATTGGACACATGCCGATCCGACATTCGGTGGTCACTGTTGGTAAGATAAATCGATCTGTCTATCATTCTGGTTAGAAAAGAGAAACATCTAATCATACATATTTAGTTGGCAAACCTATTCATGTCAATCAAAATGTTAATCCAACTTCGGGCAATATTGATGAACTTCATCATCGGTATATACAAGAAATTGAACAACTGTACGAAGATAACAAACATAAACATGGTCTCGGACATGTCAATCTCGAAATCATTTAGATACGTAATAGTTAACAACAATAACAACCAAAATAAGACTCTTGTTTAAAGAGCGATCAATCAAATAGTAATGAGAATGATGACATTGAGCAACTTTCATAGCATAACCTATTAGTCTCATGTACTGACTAACATTCGTTGATATTATGACATAATGTAGAGATGATTCAGCCTTTGCTTTCTTTCTTTCTTTCTTTCTCTCTTCTGCTTGCTTGCTGTGTTTGTATGTATAAATATATGAATGAAGATGGCTGAGTCGTGTGAGTCGTTCGTGCATGTACAGTTGACACGGTCATATTGTCAAGGATGAGATATACGTAATGACTTCGTGTATAAGACGATGAAAAGTAGATTAACGAGGCATTGTTCATGGTTTGTTTTAATCTCTTGGACAATTCTTCTTCTTGTTGTTTCTCTTTTCATGTTGATAATATACTCATCAACTAGAAATCGATTGCATCATTCTTCATTCGTCCTTCACTACAAGTAAATCAATCCTTTCGAAAGTAACAGACTCGGTAATAATAATAATTTAATATAGATCGATTACAGTTGAAGGCTAATCAAAGGGAGAAAAAGAACAAACTTTGACTGTTTGTTATCTCATCATCCATCCAGAAGTTGTGCATCAATGGCAGGCATAGATTTCAAATGCGTATATGTGTAGATATATATATATGTTGTTTCGTTCAACGTTAATAAAAGACAAGCACACACACGAATTAAAGCTTACAGAAACGATTATTTCAAAATGAAAAGCCCTAGTTTGGCAATCGTTAGACGTCTGTTGTCGTGCCACTGTCACTTGCTGATTCATGTCCATTGCTTTTCAAATTATCATAAGCATCATCGGCCGGAAACGGTTGTTGTTTTTCTTGTTCATACAATTTCATGCGTTTCAGTGAGATAATACGTTTATAAATAATGAAAGCAATTAGCATTAACAGAATGAGGACAGTGGCAAAGATGGTGAGAATAATTATTGTTCGAAGTATGTCGCTAAATATAGAACGTTGTTGGACGAGGACGGATTTGTCAGTGCCTTGAAAGTATTTTTTATAGAAATACTCTTTCCATGCAAGTTCATCTTCGAGCGAGATCGTATCGTTGAACAGTTCAGGTGGAGATTCAATGTCGACTTTGGCAGAAAACAGAACGACACTTTCTTGTTTGGTTTGATTGACTAATGATAGGTCAGGCTTATGCAAAACACAATCGTAATCAACGATGATATGTTGAGAATAACTATTCACTTTTGTTAGCCACGGACATGTGGATGAATCCATAAGAATACATTGAATGGATATTGAACACGTCCGATGATTATTACAAGGTAAATAATGTTTGTTGAAACGTTTCTGACATGCACTTCGTGAACATCCGCTACCTGTGTAGAAGATAACAGAGCGTAGTTTAATAACGAAATTCAATGGACAGGAGAGTAGACGAGTTGCGTTCTCGTTTGTTTGTTCGTTCAAGCAGCAACTTTCGAATTGATAAGTCGACGCTGATGTTACGTAAAGAGAGAATACAATACAAAAATAAAATCCTAATCGAGGTAACATTTGTAATCTGTTTCTTCTCTTCAATTAAAACATCTATAACAGAAAAAAAAGCGAAAGGAAATTACATTACTGTGCTTTTTTTTCTTTCTTCATTGTCATCATAAAATCAGATCGATTGTATAATAACGTATCAGAGACGAGACTCTTTTCTTTCAATGAAACATTTAAGTATATTTAGATTGAAATTCATTCGAGTGTCTATTTGGCATGAGTATGAATATAGTAATTGTTCGCAAAGAAAATGCATAGTTGATAGGGATCAGTATTCAGGCTCTTACTCGTCATGAACTGTAACAAATACAATTGCATCGTTTTCTCGCTCTCCCTCCATCTCTCTCTCTTTCCTTCGTGCTCTTTTCTTTCTCTTTCTCATGATATTGCATAAAGTAACAACAACAATACCAGCAGTAAACCATCCGAAGATTAAACGATCTCTCTCTCTCGTCCTGTGCTTTGTTAGATGAATTGCTGATAGGTTTATACACAGACACTGCTATTGCTGCTGATAGAACTTCTTTCATTACTATATGAACATTATACGCTCATACGTCCAACAAGGCTTTTGTATATGTTTAGATGACATAGAGCATCCTCGCCTGATGGACGTTCAAGGTCGTCATCAGGAATATTCATTAGGTTCATCAAAAATTAAACCTAGTGACAAAAATATTTACTGTCGTTCTTTTTTGCGTCTACACGCGTTGCGGAAGGAGCAAGAATGACATGTACATATGTCTTGCTTATTAGAAACACGGATGCGCCGAATAATTCTCAATTCATATTATGAGTGACCTTTTTTTGGGTGTGCGCGCGTGTTTCTGAATAGATTTTCTGGTCAAGGTTGAAAATCAAAAGACAATCATTATCGCATAACGAATATTATCAAAGCAATGTTAACAAGCTCATTTTCTCCTGCTCTCTCGATATCTATCCGGATCGCTTAAGGACATTGATTTCTAACCGATAGAGAATATGCTATACGGATAGCACGTCGATTAATCGTTTAGACATCTTACGTCATCTCTCTTTCCATTGAAAAAAAAGAAGGAGAAATTTATATTTACTATTGTCATAGTGACTACAGAGAGGAATAAAAAAAAACTAATACGACTTACAACGACGCATTCTTTAGAACGGCAAAACAAAGAAATTGCTCTACTTCTAATGGCACCATTACGACTAAAAGTTCAATTAGGCGACGAGAAGAAAGGTTCTCGCACAAGACCTTTATTACGTAAATTTGTTTATGCTATTGATTCATCGTCAAATCAAACTATTGCCGAACTTTCACAAACATTACAGGACTATGTAGCCAAACAATTCTCACATGCAAATCTCGAAATCGTTCATTTAATGACCGATGATGGATTTATCTTATCTAAATCAGATCTCTGTTCTCATGTATTGAAAGATAACGATCGAATCATTTGCGTAGATATGAGAAGATTTATCGATGATTATCATACATGTATTCATGAAAGTAATACCTGGTTAGAACGAAAACAGTATGATATAACGGTCAGTCGAGAGAGAATCCTTCGTATAGGCCTCAATTCAACTCCAGAATTATTCGTACGATTATTTGGTACAGTGGAGGTGAATACTCTTTATGTATTTGGCATTCATGAATTGATTGCAATTGCGAATAGAAGGGAACCAAGTAAGAGAAGGAAAAACAGGTGATCGAAATTTCGAGTTTTGAATTTTAGATAAACTAATTAGTCGGATCGATCAAACGATGGAGTTTGAACCAGCGTCCTCATCCGATTGGTTTATTGAATGTAAATGGGATTATGAGCAAGATTCCAATACGAGTTTATTCATCGTTTGCAACTTCAAAGTCAGTTCAAGCGATGAAGTTTGGTCAGCAAAATTACAATTGATTCTTGATCATTCTCGTCAACGAATCGAAAAAGGTCAACTCATTCTACTCTCTGGTGAATCGGGTGATGGCAGTACACTTACGAATCAACAACGTCAACGTATAAAAGAACTTGCTGCTAAGCTTCCACCACCGATTCGAACTGGACCACAAATTGCTTGTAGTGCTCCTCAAACGTTAAAATTGACCAAACATGAATGCGAAGGCGATTCGTTGGTTCGTATGGCTAATGGTAATACCAACGCTGTTCTCCCGGAACAAAGCGAATCGTCAACTCCGGGAATGTTTCTGCAACACTTTACAATAACTCACATTGTATTTTCGAAGAAACCGATTATTTTGCCTGAAATACTCAATCAAAAGCGTTCGCAAGCTGTCGACAAGCCTATCACAGTTGCACATGTATCGGTTTTGTATCAGATGCACGATGGCGGATGGAAAGAATGTCAAGATATAGCGATTGGTAATGCCGGATCACGTGAAATCGAAATCAACTGGTTGCCACATCTAATAATTAATATCGAGCCAGATAAACTACTATCATACAGCATCCGAGGCTCGATGTTAATCAAAGGAATATGTGGACAAAGTCATATGACATATGGGCGATTTCACAAGAGTCTACCTCAACCATTAAAACTAAAGATCGTTGTTACTGATAATCATGACAAGCATTGTTCACTAATCGTTGAACAATTGAACGCACCACTTCAGCTAGTAACAAGCGAGTCGGTCAAGGAATCCTCGTGGCACATTAAAGAACATCTATATTTTACTTACGCTGACGATTGTGAAAATGCTGAACGATATTTCATCAACATGTTTATAGATAAAGACGATAGACTAGTTCTTGGATGCTTGGGTGGGAACAAAGAATCTCTCGACCGAAAGAAATTCCTCACGATGGAGTTCAATGCGAAACAAACCAAAGTTCATGAAATTCCTCTTAACGATCTAACTTACACGAAGGAATCCAATGAAATCAAAGTAACAATCCTACTCGATCCAGTCACATATATCAGCTATGCCATTCGATTCGAAATCAAAACATTGACATCGCGAACAGAAGAAACCGTACTTATTCCTATTGATAAAATATTGTAATAAATAAAATGAATATGCAAACATTGAAGATCGCTTTACCTATTTTCTCTTTCAAAAGAGTTTCATTGGCTCAGAATAGAAACGAGTCCTCGCAGTTAACCTAACGACCATTGTGATGGTTTTGTTTTGAAAAAAAATCACACAACTATTCAAGTGTATTGAAAGACAATGATGCCCTTGTGTGTATCGGTGCGAAAAGATAGGGTGTTGATAAGTATTCTACTCTCGATTTGAGTATATCTTGGTTGAAAATCAAAGAATATGCTATTAGCGATGACTGTGAAAAATCTGTTCATATCGGGTTGAATCAGTTTTCGAAATTATATGTTCCACTTTTCATCAGAAACATTGAGCATTACTTGGCTTATCGAATATCTACGGGAATATGATCCGAGTTCGAATAAACAATTTTTGATTACATGTAATTTCAAATTAGGATCTGAAGAAAATGCTTTATCGAAAAGATTACAACTTTTACTCGATCATGCCACCATCCACACGATTCGGACTATAAATTGATCCAAATGCTTTCGTGAGTCTAAAATCAGCAAAATACGAATGCGAAGGTGAATCGTCCATCCACATGGCTTGTACCAATACAAACAGGATAGACGGACACCAGAATTGCCGTCCGCCACATTCTTCATCTTTCCAACAAGAATTTGTCATCACTCATGTAATATTTTCGAAAAAAGTTACACTAATACCTGAAATACTCAATCAAAAACGTTCCCAACTAACTGAAAAACCCGGTTCTGCTGTGGGTGTCACAGTATTCTATCAAACACATGATGGCGGATGGAAAGAATGTGAAGGTGATATCATCGCATCCATACCGATACGTAACAAAGATCCGAGATGGTTAACTAATTCGGTCATTAACATTACTCCAGCCAAACTGATATCAGTCATGATTCGAGGGTGGATTCCTGTGAAAGATGAACTTAGAAACAACAACTACACACGAACTCGTTATGCATAAAAGTTTACCACAGCCCTTGAAACTGAAAATTGTTGTCTCGGACAATTACGAAAAGCAATACTCATGAGTACTTGAAAAAAATCAATCCGTCCTTGGATGTTATGACTCGCGATTCGTTCATTGATGATTATCTTTCAGTGATCAAAAGTTATAGAATATCTAGTGGTGTGTATGATCAAAGTTTCATGCGAAACAGACCAACACAGCAGAATATCAATTTAGAGGAATGAATTATACTCAGAGTAATAATTCGATTACAGTGGCAGGTTGGTTTGGCTGAGAAACTTTTCTTTTCTATAGCATTCAAGTAGAAATATCTACAAAAAAAACCGCAAACCGAAGACACAATATTTATTCAATTGGACAAAATCGATTGAACATATTAAAAGGAGATTTTTTTCAGTCAATGTCAATAATCAAACGTCACTTTCGTCGCTTAGATATGAATTGCTCTAATACATATAGAGAAAAGAAAGAATAAAGCAGAAAAACATTCGATTGTGAAAGTCTCTTACATGATTATGTTTGTTGCTATTCTGCAAATGATATCGAATATTGTCAACTCTGAAATAGATTATTAATGAAGAGTTTTGTTCGATACGCGTTCTTACTTTCGTTCAATTGCTTCTAAAACAATATCAACACGCGTTTTCTTTGCATGTTTAAATGCATATCGCCAAAAATCGTCGGCTATTGCACTTTCTCGTTGCATGACATCATTAACTGCAAACCAAAAAACGGGCTGTTTATAAACATAGTTCTCATCATGCTTACTTTTCCATGGTTGTGGTAATCGATTGATAAGCGGCGTTTTATCACCTATAGAATATCTGTTGCAAATACACGGAGAAATGTTTGAGAAACAACATACGATTAGAAAACAACTGGAAAATATATTGACCAGCCATGAATAAGTAATGAAGTGTATTGAATGGTGGTGGGAATAGGGTTTTTTTACTGTATTCATTGACAATTAAATATCGTTGATATCGCCAAACATCATGTGCTTGCTCTTGAACGCTTTGAATTGTAACGCTGAACGAAGGAAGATATATCGGCTGGGTAAAATTAGAGAATCGATTACTTGAACAATGCAACGAGGACGTTGAGGAGAAGAACATTCGCAACAGCGACAAAGACGATCGCTAGAACAAAAGCCGTATTAGAATACGAATCACTGCCCTCTAAAGATGCATCATTAAGAAAAAGATTTCATCAAGTTCGGCCTATTACGAATCAGATCAATCTGTCCAAACACTTTCCAAATTCCGTAGTTGATAATATCTTTGGCTAATTGCCATGACAATAAATTCCTTTCAGAGATGTTGATTGTTACATTCATCAAGTTTCCATTATGATCATAATTCCAGTCGATTTCATCAGTTGTGCTGATTAACGACCAGGATGCAATAGAGAATCCGCAGAGAAAAATGAGAATGAAACAAATGAAGAAAAGTAAATCCTTCATCTATGGAAATAGATAAACGAGAGAAGATGAGAGGCAAGAAGATTTTCTACGAACTGTATTTAAAATCATTAACAACTTCGGTCCCAATCGTTCGAAAGCCGTGAATAGATGAAGAGTCGCAACAAACCAAACAATCAGGTCCAAACAAAGAAAAATTCTGCAAAACAAACTGTTATCCATGTCTAGTTTTCGTCAAGAAACTTTACTTTGAAATGGTAAAAACAGCTTCGATGACAATAAATCGTGTCATAAATCCAATCAGATAAAAAACGATCGCACAAACTTTAATCAAATTCCACACATCATAAAAATATTCATAACGATCTGTCAGGTAAAACTACAAAATTCACACTAATATCTCCATGTCGATCTCTTTTAGTTTTACTTTATGCATTTCTTCAAGAATTAAACTCCATATCCACACATGAAGAAGTAATTCTGAAGTTCCTAAACTCAAACCAGTACTTTGATACATGATACGCCATGGAAAATAATCTATCAAAAGCACGTAGCTAAACAAGCCGAGGAAAATCACATAGAAGATCTACAAAAGATTCCAATAATATTCCTTTTAAGTATAAGTCTAATCACTTACGACGTTATAATAAAACCGAACAACTGGTGCTTGATAAAAATAAATAATCTTATTCGACCATCGTACTGGATTGAATTCAACGTAATGATCTGACCTACAGGCATACATGTCGTTCAATACACAATACAGGTTCGATTGTTTATCGTTTTACTTAATCACTGTACGAATAATTACGCCATTACCACTTCGCCCGTATGAGATTATCTTTCCGTATCAACACAATAAGGGACAAAATTTTCGAAAGTCAAAACATACCTCTTTACGTTCCTGAACGTATGGTAAGAAAATCGAAAACAACGGAAGTAATGGAAACAGAAGAGTCACAAGAAAAACCTAGAGATAGACATTTAATTCACTTAGAATAAAAACTTTCGTCGTTTCTCTACTCGAAAATTGATCGCTTTGCGTTTGTAATTGATATTTCCAAACCACTGATTATCCAAATATCTCTGAACACATTTCGATGCTAAAAATATTCGACAATTGGCTTCTTGAGCGATTTTCAACGGATCAACATTATCGAATGCTAATGCTGATTGTTTCAGTAATTCCACACCAAAATATTCATCATTATCAAAACATCGATCAATAATTGACATCGCGTGATAATCAAATTGCCTATGAAAGAATATTTTCAGGACTACGAAGAATTTAGAACGAAGAAATGTGTTCTACTTAGCATTCTTTTCATATTCCTGCTTCATTTCCGAATGTACTGCGATTTGAGCTGCTAAGCGATAAATTCGCGCACCAATTAGAGCAGCAACCGACTGATTCTATTCTCAAAGATCCCAAATAGAAAGATAAATATTTACTATGAGACAGTCTCACCCAAGTTTTTGAACAAAGATATTTTCCAAGTTCAAAACGACCTACAAATATCGCCCAGAGGTATAATTCTCGACGTGCATCTTGGCCCAATGATAAATAAGAGTCCGAGGACGCTTTGTCACTCTAAATATTTATCAACTCGATTTTCCCTTCTTCTTTTCAAACAATGCCCTACATACATCCAATTGTTTATTGAAATAAAACGCATGATAATCATGTCTCGTTGGTTTCGATTTGTTCTCGACGGGTAATCCGTTATCAGCCTAAACATTTCCGTTAGATTTGCTATTCAATAACAAAATCCAACATACATCGACAATTTCATATAGTTGCTCAATATCCGCGAGAGTGATTTTCTCCAAAGATGCGCCATATTCAAGAAGTAGTTCAACAAAGTCAACGTGACCGCGACAGAGTGCATCGAGCAATGCTCGACGAAGATCAGTGCTCTTTGAGAAAAATTTTAGAATAAGAAACACGAGAGTAATCAAACATTTTTACCTCCCATTTCGAAATCGTTCGGTCTGTAAGAATATACTTTTGTGCATAATCTAACTTTTGCCAAGCCTAGAGTGATGCGAATGAAGAGCACTTCGAAGCGAGAGAATTCATTTTATATCATACCATCGCTAATTTCAATTCCGCTACTCGACATTGTTGTTCATTGTGAATCCCTTCGGAGAACTTCGTCGCTAAAAACAGATTTCTTTGTGAAAATACTTTCAAAGATTATCTTTTAACCATTAAAAAGTGCTTCAAGGATTGCATCCTCTAAATTTCCATGATGACGTTCGCTATCAAACTTGAAAATTGTGATTAATTGCCGTCGTTGTTGCATTATACGACACAAGCGATCTTTGACTTGATCAAGC